CAAACTAAAAGAAACTTAAAAAACAAAACAGAAACCAAATCTGAAACCCAATACTTCTTTATGCACCATAACACTAAAATTATCCTATCAACTACATACAATCCTGGCCGTAATCCAAACATAGTAAACAAAACCAAAGCCATACTGATCCGTCACCTAACAACGAGATTCCGGAGCCATCTTGCTAGCAGAGAGGTGGAGATGGTCGGGCCTTGATATCTCCTGTAAGATTCTACAATGCTTAATGCAACCTCAGGTAGAAACCACGAGGTGCTGATTAATATCACTGGAAGTAATAGAGACAGGAACTGTGTAATTTTTCAATTTGTTGCTAGGGATATAGAATCGCACTCAAACATTAGCCTTGACATGTTGCAGTGAATCTGTTACATATAGCTATTGCCGTAGACAGAGATTTGGAATATGGTGGCTAAAGAACATAACCAAGGTAGAGGACATGGGTATCGACTATGGACTAAACAATATACTGTGGGCTTTCTTGGTATGGTATACTAGGGGATTATAACTATAGGTTATGGACTTGGACTCAAGTGGTTGACCCGAATTCTGGGATTAAGGTGGGTCAATCTTGTATAACATGAACCAGGAATAATATTGAAAACTAAACAAGTCAGAAGAACGAAGAAATATAAAATCCTAATTACCAGTGAGGGTGGAAACAGAAAGGGTGCATAAAGAAAGAAAAGAAAGAAGAAAAACCCTAATAACAACAACCCATACCTATATATTTTTCCTAATCCCTGTGCGTGTAACAGAAACCCAAAGAATATACTGAAACCTAATAACATATCTAATATTTTCCTTTACGCAACCGTAGTCTTGGCAAGCTGTAACAGAATCATTGACAATTTTGGTATTGGCCACTTGTCTTGATTGCGGCGTCAACTTCCTTGGTTTCGTATCATTAGAGCTGTGCCCAGGTGCATCAATGGAGCGGTACTAGTGTGTTGACTTTATCAAGGCAGACTTTAGACCTCAGCTGTACATGCAGGAATGAAACTATTCCTTGTCTACTCTGTGCATGTCATCTCCGAGCGTACACCCCATGGCGTTACTCTGCACTAGTCGGGGCAAACTCAAAGAAATAGAACCCCAAGCTCTACCAGAGGTGTGGTCGATTGTTTATACCCCTTTGTTCCTGCCAGCTGTTCGGTATGGAGTCTGGATGCCATCATTATCTGTCAGAGTTGCGGATGTTATCGTAGCTACTCAGGATTATTTTACACATGGAGCTGGTTCTCATCTTCTTTTTGTCGTTCCGAAGAGCGTTGTCAGGTATATTTATCTCTAACTCACGATAAGGTTCGATATTATAGGCATACAGCCTTATAGGCCCCAGTCATGTAGGTTATCTCTGAATGGTGTGTTGATCATACCCACATCTGATAAGGTAACTAGTTTTGATTGTCAATGAGAAGAGTAGTGGATCCTCTCCCGTGAAAACTAATCATGATTAGAATTTTAAGAACAACCTGGGACCTTACTGTTGTCCATGAGGATGAGAGTCCTTGCATCCTTGTCCCGAGGATATGTCCTCGATAATACACAAGGACATTGATCCAGAAGGACAAGCAGCCACGAGGACAATATCTGTCCTCGCCTCGAGGACCTCCGAACACAATTCTTGGACAGTTAATATGCCCTCATCGAATGAGGTTATGAGTGCGATGGGCCTTTCGTTTTAAAGAAATATCACCTTTTGCTCTACTGGGTCCTTTATTATCGTCCTCGAGGACACCCCCAAGCCTCGACTCAAACTTCCTCGTAGATCATACTGAACTGGGTACATATTTTCTTCTTTACCTTCCTTTATTTTATCAATGGCACCTACAAGCAGAGGGGCAGTCATTTCACATTGCCTGGGCCACATGAGCAGCAAGCGTTAAGTTCAAGGCACATCTAAACACAACGATACTCAAAGATTCTCGATGTTAACAAAAAATCATAATTCATTGAATATTTCTAAATCGTGAAATTCACAATGTTAACCTAACTCTACACCAGATCGCGCCGAACCCAAACGCCAACCTCACAACGCCCCAGGAAGAGACTACAAACAGCGCCCTCATAACGCCAGACATAACCAGAAACAAGGCCAGATACTTACAAAAGTATGGTATACGTTTTCTCCCTACCTTGGTCCTGCTTCTACTCACCACATCCGCGCTTGGAGCGCACACATACTCCTCTTCCTCCGGGATTGTCTGGAGCCGGGGCACGAACTTCAAAAATCCCCCATTTGCGCGCCTCTTTCGGTATTGGTGACGGAGAGAGACGGTGCACCCTTCTTGGTTCTCTGTGATTGTCCAACAGGTCTTGGTGAATAGGATCAGCTGTGAGCGCATCGTCGGGGGTGCGTTTCGGTATGGGCGGTAGCGGTGGGCTTTGGATCGTGGTAGCTGTTGTTCCCGGTGAGGGCGGACACTTGGGGGTGCGGTGGTGCACGAAAGAACTTCGGATTTGTCTATCTTTTGGTGATGGCTTTGGAGTTAGAGGTTGGGAATGGGCTAGTGAGATCGTGTCTTGGGGGAAGATTAGTACTATTGGTATGCAGGCGGGGGATGGTTGATATATATAGCTGTTAATGCGTTGTGTCACAGGTCTTATTATCCTCCTGGAGTGTGTCACAGAAGGACGCGCCAATAGCATGCTAGATTCATTCGGAGCTCGGTGGTTGGCTGACAAATGTACGTTCTCCCCTTGCTGGTATATTCGTAGATTGTGAATCTGTCGTGTTGATATTAACTTTATATTCTAGATACCTTCATCTATCCCCTCTTAAACTCAATTTAGTTTCCGGTACCTTTTATTCTGCTATATCATATCATCCGAACCCACGTTTTTATACCTGCACTGTGTGAAGAATTCTTCACTCACCTATCTTACACTTCCGGAGGCAAAGCAACGGACACAAACGAGCCCGATACCCGCCTCATCCCCGCGACGGGATGTTCCAGGCACTGCGTCTCAAACCTCACCGCAAGGGTATGGACAGGATATCGTGAGACGTACTCAAAGCATGCACAAAGATCGAGCAGAATTTAAACCAAGGCAAACAGCACTACACTCTCACATTGAGTTATAACGGCACCCTCTCGCGTTCCCTACTTCTTCACCTTCTTCGGCTTCTTAAGTCTCTGATACCACTCTTTTCTTACTTTTCTCGCAACCACGTCTTGGCCATTATGCGTCGTTTCGATCTCCTCCTCCTCCTTGATTGTTAGGAGTCGCGGATAGAACCGTATCCTATTAAAGGGCAGTGTCGGAATGCCCCGCATATCCGGAGGGCCACTGGACTTGTTGTGTGACATCTTTTTTTCAAGGCGTTGGACTAGGACTTAATCTAGAAATCAGATAATTTTTTGGTGCTGAGAAAGCTCAGAGGGAGTCTTGCGGGCTTTTTATACTCACTAAAAAAAAGACGGGATGTAGTTTATTCTATCCACACGGGGCCCTGCATGATCATCGATCCTAGCTACTGCCCAGGCAGGTGTAGCCTACTAGCATCTAGGCGGAGTTATGGATGCGGTTCATCTCTCATTGTGGCCTGAATTATACTCTCTTGGAACAATGATCGCCGAAGGCTAAGGTAACCCCTAAGTTGACCAGAGCTGCACTCCAAGGCAACCCGCCCAGAGTTTACACTGGCCACTCCCGAGAGCAGGGAATTCCAGTTTCTTGTTTGCGGGATACATCCCCTGTGTATCCTTACAACGAGACACTACGATACGAGTCTTGTCAGTCCTTCCGGTTCCACACGTCGCGTCGCCTATCCCCGGGGAAACCGAGGACAAGGGGGGGGGGGGCGGGGGTTTGCGCCGTCATGACATCTCACTCGCACTTCTGGATCCTGATCAATCTCTTATCCCGCGTCATCCCGATATCTGTAAGTAGAAACTCGATGTCTAACGACGCGGTAGGAGCTAAGAAACACATGGTAGCAACATCATGCGCTGGACTGTATGATCCGGAGAGGGAGGTATGCAGGCGCGTTAAGCTAAGTCGATACATATTTTTTTTTCTCTCTCGTGACACAGAGCATAGCTGACCAGAACTAGATATGCTACGTCCTAGCTAGCGTGTGAGTACCGCACATTGGCCCGGGGTGTTGAATAGACGCACAAAGACATATTATATGCCTCAGCGGCACTTAGCGCGCGGGATGGAGGTGGGTGACGGATTCTATTTAGCTTCGCTCATATGCGCTGAGATGGAGAGGGTGGGTTGTATATGTTCTTTGAAGGTTTAGCACGGAGCGGTTCGGGGGTCGGTAGTATCCTGCGTCTTCGGGGAAGATGGCTTTCATGTAGGCCAAAATAGGGGGATGGTTGTGTAGGGTGGTGAGGATCATGGAATGTCACTCGTATCTTGGGATATTTCCTCTCTGGTCATGGTGGAGTAATTTATCGATCTGCAAACAGTTATCTGCGGCTCGCTATGGCGGTTTGATATTTCATGCCAGGCGCGAATGGTGGGCGGAGTTGGAGATGACGAATCCTGATCTTGAGATTCTTTTTGACGTGGTCTTGGGCAATAAAACTGGATGTTCACTCGTACGGCTTTGTTTCCGCTGATGGTGTAGGTATCATCATTTCTCTCTCGTACACAAGTGGAGAGACAGTAATGTACGGCTATAATAAAGACTAATCCACATCGAAGCTCAAGCTCCCAAGATAAAGGAAACCTCATTCCAATAAGACTGAATACAATAGGACAGTTATTTTTAGTCTGTCCTTATCTGCCTTCCTCTCACCGCCGTTTCCTCGGACAGAAGCAGAGAAATACAAAAGGCTATCACATAGAACCTCCACCTGCACAAGCAGATAATTCTATAACTACATACTAAACAAAGAAATCTATTACTTATATGCTAATTACAAGAATATCCCCCACCCCTGGGCCCACAAACACCACAGATAAATACCACAAATACGACAAAACCAGACAAAAACCAGACAAAAACAAAACCCCATTCGAACTCATCTACCTACACCCCTACCCGTCAAATTCCTTCCACCACTACCCGCGCCCGTACCATACCACTCCTCCTCTGCATCCTCTCGAGGCCGAGGCCGAGGACGAGGGTGGGGGGTGGACTCACAGTGCTCCAAGATCGACCCAATCAGCGCCCCATCCGGCTCATCCTCACTGAGCGCCGTCATCCTCGAGTCACGCGCTGCCCCGCCCTTCAGATACTCATTCATATAGCCAACTGAGTAGTAACTCGCCGAATCCGGTTTTTCCGCCCCCGAAAGCACGCTCGGCACCCGCTCACTCTGATGGCTACTCTTGGGAACATTAAGAGTTCTTTGCGGGACCGGCCTCATGGCGTATGGGTTCCCAGCGTCAATGTAGGCGCTGTAGGCGCTGGAGGCGTAGTTGGTGAGGGGGTCATCGAGGCGCTGGGCGGCATACGGTTCTGTGTCGTTGCCATTGGGGGAGTAGAATGATGATGCGGGTCGGACAGGCCTCACGGGCCGTGTTGGTGCTGCGGGTGTTGGGGGCTCTACAATGACCGGGATGGCGCCGTAATAGCCACAGCCTGGCATGAAGGTTGGGGATGGAGTGGCTGGGGTTCCTGGTGTACGGACTCCGGGGGCGATGGCTGCGTTATTAACAACCCCAGCGTCGGGGAGTGATGCAGGTCGTCCATATTCATACCCCGATGCCTGTGTAGTAGGGCTGGTGTTCCGCGATAGTAACATCGCCTCGCTCTCGCGCGGGGACAACATCGGCTTCTCGCCGCCTGCTTCGCTCGAGCATTTAAAAAAGGTCTCCGCCGACCCTCCGGCCTCATTTGACGTTGATATCACCACCGGCCTCCCAATCTCCCGTTTCAGCATTGTCGTTTTGCTCACCGCATACCGATTCCTACGGCGTAGATGGAAAAATAAGGCGACGATGATGGCGGCAACGATTGCAACGGCGGCGCCGGCGCTGATACCAGCGATGAGGGCGGGGGAGAGCGTTGCTCCCCCGCCATCTTTGCCCGCGGGGCTGGGGCTGGGTGTTGTGGAGGCGATATGGAGTCCTACTTCTGTGTTTGATGCTTTGGTGGTCGTATAAGAAGGTGTTGACGTGCTGGTCGTGGAGGTACTTACTCTCAGTGTACTCGGCGTCGGCACGGTGTTGCCCGGTCTCATGAATATGGTGGTTGTCGGTGTCGGCTCAACCGGAGGTACAGAGACCACCGCCACAACCTCTGTAGCCGTAGGCTGTGGTGGCGGCGGCGGTGTGAGAGATGCCGTCGTTATGGGCTGGACTGGCGGCAGTTGGAACTCCCCTTCGGGACCATCTGTTGGCTGGGGGAGTGCTGCAAAGCTTGTGAATGTGGAGATGACGGTGCGTTCGCGGGTCGATGTTCTGGTGACGGTTGCACTGCGTGTCTCCTTTGGTAGTGGAAGTCTGTTTGTTCCGGTAATTTCGGAGCGGTCATGGGGGTCTGAGACGGCTGACATTATGTGCTTGAGATGAGTGGCGTCTGGTGTAAGCGATCGATATGCAGGCTGGTTGTTTGGAAAGGAGAGATGTCTTTGCACGAGCTGTGCGCTTGGTGCTTGCTATGACAGACGAATGGTGCGGGTGTCTTTGTAGAACAAGAGGACAGTGACTGTAGGAATACTTAAATTACATTGGCCCTTTGAGCCCTCCCGGAATACTATTATGGCCAATACTCTGGTGGTTAGCCATTCCATTCGTCTGATTCAAATTGTTGGCGGGGACCAAGACGGATTCTATACGTAGCTGGCATACTCATTATGCTGTGAAGGAAGTGACATGGCTGCCTGCATAGAATTCCGACGCACTAGTCATGTTCAGACCCATTCATGTTGGTTCTCATAATATTCTGAATTATTGAGTATTCGGAATACCGACCTATCATAGAGAATCTTACGCAGCCATGGATGCTCAATCGCGGCCTGAGTGATCATATATCGTTATAATTAGTCAGTTAGCTAGCTACATGTTGCTCTACCGATCATCTGCTGTCGAGTTCCGACGCTTCCAGGCTGTTCGTGATCGGGATATACTCGCTGTAGGTTATGCTCAGGCACGAGTGTGGGGGAGTGATCGATGATGACGATTGATTGCTACGGTGGCAAAGTCTGGTATTATGCGGTTCGGAAAACAAGACAGATCTGCTCGACCCGGTTCATGCAGCCACGTAACCGCTGGATCGTGTCACAACAAGTTACGCATACTTATAACGTGTACTACAATGTTAATACGAGAATGATGTTTTGTTTCTGTGCCCGCGATGCTCTGCCTTTTAAATTTGCATCCCAGGGTCGAGATGAAATAAGAATTCGTGAATGCAATCAGGAGTTCGAGATAAGTCTAGCTGGTCCTCGCCTAGCTACAGTTCTTCTACCGTAATAGTTCAAAACTGCTCACAATGAGTGTCCACATTGGCACTATTGATCTAGGCGGACAGATAAGATAAAAAAGTGATTTTTAGGGATATAAATAGCGGCACAATCTCCTGCCCACCTGAACTCTCATTAAACATCGCTTCTACTCTGAAATCCAAACACTACCTTGAAAGAACCGTTACCACTCTCAAACCGAGAGGCGAGCAAAACACAAGAAATCCACTCAAAGTCCAACAAGTCCGCAAACCCCACAAGACAGCCTAACATGCATCCATCCCAGGCGTCATCACCGTCCCAATGCCTACCCGCTCAATTTCCAGCCCCATGATAATACCTCGTGCTCTTCTCCTTCGCAAACTTCACCGACTTCCCCCCCCCTCCTCTCCCAACAGCCTTCATCGCCGACTTCAACGTCCTCCCCGACTCATTCACCTCCGAGCGCCTCGGCAATGAAGGCTCCCTCCTCCTCCCCAGTGCCTCCCCTGCCCCGCCGTACACCATAGGTGGCGGCGGCGGCAGAGCGCGCCCGCCCGGAGTGCCCACTCGTTGCGATACTGTATGTGGGGCGTTTGGAGAGGCTGACCGCCTAAGAGCACCGACGGATGGGCGACGCCCGAGACCGAGTACTCCCTGGGTGGTGGAGCTCTGGCTAGGGGCATAACTTTCCCACTTTTGGGTACGCTCGCGACGCTCGGAAGACGTGTCTCCCTGTGCAGTGGAGGCCAAGCTGGGCGCATAGATTGCGGGCTGTTTGGTACGTTCTTGGCGCGAGGCGCCGGGGGTGCTTGGGCGGGGCGGTGGGTTCGCGCACAGGCCTGCGGCGATGTCGGCGGCGGTGTAGGCCTGGATGTGGGTAGGGCGGGGCCCATGATCACTGGATACATGTAGTCTGGAACCGTGAGGGCCGGGGCCTCTTGGAGGTCTGGTTTGGTACACAGTGTGCTCGGTTTCCTTGGTGGTGACTACTTTCGTCCTGCTAGCTACCTCGCCGCGTGGTATCGGTGAGTTAGAGAAGTAGCCGGCGCGACTAATCTCGGATGGCGCCGCCATGGAGAAGTGGCCGGCGCGACCGATTTCGGATGGTGCCGCAGTGGAGAAGTGACCGTTCCCGGGCCCCGCGGAGGTTGTATTACGGGTCGAGCTCTTCAGAGACGGGGCTCTGGAGACTGTAGACTTGGGGGATGCGGGGGTTACGGCGTTGGGAGCAGAGTCATCCGCAGTGGGAGTGGGATTCGGGTAGAGGTAGCTGCCCAAAAGTTCGAGTGGGTATTGGAAACCCATTGTTGCGGTGGTGGTGTATGTGTGGATGGTATGGGTGTGTGGGGAGCTTTAGTAGGTAAGCAGTGATCTGTAGTAGTAAGAGGGTTGAGGGATGTGGAAGTGTAGTGTGCTTTGGGTACTTAAGAATATCAGTGTCGACGTCTCTCATTCTACGGAGAACATGTCCAAGTATTGGGGATTTTTGTAGTTAGGTACCTCAGGCTGTGAAGCTCCTTGGGCTTGTGGTTGTGTATCTTGACTAATAGCGTTAGTCGTTAGACCGGTGTTATTTGTGAGGGTAGTGTGATGCGTCAGAGAGATTTCGAAGGTGGTACTGCGGCTCTTTACTATTACTTTTGCCCTCCTTCGGGAGTTTATGACCTTGTTGACATAGAAGACGCCTGGTGGGGGTCGTGTCGATCTCATTTCCTACTCCATATCCCGTATTCATCAGGGACTTGCATCATGCATTATCACTCGAGATCGACTGTGCATGTAGTGGGACATCGTATTACCAGATGTACGTAGAACGGTGGGAAATCAGCGTTCATCTTTGCTAGAAGAACAATCAGGCTTAGTACATGTAGCAAGCCTAGCGCTTGGGAATGAGTGAGGTATAATACACATACAGAGAATTGGGATTACGTTCTCACCCGTTGCCTGCCTGCTATAACTGGCTGGGGTGTGGTGGATTCTATGCAAACGATGTTTCGAGAACATCCTTGCTCTGGGGACAACGGTGTAGGCTGTAAAGCAGACAAAGTTGCCATATCGGATGGTAGAGAGAATCTGTCATTAGGATGGTGGAGAGAAGCATCTGGGGTATAGGAGACCAGCTAGAACCGATGTGTTGATAGATGACACCGAGAGAAAGTGTACAAGATGACACTGAGAGATGGATGAGAGCTCTTCAAGGATAGAACTTCAGCACAGCGAGGCAGGTAGCAGGTCGAGAGAACAAGTCTGTGAAAGTGTGGGGTCCACATCTACCTGATACAGATAAGATAAGATAAGATAACCGCATCCAGCCGGGGTATGCTACTTTGTCAGAAATCGACACTCTAGGGCTATGTCCGGAGATAGCTGGCCGGCTGGCTCGAGTGGTTGCTGGTCGATGTGTACGTAGGGGTGAAGCAACGTGTTTGGCACGATTAGGAAACATATGGCGCATAGAATGCATAAATAGCCAGATAAGCCAATCGCGGTTTACTTCTCAGCCTTAGTAGCTGGAAACCTTCTCCCCGGACGAGCGCTCTGAGGGTCTTGTCTTCTTGAAGAGCTCGAAATGAAACATTTTGTTTTGAGGTATGCTTTTATATGCTGGTTTCGAAGGTGTGAGGGAAAGAATGGTGAGTAAAGTCTAGCTCTCCACCGCCCAGCTTACAGCATATACATATAACGAAAAGGACAAGATCTAAAAATCAATTAACAGGATCTCAAGAAAGCATCGAATGACCTTGATAGAATAGTGACTCACCACGGCAGCCTCGATCTTCGCAAGCTGCTCTAAGACTGACGAGAAATGCTAACAAATGGGTACCCCCATTCCACGAGGCGAACAAAGGCTAAATATAGCGGTTGGTGTAGCTCATGATGCGTCTCGAATAATCTAGTGCGCGCAAAGGAAGGTCTAGCGTCGGTACGCGTTGCAACAGTACGCCTCATCATGACATGCGGTCAGGGTGCAGGTGGAGACGTGGCTACCAGTAACCCCCGGGCCGTCTCCCGCGGCGGTCGTTCTCAGGTCACTCTCGACGCAAGTCAACCATATTTCGATCAGACCTTTCTCAACCTGTAACCTCTTCTCACCTTCTTACTTCTTCACCTTAAAATATCGTCACCACAATACCTTGTATCTGTCTGACAGTATACGTGTCAAATCACCAATATAAAGTCTAAAACGAGCAGAGTAGCCATATTCTGGTTGTCTTTCCGAGAAAGGTTGGTGACACCTGCACGCTCAAATTTTGTGATGACTGCACGCTAATACCTTCCGCTGTGGAAGAGATCGATAACAACATCCGATTGCTGCAATCACAGGCGACATATACATTGGCCATAAGAAAGTGTGAAAGGGATATAGCCCTGGTAGGCCCCTGAACTCTGACAAATGATCACACGACGATCTGACAAGTGCCGTGCACACCAGTCCAAATATCTATATAATCTTACCCACACCTACCGCACCACCCCCTGAGATACATTCTTCACCCACCTCCTTACACACAATTTATCTCAGCGCTGGTCGAAGACTGTCTCCAGCTTGCGGAACAACAGCACAACATCTCTCATCTCTACATCAAATACCCACCACAATGGTAACAACGTCTACCGCACCCCCCACTCCCGCGGCGCCCAAAGTGGGTGCTCCCGAGGAACCAGTTGTCGAGGCAGCTCCCATCGCGGGCGGACCCGAGTTGACTACCCGTGAAAATGAATCCCCGGAGCAACCAGCTCCCCCCATCGTCGACCCCGCCGAACCCGAGCTAAACCTACGCGACCACCTCCCCCCCGACGCCCACTTCCACGACGAGAACCGTGAGCTGTGGTCCACAGCCCTCGACAAGATGCTCCTCTCCCGCACTCCCCAACTAACCTTCACACACCTCTCGCACCTCTTCCGCCGGAGCCCGCTCAACCCCCGCATCCCAATCTTCTACCAAGCCGTCGCGCACAGCGTCTCCAGACGCCACGTCTTCCTCATCAAGCTGATGCAGTCGACCACCAAGGAGCTCGAGACAACGCTCATGCGCGTCGCCGAGTCGCTGTTCTATGTCGTACGCCGGAACACCAAGCGCGCCGAAGACGACGACGCAATCGCGGCGCTCGTGCGCGACGGGGACCGCGCCGTCGAGGTTGTGGCGGAGCTCATGGCGCTGTTTAATGAGCAGATGGCTACGGGGGAGGTGGTCTTACGGGGGTGGAACAGGACGTGTGTGGTTGTGTTGTGGCGGTTTCTAGAGACTGGTATCTTCAACTACTTTAGGGAGAAGGAGAGGATGCTGGAGAGGCGGTATGGTGTCATCAAGTTTCGCAAGGAGCTGGCGACGCTGTGCGCGCTTGTGGGGTGGACGTTGCATAGAATGGGAAGCTACTGGATGGCGGATACTGCTTGAGCGTTAGTGCAGGTCTTCTGTATAGGTACCTTTTAGTTTTAGTCTCCAGTTTGTAGTTTTTAGTGTCTCCTCTATCTCCACTCATGGAATCCGTTTCACTTTGCTAGGCCCTGTTGGCCGTCCTCCCGGTGGTGGTCGGGGTCATTTCTTTGTTTTCATGGCTTCTTTATACCTGTATCATCATCCATCTTCCTTCTTCTATAGCAGAATTTGAATCGCTTCAAACCAAAAGCCTGGAGAAGTATTGACTCCGCAATCCTTTGTGTCATGACTTATCACTCGAATCACCCCCGGAAAGGATTAAATTCCTACTTTTCATATGCGTAGTCATAACCTATCACTCGGTAGGGCTAGGGTTGGGAAATGATCGCGGGGGGGCGGTACGTGCGCCCCCACCCTCAGCACTAGTACGAACGATTGTTTCCGTTATGTTGGTTGAACTGTAAAGATTGGTGTGTAGATCTCATGGGCTTTTTATGAGCCGAGAGTTGTGGTCGTGGATTGTTCGTAAAATCCCTTGTGTTCTTTATGAAAGCTCGGAGGGACTAGTTTATCGTCTCAAATCATATTGAAATTGCGTCTAAATGGCCGATTACCTAGGAATTCGTTGTTCCTAGGAGTCTATATATATAAAATAAAATAAAATGAAATAAAAATAAATAGTAGAAAGAAAAGAAACCAGTTCTATAAATAACCCCCCCCCCAAAAAAAAAAAAAAAAAAAATAAACAAAAAAAGTAAAGAAAGTAAAGAAAAAAAAGAACGTAGTTTTATCATCCCAGATGACCGAATCCATCATCTCAAATGACACTAAAATCCTTTCTCCCAAACCCCGCATTACCGACAAACGCCTTATCCTACCCTAGGCCTATAGACACAAACAAAGAAACAGAAAGAAACCAGTTCTATAAACAACCTCTCTCTCAAAAAAAAAGCTATAAACAGAAAACGGCGCCACCTGTGACCGGCCAGCCACCCATCTAGAAAACCCCCAGATTGGCAATGCCCCACCACTTCTCCGCATTGAAGCTCCCCGGGTTATCCTTCTTCCACGTGTCATCAAACGGCCCCAAGAAAATGCCGCTCGCGCCCGTCACCTTGACAATCTCCTTCAGCGCCGTCTCCTGCTGCTGCCTCCCAGCGACAGCCTTGCCGTGCGTATCCCCCTTCCACGGCCAGCCCGTCTCCGCGACCACGATAGTCTTCCCGGGACAGGCCTTCTCGACGCGCGCAATCTGGTTCTTCATGAACTGTCCCGCGGTGCCGGCCTCCGTGTTGGGGTCGAACCAGGGGTGGATATTGACGCTCGCAAAGTCCGACGCCTGGCAGACGCCCGGGTTCTTGATGATTGCGTCGAACGTGTCTGTCGACACGACCTTGGTGTTGATTTTCGCATCCGTGAGTTGTTTTCTGGCGGCGGAGAGCTTTGCAACGAGGTCGCCCGGCGAGATGGCGCCGTTGTGGATGTGCTCGTTGCCGATGGAGATGGAGTGCACGCTGCCCCAGTCCCCGCCGACGTCGGCGATCAGTTTCGTTAGTTCCTTGTGCACGTCGCCGAGCTCGTAGATGCCGAGCATGACCTTCATGCCGATGGGCTTGGCGGCGTTGATGATGTTCTTGACTTGGTCGCAGGAGGTGCCGTAGGAGCGGATGAGCGGGAAGCCTTTGAGTTTGTTGAGGTCGGCGGTGACTTCGGCTGGTTTTTTGCAGCCGCCGTCCGCGTGGTAGGGGGAGTAGGCGAGGCCGGGTTTTGTGCCGCGGGGGTGCAGCGGGGAGGCTAGAGTGAGGGTGAAGGGGAGGAGGAGGAGAATTTGAAAGAGTTGCATGTTGGGTGGTATATTTTTGATAGTGGTTATAACAGTAAAGACAGTGTTGCGTAACGTGGTACAGACGGTAGAGACTGAAACAGTTGAGTACGTCTAGTAGAGGTATAAAGAGAAACAGATGTCAAATCTGTCTTGTGTTGTTTGTTTATAACGAGTGTATCGAGTGAACCTGTGCGAACCATACTATTAGTTTCTCGTGACTTCGCAATTCCACAATACACGTTGCAATAAACTTCATCCCAACAATTGATCCCCCTGCCAAAAACGAAATAGGAAATAGAAATTACTAACCTTCATGAAAAAACCAAAATCAAAAAGAAGATAAAAGAGCGTAAACGCGCAGCGCCGTAGAATTCCCAGTCCCAAAGTTGCACTTGCACTTCATCTCCCAATCCAGCGGGCGTCCTGACTGTGGTTCATATATGTACCACCTGTCTCAGATCACCGGGATCCGAGCCGAGCACGAGATCTCCCAACCCGCAACCCCCTCCTCCGGTACAGAGCGTAATAATACATTGCGCCATCCAACGTGGTTTTCGTACATTAGCGAAACGTGACGCATATCCGGTGTCGCGGAAGCTGGGCTCCATAGATTCCTCTTCATCTTCAGCTTGAGTGAATTCATCTTATATATCTGCGGCCGGAGTGAGGTCATATGCCTTATCGGCCATTGTCGTTCGGTAGCCGAGGTCTAAACCTTAACCTCGCCTCTGCGGAAAAACTCTTATCCCAGTCGAATAAGGGTTTTATTGTATATACGCGACGCCAGGTCAATCCGCTGAAACGTTCACTTTCATGCCGGTGAGGCCTGTCTCACCGGAACCCTTGCACTCGCCTTGGTACGGGTATCGTGGTTTCTTTACCGAGAAACATAGTTGAAGCGACACGAGCCACGTTAGGACGTAAGGCTCGTGTTGAGATAAGATTCTGGAATGTTGTGTTGATGGTGTCCTGCTCTTCTGTTATCTTTGATCATTGACATGTAGTCATTCTCGGCTAGAGAACCCTGATCCGAGTCTTGGCACACAGGCCGAGTGAGATCTGATGTACCGCATCCTTGATTGATTCATAATTATATAATCTATTATTATGTGCATGATAATATCCCTGACTCGTTATTGTCGAAATGTACATGTATAGACCTATAAGTGAGAAGGGACCGCAAAAGGAAATCGATACTATAACATTTCCTAGTATCACGTCAATAACCATCTGGTCAGCGAACACTCTTGAACACAACGACACATCCCCGCGACAGCTGACCTTAATTATGCTTCAGGCTTAGAGCTCACATAGAATCATACACCGACCGGATTGGTTGATATATGTAAACATCAGCCCCCGAGCCTCCATCGACCTATATCTCAGCTCGTATTATCAACATAACATCCAACTTCAAACTCCCTCCATCCAAAGAGCAATACTTCCAGAAACGATGAGTAACCAACACGCCCCCATTTCCAAGCCTCGGAAGCAGCGCTCAGTACACTTCGATACGAGCTCAAAGACTTACGATGGTAACCCGAAGGGTGGATATGGAGCGCCGAAAGAAACGGTAGAAGGCCTGAGAAACGCCGAGAAGGAACGTGAGACAATGCGCAAGACGCATAAATCTGGGCGAAGCCACCCTCGCTAATATTCTCCGAGATTATCTATGTATATACTCAGCGCACGCAAGGTATTTAAGGGGCACCAGAGATGGACCAGGTACTACTAAGGAAGGAACTGTGAAGTCTTCTTGTGCTGCGTAGAAGAATATTCGCTTTTGTGTCCCGGAGGAGACGGGTTCCGTTCTTTTTTGTTACTTTTTTGCTTGAGATGAGTTCGTCATAGCAACATGTAGAGTCTTACTATTTATGCTGAATAAATAACATTATAAAAATGCCGAATAAGTTCTAAGCATTTTCCTCGCGTGTTAGCGGCTCGTACTTGTGAGATGGGGGTCGGGTGCCATGGGGGATGATGAGCGTCACCCAGGTACGCATGACATAATCGCTATAAACAGCAACAATAAGCCACAAATAATGGGATAAAATCGGTAACCAGTACTTGGCCAGGTGAACATCCCCATGTTGAATGGAGCGTACCCCTGGATCCGAGCCCTGGGGATTACTAAATCCCGTAGAATTGAAGTCCTTAACTGCTAGATGCTTATAACACCCAGGCAGTAGCTTTAACAGTGGTAGTGATAGATTATCGTCAGTTCGTCTCCAAACTACTTCAGAAGCCTTCATAATCAGCAATCTGCAATGTCTACTACCGGTCATCAAACCCTACTTGCTGCCAAACCGGAGTCGGAACGCACAATCAAGTTCGATGCCAACGCTAAAACTAAGGAAGGTACAACGCTGGGCTATTTCGTTCCATACGGAGATACTTCAGCGCATTCAAAAGCTATCGTTGAGCGCGCTTTGAAGCAAAGAAGCGAGGCGAAAGAGGGAGGTGTTGTATGTGAGCCCAGGGATGAGTATGCGGATGATTCGGATGACACGAATGATTCCGCGGATGATATAGAGACTGAAGACAGCTCTGAAGATGATTCTGGAGATGATGCGGAAGATGATTCTGGGCCGATGAATGGGGATGCGGCGGAATCAAAGCCGGCGTGGCAGATGAGAAATGATTCTGAGAACTTCTGGGAGTTAAGTGATCTCGTGCGGCGGAATGAAAATTATTTGACGAGGCAAAAGAAATAGTCAAAGACTGTGGTGTTTAGTTTGGGCCCTCTGTTTCCTGTTCTTTTGTTCTGCTTGGTTCAGATGTATTACTGTATCTAGATAATATATTTCATCGAGTTAATCTTCAGTCGCGTTGGCTTGCTACCGCAAGCTGTTATGAATGCCCAGCTCTATTAGTATGAGCATGATACCGTCTGAAAAAACTGTGAGAGGAGTCTTGAGGTGGAGAAAGCATCGGACGATCTATGACTTATCTAGAATGGATGAAAGCCAGGATCATGAATTAAAAGGCAGAACATAATAGACAGATATGGTAGACCCACGTAAGTGAGATCAGCTTTATGTAAGTTATAAAGAGAGTTAAGGTAGCGCTAGTAGATGACAGCAGCTAGGGAGTACACGTAGTACGGCACAACATTTGTTCAGTGCCACACTCATAATCCACCCTCGAACACCACGCACTCCCGAACTTATAGCTATCTCATTCTTTCCTTTCTTCTTAGCCACATGCGCTTGTTGAATCTAATTTCCACCCGTCCCGTTCATCATACGCCAACTCCGCTATATGAGCCTATACCTTATGACTGCGCCCTACGAACCAATTACGATTACCCCCGGTTGAGCTTTCATCCCGGGAGAGGCATACGTATACTTCCCCCCGCCTCAGTATGCCCACTGACTGTTGTTTGGCGCAAGTTTTAAATCTCAGGATCATATTATCACTCACCAATTTAGATAATCTAGTACCTGTCATCGCCTCCTCCCCTTTATGCCTCGAAACACAACCCCGAACACCGAAGATTTTCCGGAGGTTGGACGTCAAGTGGAACGTGACAAACACAAATGACGACCATGAGGGTCGCGCTAAGAGAATCATACAAGCTCTTTTTTGAACAAGTACTTTTGTTCTTTACTAGGCCGAACTTGGTTTGGATCATCATGAATGTCCGCTAATCTAGGGCCGGGAGAGAGTCACCAAACCCCTTCAATTCTCTTCAACCATTCGACCACTTCGTGGGCATTAAGCCTCCCTGGCTAGATTCCTTCATGTTTTTCCCCGTCGGTTTGTCTAACCCATAGACCTATAGCTGTTTATTACTGTGTTCTTTGGTTCCCGCGTATTTCTTTATGCCGTCTAGATGAATATTGTTCCTAACCCCAGCAATGCGCTCCCAAAGTAAGATGCCTTCCCGCAGTGTTTCAAAACTTTGAAAGTTTTTTCGTTTTGACCTGCGCTAACCAATTGAATAGGAGAGTCGACAAACAACCGAAGTTCCTGTATCAAGTACAACATATTCTAGACAGTTCCCTTAGAACAGATGTGTCGCAACAGAATAGACAGTCAAAAAACAATAGAATTGGGCCAGAAATGTATCGTCTGGAGGCAATGTTAGCTCTGCGGAAGCAGACTAGAATTCAACGTTTTAATCATGACAATTTTAATGTAAACTGTAGGAAACAGAGGCATTAATCCCTAGCCTATGCGTATCGGTCGTACTCTCATATGGTACTTACGCTTAAGTAGAAACCTAATGATGGGACGCTTCATCATTTTCAATCATGAGGTGCTTGCTCATTGAATGTCTACGGGTGTACCTCACGCAATTATCAAAGCCAGCGTTCAACCGCAAAGGTCTTTTGACCTCCACCCGACTTATCTCCCTTAATCATATCGTATACGTTCTTCACCCCACGCATACAATACATTTCATACGATGTCAGACTCCGATTCAACGATCACGCAATCGCCTAGACGCCTCCGATGGGACCCGCGTTCAATTTCACACGTCATACTCGAACTAACCAACACAGTTACGGCTCTCGAAGCGACCTACCCAGAGGCGGTACACGATCACGACTCACAGACCCTACGCTGGTCTGAAGACATGGCCTGCTGGGACTATAAAGTTGGCCAACTGGGAAAGAAGGTTAAAAAGGCGGCGAAATGCTACCGGAAGTTGTCTAATGAGAACAGGCTATCCAGGAATGACCCAGCGCTACGTTCGGAGTTGGCGGAGGCTTGGGCAATGCTGGTAATTCTGTTCAGCAATAGAGCAAACCTCTATAATATGGTGTGCAAAAGAGCAGTGAGGAGACCGACGGACGACGATTTGAGAGTGTTGAGCACCCTTGATTTCGTGCCGAAGCGGCAGAATTTCAACATCGTGGACTATGAGGCTATCCTGGCAGCAATAAGGATGGTTTGATGGGTTTCTTGGTGTAATGTCCGAGTAATCAGTTACCTGCTTGAGTTTCTTATCATATTACAAGCACTAGTGGCATAGTTTGGTCGAGGATGTGTAGAGCTCAATTCGATAATTTTTTTCCTTTATAGCATTATCTTTTCTTGCTTATTTACGGCCCGTTCAAACAAGCATGGTGATGCAATTTCAAGTTCTTTCATATTCCGTTTTTCGTAATGAATTTATACATAACCCTAAGAATCAAATCCTAATTCATTCTGAACACATATCATACGTGCTCAGGACCTCGTACATGCCTGAGAACCAAGCGATATTACATTACCTTACTGGCGGATAGATGTTGGCCTACCACTCAGAGGTATCGATGTGCAAGAAAGCTGATTTACTATGAACGGAATAGCCGTCGTTGATCAGCTGAAAACGCTATATGGAAGCTTACCAGAAAGGGAAATACATTGATTTGCTTTTCTTCAATACTTCCACTGTGCCAATCGAGAGGGCGCTCCAGTGTTTCCAGTGGTTCCAACCGGTTCTGATTTGGTGCAAAATTGAACTAAAATGAATCTATAACACGAACTCTACCTCAAACGTGCTCAGGGTTAGGGTATTATCCACCCTAAGGTGTTCGTTGGTGGGGGCTTACCCCCATCCTAAACCGGACCGACCAAATAATGAGAAGACAAAAATCCAACTGAACTGTTGTACTAAGCGGTTCTGAACTGACAAGTTGATGAACTGTTGGAAATACTTGGGCGCTCGCAGGTGAATAGGATAAGGGCCAATGGTTGGTGTAGAGCCTGGCAATGCTCTATACTGTACCGAGCGGTATTCGCAGGTAGTAGAGTCGAACTCTAGCTAGGGCTATGGGGGGTGTTTGGTTATGTAAGTCTCAGGAGCTATTTCCAGCTTTGATTATGAAACCTAATCCTCAATGCGTGCTTGTTTAAAAACTACTTCTCCAGCGGGCACTTTAGATCACCGTTATGAAGAGGCCACCTCGTATTTACTTAAAATATCACCCACTCTAACCCGCTCGAGAAACCATGACACACAACAACTGCCCTTCAAATAGGAGCAAAGAGAGAGGCCTTCGCTCAGAAAAATATGGTCATGAGGTACTAGCTTATGGGTACCTGCATAGGACTTGACTGGTTTTTCCCTATGAGCTGCCGCTTAGGCATACAGGTTTTTGCTGTCCGTGAGGACGGGCGTTCGGATCGCCGATTAGTCATCATGGATTCTCACTCGAGTTTGTTCTTTTCGTTCTTGTATGCTGCAGCGTGTACTGAGGATAAGAACCTTATCTCCCCATCCTTTCAATCTATCTTCTTACCGGTACCCAGCCGACAAATACCCACGCATCGGCGCACTATACAAAAACATCTTATAATAGCACACCCGTACAAACTTCGCCTATCGAGAAACCTTATTCTCAGATAAACTGCTTGACTCAGGAGGTTTCCTGGATGAGCTGTATTTTTCTCTATAATCAATTGAGGAAGTTCCCGATGCAAGCGAGTTAATAAGAGAAATGTCACAGGTGAATCAACATGGTGCTGTCGCCGGGACGTTGTGGCTGTTTCTTGTATTCGCTAGAGTCTAGACTGGACCGGGCATAATTACGATCGATCAAGCTGATGTAGACTAAGCAAAGACAAGCATGTATTGATGAGAGGATGAGAGTCTAAGAGTGGGAGAGACGGAAACGAATCTAAGTGTTTGTCTATGCTACGTTTCCTCTTCCACCTCTGTTGAGTTGACCACCTAATCCCTAATTTCGTCGTCTCGCTTCTCTATCACTATTATGTGGCTTGACTAGCGCCACGCGCCACAACGTCTACGTTGTCTCCCCAAACGTGAGCCCACACGACCGGTATGAAGACCCACCAAAACCACTGTTTGGCCTACTAACACAGCCACGTTTGTGTACGCTTTAAAATAGCGATCTGTGCGTCCCACCAACGAACGCTCGTTTGCTTCTTTGATCTTCCTACTGGAGAGATTTACAGTGAGCGGCCGCGGAGAGGCACTAGTGTATGGATCGGAACCGACAAACATTCTTAAATTCTACGAGGTCTTTAACCCTCCATTTAATTCCCCCTCAGCCCAATGAGGTTAACGAGTCTTGATAGTATCCACTTCTTAGCTCTAAAAACGATTTAAAAGACACCCAATCCACCTGACCCGATTTCTACAAACACCCAAAACCACATTCTACAATTCTCCACACCACGTTCAAAATCACCTCTCAAACCACATAATGTTTGAAAACAGCGATTCAGAACGCACCGCCACTCAACACCCCGTGCCATTCCTCTGGACTAAAGAGATCATCGACACCATGATCCAAGACACCAAGAACATCCGGCACGAGATGTGCCACAACCTCAACAAAAGTGTCTTAACAAGGGACAACGACTCATCCGTCCTCTACTGGGGCCCTGATCTCGAGTGCTATAACATGTGCCTCAGCGAGCAAATGATCAAGATTGATCGCGCAATCAAGAGGTACAAACAGCTCCTGGATAACAAGGAGGCAACTCACGAGACTGTTGATGATAAGAACAGGCTTGTTAGGGTGTGGAAAGAGCTGGTAAGGTCCTTTACGTCGAGGGCGGAGCTGTTTGATAATATTCAGAAGAGAGCGCGGAGGAGACCTAGGGCGACGGATCGAGTGGTAACGGATGCGATGGGGGGACCGGATTCGTTGGAGCCGAAGTACTTTGAGACGCAGGAGTTTACAGACTTTGCGGACGAGATTGGAAATATCAGGATACCGAGGTATTTAAGATAGTGGCTAGGGAGGATCTTTCGTATATTCAGATTGTATTAGTTATGTTTAGTTGGAAATTTTATTAAGGAATAATCTAGTGATCGAATACAAATATTTTTATACCCTTAATTTACCCATATCTCAGCTGAGATATAGATCTTTCATTCGGGTGATTACGGGTTTCGGGTTTAGGATTCGGACCTTGGCTGCTGGTAGTAATGGGCTCAGAGAATCTGGTTTAGGTAGTGTTTCATAGAAAAAGGCCAAAATATACAGAAAACACTGAAAGCTACGCATAGAACTCTGTTTCTCTTGATCTTTGGATTAAAAGCAAGGACCTTTACCATGATTGGACTACATACCGACCATTTTGTGCCGCATAAATGCCCCTTAGTTCTCGTAGATCAATCGTTATAACACCATATTCCTCGTACATTCGTGAACTGGCCAATTATTATATTTTTACAATTTCAAACCCAAGCCATGTACGAAAACAGCGACTCAGCAAGAACAGCAACCACACACCCCGTGGACTACCTCTGGGCCACCGAGTTCATCGACACCCTCGTCTCAGAAATGAGAGCTTACACAAGGGAAATAAAAGCCAATCTACCCACAAAAGGCCTGAATGAAGAGGACTCTGCCGTCCTCTGGTGGGCCCCCGAGCTGGAGGTGTACAACCAGATCCTCATTGACTACCAGATCAAGTGTGACCGTGCCGTCACGAAGTTCAGGAGGCTTCTTGAGGAGGGAGAAGCAAATATTGATGACGTGAATTCGAAGAATAAACTGGTCTTGGGTTGGATTAAGTTGACGCAGGTGTTTGTGGAGAGGGTTAATGTTTTTGATAAGGTGAGAGTGAGAGCTATGGAGAAGCCGAGAGAGGGGGATAAGAAGGCGGTGGAGTCTCTGGGTGGTAAGAATTCGCTGAGGCCGAGGGAGTTTGAGTGTGAGGGGTTTCTGGAGTTTATTTCGATAATGAACAATATTGAGCTCCCGGATTATTTGCATGTCATGACATAAAGAGTTTGATATTATAGTATTAATACTGTACAAATGATTCTTTCGACCTACATCCTTAAAGAGTTGATATATGAGTTTTAGGTTACCTTCTAATGGCCGGACCATAAAGCTCTTTCTGTCGATTTTAGAGGTTAGCTTTGTTACTTAAACTCGTATATATATCTGTTCTTATTTTAGTTTCTTTCCTTTTACCATCGAGGACTAGGGTGTGTGCATATTACTTAACCAATTTCATTCTCGCATTGTATGTAGAAAGAATACACTGATTGTTGCTTCTGAACTCCCGAGCTTAGACAGGAACCACTATGGCCAGCTAGAGGACATTTGTTATACTCCCCTATTATACAAGGCGCATCTTTACCAAGTACCCACTCTATCGACGCGATAAACTCACTTATGGCCCGTTCTGATGCAATAGGTGTGGTTGGTGATTTCGGATACCTGGATTACCCAAGTTGAAGTCTTTCGCAATATCGTTCACGCATGGCCTGTCTCAAAGATGATATCTTTTGGGCATTCTGAAAGTATCATCTGAGGCGAGTAATATGGCCGAAATCAGAGGTGAACATCATCCTGAGCCTTAGGCACCTGTGTTATAAACGTAAACTTAAATTCAAGTATCTATAACATGCATTAAATCCACACTAACCTCATGAATTCCCGTACAAGAAACAGAAAGAAAGTCAACCACGGTCGTCAACCGAAAACACCAGAAAAACCCATCACAAAACGCCAGACAGAGGAACAACAACCCATCAACACCACCAAAAGACCTCAGGCCTACCACCCTCCTCCGTCACACTCATGCATACCAGCATGCACAAGCTCACTTCCAACAAAAACAACAAAAGCAAACGACGAAAAAACGCCAAGTCCGCAAGTGCACGCCGAAATCCATCACTGCTGCTGATCTTGGTTCTGATTCTTTTCCGCTTCGCAGTCGGTGCAGAGGCTGTTCTGCGTGAGGTACTGCACGACGTTTGGGATGCCAAAGCAGCGGTTCGAGACGTCGTTGAGTGCTTGGTAGCAGCGGGTGACAAGGTAGAGGTGGTAGTGGCCGCAGTGCCAGAAGCTGACGTGCTTACAGTCGCACATTTTGAAAGCTCAGAGGGGCAGGAGAAAGACTTGGAGTCTATGGGGCAGAAGGTAGGAGCAGTGGCAGATGTTTAGGGCTTTGGGCCAGGAGGAGGGTGACCAGAGGAGCGTAAGGCAAAGCGCAGTGGGCAGTGGGTGAGTATGTGCTCGAAAACTGATTTGGAAGATGTGAGTGGAGAAGATACCTCGTGGTAGGAGGAGCTACTTATACAGGTGCTGATGCTGGCCATCCTATGTGGTACTAAAATCTGCCATATGCAGTGCATTCTGAACCAATCAAAAGAGTTATACGACTATTCGTCGCACAGATGGATCAATCCTCGCCCGGTGTAACAATTTCACGGTTACATCTTACTCTGGATCAACTGCGAAGGTGAACAGCTGAGCCTGTACAATTTATGAATTCGGTCACGCCTGGTTATCAATGAATGCTTTTTTTTTGTTTCTCAGTTTGATATTTGGTATACATGTACTGACATCTCGGTCATTGATACTGGACACTCGATAAACAGTACAGAGCTTGATCACCTGGGTAAATGATATGAGAGCTTGAGCTCATCCAAGCTTAAGATTTTGCTACATTCTCCCGCTTAGGTTGTCATAAAGCTCTAAAAGACTTTGGGTTATCGATATATAGATGTGGTGTTCTCAACATTATTTATCAATGGCCCTTAAAGCCTCACGTTCAGCATTGGTCTATAACCTGTGAGCCTGTTTTTTTGCTTGCAATTTATCTTAATTGATTCCGTACGGTAAATGTCCGCTCATTAAATTACTTGTGTGGTTAACTAACAATGCTTCAGAAACTCAGAAATAAACAACCTACACCTCAGAATCCCCCACCGTAAAGCCCGCGCCAGGATGATTTCCTTGACTCCACCCATCTACCGTCTAGTTGGCCTTCTCTCCTCCACCACCAACGTGTTTATCGGCATATCAATCATCTGCCTCCTATTCCGCAGCGTCCTCGGAACTGGATTCAACCCCCACCTCAAATCCCTACTCGAGGACTCCAACTGTTGATATAGGTCACTTCTCATCTGGTTCACATGCGTCAGGATCCCTGCCGCACAATCCAGCAACGCCTTGATGCCCTCATTCTCCTTCTCTCTCGCAGACGAGTATACAACCAGGTCCGCAACGTCCTTCGCTAGCTTATCATACTTGCTCCCCACGTGGAGCTCGAAGTCGGGTTGCAGGAGGGTGGCGGAGAGACTGCCATGGGCGAGCCTCAGGTTGTATTCGTCGGTACGGGCACCGAGGCGAAGGAGACGGTCAGCGATGGCGTCGAGTTTGAGCTCGCGGCGGCGCGGGATGTCAATGCGGCCGCCGTACCGGCTGAATTTCGCATGGGCGTGGTCGGTGTAGGCTTTGTAGTTCTCCCAGTTGGTAGGTTCGTCAGCCATCTTGATGTTTGTTATTAGATTTGATCTTAGGGAGGTTAATTGTGTACTGCTGATATTTAGGATGTGAATTTGCAGTTTGGTGGAGGTGAAAAGGACTGGGGGGACCCTCATTTATAAGCGGGGGAGGGTATGAAATCTACGATACTATTGACTTTTGAGGAGCAGTGCTGTATCTTGATTCGGTCGCAAGGCCAGTAACATTTCACCTCTTGGGTGGTACAGATGGTATCTGGCTCAATCATTTCCGCCCACCTTCAGCCGTTGCAACATAGAAACGCAGCATGGCTGAAAGGTTCATTTTCTACGATACTGGCAAGAGTACGAATCAAGTCTGAGTTATCAGGAGACTGTGAAGTTCAATTGACTGCGGTTTATATAACGTATATATCGATAGATTAACAAAGTGGCAATCTGTCAACCACACAGAACGTCAATAAAAAACCAGATTCCAGTCCCAGAGCTAATAGCGTATGCGATTATGTGTGGACTTGAAAGGAATTCGAGAAGGAAGCAGCAGAGTCTTTATTAGTGGGTTGATTTATACCACACGTCACCAAGCACAATGTGTGAGCATATCAAAAGGAGGCTGATATTGAATTGACCATACTTCGAGGTACTCTGAAACAGTAACAAACCAACTAGACTACATCTCCCGCTACATTAACGCTTTGGTAGAAACTTTGCTTTCGCCTCATACCCCCATGCCTGATTAGGACTGCGCGTCAAGGCCGCCCCCAACGCACTTTCATACCCCTGTGCTCTCGCCTTCAAGCACTCAAAACACTCTTTCACCGCCCCCGCGGCATTCAAAGCCGCATCTGAGCACCCGGCGACCATGTTCACCACTTTTGTTACCTTTATGCCAATAGCGAGCAGCTTGTTCACCGCACCGGGGCCGAAGGAGCTCATTAAGGTTGACGGGGAGCAGTTACCGTAGGAAAGCCGCAGACTGTGCTGGTCGAGCTCGGTGGCAAGCATTTCAAGTTCTGTGCATACAGCGCTGAGCTTGCTGATGATGTGGAGGCCGACGGAGCGGTGAGTGTTGAGGTAGGTGCGGCAGGAGTGGACGTAGGAAGTGAGCGTGGCCGGAGTGGTGGTGAGGTAGACCATTGTGGGTTTGGTTTGATGTTGGTGGGTGTTTGAGTGTTGTGGTGAGGTTTTGTGTATTTTGGGCTATTGCGGGTTTTGTTGGAATTGGGATAGATATGAGTAACGAGAGAGTGTAGTGCCGTGCTTTATAAACGTTTATCCCGAGGCGAGCAAAATATCTGACTCCAGAAGCTTGAATAGAAGGATTCTCGTACCACGATGTGTCCCGGAAAGAATGCGCCTTCGAATACAAACTATCACGAGACAAATGAAACTCGAAATTATTCTATCCACTTTTTATCTCATACTTCGGAGACCGTAGTAAGGCCTGGAAGACCTGGTCAATGATGTCCGCATCACGATTAAAATAGGTTGCACGTGGACAGTAACCTAATGATCTAGATCAACGCCAACAACCACAAAACGAGCCGCTCAAAACCCACAATCGAGTTACACCCTTCACCGAGACTCTCATCTATCGTACCAAAATTGCTGATTCAGTGCTAGGATCCACCGCGACCCCGCCTCAATACAGTATTAAAATACTTCACCTAATCCCCGACGAGAACACGTTGTATAACACCTGAAAATTGAATGGAAGAGCGGCCGCGGCGGAAGTCCCTTCGGGAACATCCATATTGAAAACTACGTAATGAGTATCTTTTCATAAGCACAACAAAAATCCTCATTATCCACTAGGGACTACACCATTTCTACTATTACTCCTTGTACATCAACCATCTACTATCATACCATACATCCCTCAACATATCACCAACGCGCCACTATAAGCACATCATGGCTCAACAATCCCCCGAATCGCAAAAAGATGCATCCAGGCTGTACAACAGATACTATGCAACCCTTCCCGATTTCGAAGGAGCTGAGCACTCCCGGATTTGGCCTTGACGTTAGCGGCCAAACGGCAGAGGGAGGTCATGGTTATGGTTTGTTCTTGGGGGTGCTTTTGAAATCAATGGAATAATGTTTTGGAGAATAAGCTGCACAAGAGGGGGAGAAAGGTGCTCGTCGCTTTTTCTTTGTCGAGTGTCTTTGATTGTATCAACTCAACACTTTCTACTACATATAGTTGTATATAGTGGTGGATATGAGATGGAAAGTTTCAAGATATGCGGTAATATGACACATAGCTAGATTGAGAGAAGATAAAATAACGGAAAATAGAAATGTCCAGTTTTTTTTTTTCTTCGAAATGTGCGAGTGATAATCTGTGACCTAGATATTAGCAGCATCAAAACCTTAAATGCGTAAGTCCGCATAAAATACCAACTATCCCTAATCGATCACCCCGCGGGGGTTGGGGGTGCCTGTCTAACCTTCATTATTAGGGGGGCCCGCATATTGGAGACAATTAATTCCCCATCTTTTACTACACAGACCTTAATAAGGTACGCTCTAAATGTAGAGACTTCGCACAATAAACTGCTCAAGTACTGGGAATTCCGAGACCTGCTCCTGTGACTTACCAAGTATAGTCTGGCCTCTTAATGTATCCATTGCTATTCTTATATCACGAGTTATCAACTCAACTTATTTAAAGTCCATGTCGTTTTAGAGGCCCGAGTGATATACCATGATGCATATCCGTGACAATGTCACTATCATCAGGTATAAGATTTAGCTATTTGGTGCGCCGCACAGCCAGACAACCCCATCACGCTACTGTATCCCTCTAGGAAGGCATCTAGCTACGCTATCGAAACAACGCTGGTTGCGCCGACCTACGGAATCCCATTCGATGCTCCATAACTATATGTCGAAATGAGTACCCAATCTTAACTGACCTCGTGATATACCGAGATAGATTGACTGCAGTGCTCTCAGGCCGCATTTCCTGACACACATCTGTCGCCGATATGATTTCAAGATTGGTCTTGAAATTCAATCCGACATCAATGATTGCTCGCCGTTTCAACACAACGGGAGGGAAATGATCATCTGACAGAGGCCAACGGTGCCCACGAAATTGAAAGCCAGAATCCACCATTCACCCTCCCCGTGGTGAATAAAAGACCAAACTCTTGTGACTGTCTTCTCTTTCATACGTCTTGCAAATATCATTCCCTCTCTTTGATACGCTTCAAATATCATTCCCACTCTTTCTTCATAACCCAAGCAAACCCTCAGAAAACTCACCCACAATGGCAACCGAATACGCCGACCGCGCAGCAGTCCTCAAAAGGGACTACCGGGCCCGCAAAGCCCAGAACATCGACCCCGCACCAGGCCTCGACCGCGTCGTCTCTGACAACATCGACCACGCCGTCCAAACCGCCGCCTTCCTCGACTTTCAGCTGGGCCGCAACATGCACGTCGACGACGAAACCAAGAAGCTCATAGTCGCAAGGGTGCGGTCAGGCATCTCGAGAAAGGCGTACCATCTGCTCAACCCCGTTCCGCGAACAGACCCAATCTCGGTGCGGATCGTGGACTTCTACCTGGATCTGTGGGCCGGGTTTGCGAATCTGGTTGCGGATATACGGCCGGCGAACTTTACGCCGAGGGTGAAGGAGGTGGAGACGTACTATCGAAAGGTCAGAGATGTGAATAATCACACCCTCAGTACCATACAACGGCAGTTCGAGCTGGCGGAGTTTTTGGACATGTTTTGCCCGGCCTATATAATGTCAGATGGGACCGCGAGTCGGCGCTTGGAGAGGAGGCTGAAGCCAATGTGGGGGCTGAATAAGCAACTAATGGCTCAACCAATGGAGGCCGAGCGGACGAAGAAGCGTGTTGAGGTGGTGGAGGCGATGGGGAAGGAGCTGTATGCGTATTCCGTCAGTCTGTTGGCGCTGTGGAACCGTTAGTTGGTGTTGTAAAGGGGAAATAGATTTTTTTATTTGCGCATACGCGCCAGGCCCTCGAATTGTTTAGTTTAGTGATAGTTCTAATATTAATACGTTGATCATAAACTGTCATTTGCCTTGTCTTTATTTATGCAAGAACGATATTATTCAGGGGTGGTGTTTGTCTTCTCCGGGCTAGAACGTTAAATGATAATATATCATATCATTTCCACTAGCATTAGCTTTCCTAGAAGTTCCCCCAACAGTGTACGGAGCTAGTTCCTGTTTCAGGAGGCGGAGAAGCCACAGAGTTTGTTGCGGACGTTCCTTCTTTCCGGCACGTAGTTCGGACGAAAATAACCAAATAATTTTGTGGATTTCTTCCAGACATTCAAGAGTTATATCCATGAATATTAGTAGCTTAGCTACTTGGTTCCGAGTACGAAAAATTGAGCTAAACCGACGTCTGATGACCCGCTCAACGAACTATTCTTCCACCACTACCGAAACTGGTATCGTCTGAGATACCTGGACGCTACCTCTCCATAATGCAACCATTATCATACCACGCTTTCATCCACATTTCAACCTCAGTAAACATATACTTCCAGCACCGCGTTACAGTACTCGCAGGCTTTCCCTAACTCGCCGCTGATCTTACAAATAGTACACCAGCAGTCGAGAAGATATCCGCAGCATTCAGAGCCTTTTGCCCGTTCCTCTAGACAGTACCAACAGGTTATCAGGCCTGGTTCGACATCCTCGCTGGTAAGGGAAGATTGAGCCTTTGAAGGTGTGGCGGATTCTTCGGTGTAGCATTCCTTGGCGGGTGGCGTCATTTGTTTGACGGGCGTTTAGGCGGGTGATAGGTTTGACGTCGGTGGTCTTGTATTAGGGGTTGCGGTGTAACCCTTGATTATAGTTTAGCTGTGTGATTTGAGGATTGTCTTATTCTTAATGTTATCGGTTGTGATTTTCCGGTAATACTATGCATGTGCATGGTGGATTTGGGTATGGCTGGCTCTTATATATATATATATATCCGAAAATAATATACTTTCTCAGCTTTGTAGAACGCACAACCCCAGCGCAAAAATAGAATGGACGATGGCAAACAATACCAAGCCGGTACTGTGTCACCAATTGGGGGCCATGGCGCTTCCCCCAGGGCTTCCCGAATTGAGTGCCGTAGTATAAAACGGTAGGCAATTCTAAATAACTCAACACAGCAAGTTTTCACCCCGCACTACAAATACCACGCTGTCCCCTTTGTCGATATCCCAGGAAACCTAGAACTCAGAATCTGCACTTACACCACACCTTTCACCATGTCCCGCCCCGCAGTGTACCAAACCTTCCGCCAGAAATATAACGATATCACGCGTTACTACCGCAGCTATGGATGCGACATCAGAGACCGAAACATGTGCCAGCGCATCGAAGATTCGCTTCCAGTGATCGAGACGCTGATCGAGTTGATTGAGACGTTGACCCCCTTAGTATTGGATATGGATGCGAGTAAGAGGAGAAGACTGCGCCACAAATTGAAGGATCTCGAGTGGATAAGGCAGGAGATGAAAAGGAATCAAGATGATGAACATGGTGGCGACATTATCATGAAGATATTGGATTTGGCAATGCAGTTGAAGACGAAAGCCGTTGAGCTTAATGGGGGTGAAATTATCTCAGTTACGCGGTATTGAGACGTGGTTGTAGTGAGGTTGTTTTGTTTGTTTTGTTTTTGCGAGTGATTTCGGATGATTAATGATTTACATTTCCGATGGGTGAAGGTTACTTTTGCTGTTTAATTCCTATATTTTTCTAATATAAATTCATCGGTACCAAGATTTTGCAACGGAAACCGTGAGTATGATAGTCATACCTAGCTAGTGACGTAAATCAACATGAATCACGTACAGAAGTTACGAACTTGACCTTCTAGATGAAAACAGTATCACAATTCGGCTATCTTCATCTCCTTGACTGATTCCAAATATCTACCAGATCTGAATCTCGCGCTGAAGTCCCAGGTATCCCGGTGATGAACTTATCGGCGGACAATGGTCCGGCGGAAGGATTGTATTCCTACGCAGTTCAGCATCAAAACCAACTGGGGTAATGCTGAGCTGATTTAGAGATGGGATTATGGGCTCCATAAGTCTTGAATCGTCGCCGCGGTGAACTTAAACTAACCTCAAAATCAGCCTCTCTCTCTCATTAACAGGCTCTCTGCAACCTTAGGTGGAGAAAACTCACATCAGTTCCTGTCATGGAATCGCTCCCCCGAATACCGTAAATCGCAAACGTTCCTCACCTATGGCGACCGTCTCGACAACCCATTCTTCGTCCATCCCTCGCTATCGCTATCTCCAAACATATGTGCCAGAAGATGAACGAAAGATGGGTTGCGGGAGTGCTAGTAGCGATGGACTCCCAACCTATACGGTCAGCTTTAAACTTTACTGGATGTGACATTGTAATAATCTGAGATTTATAGATGGATTAGTGAAGGAATTCATTCAACAATATGCGTGAGGTGATGGGGTGTAGTATGAGGAGAACGATGACAGACAACGGCTATGGGTGGCGGCAGTGTTGATAGGTGCTATACCAAGCTAACCAGATAGTCGTAAAACCCAAATTCTTCAAAAAGAATCATTCCCGCAATTCTTCCGGCCATGTGTTCTCTGTCGATATCTTTCTTGGCCGCGAATCCCAGATCGGACTAAGTGGGATCTAAAGCGCCACACGAAATTCTCAGAGACAAGAAAAAAGACTTGCAATTCCACTTGTCTCATCCTAGGCCCACTACGATCAAAATCACCGCTAAAAAATGAGCTTGTAAGACCTTGCTCAATACGTAGCAGATGAGCAACGGCATAAAATTGAAGCAAGAGATGCCCCAGGCCTTCCATCGTTGATTCCGAGCTCTTTTCCACATCGCCTTGACTCTAAGCGGGTGTGCTTGCGTTTAAAGCAGTAGGCTAGTCTATAACAACGAATCTCCATCATTTCCCGCAATGGTGAATGAATGGGGAAAATACCATTTCACAGACCACCAAACCCGGCGTTCCTCTCCAAGGGAAACGCCTCGGCCAACAGGAAGGACTCCGCGCAACCGCTGAGGTGAACTCATCTCTTTCCCGCTCAGTGATTCAACACCCTAACGACGCTTTCACCCCGCTTTCGAAGGAGGACACGAAGTCTCAAACTTTATCCCACCCTTTTACGGCGAACAAATTTTTCGTTATCCACCTCAAGTCACCCTTCCCAAGTCACCCTGTCCTGTAGCTCCATTGGTCACCAATGAATCGATAGTGCATCACTTGGTATCAGTCCGTCGGAGAAAAGCTGGCGGATAGCTTAACTTGCGATTTACGGACGAGGCGCAGCTCATCTCCCCACGGTATAGAGGGAATTCTGATCACTGGTTGATGGGCTCCACCCGATTTGTTCTCCGGATCCATTTCATCGCCGAATTTCAAGGTTCCAGCCTGGCCAAACAAAAAGGAAAAGAAAAGAAGGAAAAAGAAAACCCGATGCCCCAGCGCCGGATGTATCACAACTCGACCGAGACGTCTCGCAGAAAAGAAGACATCTAGCTCTGCGGCACTGTCCGCTGGAGCCTTGACTACAGTAGTTAGAGGGGTTCGAAAACCACATGGCAGCAACAATTGAGAGGGCAAGACATTTACTAACTTGATTTAAAGCACCAATAATTCGTGAAGCGTTTGGAATTTCGATGGAAGTACAAGACTGATTTGTGTGGTGGATGAAGTTTGGTGCCTGAGAGAGCAATAGACGCCAAGGAATGGCCGAGTTGGTTATGGCGCCAGTCTTAGGTCCCACTTCTGTCAGCCTCATGCACGAGCCCTGCATGGGTATTCCTTGGCACCGTACCCGCAGAGCCTCAACAAACCAACCCTACAGAGCTAGCGCCACAAGCTACTTCTCACACTTCTCCTCTGCGCTTGAGTATGCGCAGACTTCTATATTTTTTGCCTACATGCATACTCTAAGAACATTTACATAGATCATCGACTACATGTAAGTATGCTAGTCTTCTGTAGGTACCGAGCTTGACCGTTTTTTCACAGGACAGATCGTTTCGCGAAAGTCTTCCTCAAGATCTACTAGGTATAGAAGCGCTCATCTACGTGGAATAACTGCATATAGCTCAACTTTGATTTCTAAGGTTTTATATACTAGCTTTGTTACTTTTTCTATTGCTTTTGCCTTTAAGGAGCCACAGTCCGGTACCTAATTCGGAGCTGGGTGTCCATGTTCGGATAAACCCCTTCGATGCTGCGACTCCACGAGTAGTGGGTTCTTTCTCGACACGATTGAGCCTAGTAGAAAGTTCTTCCCGAGCCTGAGATTAGGATTTTAAATGTCTGTTATATCTGTCATCAATCATGATATCAGATGCCTCCACTCTAATCGTAGAAGAACGTCAATCACTGGTTCTCACTCGCAATGGCAGTGTAGAGTATTTCAAGCCGTGCTCAACCTCTCGGGAGAGAAGTTCAACCACTTACCCCTTAGCTTTTGGCTTCGCGTTTTCCTATGGTGTTCTTCCTCCACGTTCGAGTGCCACCCTCCCACTCCCGAGATCGCTGCAATCATGCTGAACCTCAAGTGGAGAACTAATGGGTTGAGTCGTTCATTCCTGTCGCTTCTTTGACTCTGAGCTGCGCACGTTACGTGTTGCAGGTAACAAGTGTAATGACTGATAAAGTGGACCTTATTCAGCAGACTGGATCCGAAGTTTATAAGATGACCTCGCGAGAGCTTCCGGTTAAGCTCTTAAAAGTGGTGAGACTATGATACTGATAATGGTACCGGACCCTAGTCTGAGGGCAGCGTTAGCCAACATTTCTCTACTTATAAAACCTCACCTTCTCCGTCCAATCTCCCCAGGCCATGGTGGGTGTCAAGATCTCCACCAGGGCGAGCTCTTCAACCACTGCTTGTAGTGTCCAAAAATAGAGCTTTGCATGCAGCTACCCCTGCCCACGCACCCCTGTCGCTTGGCACCCGGCAAGCACCGAAGAGCCCCCAACAAACCAAACCAAACCAAACATCGCAACCCCATTTCATTCGACATCCCCTCAGCCCTACGGCACCGCCAACCCTCCAATCACTCCACACCGCGGCCCCGCCCCGCGAAACTCCCACCACGTTGGCTTCCCCACCAGTACTCCTCTCCCCCGCACTCCCCCATCTCACTCCCACTAACATCACGCAGGACTCCCCGGGCCCCAGCACCCCCTTGCTCGAGGAACCCCCCACCACAGACGCAATGTCGCGCGCCGCCCAAACACAGCGCATCCTCCGCCGCACCGACTACCACCTCCTCCCCTTCCTCTCGCTCCTCTTCCTCCTCAACTCCCTCGACCGCTCCAACATCGGCAACGCCGAGACCGCGGGCTTCACGCGCCATGCGGGCCTCCAGCCGGGCGACCTGAATGATTCCGTCGCGCTCTTCTTTATGCTCTTCGTCATCTTCCAGCCGGTCGGCGCGGCGCTGGGCAAGCGGGTGGGCGTCGCAAGGTGGGTCGGCGGCGTTATGGTATGTTCTGGAGTGGTGGTTGGTGGCGGGGCGGTGCTAACCGGAGCTGTGATGCTAGATTGGGTGGGCGTTTCTAACGGCGCTCACTGCGTTCGTAAGGACCCGCGCGCAGCTCTTGATGCTGCGTATGATGATTGGTACGCTCGAGGCGGGCTTCTATCCGACGACGGTGTTCTACCTGGGGCTGTTCTATACGCGGTATGAGTTTGCGCAGCGCCTGGGTATGTTTTATGGGCAGTATGCGGTTGCGGGCGCGTTTGGAGGACTGGTGAGTTGGGGCGTGTTTAAGCTATTTCCTGGCGGTGGTGAGTGTTTTCCTTCCCGTAATGTTGGGGTTGATGCTGATGCGGCGTGTAGAAGAAGAGGCGATGGCCGACGGAAACGGCGGTGGACTGTATGCGTACCAGGTTATGTTCCTCCTCGAAGGGCTGTTGACACTCGTGGTCGCGATCACGACGTTCTGGTGGTTACCTCTGGGCCCGGGGAGTGCGTGGTGGCTACAGGAGGGCGATCGCGAGTGGGCGGAGAAGAGAGTGCTGTTGGACCGTGCGGGGGTGGGCCAAGAGGCTGAGCACCGCAGAGGACTGGCCGGAGGTGAAGAGGAGGAGGGCGAAGAGCTTCTTAGAGACGGTGAGGAGGAAGAGGTGGAGGTAATTGTCGGGAAGAGTACGGTTGGTGGCGAGGGAGCGCTGACGAGGAGGGATGTGGAGGAGGCGTTTCGCGACTGGAAGATTTGGTGGATTTTGGTTGTGAACATTGCTAGTTCTGTACCTGGGATGGCGTTTTCGGTGTTTTTGCCGTTGGTGATTAAGGTATGTGTCCTATTTGTTTCGTTAACTCTCTCTTCATCTCATTATCCAATACCTTTATATCCCTAAAGCCATCATTCGTCCCACCACTAACACCCCCCAGGGTATGGGCCACCCCCCCCTCACCGCCAACCTCCTCACCATCCCCCCCTTCCTCTGCGGTGCCTTCACCCTCTGGGGGATAACCTACCTCTCCGACCGCTCGCGCCAACGCATAAAATACATCCTCATCGGAATCACCATCAACCTCGTCGGCCTAGTGCTCGTCGTCCTTCTCCCGCCCGACGCGCTCGCCGCACGCTACCTCGCACTCTGCGTGCTCCTCGCCGGATCCTACGTCGCCAGCCCGCTCACCGTCGCATGGCTCAGCGGGAACATCTCCGGTACCTCTTCTCCCCCTTACCCCCTCTCCCCCCAACCTGCTAACAAGCTCTGCAGAGCCCGGCAAGCGCGCCGTCATACTCGGAATCAACGGCTGGGGCAACCTGGCGGGCGTGTTGTCGTCGAAGCTGTATGCGCCTGAGTATGGCCCGTCGTACCATTTTTCGTTTGTGGTGACGCTGGGGCTGGTGATGGGGGCGTGGGTGGGGTATTGGGGGTTTGGGAGGGCGCTGCGGAGGGAGAATGGGTGGCGGGAGAGGAGGGTGAAGGAGTGGACGGAGGGGGAGATGGCGGCGGAGATGAGGGGGGAGGGGGGGCGGAGGGGGGATGAGAGGTGGGGGGTTACGTATGGGTTGTAGTGTGGTGGAGGTTGTAGACGTTTTGGCTTTGTGTTTTGGTTGACTAGGGGTTTATACTTTATTTTGTTAGTTTGTTTTTGCTTGTAATCTCAACCCCCACCAACTTCCTTGCTAAACGGGATATTGACTGATACTGTTGGGTTTCTTTGTTCTTTGTTGATTTGATGCTCTTGGGTGTATTGCCTGTTGATCCCTTCCTTATAATAATCGTTCGGCATCTCCACTAGATGATAAACTATTTCAAGAACTAGGCATGGTGTGCCATGTTTCTTTCTCATCCCCGCCTCTTTCTTGGGACGCTTTCCTGTCTCGATGTTTTTGTCTTCCGGTCATTTCCCCTTGCTCAGAGATTGAAATGTTGCTATTTTTCGGTACGGTTTCGCTGCTAGAAATGATCAGGGGGGTCTTATTCCTTCTTTTTGAATTTTTCGGCTTTATCCTGTCTTGTTACAGAGAGACCTTGTTACATCCTCTCTTCCAGCGAAGAATCTTCGACTGTATCCCTTCTCTGGAGAGAAAGAAGACTAGAGAGCTCAAGTGATGGCAGTTATGAAGGTTGTATGGGTTTCTATCTCATGCATCAACAACAGATACGACGGCGAAGACTTTGATTTCATTCGGAGAAAAGATCTCTCGGACCCGATTCTTTAGTTCACAGGATTCCGCTGATACAGACGAATGAGAAAGCTAAACGAGGCTAGATGGTCAGAGTTCGTCGGTCTGGATACGTCAAGGGGTATGTTGGAGAAGTAGTTCATTAGGAGACAAAACGGTGGAACGTGCTTTACCTCAGCGGGGGTGTAGAACTGAACACCCCAAATCCTGGAAATAGAAGCCGAATGACATTAGGGTTAAAGCTGATAGCGTTCATTGATTCAATGATGATGATGAAGAATTATTGTGAAGGAAAGCAGACAGTATGTGGTTCCATTTGACGCTCGTGCAACGCCACCCGCCCCACCGCCAGTGGAGGCACAACCCTAACCCACGATAACAGGGGAAGCCAGCAGACTAGCTCGCCTTCTTGTGCCCCAATCTTTACCCCGTTCCTTCATCTTGCGCGTGTACAACAATTTTGCCCGAATTTTCGAGGAACGTGGCATGATCAGATAAGTATAACCCCTGTAACGTGGTTTGAGCACCCGCTTGATGTAACTTCAATCGCATCCAGGGACCTAAACGGTGGTGCGGGATTTTGAGTCTCCGAGTAGGTAGTTCTACTGTTACAGTAAAATGCATCCCGGGTTTCAGTAGATTTCACAACATGGCCATTCTAATCTGTGGATGTTGAGCAACAGAGGTGGCCGTAACAGGTGCACAAGGTATCACTCGTTACCCGTTTCTTGGCAGGGATATTGCCTGTTGGATCACTTTGTGTGATGGTTGCTACCTACACAAGCAACACTTCATGTATTCCAAAGCGCCAAAAGACAGAGGTGATATCCTTTGCAGTATTTCCCACGAGACTAACCTTAATACACGCTCTGGAGCGAGGGTAGGGAGTAGGCCCCCCCCAATTTCGGATTTCTTGGGAAACTTATACTCTGATGGCATCACCGGTCAAGGGCAAAAGGAGCTAAAACTAGCTGTCGTGAAGGGACCGACTATAACACGTATATTTATCAGCCTGGCACTATTGTCCATAAAGATATCTTCACCGATGCCCCGTATGTACTATTGTTACACATAGCTTTTAGAATTGAATATATACGTTCCTTCCTTCCGTGCCTAGGGCTGAGCGCCCTAGTTATGATGAACAATCCTCTCTACCACTGTAGTATCTATGGTCGCCAACCTCCGCGATCTACACTCGGACGATTATCTCAACCATCAATCATGTCCGTAGCGGGGGAGCATATAGAGCGCAGTTACGAGCGGTAGATAACCTTAAGGCGTCAAGCTTTCAAAACGGACACATATTCCTACGGCAGCAAGCAAACGGAAATTTCTCAAGCGATGAGCGCCTTGCGAGAAGACAATCATCTTAGCTCCTTTCCCGTGTAGTGAATTGATTCAAGTATTTTCTTACTTTAGACGCTCTCATGGTCGTCAAAGTCCTTTCAGCTTGGGAGGTTTAAGATGGCTACTCCTAACTTTTCTGGCGAGGGTGCATTGAAAGAATTCTTTCTGGCCGGTTTTGGTTCTTCAAGGTTTAGTAATCTTACTTCTGTTTTCAATTATTGCTCGCTGGCTCGTACCTAAGGAGAACATTGATGACGTCTGTTTTAGGTGACATCCATTGTATGGAATCTTATCAGCTTTGTGATATAACTCTCCCCGAGCAGTAGCAAACCAAATTTCACAGCTAACAGACTTTGAATTCTAGCTTTTTGAATGGCCGTATGAATACTATGTCCTCGGAGCAATTTCGCCCATTCGAGAGATATTGACTAAGGGCGTTGAGGCTAGTCTTTGTCGACCTGTTTTCTCGTAATAGTTAGTTGAAACTTTATATTTTCTAGGGACTCAGAGGCCACACGAATACTTTGAAAACATTACTGACATTAATTGCTGTTAGGCTCTTCCAAGCCTTAAGGCCCTGGGGGCGGACGCAGAGCCCCAACATAGTAAAAACCGATTCGTTTTTTTTTTGTATGGTAATCAACTTGGGCGGACATGAAGCGTTTGTCAGCGACCATCAATTGAACCTCCGAGAAAGTGGTTTCCAATGTGAGTTCCTTTACATCTTCGTGTTAAGTAGAGACGTTCTCACGGCCGCCACTGTCCATCAACTGTTTCCGAACTCCACACATCATCAACATCAAAACATCATCACCACCATGGCCAACATCACCACCCTACCACCATCCCCAATGTCGTCCCCCAACATGCAACACATACCAGAAACCTGGATCCAGCGCCTCGCCGCTATCGAGCGCGACTACGCCCTCGCCCCCATCTCCATCAGCGACATCGCCTGGCACATCGAAACCGCCTTCGAGCGTCTCCGCACCATCGGCAGCCTCCTCGACAACTTCGACACCTTCGATCCCGGCGAAGGCAGGCGCGACAAGAAGCACACGCTGCGCATCAGGGTCAGAGGCTTTGATGCGCTGCGCAATGCGATGATCAAGAATAATGATCAGGACTTTGCGGAGGTCATGGTGGGCAGGGTGCTGGATTTGGGCATGCAGATGAGGAGTAAGGCGGTGGAGCTGAATGGCGAGGATTTTGCTTAGCATTTGGTAGAGAGGGAATAGAGTTTCTGGTTTCTTCGGCGTTCTTGGTTTCTTGGGTCTTTCTAGTTACTTGTACGTTTCTGGTTTCTTGCGGGTGGGTTGTGCCTTTTCTGTGGGTGTGCAATGTCACAAGAGACACGAAGACTCCGTGCGAAAGATGAAGTGATGCTATCGGTGGTAGAATAGATAGTAGCTCCTACACAGGAGGAGGGAGTAATTGAGATGATATGTTATAGAGCACTAATGTCTTAAGTCGTAGAAAGTGGGGATGTGATGCACGGTTTTTCGGAATATATAAATATTAATGATATCATTGAAGTAACCACAACCCTGGGTCTACTATATTGACCTTCTTTTGTCCTTGAGTCTTCCATTCGAAGAGGAGTACAGGAATGGGAACCTAGTCGTCTCAGGATGGAAATGTGCCATAGGAATCTATAAAAAAAGAGTCAATTCAAATTATATTTTTCAAATCTGTTCTATGCCATTCTTGTCGTTCTGAAACCAAAGGACAGCGGACTCCATCTCACATGGTCACGACGTCGTGTTATACGATTTCAAGAAAGACCCCCTTAACTCCCAATCACTACACCCCATTAAAACGCATTGGGATCATAAGAATTAAGATCGTTTGCCTATATATACTAAGAGGCTTATCCAAATCTCATTCTGTCACTCAATGGTACAAGCTCACTGATGTACAAAGTTACGTAGTTTGATGATCCTATCCATACACGTACACCTTAGTCTGAAGGTTCATCATGATCAGCCATGTCGAAATCTCAATACAAAGCTTCGTTCTGTTTGCCCAGAAGGCTCGGAACTGCCCATATCCGTGCCCTCTGAAGCCTCGCGGAGAAGTCGCTGCACCTCCGGCGCCATCTCCTGCTCAAGGGCAACAAACTCCCACCCACCTTCCATCTCTTCTCTTTGCAGATCGATAATGACGTGGTCCTTTAACCTATCTAGAATATTATAGTTGAAACGGAGAAAGCCGACCCCCGCCCGGACGCCCCTTCCCGAGGCGGCGCGGCGGTTACGATCCTCAATCCTCTCGACAGACTTGGCAACTTGGAAAAGGTACGCCATTGCGAGTTGATACATCCTTTTGCGCGGGCTGTCTTCCAGCTCGGCGTTGGCGGTTTGGAAATTGTTCGAGATTGCTTGAGCTCGGTCCATAAATCTGGGAGTTGTGCTGGACATGATTTGCGTGGTTATTCCGTTCTTTGCGAGATGTACTGGCAGATTTGTGGGGTGACCTGCAGCGAGTGGGGGATGGGAGGACGTTCCGCCGAGACTTTAAATATGTCGTTAGCCTATGGCCAGCATTCCATACTTCCGAATCTTCTATGAGAAGTGCAATTTGTCTTTTTCTATTCCATTCTTGTCGCGCTGAAAGCAAAGGACAGCGGACGCCATCTCACATGGCCACGTCGTGTTATACGATTTCAAGAAAGACCCCCTCAACTCCCAACACTACACCCGATTACAACGCATTGGATCATAAGAATTAAAATTGGTTGCCTATATATATACCAAGAGGCTAATCCAAATCTCATTCTGTTACTCAATGGTACAAGCTTATTGATGTACAAAGTAGTTTGATGATCCTATCCATACACGTACACTTTTGTCTCAATGTACACGCAGTCTGGTGATTCTATCCATACACCTACGCCTTTGTCTGAAGGTTCAGCCATGTCGAAATCTCAATACAAAGCCTCGTCAAAAATACATAATGCAACATCAAATTTGTTTACCCCTACGGCCGCGGCTCGGAACTGTCCATATCCGTACCCTGTAAAGTCTCGCGGAGAATCCGCTGTACCTCGGGAGCCATCTCCTCCTCAAGGGCAATAAATTCCCTCGCACCTTCCAGCTCTTCTGTTTCCAATTGAAGATCAATAATAATGTCGTTCTTTAACTTGTCTAGAAGTTGATAGTTGAAACGGAGAAACCTGATTTTTGGGATGCCTCTTCCTGAGGTTTCGGGGGTGTTGCGGTGCTCGCCGCAGTCGACGTACTTGGCAATTTGGAAAAGATACATCATTCCGAGCTGATACATCCTTTTGCGCTCGCAATCACCCAGCTCGGCGGTGGCGGCCCGGAATCTGTTCAAGATTGCGAGAGCTCGGTCCGCAAATTTGAAATTCACAGCTGTGTTGGACATGATTCGCATGGCTATTGCGCTTTGATTGCAAGATAGACTGCCCGATTTGTGGAGTGTGACCTGAGTGGGGGATGGGAGGAGGTTCCATCGAGGCTTTAAATACGTCGTTAGCCTATAGCCAGCATTTCATACTTCCGAATCTTCTATGATAAGTGCATTTTGTCCCTTTCTATGAGAACACATACACATATACATAGGGAAAGGTGAAGTTGACATTCTCTTATAGTATTCAAGCACGTTGTTCCGTCAGAAAGCAGTCACCAAATATCACTCGGATCATGCCTGCTTCCCAAACCGAACTTGAAACCATTTTCCAACCGTTGCACTATTGTGGCTTCTGGTAGTTGTTCCTCATAGAGATATTCGACTCCAAATTCGGCTTTCATTGTATTTTGAGGATCTACTAGTCCTTCAACCCCCATACATCTTTCTTGGCAGAGCAGTAGGCCTACACAGGGCGCAGCAAAAAACGTATATATGTCATCTTTGAGTGCTCTAGTATATCAAAGCGTACTGGCGGGGTCTTCGGTCATCTCTTCAGGGCCAATATGGCTGAACAGTTGCTGTAGACGTCATACATAGGCAATCATAACGTCTCACTCGCTCCTGAGATACCCAGTTGTCGTCACGTGATCCTATATCAAAATCGAGGATCACCCTGTACCAAACGCTGTGTTTTCCACTTTGAAGGCTGTACTTATACCATGCGGCACAGTTCGCATGGGGTATACTGTGTTAGTATCTAACCTGCGCAAAATGCGGAGGAAGGGTTACAAGATGCATTGATAGGGCGTTTTCTTAGTTCATGCTTGATGCCGCTGTTAAGGTACATTGAGTGAATGTGGGTATCCGTAGCTATAGTATTATGAGTTACTAAATAAAGAGTGTAATCTCATGGGATCAATATTAATCGGCTGATATTTAAGGTAACCTGCATATCAGAATCGTAGCTTCCGACCGATCCCCGGAGAAGGAGGGGTATCTTGGATTGTAACAACAAGGATCTTTCCCGTGACAGAAATTGGTCTTTCTGATGGAAGTTAGGTATACTAAACTTGTCTATATGTAGATCTAGATGATTGATATAGCTACATATTCATTTAACTGATCACAATATAGGGTGAGATTAGATTCTTAGCGCCAAGGCAGTTAGAATAGGTTACATGAGGACACGATCATTGATACCATCTGATTGATAGAATGACTAATCTCGGGACACGAGTACGTATCTACCCGATCTGTTCAATGGCAACTCATCCCTAAGTCAAATTCCTTCATCTGTTTGTTTGCTATTCGCTATGAAACGCTGTTCTTTTGGGGGATAGGAAGAAGTATAGATGTAGTTTTGCCTGATTTATATTATCAGAGTTAATAGTACGAAGTAGTAGGAGATAAAAATAGGAGATCGGTGGCATGGAAAAACTACATGTATTCTGTAAATGGGCCACCTTGTATGCTGTCACCTATCCATGCATACATCGCGTTACCCGTAAGACGACTAACAATTACTTGTCCCTCCAGATCGATCTCTTGCTCCTGAACAGGGGAGTTCATCCGAGATTTGCCTCTGATGATCCCGGTGTACTTCATGCATGAATGATACCCAATAAACATGAGACATAATATAAATATATATCCTATGCTGTTTTGATATGATACAGCATTAGTTGATTAGGACTACATTGTCCATTCCTCGACACCTACATAATGCTATCATCCCTGAACGTCCGTACGCTTGGACGTCACCCATGTGACCTCCGCCTTTCTGCCTAACGTTGCTCATGCAATAGGACGGTATTGAACGTGGGGTTGTGTATCCCATGTATGTTCCCGCTTTCGAGAATCGGCGTGTTTATACTAAGTATGGTAAATTTGGAATGAATTCACTCTTGAAATAGGGCAGAGAGAATAATGAGTGTTACCCAACGGATGGAGCTATGGTCCCGGCCTTTCACAACTTCGGAAGGACTTGCTCTGATAGAGAAATGATTGAGCAAATATATAAAAGTTCCCTGAAAAAGGCAAAATATACTTCTGGAATATATCCAGATCTTACCGGCAGAATATAAATATCTATAAATTTAGAATACATGCAACGGATAAAAGACAAGATCGTGGACAACCACCGAATCACAGGATATCACTCAGTATATCGTTTCCCATCTTGCACCATGCATGATCCATAGTTTCAACAGTGGAAAGGGCCACATGGTCTGGTGACAAGAGTAACGTTAAAATGCAACTGATAATAGATCATTCCGGTAGGTATTGATCGATATAGCTCACTTGAAACGAGTGGAGAAGTAGTTCCCGGAGTTTCTCTTACTCGCACAGCCACAAATACTAACAGCATCGGGGTTCAGGGTTATCATATCATCTATACTTAAGGAAAGCTTGAAAAGCCCTTTCACGTTGAATACCAGATAGGCAACGGTCACTCAAACATGTTCTGTGACTCTGAGATTTACTGACGGTGACTTCGGGTGATCAATATGAGGTGAGATCCCGACGTGAGCTAGATGTAACGATAGATTAGATTGAGTTCATAGATTGTAATGGTGTCCTTTTCTTCCAAGAAGCAACATATACCAAGTAAACGCCAGACCGGCTACCGTCTGACCGTACATATGGGAAGGCCTTAGCTAATATTGAGTCTAGCTACATGTATCTTTACCTGAAAAGATACCGCTTCCTCGGTAAGAACACTGTATGCATGTTGTCGAAAGGGCATTCTTCCAGCTAATATTAGTGCAGTTGGCCATGATACGCGATGGGTTACGTTTGCGTGTCCCAATCTGGGTAGGAACATTTATTTCTTTCCTTGAATCTCTCAGCTCTTTGTTACAATCAAGGCATATAGTACGTCTAAGTCAGAGGCAATCAATTAGTGCAATAGTACGCATGAACCCACAGCAATACAATATCTTCTATCTTCAGATTTCAACTTCTATGGGAATTTCAATTTCAGGTCATCAACGGCTAAGTATATGGAGATGGGTGCTCTAAGACGTCTTTAAAAGCTGACACCTTGCCTTCCAGTATCGCCTTCCACGACCAAAATATCCAACATTCACCCCGCTTTCCATCAACCCTTTCAAAGACCCCCTTTCACAAGATTGAACAACAATCAAAATAAACCTATTCAACAATGTCAACTTACAAATCAGATGCGGAATCTCTCCAGTCAAAATACAAGAACACATCACCTCCTGAGTGTTCTGAAACATCGCAAAGAATCAACACAGCCCTCCAGCGTATCATCGCGCTTGGAGCCGTTCTAGACAGATATTCTTCAGAGCCTGCCAATAATGGCGGTTTCTTCGGGAATCGAGACCAGCTCATGAAGGCATTTCAAGCCGTCCAGGCTTCTAATAAAAGTCTCATAAACAAGGGTGATAGTGCTCGTCATACGATGGTGGACGAAATTGTGAGTGTGGGCGGAGATTACTGTAGTACCAGCTTGGGGAAGTTAGGATTTGGGAGCCCTCAATAAATTTTCTAGCTGTCTTATTTTCTTTCACAAAGGCGTGTGTGCGGTGTCGAGGTATACGGAAATGATGAGCATGGCATAAATATCTTTGGAGTGGAATGTATTGTATGAGTCAACGGTGGACAAAGGTTTTAGAACATGCCTTAATTTTATGGGTTAAGCATGGTATTAGAGGTTTCTGCTGTAATATACTCTCACGTACTAGAGTTAGGGAATATATTTGGCACTCGTTGCTGGCGCGTTTGTGATTCTTGCAAACCAATTGGTAGTGTCTCGATTGTTACAATCGATATCATCGTCTCCAGAACAGTGTCTTAAAAGTGTAAGAAATGAGGAGGAGGGGTAGAATGAACTAGACAGAGAACAAGCTACATGTAGTTGTGACATGGTTTCCAGACCTGAATATGTAACAGAAACAGGAAGAAGAAAGGTGTAATAATAGCCTAGCACATTATAGAGACTACTGAGAAAGGATACAACGATAACAGCGAGTGAGTACCGACGATAGCGTGTAGTTATGTATATGTTGCTTTTGAAATCTGTGCCCAACCCGTAGTACCTTCTATTTATGTAATGTCAGGTAATCATCTTTTGCAGATGCCACGATACCTAGATGTATTGCAGTATTCCTTTATGAAAGATCACAAAGAGCTGACCACCCGGCACCCCAGCATAGAAATAATCCTAATGGGAATACAATCCTTATAAACTACTTTAATCAATTCTTACCAGCCGAGAGATAGCCCGTGATGCACTCCCGTTCCCATTCGCCACCCATAGACATCGCTGGTTTATAACCCCATTTATGCTATATTTTCGATCGACAGAGAATAAAGAACGCCGTGTAGGAAGCATCCTTCCGGGGATATATATCTACCCTTCAAGCCCAGGGTGTCGATTCTCAGATCATCTGTCTGGCTTGGATTATTTTCAAAGTTGGTTGATCAAGAGGGGGAAACCATAAACCCACCTACTAACAAGCTCCCCAGAATTGCTGGCCAAATTGATTGTTCGTCTCTCCGCTTGGGGTGTACCACATGTCCTTTTGCAGGGCAAAAAATGAAGGCAAAAAAAGAAGGAAAATGTTCTTTTGGGCAGCGCACAAAAAGAACAAAAGGTTGCATTGATAGTCTATGCCATAGCTACAACCCCCACCCCCGGGTTGAACCCTTAGCCTCCTGTAATCGAAGGGGATCCAACCTCACGGTGTCCGTCCGGGGGCGAGTGCTAACCGTTAGGCCACACTCGCCATGTGTGTTTTCCATCCTAGGTGCTATTTCAATGCCAAGGACAGTTGGAGTCACCTAACCGGTTTAGGTGCGCTAGTGTTCTACATAGACACGCTCCGGTCATTCACGTCAAATATAAATCGCCCGCTTGGCCGCCCACGATTCTATCTCAGGTCCCAAGGAACAATCTGGGTATGAATGGATGCATCAGATCTCAGCTCTGGCATGGCCTTGAATACGGGGATAACGACCATATCACCATATATATCCGGGTCAGATCTTCGATGGCCAACCCCAATATTGCATAACAAGAACAAAAAACCCATCAACCTCTACAACAATTCCCCCCATCCAATCCATTAATCTGCCAAACATGTCGGCCATGAGCGACGCCTCCTACTCCTCCGTCGAGATGCTCGACACCGAAGACGGCCATCTCGACCTCCCCCTCACCGCCGACCAAAAGCTGCAGGCCAGCGCCCACCTCGACAACCTCATTGACGCCACCACCAGCTACCTGCGCGTCCGCAAAGCCCAGCGAGCTGCCATCGAAGAGGAGTACCGGCAGCGCTTCAGAGCGTTCGATGACACCACCCACGCGGAGCTGAAGAAGATTTACCCGGAGCGGGGGGCTGACGAAGCTTCTAGGATGGGCCTGTGGGTGGGGCTGATTGAGCGGGCGTTTGCGCTGATTGATGATACGAATAAGAATCTACGGGTTGAGGTGGAGGTGGCGAGCTTACTGTCGAGGACGGCGGAGGAGATGGTGGGGATTGTGGGGAGGATTAGGGAGCGGGCGGTGGAGGGGAGGAGGGTGGAGAAGGTGTTTCCGGTGCTGGTGGAGCCAGTGCCATTGTCGAACTATATGAGATACCGGAGTAAGGATGCGTGGAGTGGGCTGCAGGTGATGCAGGATCTTCTGGAGCAGTGTGATAGGAAGATGAGAAATCTTCTATCTGGAGGTGACGGATCAATTAATGGTTCTCTGGATGGGTCGGAGTTCTAAGTCATTTATCATTTTTCCAACCTGACCGTTTAAGCTATGCCTTATAGCATTTTGGGGAGGATTTGGACTGTGATTCTCGTTATTTTGTTTTGTTTATCTTTAAATTTTGATTAGTCGTAATATATTCCCTTATTTACAGCTATTTCTCTACCAGAATGCCAATATATACCCCGCTCTGAATAGTTTATATTCTATACTTATATAATAAATACATGTATCTGCCACTTTTCGAATCCTTCGAAGTAACCAGAATCGTGTGACTCGCCAAAATCACGTAAATAGGTATGATTTGGACCCAGAATCAGAACACCCACATCAGAATTTAAGCTATTATATTGCAAGTATATGTTGCTGCCCTTACTCCATGACAATATCTGCATCATTGCGGCGATTTTGAGGACTTCACTGTGAAGAGAGAGTAGTTGAGTAGCTTGAAAAGAAACATCTGTGGCCCTCGTTGCAGCTCTGCCAAGATTTCCTCAATTAAACTTCTATAGAATATCTGTCATTCGGAAAATAGTAGGATCAGCTACGTGAGCATTTAATAGCTGAGGTAGCAAAACAAACTAACCAATAGAACGACAACTGTATTATTTTTCTTCAGAATGGTTCGATAGTTAAGTTTCTCTTGTTCTTCTTTTTCCCCTCCCTCCTTTTTTCACCGTCCTTTGTTCCTGTCTGTCTTCACCTAGACGTTTCACTGAAGAAATCTGCTCTTGTCGTGAATCTGTGTTCATCACAACATCTAGCTAGCTATCCACCATATCCCCTCATCTAATCACACCTCACAGCATTACCATCTGCACCCCAACAATGCCCACCTCCACTCCATCACCCATTACAATGGCCCACTATATCCACCTCCTAACCACCCAACTCACCAAGTACACCTCCCAGGGTGGTCATCTCCACATCACGCAACGTGAAGCAACACGAAAGATCATTGCCGATGCAGACGCCTACATGGCTTCCATCGGGCTGAGACAGCATGCTACATATGAAGTGGTAGTAGAACAGATTGCGATAATCTTTCGGGGCTATGCGGATGACTTTGTAAGGCGGCGGGAGGGGGAGGGTGGGACCGGGGAGGTGGAGTATCCGCATTAATAACTGGGTAGGGTGTGAATTTCGAGCTGCTGGAAGGTAATCTTGGTGTGCTGGAGGCTTAAGGAGGGTGTTTTCCTGAGAATTCTCGTTCATTGTTCTGGGAGTTACGTTAGCCGGGGGTAAATGATGATTGATGTAGGAAGGTTGATTAGATGAGTCTTGTTTCATAGTATATTAACAATTGTTGATTATCTTCATCGTTTAACCTGGCCTATGATTCGGCACCGATAGCGGTTCAATCCTGATTCGAGTTTATAGAATAACATTCCGAGTGAAACAGTCGTCTGAGACACGTCCTCTGGTGACCTGTGATATAGAGGGCGATATACTGTGATCTCAAGATATCTGGCCTGCAAAGGGTTTGCTTGAGCGTTAGTAGAGAACATTGTAGCGTGGTTGTATTTGCTATGTATCCCTTTGGCCATTTTGGGGCAGGTTAGCTAGTAGGATATCTTTTAGAACACGTTTTTATAGCTATCTGGTAGGACTAGGTTAAGCATATGTGTTAGTTTCAAAACTTATGAGTTAAGCTGCGGCAACATGCTAAATCCGATCATCATCACTTTCATCTTCCTGTATCCGGATATTCTTCAAAGTCGCAGCCTTCTCTAGACTTTAGATATCTAGATCTTGATCACCAGTAGCCTGAAATGTCAACTTTGAATTTAAGTGACCTACCATGCCCGATCAAGTCAAAGGTGGGCTATTAGGAAGAATCTGTTCTTTTTCAGATCTCAGAGTTATGTAGGTTTCTCAATCAATGAATTATCAATCAATCAATATGTAGATTTCTAACATAATTCCGTAATATATTTTTTATTCACTAAGCGGGCCTGGCAGGATATTGTGATTGAAAAGTGACGGTCAAAGGGGTAGCTAGATGGATGGGCTAAGTGTATGGCGTTATCTTGATACACTAGCCTCTTGATCAATTCCTACCTCGGGAAGGCCTCCTGGCCTACTTGGTGTATGAGGAGTGAGTGATTAGTCGTGATCTATCAAATATTAACAGTTACTTGTGTGTGATATAGTATTTCACGAACTTTAAGCAATCACTGACTTCATCGTCGAATAAATCAATGTATGATATTGAAAAAGTAAGTTACAAAGAATGCAGGATAATGAAATGGATATTGCTAAAATGAGGAAATAAATGAAAAATGCTGAAAACAAACAATCGTGAAGTTGACGCCGTCCTGTGGAAAACCATGCTTCGACATCCTTCGCCTTCGCTATGCGGAACCACAAAACGGAAAAGAATAACCTGCACCCAGTGGCCAGCGGGTACGAAAAACAGACTCAAAGCCAGAGCCAGAAACACGAAACCCAATACCACCGAAACTCCAACCCGGAAGAAAACAAGAAAGCACAGAAAAATAAAAAGACAGACCCTTCTACACAAACTCGGGATCCAAATGCGTCGGAATGTCGCCCGTCCTACACCCCACATACCAAGTCTCAAAATAGTCCTCCTGATCCCTCGCCGTCAGCTCACTCCCCGAGGCAGCGCCGTTCTCGGTGAAGAACGGGTACTCCTCCGCATTCCACCACGTTAGGAGGTCCATGAGGTAGAATCTCGCTTCACGTAGAGTGCGCTTGACGTTATCGCGCTCGCCGGGAAAGATGGGGTACTGCCTGTTTGGGAGAACGGTACCGGAGGCTTCGAGGGCGCGGATGATTGCCGCGCAGGTGGCGATGATGCCTTCGTTGAGGCGGCCACGGTCGGCGGTACGCGGGAGGAGGAAGGGGGTTGCCCGCATGTAGGTTGATCTCTGCGACATTATGAGGTACGTTTTGATAGTGGGGTTCTTTTTTGGACAGTGTGTATGTTTGATGTTAAGTGGTTGGCTGATAAACAAGAGGTTGAGCGATGTCCGATGATGAAATCAGCAAGTAACAAACGTATACAAAGAACAAGAAGGAAGGAGAAATGTCTCGGAACATCAGGGAAGCTGCGCTCTTTTATCGCCTGCCAGAAAATGTTCACTGGTGTCGTTTGATATCACGGGATCGGCGAGTCGGAAGTTCCGAGTGCATGGTGATCCGATGGCAGCCGGGGATTTTTCATGAAGGATGCAGGTGGCATGCGCGTGGCCGATAAGAAAGTTTATGTTTGACGGCAGCGGGTAAGACGAGAACGTGGTCGACTCATGGTGGAACGGGGTACGGCAGGGCAGGGCAGTGTGGGGTGGGGGTGGGGGTGGGGGTGGTGGAACGGTGGGGGTGGGGTAGAGGGGAGCTTTAGGTTTTGGTGACATTTCGTGAGTTATGTGTGTGTACCTGCTCTCTAGGTGGGGAAGGCAGGTTGAAATGCTAGCAGTTCTCAGAGTATCAGACAGCATCCAGGTATCGTAGTGCACGTCTCATGACTCTACTTCTGGGTTTAGGCCGGCTGACAGTCCAAGTATCACCGTATAGGGAAGAGGTTCTATTGGCACTGACAACAAGATTATGAGGTTGGCAATTCAATTATAACTTTACAGGGAATGTAGGAAACGGCACGCAATAGGACCGTCATAGGATATCACTCGATGTATGCGGCATACGTTATCACTCGGAATATGGGAAGATGCTAGTAACACGCATAGGTACACTCAGCAACGGGGACAAGGAATTGACACCCTCGAGCTAGCTTAGTTGTTCTCATCTTTAACGTTATGACGAAGATCCCCCAATGCCAACGAAGGTGCTACTCTGATCCAAGGTGTTGCATTAGTGATTGTCACAAACACCTTGATCATACAGGTTGATGGGACGTAATACTGCCCCCCCAAGCCAATGACCCCCACGAACATTCATCTGTTCTACCTTCTTCGCATAGAATCGGATACGAGGTGACCGGGGTCAGGTTTCCCACGCATGAGGTGATACCCGCTTCCTGCACTCGATAGTATTCATGTCCTCGAAGCCTACCTCATGTGATAACTTACTCGGCCAAAATGTTACAAGCAAGGGCCTAATTGAATACGCGTACAAGACACGTGGGGGTATCTGCACACCGAGTTGGAGCCGAAGTAGAATTCCCCCCGGCAAGCATTACTCATTGCGTTCGAACCACGTCTCCCCCACCTCTATAAGAGACCCTTCCCTTCTCCCCCTAGCGATCCTGTCCAACTGATCCACAACCACACCACAACAACCACCCCCACAAACAACCACATCAACAACAACCACAGCCTTCACAAAAAATGGAAGACATCACAACCCTCTACACCACCTTCAAAGCCGCCGTCGATAAATACGAAGCCGCCGTCACAGCGCTTAGCGCCAACCTCGACGGCCCCATGGAGTGTTTCGACGCTGCGGCGGCCCGCGAGACCACCGCGCTCGGTAACGCGGCGTGGGCGTGCCACGACGAATGCGGCGGATATGTGGAGAGGGTAGCGAAGATTAGGGCCGAGGTGGGGCCGGAGCTGAATGGGCTGCTGGGGAGGTGCTTTAAGCTGGGGGAGGAGTTGAGGGAGCTGTCGGATGAGCAGTAGCGGGAGGGCTGAGTGTGGAGGAGGAGGGATTTTGGTTTCTTTTAATTTGGGTCCTGCGATTGGGGGTTCTCCTTTTTTTTTCTGGCTGTTTTTTTTCGTTGGTTTGTTTGGGGGCGTGGAGGTGGGTAGGGAGGAATCGTACTTGTTGGGTTGTTGGTATGGGGTGTTTTGTGTAGGATTTAGGATTTTTTTTCCTTCTTCAAAGGCAGGTAGTAATATATTACGGCTTTAATGTGCTGTACTTCCAACAACGCACTTCGTATAAACAATCCCACAAGAACCTTGAAGGACTGAACATAATATTTATCCCTGTGGGGAATATTGTAGTACGGTCCAGATAATGTACGTGCATCCTGCTTACTTCTACCAAGTGCCTTGAAGTACTGAGTTGGATCTTTAAACAGGGTTAACGAACTCATCTTGCTGTGCCCAGCCTCTGATATCTTCGATAATACTATCCATCTTCTCTCCTGCATTTATATCGTACTGTGTATATCCCAGTCCCTGCCCAAACCTGAACCTGGCGTATACCCTATCTGTACTCTGATTCTGATTTCGATATATCCAGAATAGCAAGGAACCTTTCCTGTAGGGTTTTACCATCCTTCGTTGAAAGAAGAAGGGAAGAATCTGTAAAAGTAATCATCTACACCCCATGCCAGTTCAAGCTACCACCCAGCCCGCACCGCACGCCATGGTGCGCACCTCTCCGACTCCATGCTAGAGAGAACACAGCCAGCATTCAACGGAGCATGGCAGCTGTGTGTAGCCACATGCATCTGGACGTCATATGGCCGATCTATGGGTTCGAAGCCGTCCACGAAAACGAGTCCAGATAACAGTTTGGCTGTCCTCAACGTTGCGGTTAACTGATGGCTTGGTTGCATGTTGCCGATGTATATTTTGACAACACCGAACTGAAAAGAGCCAGCCAGCAAGAAGCGGTTTGGACTGCAGAACTATTCTCATGTCGTAGAGGCAGTAGTCCGGCAGGAACTCTACAGCGGAGGTGTTCGGTGTTAGGTGTCACCTAGCATGCTGTGGGTGTTCGTTGTTTGTATGGGGAGTTCTACCTGGTGCACTGAAAGCCAGTTTAGCTCGACCCAAAGCTGACCCTCCGTTGGGAATTGGTGTAAGAAGAGCAGGAGATGGAATGAACTGCGACGTTGTGGTAAGATGCAGTCTCCACTTGTTTCCTGAAAGTTGACAGCTCGTTTATCGCGGAGATCTTATCTGCTAAGCTTGGCACCGATAAGGCGATAACAGACTTGGCACACAAATAGCACCTAGGATGGAAAACACACATGGCGAGTGTGGCCTAACGGTTAGCACTCGCCCCCAGACGGACCCCGTGAGGTTGGACCCCCTTCGATCACAGAAGGGTAAGGGTTCAACCCGGGGGTGGGGGTTGTAGCTATGGCTTAGACTATCAATGCAACCTTTAGCTCTTTTTTTGAATTAATCTTTTTCTGAACTTGGGAAATAATCGGCACTTGCTGCAATTTTACACGGGGCTGGAAGTCGCTATAATTCACGTCTCATAATGAAGGGGAGAGCTTTTGTCGTAATATGCTCGCGGCACGCCGCTACCTACACCACTGTAGAGATAGAGGTTCAGGGTTCGGGTTTCTTTTTTTCCCTCCCAATGAACACGATTAGGAGAAATTAAAATATTACAGTGAAAGCGCATCAAAAATGAACGCATTCAACTTTGCAGATAGTACTCTCTCTTATTCCCATAGGAATTGCTTACATATGTAACTAAAACAGAAACTAATTTGAAGCATTATGGTTGAATTGCGTCAACATCGTAAATGTCTTCGTTGGGATAAACATGTGTGAACACCCAGCGGCGGAGCACCCACGGCGGAATACCCAGCAAACATCACTGACTGCTGTAAAAGAAACCTCAACCCAGCAAATTGCCTTCCTGCAGAGGTGTACGTAGCAGAAGTGTACAACTAGCATCTCACTTATCGCCGAGATCTTATCTACTTGTATCTTGGCACTGATAAGGTGATAAGCTCTCGATAACAGACTTAGCATTAAACTAGCACCTGGGATGGAAAAGACACATGGCAAGTGTGGCCTAACGGTTAGCACTCGCCCCCGGATGGACACCGTGAGGTTGGACCCCCTTTGATCACAGAATGCTAAGGGTTCAACCCAGGGGTGGGGGTTGTAGCTATGGCTTAGACTATCAATGCAACCTTTTGTTCTTTTTGTCAATTAATCTTTTTCTGTACTTGGGAAAAATTAATACTTGTAGTGGAATCATCTTGCTGTGATGTTATTGCGCGAGGCCGGCCGGGGGTGCTTGAAACTACAGTTATAGGATCGTTGCACGGGGTTTAGACAACGAAGGGGAAAAACCCTTTATTTTATTTTATCTTTTTTTTTTTTTTTTTTTTTTTGGGGGGGGGGGGGGATGGTTGCAGAATGTTACTTGAGTCACGTATTTGATTCAGGCCACCATGTTGAAAAGTGCCCTTCAACTCCACCCGCTCAGCTACTAAGGGCAAATCCTTTTCGCAGATGACCTTTGCTTTCCATCGACAATTACCACTGGTGCATTACAGTCTCAACTCTCTTCTCATCAATACACACAGCAGAACGCACACACCACCAGGAGACGGAATGAACCGCGACATATCCGGACCCCCAGCTGGATGCTCATCTCGCTTGCAAGCTACAGGTAGGTTGGTTGAATGTTCTAGGGAGTGGTGTTTCTCGCTAACATAGTGAGTGTTCATCTCCCGTTCTTCCGGAACAGAACTGCCATCTTTATCATCAGAATCGGGCTTGCGGATTACAATATATTGATGCCCCTTTCTCTGGGATTGAGCTTACACTTGTTTTTACCGGGTTTTGGATAGCACGCCCACCCGCGGGGTGTGTTGCGGGCCCCCTGCACTAGAATGGCGATGACCCACGATTATGCAAAGTGAATTCAAGGTAGGGAATCCCGTCACTGAGGGTCAAGGAGAGGATATTAACGGACAGAACACATCCTTAGGACTTGTAAAGATTGTGATGCTTAAGTCCTTTTCCCTTCGACCCCTCAGATACGAGTGATAATACATGATCAAGGGCCAGTGTCGGATTGACATGCTGAGATGAAAGTTCGCTAATGTTATTTCCAGGGAAGAGCTCTCAAGCTTACTTTAGTTTACTCAAATCGAGGAGAAGGGTCTCATTTCCAACTGGAAGATATCCACAACGATGGTTTACAAAACCAGAGTTTCGAAGATCACTGTAGTACTGGAGGTAGTTGGACAACCTTCGGGAAAGATGATTGTGACTACATGGATAAGATTTCATGTGGCCGAGCGGCAGAGTCTCCCGCTATTGATCTTAAATCTAAGGTACATGGAAATGGTTCGGACCGCGGAGTTCGAGTGTGTAGTCATCAACCCGGCATTAGGAAATTCGTTCAAATATGATTCGCCGAGAGGCTCGGGATACTATGTTAGTATATTGACCACCAATGGGACTGCACCATGCTACTTTCTAGTTACGTCCGGTTTGATTGGTTACCGTAACACTATCCTCAGTTAAAAGAAAGATTGAACGTTGACGATTTCTGCGCAAAAAAGGTATAAAAGAGCTGAACCCCTAGTCCCCCCCTTGTAATGTTTCTGAAACACTCAAGCTAACTTACACAAGTTTACACTACCTTCGTATCACTCGCCCCAACCACAATATCAGAAACAGACTATCAACAATCCAAAATCAATAGCAACACACAGACAATGGCATACTCAACAGGTCTCCAAGGGCGGCCGTGCACCCCCCGGCAAGCCATGCTCGAGCTCCAACGTGCACACCTATCTGCAGCCCAACGCCTTCTTAATATCCGAAGTGCCGCCGACTTTGCCCGCGATAACTGGGCAATCGTCAGGGACGTGCGTGACATTACCCGAGCAGTCACTGAAAATTTGAGGGGATATTCCACCTGTTCTTCGAGTAACTACCTCAATCCTTCGTTCCGGATGGAGGTCAGGGACTTCGTGTCACTCCACAATGACGGCTTTGAGAGGAACCAGAACCTCTTCTTGCAATATCAGAGGTACAAGAACGGCATTGAGAGAAACACAAGGACGAGGTTGGAACAATATATCAGCACCATCAGGGAGGAGCAGGAGTTGGGCAATGAGTATTGCGACGAGATTTCAGAGCTGTTGAGGTAAGAGACTACCGAACAGCTCTCAAGTGGGATTCGATATTCTTGGGGAGGGGAATTAAACTATGTATGGCTGGTGGAGATGGCTAAAATGTTTTGGTTGCGTGCGATTCCTGATTTTATTTCCTTTTTTTCTTCTTTTGGGTTGTTTTGGACGGTTGATAGAATCCTCTCTGCGGTCTTGGTCAACAGAGAAAACAGGATACCTGTTGCTGCCTTCTTTAGCACAGTTAACTTTAAACATGGCATATCGCTCCGAGTACTGTTTCAAGTGGGGTCATCGGCTCACATGGTTATATATGATCCACGTGATAAACTGACGTTCCCGCTTCACGCCGTGATCCGACTGGATAACAAAATATTGCAAGGTACGGATATCCAATTATTGATATAACCAGCTTTTCCACCAATCCTTGCTTCGTCAAGAAGAAAATTTTCGCTACTTTTCAAATCACAGAAAATCACCCAGTCTTCGCCGCCCACGTGCACAGGAACTTGGCAGTTCTCAACTTCTGGGCGGCTGACTAAGATACATTCTTGGCACCACTCAACACTTCAAGCCCGACGTCCGAGACTGAGAGCATTAGCTCGCGTCTTCCTTAGCGAGATCAAGTCGGCCAATAATCATTAGGACGCTCTTTGTTATGGTCTACATCACTCAGATGTTTTGCTGGAACGGAAGCTTGGAGCTGCGTCATACAATATCACTCGCATTCCATCAACAGCATATGTGGTATCAATCATTACCCTTGTCTAAGTAGTATCAATACTCCAGGACATGCAGTAAGATAAAGTTATATCCGCGAATGATCAACCTAGAGGCAAGATACTTCGAATACGCTATCGTTTTATCATTAGATGTCGTTGGGCGTAGTATTTATTGAGGGTTTGTTAATTAACACGACAAGCTCGCACAAACCAATTGCTATATCACGTTTTCAGAATACAAGGAGAATATTATTATAGTTTCCTAAATGCAAGGTAATATTTTGGTGGATTGGCATGAGCAGAAATAGTTCTTTAGTGGGGGTTCGGGAGGTCCTCTTAACCTCCGGGTGGCCTGTCTCGGTGGCAGTGAATTCGATTATGGTTACTCATGCCGTCGGTTTGGATAGGGATAGGAATGAGTGATCGGAAGTAAAACCTGCTTTTGACGAACTTGTTTAGATGGCAGTGAATATTCATTTTATCACTGGCCAGGTAGGTCTCTCTAGTGAGGACTAGTAAACCCCCTCGCGTTGGCAGTCAGGCTCAATATATGTCAGGTTAGCCGGTAAAGGCAGGTCTTCTAAAATGACGACACTACACCTTAGGAAAATTTAAAAGGCTTCCATATCCGCGCAGAGCTGTTTAACGGATGAGGGTTGCCCTCTCTCCTTCCCAATTCTCTCCTCGCCTCAAACGAATAAAGCTAAGCACAGTCAGCCTGCCTGTCTTACACCAGGTAATCCCCTCCGTGAGTCTCGGGATATATGTTCCAATCCATACCTCGTACACAGGAACACATGTTTTCAAAACACAAGGTTAGGCGGTGCAAAAAATATGCAGGCATCCGAATACTGCCATTACGGCACCTTATGCGAAGGGAAGTAGGTAACAGTTCTATACATAGTCCCAGGTGCGTCTAGCAGCCTATTCTAGCTCTTCGGAGAATACAATTTCCACTTCCGGGAACCAGCTGATCAAGCGTTCTACGCAGCAAGGTGTTTCCCCATAATAGCCTTCTATCAAGACGGGTGAAAGGCTGTGTAGAATAACGTCCACACACTTCAAATGTGATATTTATACCCCCACCCCACGCACCTGTCAAAACGCAAACAAAACAAAAACACCCAAACTGCAGAAATGTCACAACTAACAATAGGCCAAGTCCACAACACATACCTACAGGCTGACATCACAACCCTCCGCAAGAAAGTGGGAGAACTCACAAGTCATAACGTTCAGCTGCAAAAGTTTCCTGAAGCCTCAAAAAACCTCACGACGAAAGGTCCTGACACAACCCGTATCCGCACCGCCATCCACACTTGTGCCGGCCTCATCAACAACCTCCTCCACTCGAGCCTCGACCACTGGATCACGCTCAAGGACGCAGCTATACTGCACATGAACACCGCGGAGAAGCTCAATCTTGACAGCCACTTATCTGGCATCACTGCGCTGAGACAGCAGTATCATGAGTTGTGTGTGGGGATTAACCAATTCCTGGCCTGCTACGACGAGCAGATCAGTATCGCGGGAGAGAAAGAGGAGGAAGAGGAAGAGGAAGAGGAAGGTTGGCTCAATTTGTCAGAGCATCGACTAATGCACTACCGTGAGGAGGCGGAGAAGCTGGATGAGCTTGTTGACGACCTTGAAGACGTGGCGGTAGATTTTAAGGTCGTACTAGAGGACACCGAGGACGCCTCTTCCGAAGAGGACGAACCGATGTTTGACTTTGGGCGTGACAAGGGTCTGCCAAGGGCGATGATGGCAGGGAAGAAGGTGGACCAAAGGGCTGCGACGGGGGAATATAGAAAGCAGATTAGGGAGTGTGTTGCAGTAGTAGATGGGTGTCTGTCGCGAGTGAGGTATTGGGATTTGATGAGTAGTATGAAGTTCCTTGTTGAGGAAAATGAGAAGGAGTCGCAGGAGGAGATGAAAGAGGTGGCAGAGAAGTCAGAAGATACGAAGAGGAGGTTTAGCGCGCTCTGTCAGGATCTGGAGGCGGGTATGAATGTTTGTGGAGATAGACTGAGGGGGTGATGAGGCCTTGTGGTTCGTTTTCTATGTTTAAAGTTCTGAATATTGTTTTTTTCTCTGTCATATAAATTTGATTTTTGGTTCCAGAACATGACAAATATATAGCATTTGGGAACGACTACAACAGGCATAGTCGAGCGTAGTAATGTCATTAAGTACAAATCTTCAGTCGATGACCTCTCTAGATGATATTGATAGCTTTATTCAGCAATCCTGACCAACGTTGGAATAAAGATAACTCAACGGGTATGTCGAGTTGTCTGATGAGGTAATCCTGCTGTGGGGCCTGCACGGGGTGTTGGTGTTGGTTATAAATTAATATATACAGACACTAACTACTTAATAATGTAGCCTAAGACAAATCCCATAGTGTAGAACCTTTGAATTCCGCAGTAGAAGGCACTTTGATCTCCTCTGTTCCTATTCCAGTATCGAGTAGTTCTGTTCTGGAATATATGGATTGGTAGAGAAGCTTTATATTGGCCTACTATAACAGTTAAATTGTCTTTCCTTTCAATCTGGCTGGGTTGGTCGACACCTCTAGTATCTTGCTAGCTGTAAAACTTGGTTGGTCAGATCATTAGAGGAAATATAATTATAAATGCTTCCTCGAGAAGTAGGTAGCAAAGCAGGCTTTCAATCCAATACAATCACTCTCAAAGTTCACCTTTTCCAAAACGGTTCACTTGGCTTGTAGAATATATCTCACATCATTGGGGAGTATTTTATAGCTCGCTCCGTTAATCTTTCTAAAGAAAATGCACAACCCAATACATAAACTCGAATACTCTGAATATCAAAAAAGTGACATCACTAACAGTAGGCAACTTCACAATGCAAAATTGCAAACGTATATCGCACTTGTTAACGCCCTCTTATGAACACTGATATTTCATAAAAGATTTTTAAATGCCTAACTTATCGACGAACACCCTGATGTAGCGGACTAGAGATATCTTGCTGTAGAGCCCAAAGGTTCGTGGGAGGACCAAGAGATTGTAGAGAGTAGGTATTCGTGATAGGCGCAGATATTGGTGGAGGGCCCACAACTGTTTGTGAATAGTTGAGGTATCAGTACAGGGCCGGCAATTTTTCGTGAACAGTTTTGGCATTCATGGAATCACTAGAAGAGGCTAAAGATATTCCTGATAAGCTCAGGTGTTCGTGGAAAGCCTGCAAGTGTTCGCGAACAGCTCAAATATTAGTAGGAGGATCAAGAGTAGCTACATATATTCTTGAAATGCATGGGTTTTTATGGAAAGCTCTCAGGTGTTCGTGATTGGGCCACTGATTCGTGATTGACTTGTGAAGTCAGATTAATTATTATTGTCAGGATACGGCTAAAAGGATAATTCCATATAATGCTGAGGTAATTATTAGCATCCTGCTGCAGGGTAGAAAAATATACTCAAATGCTCAACTTCTTTTTTCTTCCGCTTCAACAACCCACAATTCTCCAAATCTGAACCGCACTATTTTCTAACACAACTAATGTCAGCACAACCGTGTAGCCCATTCTCCACTGAAGCTAAAGCAGCATGGCTTCAGCACCTACTCGATCCAATTCACAAAAACCGATTCAGGTCATCTCAAGATAAGATTACGTTAGTGCAGGCTTTCCTATAAGAACAGAGAGCCTCCGGTGCCTATGGGAGATGTCTCTTGTACGAGACCAAATACAGATGTCAGATTATGAATAATATTTTGAAATTTGAAACTGCAACAGGTTGTTGGGGATGAATAAGTTAGTTGCTGTACCGTCGTGCATAGCTAAACGCTAATCTCTTTAGGCATTTGATATAATCATTCAGTCTTATTTAAGTCTGTATCATATCGGACGTGATAAAACACTGGCAGATATAACTTCTGACTATTATAGAGTGACCCGGAAAGAGGTATTTTAGGTTTTGAAACACTGCTCAACCTGCGCTGTCAATCATAAACAACAACAAAAGACAGGAATCAGACTGATAATTGTAGGTAAATATTTAGATCGTATTCAGGTGGATTTGATTGATATGTGGGAATACCTAACAGGGGAATGAACTGAATATATCATCTCAGAGACCATTTCAGGAAGCTTTCGGTAGCATACTCAATCTCAAACAAAACCAGTGAGGTGGTAGCCAATGCAGTATTGAATTTCATTGTGCATTATGGTCCTCCCAAAATCCTACAATGTGATAATAATGGAGAGTTTAACGGTGCATTATTGATATTAGCCTTTGAACATGGCATCAAGGTAAGTTACCTCTAGTCAATAGTTGAACTAATATTAAACTATAGGACTATAAATTGCCACGCACGTGATCTACAGACGAAGAGATTGATTGAACAGGCAAATAGTGTACTTAAAAGCAAGCTTAGTGCTTGGTGCACTGATCATCAGACAAGCGGCTGGTATACTGTAATTTCAGATGCTGTTTTAGCCATGCATAGTCAAAAACCCTCTGTAACAAACAAATCACCATACACTATTCCCTTTGGATAACGAATGTTTGTTCGAATGATTCCTTTTACCGAAAGACATCAATAAGAGGTATCTGATAAGGAATCTGATTCTCAAGCTAGCAACAAAAACCTCAACACCAACTCCAAACATAATCAGTCAGAAGATATATCTGATGATAAGCATTCCGTTTGAAATGAAATATTTACAGGTAGTTTGAATATTCTAATTCATTGTATATCTCTGCACTTATACCATATCATTCTCAAGGGGGCGAGTAGCGAGTATTCTGCAGGGTACAAAGTAGGTAGTAGTGATCGGTGGGGGAGCCTGCGATAGGGGCCCTGAGTGACTCTAGCACTGGTAAGGATCAACGGGATAATGGGAGCAGCAGAACAGTGGGCTTCTTGAGCAGAGAAGAGGAAATGATATTATATAGTAATAGACAGCGTAGGTACAGAAGACTTTGCATATCAGAGGAAAGAAAAGAAAGAAAACAGAAGCGAGGGCGAAACCTCCTAATATACACAAGGAAATCCCAGCGATGACAAATCCAAAGTGACTCATACACTTGCGACCAACAGAACCCGATAGAACTCAATAGAACCCTTATGACTAATCTAACTCCTCGTAATCCAGTGTATTAATTAATCGATTCATGAAAAACAACTCGAGTAGATTAGAGGCCAGGAGTGGACTGCTAATGAAAATATATCAGCTTCACAAACTCAACAAGTACCCATGTGAATTTTTTGAGGAAATGAAGTAGTATTAAGAAATATGCATAGGAATAAATCATATGCAGGCTATTTACAGTGAACAAATTGTTATAATGCCTCATACGAAAGAAAAAGAGCAAGAAAAATAGTAGAGATTTTTTTTGGAATTCCAGTTGGTACACTATCGGAAGGAGATAAAAAGGCTAACTGGGTTTCTTAATGAATTTGAAGTCATGGTTCCGCAATATATAATCGAACTAGAGTTTATGGAAAAAAATGAATCAATACTTCCTCACCGATCTGAATGGATTACCTAACGGCCAACAATAATAGCTGCGAATCCGCGGATGATAATTTTGATAAACTAACGTACAAATATTTGAAATGGTGATCGGGAGATAGAAGAGTATTTGGTACGGATAAAGTATTGGAACTTTATGACTTACGAATTTTGCTCTGGGCATCAAAAGGAACGAGAATTTTTTGAAGGAGATGGTTGTATTAGAGAAGGAAGTGTGGGAAGGAAAGAAGAGATTTGAAGTAATCTGCAAGGGCACAGATAAGGCTGGAACGATTTCTAGGGAGAGATATTTAGGTGCAAGATGTACGCCGACATATCCAATGGGGATGTCGGATGTAACGTTGAAAGCTGATTTCTCAGGTTCCATCAGTTGTCTCACTTTCTTTCTCCCTCGAAGTTCTACATTTGTATTCTAATGATAATAAGATGAATCGATGTCCAAACAATGAATACATCCATAAGATATATTGGTTTCTACTATAGATTGTATAATAATCTTTAATTCTTTGGTATAGAACTTTACGAGATAAATGAGATATGATAAATTGAAAGAGATGAAGGTTACGGACTGGATGACCTGTAAGTCTATTTATGAGGATTTATTGAGATTGGAATACGTTACTTGACACTTTCTTCGTACCTATCAGATGACGTATCATCATAATCTATCTGAGTACCCTCCTTCTTCTTGGATTTTCTGATTTTTCTCACAATAGGAGCTGCCAGCCTTAGTTTCTTAAAGATTCTTTTCTTGGCAGCGGCATGCATTGCTTTTTACTCGAGTTCTAATTCCAATTGCATGACCTCTGCTCCCATAATAATTTGTATGTTAGATATCAACCATCTGTCTGCCTTTACTGCCCGCCTACCTATAGTTTAGTGAGATCTTCTGAACTCAAATACCCTCCTGCTAGATGCATCAAAGGAAGAATTACAGCATTATAATCAGAAGGGTCGCTGACCTCCAATGCAAATTGTGTTTGCTGGTGCAAATCTCGGTGGATTTTTGGAGTTTGAAAATTGTAGTCGAAGAGAATTTTAGGGCGATTTGAAGTTGCATATTTGATAGATTTCAATGATCTGCCTTTATTGAGGACTTCATTAGGGTTAAAAGGAAATATTCCTGTTAATTTAAAAGCTGATTTCATTTTATCTCTCGTATGCGTTTCCTTTCCAGCTTCGGTGAATAGAGATTAGAACGTACCTATAAAAGATGAGTAAAAAACTTAATATATTAATTAAGATATGTGTACCCTGTGTGATTCCAGTATAATTTCTCTCATATCATTGTCGGAAGCTTTGCCACAATAATATTGAATTGGGTCGAATAGTCCGACATACATTAGCTGCAAGTGATGAGTTGAATGTGCAGGAAGACTGACCAAATGAATATTACGAGATTATGCATATTCACAAAAGTCATACATGAGGTGTAACCAATGCCCATATATTACTAGAAGATGAGGGCAGTTATAAATGATTTTAGCGAATAAATATCAAAGTATTCTTTTAAGTTGAAGTTCCATATAGTGACCTTTGCCTTTAAAAATAATCCACAATGAAAGAGCTAAACCAGCAGTATAAGTAGCCTCCACTACTGTAATAAACTCGTGGGACCCAACTTGTTCTAAATTGAGATTTCTTCTACCATTTCTGCATACAACTTTGGCCTCCGATGAATAACTAAGGATAAATTCTTTTTTGTTAAAGTTGTAAATATCACAATCGGGTTTTAGTCCTTTGGAGATGAGCTTGCATAATTATAACGGAGCTATTTCAACTGTCTAGTGTATTAGTATACACAGGGTCCGGTTACATATTGAGAGTTATTTTTAGAAGCCAGCTGCACAGTGATATACAAGTGCCGTCTGTGTGGTTAGCCACCTGCTGTTAGAGTAACTAAATTCTGAGCGCTAAGAAAAAGATCTATTAATGGAAGCAATAGCTGATGAGTTTATGCCTCCCCAATAACCAGATAACTGGCCAGATTGAAGCTCTGAATGCCCGGTGATCATATGTATTCTTCGAGCATACAGGTCTACTGATAGTTGCAGGGACTATCCCTGGGAAGTCTATAATAAGCAAAAGCTCCACAGCAATGATTAAGCATACACCTGATCGGCAGCTCATTCATGCAGGTTCCGGTTGTATGGCAACCAAGGCTGCAGGTATTACAAAGGCTTTAACTAAGGGTGGTTGCCTTTGGTACCGGAAACAGCTACTGTCGCTTAGAGGAAAGTAGAGTAATAGTAGTATTGTTTCCCTCACGGATGAAAGCCATCACCGGAATTTAGTAATATGTTAGGAGCGGAGAATAAAGGCCATTAGAGTATAAGTACTCGAGCTCATTTTCCACCCTGTGATCCTGTTCCCCCAGTCTTTATCAAAAAGAAAAATCAAGTTCTTATTAGTAGCAGAGCCTTTAAAGATTATTCATTTCTAGCGATAGAATCTTTGAATAATCTGCAATCTGATTGTCTATCTTGCATAGCCGTCCCTAATTTATCTTATTCTATTTTCATTAGAAGATACCCTCATTACAGTAATAGGTGGGTGAGTTATTTGAAGTAGTGGAATACCATGACAGGGTTACTTGTATTTTATTTCTGTCGATCTATATGTTTACTATACTTTGACGCTAAATCTGGATTTCTGTCTAGGAATCGAGATACCCAATTTTTACCTATATATCCAGATTCAGGACTAAGGTTTTCCTCCTCAGCTATTTTTTGGGGTATCACAGTCGCCATACTCCATAACTAATCCAATATGGGTGGAATCACTGCATCATATATTTCTTCATACCAATTTTTGAGGCCCTTTTCCATGGTCGACGGTAGTTTTTGTTGCACCTCATAATCTTCATAGTCATTTTTGCACCACTTATATCTGTTATTAAGGGTAGAAGCTGGAACACTAAATTATAGCCTCAAAATGGCCCAAGGTGTATTAAACGCAGCTCTTTTTGCTAAAGCACTGAGAATTCTTTCCTCTCTCTCTGATTCGGATAGGGCCCCAGGTCGCGGCTTTATATTCCCCATTTCATTTTGGGGGTTTATTGAGATTTGAACGCTTGATCCTCATTCGAGACTGAAAGGTTGTGAAGAAGATTTGGTTGATTAGTCATCCGATTTTCCAGTAGTATCCCACTTCCCGGTTGGATACGTTACTGAAATCGATGTATACTGGTTTCTAGGTAAACTAAAAGAGTTCAATGAGTCACAATAGGCCTACTTGCATATCTTATATTTGTTATCTTTTGTTTTTTTGTTCTTGGGATTTTATATTGCTTCTTGGTTTCCTTATGAAGGAACTCTAATCAACTTGATATAGCTGTGATTGTGAAAATATACCATGCTTCATCTATTTCTTTCTTGGTATAATCCTAGTTTCATGGCAAAGATCTTCTGTAGGAACACGAAGGTTACTATTGAACAGTCGCATATTAGCCATGGGTATTAAAAAAAACGAGCACCAGTAATAGAAGTCTCGAAGACAATGGTAGTCAACTATTATTCCAATGAGTTTCGTAAAGAGTTGATAGAGTGCCTTTAAAGTTTAACTCTAGTTTGCACAAGTACCATCGAGACACCAATAAAGACTGTCGAAACCGAACTTCTTTTGGTCTCAGAAACCACCTGGAGAGTGTACGTTATTCAGCAGGGCATTCAGCTACTGGCAGTAAGGGGAACTTATGATACCATCTATTATAAAAACATTTATGAGGAATAAAGTCCTCCCTATCCTTTGGTGAGCAACAACAGTTCAAATTATGGTCCTCTCATGGGGACTTGAAGGTGACAGAGTTCGATATTTCAAACGTTTTCCGAGTGGTAGCCGAGTCATTTCTCATTCAAAACCATAGTACCAATTTTCTTTGCCCGTAGTTTCAATCTAGCATCTAAAATGCCGAGGTCTGAGAGCCTCTGCATAATACTAAATATGCAAGCCCTGGTGATAGTCTTGGTCAACTCGTACATCTCCAAAACTCATTAATTAGAATAATGGTAACGCGCTCGCATAGAAACAGAGTACGCCGGGATGCTGCTCATTTTGATTTGATTTCTGATTTTTACCGCCGGGAGTAGCTTTGGCTGGAAGTCATGTCTAATAATCTCATCAGATGGTATATCGATAGCAACGGTATGAGACTGATTCAATATTTTCGAGATCCTTAGCTCATTTTCTGCTCGAGCCCTAAGCTCCTCGATACATATCTTCCTCATGTTAACAGAGAAATGCGACCCTAATGTAGCTTGGCGGAACAATGGATAAAGCGTAATACTATTTTCTTGAGATGCACGAAGATGTAGTCATCAGTCTTGAACTTTGCACCAGTATAAACGGCAGCCTTTTCTTCTCCCTCCGCATTCCCGACGCGTTGTCTCTCCTTGAATCTCCGTGGAAGAGCTGGATTTCCTGGGTTTATAATTTAACCTCCTCCGCCCTGCCACCAGTTCCTTATCTCCTTATAGAATCTCGGGGATAGTCCAGATCGCGGGACTCCTGATTCAACTGCTCTGACTACCTAGGCACCATTCCCAGTTAAGGTAGGAAGAACGGGGTATAGTCAGTAGTATAGCCCGGAGTTCCTTTTCTAGACTTTGACGAGCTCAACTATGGTCAATAGTCGCTCCTTCATTCCAAGATCCATATTGTGAACAATGAGAATTCAACCCTAACCGTAGACATCAGGTGCCGCGTCACCATCGTTCACTCGCGGCGACATAAGCCATGACTCGAGAAACACAAAATGTCACTCCTAGGATTACATAATCTACCACGGTAATAAAACTGCTAACTTGAAAACGTAGAGAAAAGAAGAGATAGAAAGAAGAAGATATAAAGAGAGGAAAATATGCAGGGAAGAAGACATAGAGAGAAGACGGCACAGAAGATATAGAAGAAGACATACAGAGAAGTACACATACAAAGAAGAAAACATTGACCGAACATAATAAAAACGAAAGACAGAGACCGATCCCAGGTGGCTATTTATTGAATCTCCACACTCCCGGATAAGCCGAGAGCCCCTACTCGTACTGGTAGTGTGCCTACCTTTGTACTTTGTTCCTAGTTTGCCTTCGGCGGGAGTGCCCTCTCCTTCTTCTCTCTCGGCGGCAATCCGAGACGAGCCCTAGCATCAGCGATGCTTTCGCCGGCGCGGCAGAGCGCGAGGTCGGGAACTGGGTCAGCATCACGGATGACGAGGCGCTGAGAGGGGTGGTTGTAAGTGGACTTGGTAGCTGTCGCAGCCTCCTTGGGATCCACGAGCGACTCGGTGCTGTCGCTCGGTGAGCTCAATTCAGAGGATGACGCGCCAGGGACAATACCGGCGTAGGCAACTGGAGGACATCGTTATATGTTAGCATAAATTATAAGACAGAGAGGGAAGGGGAATGGAGGAGGAAGTGAAATACATAAAGCCGCCATATCTGCCCCAGATTCCGCCATATCTGCCTCAGGGTCCGCAGGCTCAGACGCAAGAGCAGGCTCAGACGAAAGAGGGGGCTCAGACGCAAGCGCAGCCTCTTTCGCCTCCTTTGCCTTCTTCCGCTGGCGTCTGTTACGGTTGCGCTTCTTGGCCGGTCGCTCTGTAAGATATTAGCCTACTGCACCACAAATCAAAAACACATGAAGGGGAGAGGTAAACCTTCGATGCTGTCGTAATCAACATCCATCTCAACGCCTCCTTCAGGCGTATACTTCCCGGTCTGTGTCTCTCTCTCGAAGAGATCCAGTAGTGTGGCCGCAGACCTGCGGAGACGGAGGTCGGTGAGTGTTCCCACGGGGATGCCCTCTCCACTAGAGCGGTTGGCTTTGGGTGTGGGCTTTGGTTGGGCAATGCGTCGGCCGGCAGTTTTGGGTTGCGGGTAATGGTCTGGGAACGTTAACAGCCTGCTTGGAAGCCTTGACATTGAAATGGGGTGTGGTTTACATTGAATAGGCTCGGCTGTATTGCCAGCGCCCTCTTGAGTATTGGTGGTAGCGGAGCCTTTGGCCTTTCCTGGGGGGAACCTTTGCTGGTCGCGGAGGTCTAGGTGGTAGCGGATGGGCGTTAGAATGTGGTGTAATGTTCAATTGAAGACTGTTACTCACCCTCAATGCGAGCGACGAAAGAGCCCGCAGCCGATCCAGAGCTAGAGGCCTCAGTCTCATCAAACATGCTCATAACATTCATGATGGTGATGGTGAAAGGAGCGTGTTCCGGGAGAGCGGTGGTTGCTGGAGCTAATACACCATTGATTAGTAAGAGAGAAATGATCTGTAGGGAGAAAAGAAACTGTGGATGTGCATACCGTCATTGACGGGCTGTTCGGAATCTAGAACATAGTTAATCAGAATGTTTGGATCAAAGTGTGATGAGAGAAAGACTTACCAATATCCATTCTCTCGATCTGATCGATGTTTTCGTCTGTCATCTCTACCAGCTTGTCAGTCTCCGTTTTTTTCTTGGTCAAGCGTTTTGATTGCACGTACGTTCTCGCTTTACCGTTATGTTTGCTGAACGTGGTTCTGGGGTGGGTTCTGGTCGTGGTTCTGGTTCAGGGAGAAGTAAGAAATAGTCAGTAAATCTCTTCCAGTCCGAGCATTCGTTCCAACCCTAGCTTGTTACCCTTAAATTCCTCTTTAAGGGCTTAACCACGAATTATCTCGGCGACAACCAGCAGCAACACACAAAACGACAAAGAACAAACTTACTAGGCTCAGACGCACCGGCTGCCTGCACAACCTGTTGATGTTCGACGTGATGGGGAAGTCGAGAAAGGTCGAGTATAGGAGTTTCTATGAGATCATCTTAGCATACTTGTAGTTAGGTAGATATCTGAGCTCCATGAAGAGGCATACCAAGGGATTGAGATTTGAAGGGAGCGGTTTCTGAGACATTGCCCACCACACCAATTTGGGGGAGAGAATGGGGAAAGCTGGAAAGATCGAACATGGGAGTTTCTAATGAGTCCTATTAGCATTATTGTGGTGGGATAGGTATTCGAACTATCAGGGGGAAACGTACCCTGAGACTCGGACTTGACGGGAGCGGCTTGAGCCTTGCCTAGTGGAGTATTCTCCACCTTTACACGCACTTGTGGGACACCTTCATCGAGCCCCATAGCATTGTCTCCTGAGACGCGCGCATTAGCATCTATATCTCGATCAGAATCACGAGCGCTACGACTACCTTCCGTGTTGGTTTCAATTGCCCTTTCCTCCTGCTCAGGCACCGACACGCGCGTAATAATTCGCCGGTCCTGACTTTCCTCGAACCGGACGGAGTAAGGATCATCTGCCTCGCTTCGTCAGCCACATATCCCACGCAAGAAACAGAACCCTCAAATACACCGACTTTTCTGGCCTTCTCGATACGGCGGAATATCGCTCATGCGGACGAAATAATCATCGTCTGGCTCCGTTCTCACCTCGGCTTTAATATCAACTGCAGCAAAAGCAACGAATCAGCCTTGGCTCCACTCACTGGATGATATAAGGAAGGAAGGAACACTAGACATACTTTCCATAGGCGGCCGGATTTTACGCTTTCTGTGCCTATATTCAAACGTAAACGGACCGCCAACTTGCAGCGCTAGAGCAATATTAGTGAGAAGCTATAAAATTGACTCTCATGAGGAAGACATACCGTGGCAGACACGATGGTATGTCCCATCCCATACCAATGCAGTTTTAACACCTCCGTTAAACTTACCCTCGGTGTCTGCGAAAGGGTTTCTGTCGATCATTGTGCTGCAGCGGATATCGAACCCTAGTTTTCTCTGGATTAGCAATTGTTGGCGAAACACTACTGCCTGTGATGGGAGCACATGGGTGGTCCAGGAGTGAACATACATGAGGGTTCGTGACGGTAGTCAGGACTGGTAGTGGGATCGTAGGGTTTGAAAAAGGGTCCTTGAGGGTATACTAGTGAGGGTTCATAGTTATCCTTGTCCCAAGTGGATGTGGGAATGACTCGATCCCGTGGAACTGGTGTGTAGAAAATGCCGTTATCCACTCCGGTTCTGCGGCTTGCTGCCGGGGATGGTGGAGACTCGACTTTGATGCGGATCGATTCATCCATCTCTAGTTATCGATTGATCGTCTCCTGGTAGCACGAGAAAGGGTCTTTCGCGGTGGGAAGGTTGTGTGGGCGCGTTGACACAACTGGTATTTCAAAACCGCCTTAACGTTCAGTGTTGTTGAGGCCGGTAAACTTCACAGGCTGTCTTACCCGGCTGCCCTCCACACCGCAGAGTTGTTGCGAATTCTTGCAGTTCGGCGCATTTGGAGATTGTATTGTCTTTAATAGTTAAAAGAGATTGAGCTTTATTTATGGAAATGGTGTTATGCTCACAAGTCATGGGACAGAAATAATATAGGCTAGTCGAGCCGGTTCAGAAAGAGAGAGAACGATTAGGCCTGGCCCAATCATTTCCACTCGTGTCGTGGGAGCTAGCGTGGCCGGAGAGGAAGGCATTGGTTGAACTGAATAGAGTCGAAGCTTTGGGAAGATATTGTCTCACGTAATATAGATAATATGTTGCCTTTTATGATTAGAATATTCTCAGGGCGCCCAAATGCTTTGTAGTAAGGGTGATATCTCCTTACAAGATCGACGCCTTGTCGCGTGATATGAAGAAAGAAATGTTAATAGAGTATTGTAATTAATTGCAATTCAGAGAGAAGGAGTGCGAAGGACTGGAGAATTGAAACAGTATCATATAAGTATGTAATTTGATTAAATAGTATTCAATTGAATAAAGCAAATATATTGTTTTTGTGTGATCAGCCAGCATAGAACTATGGGACATATATCGTAGAAAGAAGAAATACTTAATCTTACTAACGTATCATTAAAGGAAAAATATGAGATTATATTGATTCTTCGTTTAATCATTCGAGATGAAATGGTGTATGGAGATGGTATACTGTACAGGGCATTTGCAAAGCGACAGTTGGTTTTGCGTGACACCCGCCCTAACGACACTCGTCCCGAGAAAGTGACAATTGCCAAAGATGCACCCAAATTGGAAAAGATCTACCATATTGGGGGAGTTATTCTTATTAACTGTGTCCGAAAAGAATCTTGTTAGAGACAAAACGCCAAGGATTGCTATATATAGAACTTCTTGGAATATTTACTGCCGTTTCTAAGGTGACCGTATGTGACACCTATTGTCGCTTTGCAATTGCCCGGTACCGTGTACCTTGGGGAGGAGAACGTTTAACATGCGCAGGACTGAGGGCGGACCATTTCGCATAGGAATTACCTTCGTATATCGATGCATTATATCATATCGATATCGAGAATAGGACGTTTCCGAGTTTTTGACCATCATACATGGTATTTGCAGATGCCAGTTACTCATAAACCTCCTCCCGTCATTATAGCTATAGAGGATCCGGAGAGAGGATGAAGTTGTATCAATTATCGGACAAGAGAATCAAAAGGTACGCTCGGCTCCTAATTATACCCGTCAATGTGCTAAGAACACCTACCGCCATTGCCTTCTAGACACCTGTACTGGAAGGGCTGTGCAGGGCATGTCGACCGTAATACCACACTTGGTAACTCTAACCTTACAATTATAAAAACACCATTCAGGAAGGGTGGCGTACCCCGAACCCCGACTACTCCCGAACCAGGGTTAGGTTTATGTGCCGATACTTTTGAGATGTGTCCGAACGGAAGCGTTGAGGCGACTCTGTTCTGTGGAATGTGAGATGGTAATAAATGCTATCTTGACATATCGTTACGCGTACGTCTAGTAGCTTTCCTATATCATGTCGTAGTACTACAGCGAAAGCTTGCTATAACGGTGCGCTCAGGACCGGAATTGGTACCGTTATAGAGAGATTACCCTTATATGAGAGGTGATTGTGCTGAAATCCGGGCAAAAAGGACCGAGAAGTGCTACCGTTATAGAGAGATTACCCTTATCTAATATGTACTACGATAGAGCAGTTTCGCGCTCGGTTGAACCCTGACCCTGATATCTGCGTGGCAACCAATCCGCCCCACCAAATCGCCCGTGGTCAACCAACAGCGGCCAATGCCCAGTCAATCAAAACAAAATGTAGGAGTATTAAATTATATCTTAATAATTAAATTATATCTTAATAATTAAATTATATCTTAATAAATAAATGTGCTATCTACTATCTTCTATAGTGTACCTACTGGAATACACTTTAAGGGGTACTTTGGTACATGTATCTTTGGTGCGGTTCCCCGCTGGCACGCCGGCCCATAACCCTAACCCTGACCTCTGTGTGGCAACCAATCCGCCCCACCCAGGCCGATCAACACCTGGATCAACACCTGGGCTGGTCAACACCCAGTCAACAGCCGGGCCCATTCAATTAAAACAAAATGTTGGAATACTATAAATAGGGACTGCCCCCCCCCATCCCACCATCTTTTAAAACAATTCTGATCAACGAAAAACAACAATGAATTCCATAACGTGCCGTAAATGCAAACGGGAGAAACCTCTTGAAGATTACGATCAGGATAATCAAGGAGAACCACGTAAATCATGTCGTACATGTTTGGTATGTATTGTTCAATCTTTCCGGGTGACAGTTATACTTTGCTCTAACAAATTGTATAGCAACTAGAGAGAGAACGAAGAACAGCACGTAGAGCCGCAAGATTAATATTATTTGGGATGAAGTGCCAATGCAGCACAAGTATTGTTTTGAAGCCGTCAACCGTTCACTAAATGATATTTGTGATACAAATATCCATTCTTTGTTTGGTGATATCCCGATTATTCTTGATGGCGATTTCGCACAAATTCTTCCTGTTGTTAGACGGGGGAACAGAGATGCCACAGTTCGTGCCTGTCTTCAAACATCGTTTTTGTGGCAACACTTCAAGCTTTTATCATTGAAGCAAAATATGAGAGTTCAGAATAATATTTCAAATACGTTATTTGCGGAATGGCTTGCGGCAATGTCATACAACCCCAATATACAAAGATATATAACATTTCCACCATTTATTCAAATAACAACAATTGTTAAGGAGCTTTGTACTCACGTTTTTCCACCTCAAATTATCCAGCAAGCTCATGTCGATCATAGAGTGTTCACAGGCCGTGCAATTCTGGCCATTCGTAATGATACGGTATCAGAGTTTAATGATATTGTGCTGAACGAGATAATTGGAGAAACTCAAAGCTTTTATTCATCTGATACTGCGGATTTTGAGGACTCTCCGGATCGATCAAATGAGCTCCCGGCTGAATATCTTCAAAGTTTGAATCCAGCCGGTATTCCACCTTCGGAATTGAAATTAAAAATTGGTGCACCGATTATTCTTCTAAGTAATCTCTATCCAAAACAAGGTCTATGCAATGGCACTCGCATGACGGTTACAAAAATGGCCAGGCGTTGCATCGAAGTGCGAATCTTGGGTGGTGACTTTGACGGTCAAATCAAAATCATCTCACGAATCAAACTATCAACAACAGAAGGAGAACTACCCTTCATTCTTACACGCAAACAACCACCAATTCGATTGTGTTTTGCAATGACTGTAAATAAAGCACAGGGGCAATCACTTAATCTGGTCGGTATTGATTTGCGAACAACATCATTTACTCATGGTCAGCTATATGTTGCACTATCCAGGACTACCAACGTCAACAATTTAAAGGTATTACAAAGGGAGGAAACGGGCGCACAAACTACAAACATAGTTTACTCGGAGGTTTTGTTAGCACAATTGTAATTGGATTCATTTACAATAGAGAATAAAATAACAATATAAATACTGATAGTTACAATCTCATGCTTAACGTTGAGTATGAACATCAGCAAGATGGTACATTTGAATAAGCCTCCCAACAGATATTGATTCTCTGTAGGCTCAGCAAAAGCTTTACGGTCATTTTTCAGCTTGCTGATTCAATTATATAAATATAACGTTTTGCAACAACGGCTCTGTCCAAAATCATTTTTTATTCGGTCATGAAATATCACTCGGCATGTAGAAAAAAACTGCATCGACTTACGCCAACTGTTCACACATCACATAATCTCCCCGAAAGGAAAGTAAGCTTTGAATAAACAGCTGGAGCCTTACGCCCTTAGCTCCAGAGGAATAAATTCATGGTACACTAAGTCGGACGACCCTCTTCCTCTGTGGCAAGGCATCTCATCCATTTAGAATGGAAAATGTGATGCACCTTCGAGGCCCTCAATTATATATCGCCGAGCCTGGAATTTGAACCCCAAGCACTTCGACATATGTCAGACATTTAAACCACTACACTAGGTAGCAATAGCTATGCAATATAATTCCGGAAGTTTATGTTAAAGCAAACTCCATTAAATTACACATACTTTCAGCTCACTGGCACTGGCATCGGTACTGTAAAAACCGGACTCACCACATCCACCCGCCCTTCCCAAAATTTCGTCACATTCAAGCTCACACTTCGCCCTGGCGAGGTGGCCAACTGCTAGTCTAATATGTACTGGCCTTAATTCTGCGAACCTACTCGCCCTCTGATTGACCAAGAGCGGAACCTAACCCTGACCTCTGCGTGGCAACGGGCTCACCCAAAATGCCACCCACAAATGCCACGGAATGTCAAATTCAACCGCGGCACTATTATCAAAATCAAAAAAGACCCCAAGCGGTACGTTTTGGGTGGTTATAGTATCTCTTCTTTCATACACAAAAAAAGAACAAAAAGTACTGTGCGGTTCCGGGACGAACTGGCACTACTCCCACCCCTGGGTCGAACCCTGGCCTTCTGTGATCGAAAGCAGGGCTAAACCTCGCGGTGTTCTTTGGCGAGGGTTAACCGTTGAACCACTCGCCCATGTGTGTTGGTGGCTAAAAATGATATTTGTGCGCCAAGGATGGTTGGCTAGTAGAAGGTACCGTTATAGCAAGCTTTCGCTGTAGTACGCCCAGTCGGGCTAGTGCATATCCCTTATCCTTGGCATTCAAATAGCACCTAGGATGGAAAACAGACATGGCGAGTGTGGCCTAACGGTTAGCACTCGCCCCCGGACGGACACCGTGAGGTTGGACCCCCTTCGATCACAGGAGGCTAAGGGTTCAACCCGGGGGTGGGGGTTGTAGCTATGGCTCACACTATCAATGCAACCTTTTGTTCTTTTTGCGCACCGCTAAAAAATGCCTTAAGAACAAGAAATTATTTGTATTTTAGCACCATAATTTCATGGGCGTTCAGTTTGGCCCCCCGTGTTGGTGGCTCGCGTTTTGTCATTGGGGTTAGGGTTTCTAGCTGCCGACCATAAAAGCTCAAGAACTTGAGTTTAGAAAACCATGTGCAATCATATAAGATATCTAGCCTCTTGGGTGTCTTTCTATTTAAGTCCGACAGGTAACGTGCTTTTGGTGATGGCAGGGCGACACTTTGTCCAAAACTGGACACTAAGTGAGGAGAATAAACGGAGAAGAAGGGGGAGGACTTTCTCTTCTTCACCCCCCCCACAAGGTCGAGACTACAAAGGCTCTGATAACTCTATCTACTCAATTATCCCCTTCCGACGAAATACCCTCTCTGACAATGGGAAAATACAAGGACTGAAAACACAAATTTCACCATTTCTCAAAAATGAGTTGGCACTACCTTGCTTTAATCACATTTGACTTGGATTTCGAAAGAGAAAAAAAAACAAGTATAATGGAATGGTCGAATGGTATTATTGCATTTCAAGCCATCACCTTCCTTGGCCGGATTGTGTCACCAGCAGTCAACTAAGAATTCGCGCACTTTTTTCCTCACACAATTCCCGCCCATATTCCTGCACTACTCCTCCAGAATTCCTCTTACTGGCTGTCTGGGAGCTCGCCTTCGTCACGATCGACGACCGGGGAAGGCTGATTACGCTCGCCTCGGAGATCACCACCTACCCGCTGTAAACGCCGTGGAGCAGGGAAGGCAAGATGTTCTGCTGCGTCTTGGACAGTAGCATGTCGCCTTGATGAGGGGGCTCGAGAGTGGGCTGGAGTCCATAGAGGATCGCAGTTGAAGGGGTTGGCAACCCGAGGCCCAGCAGGGTCGTTTATCAATGTTTCATTGTTTCCAGATACGAATCTCTGTGGTTGTGCTCGGTGGACTGGGGCAGGATCGTTTCCACGAGGGAATTGGTATGCCACTGTAAAGAGGATATATGTAAGCGTGGCCACTCCGAGACACTGAGCCCACAAGGAAAGATCAATGGCCTTACCAGCGGCTCGAGCGATCTCGCTTCTGTTCCCGGAGCCCACCGATCTTGGGATTGGGGGATACGCTCCTGTGGTGACGAAGTTCCCAAGGTCTGGACGCTGACTGCGATGGTTGGCAGGCACAGCCGGGGGCGGGGTTAACGGTGTAGTGCTGCGGACAGGGTCTCCTACTTCTCATTAGTCTCTTGCTAGACAACCTCTGATGGGTGGATTTTGATTACGAACTTGCGCTACGGACGAGATTCGGGAGTGAGGTCTGCCTGGGGATTTCCGGGTAAACGATTATTTGGGCCCTTTCCCTCGGACGAGGAAAATCGGTTTCTGAGACAAGCGGAGATTAGTGACGAGATTTTATTTCCGAACAGACATCCCTTCTTACCGAGCCGTGCTTGTCTCTGCAACTCAGCCTCATTAAGGCCCCTTGCGACATTCGCCTCGATGAGCGAACTCATATTCGGAGGAGGGTTTGCTGCAAGATTACAAGTCAGCATTGCTCCATCTTACCAACATCAAAAGATTCATAGAAGCCTTTACCATTACGCCAAGTACCCAAAAGACCCTCATATTGCTGTCTAGTCATGCTGGCAGTACGACTCCTGACATTCAACGTCGGCTGCCTAGCTCTCTGGTCGTTCCTGAACAACTCGATCATCGTGTCCAAAGCCGTGTACTGCTTTTCGACATCGGATTGCTTCATCCAGGGAGGGTATTGCCTCAAGATATGGTCGGCCAGAGTCCTCGTATCGGGGTTGAGACGGAATGCGGTTTGCCCGTGGGGCTCTTGGTTATCGTTGGTACGCCACGGATTAGGATCGCGCTCGCGATACTCCCTAAGTTCTTCGGAGTCTAGGAAAAAAATGTTAGTCTCCTACAAGGTTACAAGAGGATATGGAGGAACAAGCGGCCAATGTATCAGCAACTGGTGCAGAAGTATGAGACATACCGCTATATTCTCGTTTGGTGCCACGTGGCTCCTGGGCTAGAGGTGGCGGATTCCTCGACTGGCGTCTGCCACCGACATTGGGTTCGGTTTCAGACTCGAGGTTTGAGACCTCCTGTTCGGGATTCTCTGCGCGCCTGCCTACTCTAGGGTCGCGTGCTGGTTGGCTTGGATGAGGCTGCGGAATTTCTTCTCCATCAATCACAACGGGCTGATCGGGGGCGCTGCCGCGAGGGACTCGTCTTTTACGTGGCTGATTCTCCTGCGGTTGTTCGGGAGTATCGTAGCTCCTATCGGAGTAGACACCAGGACCTGGTGCCATACTGGATTTTGACGTGGATGAAAAGGGGGATGGTGAAGAGGATGGTGTTGTCTTAAGATGAAAAGGATGGGGTGAGGCAGGTGATGGTGATTGTGGACTACTGTTCATTGTGCGGGGAGGGTAACCTGTCCGACGATAACCTTGGTGGGAGGCTGGCGAGTGGGGTCTTTGTACTTAGGGCTCGTGACGTTGAAAGCTGATTTGAGTGATATTTAACCCTCTTGTCAGGGCTTGTGGATGGTGGATAACCGACAAGAGGGTCGAAGATACTAATTGTGCAAGCGATGTGATCTATTGATCAATCTACCTCTTGCGATTCTTTGTTCTGTTTCAACTTTCACAAAGAACGCCTATAGACTTTGTACGCTCGTGCATCCTGTTCTTAACTCCTAGAGATTGTTCTTACACCAGCCATCGAGCTGCAGCAAGATATATGACTTGTGACCGTAGAACAACGGAGGGTTGTGTTGGTAATAACCAGCTCAGTCCAGAATAAACTATATGGAATCGAGATCTCAGAGGGCCCGTTTATATGACAGATCGACTAGCCCTTGCCATTACCCCTGTGGTTCCGCGGGACTTACTCACTCTTGCGTGTTTTGGAAATGCTCGAACGTGACATCTAAATAGAATGCTCATAGTTGATTTCGTTACAAAAAGCACCTTACTACTCGTTTTCGTATTATACAGGCACCGCGTATAGCACAACCTTACTTCCTAGTTGGCTCTTTACACAACTGCGGTCGTGAGAGCAGGAAGGCGTCATCGAATGTCACTCGTGCACAAGGTATCACTCGTGCCAAGGCTGATCCCTGTCGATCCCTCTCCTCCCGGACATCCGAACACTCGGGGGATTGAGGAGGAGCAACGTGTAGTATCCCACTCCAGTTAGTCTACTTACTCATTGCTCAATGTCCGAGGGGCCATAATTGGGATGTGGCGAGCATCAATGTGAGGAATCAATTCACTCGCTTGGACCGGCGGTGCTAACTAGCCCTTAAAGGCTTCTCAATCTGGCTCATTTCGGATAGATTTCCGGTGATTGTTTTAGAGATTCGATACGAACACGATTTCCTCGTCCTCCGAGTATATCATTCGCCCTTCCTTTATGTGAATACTAACGCTATCTTGAGGGCGAGGGCAGTGATGACAGGTGGCAATAGGCTTTACTGCTATATAGCGAGCAACGTGGATAGCAATGAACGAATTAAACAAAAAAAAAAGGCAACATGTACAGTCTCTGGCCGTAGTCAAAGGATATCTAGCCTCAAGCCAAATTGCACGGTAGAAAGGTTTAGGATCATGACTAAAGCATACCTTTTCAGCAAGGAAAATATCGGCCAAATTACGATATCGAATCACCGGACGGACCTTTAAGGTTATCAGTCTTTCAGGTACGAGTCACGACACCTAAGGTAAAGACTCTTGCTTAACTACTCATTTATGTAATAATCTTTATTAATTAGGAGACACTACAGCATGCTACATCGTGAAAACCAGAGTGCCTGTGCACTCCTCCGGCATTATGCCTAGGGCTCGTGGTTCATTCGTCAGAGCTGTACTCTGTGCATGCTCACCATAAAGATTATAAATTAAGTTCCTCATTGCAAGGACCAGTTACGACACAAAGAGACAGTCATCAAAAGAACGAAAAAACATAAGTACAAAAGAACGCAAGAACCGAAAGACCAGAATGCTAAAGCACCAAACACGCAGCTAAAAAAGCAAGAAACAAAGAAAGCGAGAAAGAAACCAAGAAGGAAACGTGCTGTTTCACACACTACACAAACACAACAACCAACACTCGAAACAACATGTCTCTCAACCACTGCAAATGGAACTCAAAAAGAGCATGAAAGCACAACTAAGAAAACACCGAAAGCGACGAGAAAAACGCCCGTCAGAAGCTCAAACTCCCCCCTCCTCCTCCCCCCCGCCACCCTCCTCCAGGTCCGCGCGCAAGAGCCCATGAGCCCTACACCACGCCTCGAACCCCTCGTCCTCCTCCTCACCCTCCTGCTGCTGATGACCCTCCTGCGGCGCAGCCGTACCATTCTCCCCCGCCCCATGGCCATGCTCCATCTGCGCAGCGCTAGCGTCGCTCTCCCCCTCCCCTCTCCTCGCGCGCCCCCTCGGATACGGCGCACGGCCGTACCGAAACATCCCGGCGCGCCCAAAGGTCTCGTCGGGCTCATCTGGCTCTGTCTGCTGCGGGTCCGGTTTGGTAGTTACGTTTGCCAATGCTTGCGGGAACTGGTGATGCGCGGTGTGGTTCGATGGCTGGTGGTGAGAGGTGTTTCGTGCGTTCTCGAACTCCTCATCGAGGGTGATGTAGTGGCGGCGGTGGAATCTTGGAGGAGGGGCGTGGAGGAGCGGGACGGGGGCTTCGGGGAGAGTGCGGAGGGTGGCGTGTAGGGGGTGGCTGCGGTGGGGTTGGGTGCTGGTGGGCGTGAGGCCGTTAGTGGGGGGTGGGGTGGGTGGCATTGGGAGTTTGGAGAGGATTGAGTGGATTGTAAAGATTTGTAGAAAAATCAAGGTTGCTATGGTTGTAGAGTGCTGGATATCTTCTTGAAAATTGGAGAGCTGCGCAAAAGTGTAACGGTGATAAATATTGGTGGTGGGAGAGGTACTGAGGGGTCTGAATGAGGTTGTTAATGACAGACAGGCGGCCTCGCTTTCTATGGGGGCACATTCAATTGGTCAGATCTTTTGCTACGGTCCTTAATTTCTTGGATCCGATTGGGCCATGGCAGCTCCTCTACGTCATGGGACCGCGAGTTCCAACTGGAGGTTCTTTGACTTGGTCTTTTAGCCAATCATAAATAGGGACGTAACGCATTAGGCGTAGAGGGACAGGGGACGTATGTGTTGGGTAGTTGTGGGCATAGCGTAGGCAGGAGTATGGGGATGTTGGGCAAACGTCATCACTTTCCTAGGCTAGACTGTCACTGCAAGCCTCCATTAGGAAGCATCCGAGGAGCCATCCCAAGGCCAATGCCAAATGACCTAGCTATTGTAGGGTACATCAATGTTAATTCCAACACGATCTTTCATCCGTTACAAAAGAAAAGAAAATAAATTAACCAGAAAATAATAAGCTCACGCTTTCCACGCACTACACCTCCCCATCTGCCCTACACACTTCACCATCCCGCAAGGTGTTTACAGCCCCAATCTATCGGGCTGTCTATGTATCCCTTCTCGCAAAGCGATAACTCACCCCCCTCATCCCCTGCAGCACCATCTCATCATCATACTCGTCCAAGCGCATCATCCAAATCACCTGCGCATGTGCAATCGGCACCGGAATCTCCTGCAGCATCTCCCAATCCCTCTCACTGATGATCCTCTCCTCCTCCTCCATCCTCTCCATCTCAGACTCACTGATGACGCTCGCGTTGTAGATACTCTCCTCGTCATTGTCCGTGCTGTGAACGGAGATACTGCCGGAAGAGCGAGAGATGATAGTCGGTGAGATAAACGGGAGGGAGTGGTCAGGTGAGGTGGAGGAGTGGTCGAGCCAGGAGATGATGCTCGCTGTTCCGTCTGGTGGGGTGGAGCGGATGGCGTTGCGGGCGACGGTGAAGGACTGGCGGCTAGAAGAGATTTCGGAGGGGGAGTACCTACTGCTGACGGTGAGTATGAGCCTATGGCATGCTGAGGTAATGCGGAGTTAACATCTAGAACCTTCTGGGCCTTTGAATTACACAGGGCGATAGCCTACCTTCATATAATGCGTCAATCTGGGCTTGACTAACAAGAGGAGCCGATTCCAGGCGCTCAATGTTTGACGCCAATGGCAGGGCGAGCGGAGAGAAGGTGTAGATTACTCGTCTGGGATTGCGGGGGGAGCGGGGATCGTGGGTGGGGGATCTACTGGCTGAAGGGCGGTCGCCGTCGGAGGACGGGGGTCGACTGAACATTGTATATGTCGTTGGGGTAAGATGTGGGATTTAACGATCGGTTCTCTTGGTAGTACTGACTGCTACTAGATAGGCGCAAGTGGTTTAGTTTAGTTCAGAGAGGCTATATGGCTGAGGACATGCATTTAAATATAGATGGTCTACCAGATATTCTTGAGCTAGAATAACGTCGAATATACGAACATTTTCTATGAAGGAAAAATGAATGGAACATGCAATACCTAAATCCCCACACTCTGTGCACGAATGCACCCCATCATGATAGATTTCATTCTATGTGGAAGCACAAAGAACCTGGCTAGGGAAAGTCTAGAAGTGCCTGAGAACCTCCAGTCTTTCCCTATAAAAGAACGTTCGGTAAATATTTTACAGGGCCCGAACCCACCCTCGACGCCCACACCATTCAATAGACAAATAGTAATTCTGGAGGTCCAGGGAGAAGTAGAATTATGTAACTTTCAGCCATGGAGCGAGCGCGGTAGATGAAGTAGCAGGAGAAAATAGCCTGGCAAAGAGAAAGTTATTATTTAGGTCGCGGCCTTATAGGGACTGAGGAGAATCGTATTGGATGATAATCAATTATTAACGACAACAGAAGGAACAAACTCCTTTTATAGTGAAAGTTGATGTGGTAAATGAACACGTATTATCAAGGCAATCAATCTGGTTGTCTTGACACAGTAATAATAACAGATATCAAACACAGCAAAACAACAGATATCGCCAATAAAGACGGCGGTTATTATGTGGAAACGATGTCCAGATGCCAAGGCTCAGAAGAAGCATCTAACAAATAGCCGTGCTGATGTTAACTACATGTAACAACACTTAGCCTAGCTAATCGCTAGTCAACCCATCTGCAAAACCTCTTCGAACAGATTTTGTTATGTTTGCTTCTGTAAAGCGAGTGATAGTTCATGATATTGATATAGATCACACCCGCGATACAACGCGTACTACCGCAAGAGCACACCAACACATACAGATGAGGGTATCGAAGGCATTTCTTACTAAATGCTATCTAAAATATATACACTCAAAATTGGAATAAAACACGAAAAAGATCAGCTATCTACAGCTAACTAGAACACGTACACACAAATAACCCCAATTAATCCTCCAACTCACCGCCCACAGTCCCCACCTCCGCTTCGGTCTCCACCACCACTCTACCCCATCCCCCCCCTTATGCATCCTAAAAAGATCCAAAAACTCCCGAATCCTATTCTCCTCATTCCCCACCTGCTCCACCAGCATAATAATCGCAGTCTGCACATTATCCGCCGGGAATCCCACAAACTCAGTAATCACAATCGGCTGCTTCACAATCCTCCCACCATCACCACTCCGCTCAAACTCTCTTTGACTCATTTCAGTTATATTATGCTGTTCTCTAAACGTATTTACGTGGGTACTGATCTGATTCAGTACTGCTCGTCCATCCGCAAACGCCCGCCGTGTGTCTATTTTTGTGCGGATTCCAGGAACGTATCAGACACTAAGCTCACTAGCACAGTACACGACACAAGTCGGAATAACAGGATTACACACATCTCTGGAAGTTCTCCTCCTCGCGCTCCCGCGCCGCGGGAGTGATACTACTATTAAGCCACTGCCAAGTCGGAGCCATAACCCAGACAATAGGTTCCCCAGGAGTACTTTCACAGGACTGGGGGGCGGTTACCATGGGTGTAGACTCCCGAGATACCGAGTCGCGTTCGCGGTAGTGATGGGCACGAGCCGGCTCGTCACTAAGAGAGCTCGACCTGTTCGAGCCTAAAGCTCGAGCTCAAAGCTCGTGCCAGCTCGGCTCGTGCCCATCACTAGTTCGCGGTACATAGTTGGTCCTGCGGCCGGGGGTGAGGTGGAGCGACGATCATAGTACCGGTCTCTAACTGACAGCTAGAGAGCTCGTCTTCGCCTTCCCTGGGCTTGCTTGTTAGTGTGGCTGGACATCTTTGTATTCTAGGTACCAGGATCTATGGGTTATATGAATGTTAGTTTAATTTATACTTGGTCTATTTTTATTGCTACACGAAGGAAAGGAATTTCCAGGGCTATTTATGTTTATTTCTTCTTTTTTCCCCTTATAGCTGGCTTTAATTAGGTCATCTAGCCTTTTGTCTCCGTGAAAATCAGCTTTCTATTGCAAGTAGCATTGGCGCGCCCGGCCCTTCATCCACTACCATAGAAAATACTTTTACAGGACTATTACAAAGCTAGTATGTATTTTATTTGGTGGTGTGAGCTTCCCCCAATTCACATAGACTTGAAAAAGGACCCCCGAGGGTCTTATTACCTCTCCTAATATTGCGAAATAAGGAGGAGAAAGAGTGATATCCGCTGGATCTTAATATAACAGAAGTAATATGAAGGATAATCCTGGGGAACAAATCTCGACTCAGGTTGATACCGAGCTCAGTAAACCCGATGTGTCTGGTGCCAAAAGCGAGTGATATTCCATGAAGCGGTTATATCCAGATCCATGATCATAAGGTATCAATCACGCCGAAGCTTTACCTTTTCCATCGCCAAAGTATGGGGTTGCCAAAGCGAAGTTTCGGGGTATCTAAATGTTGTGATCAACATCTATTCTCACTTAATTTAAGCCTACTTACTCGCGGTTTCATGGTTGTGTTCGTACCATAGCGTATCCTACATGGAAAGGAATTTTGCTTAGTATTGTTTGATGGCACTGTTCTACTTTGGTACCCACTGTTAACATTTTTCCAGCATAATAATGAAGCGGTGCGCAGAAGGCAAAGCGAGTGATAATCTATGTCGCGGCAGTTCCCGCTCATAGCAATCATATAATATCACTCGCTGACTGAGTCACCCAACCCGGACCAACTACGCTGTTATGTAACAAGAAGGAGATGTTGGTAGTAGGCGTCTCGATTGAGTTTCATCGGGAATAATAATTATTGTACTGATCAACTTTGTTTAATAATAATAGTTTTATGTAAAATAGTGATACACGCCTATAAACCTCTCCGAGTAACGCGCATAAATCGAATGAAGTAAAGGAACAGAGGAAGAATTGAACCTTCTAATGAAAGCGTATGAAATGGCATGAGTAATTGGAAGATAACTCCAGGAAAATGTAGCATAAAAAACCTCGCACTCCTAAACTGTCCTGAAAAAATAAAGAAAGCCCAACCCAACCCCCGGCATACATCCCATAGTCGGGGGTAGTCCGTTTCAGCAAAAAACGTAAAGCAAACTCCTCCCATCGGCTGCCTGGCCTAACGTCATGTAGTCTAATCCTTCACTCCGGCGACGACCTACCTCATATACGGCCTGCCATTCATCCACGTCAGCTGTGGCCTCCCTCCCTCCGCACCACCGGCCGGCGATCCATCAATCGCCCTATTCCCCCTGCGTTCCAGCCGTTCCTTTGCCTGCTGCTTCGCCAACCTATTAAACTCTTCCATCCTCCGTTCTCTAGCGTCACGCAGCGATTCCAAAGCTTTCTGCTGTGCAGTATAAGTATCCTGATCTATCGCGTTATGTGCCTGGGCCCGTGCGAGGGCGACAACAGTATCTAGTGCCTTGATTGGACTGATATACCCTTCCCCCGATGGCGGAGAAACTGGATTAGTCACACTACCCTGCTGCTCAGATGCACCCTGTGTTGCCGGTGGTGAAGTATCTGGCTTTAGAACAGGGTGATCATTTAGCTCCTCATTATCAGCTCCGAGTAGCTCATGAACCTCTTTCTTTTTCCGGCCCCTAGTACCAGTCGGTATAAGAGTCTTTGCCCTACCACGTGTAGTCGCTCTTCTACCGCCACTGCCCCTCACCACCGACGGTGCTAACCGCGGCATCTTACCCGCAGGATAAGAATCGAGCGAGTCATCATCTGAATCTTTAAACTCATCGGAATCCCTAATCTCTAAAGACTGGAACAATTCAGGCGTCTCAAAAAGACTGTGCGTAGCAGGCCGCCCTCGCCGTCCCCGTGTCGAAGCAGCACGACGTGCGACTAGCCCTCGAGGCCCGCCACCGCGCGACGGTCGCAGGGGTGCAGGTGGAGGGGTGTTGGATCGCTGCTCCTCGTCATCAGCGAACCTCACAACCCGAGTTCCCCGACCTGCCTTCCTACTTCGGCGGGTAGCAGGCTGGGGGGATTCGTCCTCGTCATCAGAGGAACTCATGACTCGAGTTCCACGGCCCGCTTTCCTGCCTCGCACGGGAGAAAGCTCGGGGAAATTTGCAGCAGCCCTCTTGTTGCCGCCGCGAGAGATTATGGTGAACTTCGGCCGATCTACAGGACTCGAAGCAGGAGCCTTTGGGATAGTGTTGAGCTCCTCGTCTGAAGACATGGTAAGATCAATCACTAGTGCCCTGCGTGGTGGAGAACTACCACGGCCTGGTGAGCCCCCGAAAGCTTGTGATCCTTGTGCGCTGGCTTGAGCTCGTTCCCATTCTTGGGCGAGAGGGTTGGGCCCAGGAAAACGAAGAGGTGTAGGAATACGAACCGGTTCGGGAGGTATGCGGGGGCGGAGAGAAGTGAACATCTGGCGAGGGGGGACGAACTCGTTGACACGTAGGGCTATGCGCTTGCGCAGGTCTGATGCGTAGGGTTGGTCTGGCATGGCGAAGTTAATAAATTGCTGTGTAGAAAAGAATTAAGGAGAGAGACCTGGTTGAGATATATTCGTAGTAGCGAGGTAGAAGAATACTGTTTTATAGACCCATAGCGGACCGGAGGCATCGCAATAATATACGGTATGTCACACTGGGCGAGGACTCATTCGTACGACTCTAATCCCCAGAATTTGCGAAATATGATTGGTCGAAAACTTCCCCACCGCCGTATGGAGGTAGTGCACCAATCAATATGAAGAAGGGTCAGAGCTGTACATGAGACGGTATAAGTATTCAACCTGTTCTAGAATCGGAGGCATCTCAGTCAGACATCCAGAAGGACATTCTATGAGACTAGTACCTTAGCTTAGACCGAAGATGTTGTATATACAAAGATATCCAAAACCAGTAGTCTGGCGGTCAGGGATAAACCTAACCTTGAACACCTTTAGTGCCCCGTTGCACGTAGACTGATCCCACAGCACTGTAGACCCACAAGATCTGGTGGAACTCCAGTAATAGGACGAGAGGGGGATTGCCTATAAGGACCAGTATCTCATGGGAACTGGGTTATAAGCAACGCAACTTTACCCAAGTATGGAGCTGCATGCAGAGAATATCGATTCTTAACTTGAAATTCTCCACCTCCGAAAATGAGTGGAAGAGTGCGAGGATCGTATGTGAACTGGAAGTGAAAACGGAGTGAAGAAGGCGAGTATGTCGTTTAATCCCGTGAGGGCTGGATCTATTCGCTCTCTGTTGACTTGAACATTCGAGTGGAGATTATGTGAGAATGGCATGAATGAGAATACGTACAGCAAACTACATTCCCGGAAAGGCAAAGAGGCATACAACTCATAAGAGTCTAGAGGTAGAGTTAAAGGTATAAATGAAACCCTCGACCAGACAGCAGTTGGAAAGGTTCGAGTGGAGGGATGGCTTTGACGACAGATTAAAGAAGCTGCTCGGATGAGGTGCTGGATCTCCGGTTTCGGCAGGGGGTCGTGGGGTGTGCTTTGTTGTAGAATTATTCAAGTTGTCAGATGTACAAGCGTTGGCGACGTTGAAGAATATGATGTGACTCGCAATGTTGGTGGTGAATTAATGAATTAAACAAAAGAAAAAAAAATGTTGGTGGTGGGGAGACGTTGGATAAGAGGTGGTGGTGGGCGTCGCCGGCATAGGCGGTCTAATCCCCATTCAGTTAGCGTGCGAGATGCGGCTCTGCCCACAAGCACCCAGGCTAGACAACTGTCAGCCTCGCACCTCACGAGTTCGGACGAATCTGGGAATAAAAGCAATTGAGTTTTGATAACACCAAAGCAACAGATCCATTGATCAAAAGAATCTTACCGACTCTCCTACGGTGCAAGATCTAGCTCGGAGGTCGTTTACCCCCTACCGAGTATTTGCCACCTTCGGTACCTTCAGACAACTTGACCAGGTTGTCTGATCCGTATTGGGCCAGGTTAATCACCTTTATCATCACCGAGTGTGGGAGGGCGCCAGGCATGATCTGGCAACTGAGAAACAGGAATTGCTCGTTGTCTTTGGCCTAATGCTTGAAGTATTCGCAACATCCGGGAGATTCAAGCCACCGAGTCGGGTCCGAGCTGGCCTTCGTCGAGCGGTGAAATTGGCAAATGAATATTGGCCTTTAATACCAATGCCACGCTTTCGGCATCTCCCCGCAAAACACTTTGTGCCATGCTGCATTATGGTTTCAAGTGGGCAGATATTCGCTAGAGAAATGCGCACGAGTTAAAGTTCTTTATATAAGAACCAGGATGGTCATCACGATTTTCAAACTAGAGAGAGATTTACTTTTTAAATCATGATTCATTAAGATCGAGCCTAGCTAAGGCCATGAGCGCAAACTGCTACCATAAAATCTGACATTTAACTCCAGCAAGCCACAAAAGGCCATTACACGCCTGAAGTTAGAGCACTAAAAAGTGTGCATCAAGGAGAACAAAACCGCGACCTATCCTACTGCGCTCATACGTGTAGAAACAGGAATTCTACAACCGCTCCAGGAACAAGTAAAGATACCCCCTCGCCCTGCTTGCAGGGCGCTCCTGGTTCCCATTCCATCCCCCAACCAGCTATCTGGACTCGTCGGCCCACAACTAGAAATGATACTCCTCACACGATGTCAACATCAGCCACCACAACACCACCCCAACCCTCCACCCCACCGAGAGTCTCCAAGAACAGCCTCTTCCCCTCCCACATCCACTCCATCACCACCTCCACCTGATCGTGCTCCCTCTCCTCGCCATACATCGCCGTACTCAACACATGCGTAGCAGCCCCCACGTCCACCGGGTCACCCACCACCTTCTCATCCACCGTCCTCATCTCCCTCTCCACCAGGTCCACCAGCGCCTCTCGCGCCTGGTTCATCCCCTCCAGCGCCTCTTCATACTCCCGCACCACGAGGCGATGCCGCGCGAGCTGCGCAGGACTGAAGAAGTCGGGTGTCAGGATCTTCTCGAGGAGGTCGTCTACGAGGATGTGCAGGCCGAGGGATAGCTGGGTGTCGCGCAGGGTGCGGGAGAGGGTGAGGAGCGTCCTGAGGGGGAGGGGGTGGCGCGGGAGACTGCTGTGGTGGATTATTATCGCGGATGCGGCCTGGAGATGTATGGTGAGGGTGGTGAGGTGGGTGGTGATGTGGGCGATAATGAAGGGTTTGAGCGGGAGAGGGAGGAGGGATGCGGGCATCTTCATTGTGGGTGGGTGGGGGGTTGTGTGTTCGATGTAGTTGGGTCTGTAGGGGTTTCTTGTTGTGAACAGGTTGTTAGTTGAATATTCTAGAGGACATATAATGTTTGCGAGAGTGTTCAGGATGTTTAGCTAGTTTTATCTACTGGTGTGTTATCGGCGAACGATATAGGAGAAACATCTATATAGGTTAACTTTATACAACAGAGTTCATTCTACGGGCGTAAGAAGATTAGAGATTAGATTGATCGGCGAAAAATAATGAGCCCTTCCTTAGTAGCTGGTGACCTCCCTAGACACACATCTAACCATAACCGCATTACTGGAGAGTACAAACGTCCATATGGGTAGCAGGCCAAAGGAGTGAGTCAAGATTCAAGACGGGCGCCATCGCTACTACTTAGCAGGTGACAACCTTTGTACCGGGAGAAGATGTATAATCGTGCAAACACTTGACAGTCAACTTAGTTAACCTGCGAGTGACGCTTGATGACGCCCAGCCGAAGCGAGCAAAAAGACTTTAGCGTGCCTAATGGGGTTAGCCTTCTCCCGATCTATCCTTGGCGCCTGCAGCAATCTTGGCATTCAACAAGCACTCGGGACGAAAAACGCACATGGCGAGTATGGCCTAACGGTTAGTACTCGCCCCCCGGACGGACACCGTGAGGTTGGACCCCCTTCAATTACAGGAGGCTAAGGGTTCAACCCGGGGGTGGTGGCGTGTTGGAACAGTGCTGTTGCGGGAGTGCGGGGAGTGTAGTGTGCAGATCTGGGCTAAACGCAAAAAACAAAGCTTTTGTTTTCCGCTCTCTCCCACGAATAAACTACATGAATGGGTACCTTGTTCCGGGACAGTAAATATTTTACATCTGATACTATAGAACTTCAAAATATCGTTATGCCACATGAATGCATTGCCGGATCTGTCTACTCCGCTTCATTCTCTCATCTTCCAAACAGAACGCGCTACAGAAAAGAAAAAAAGGAAGTATCTATATCATAACATATAAAAAATTAAATACTTTGTCCTTCCGATATCTCCCGAAGCTTCTGTAGTACCCCCTAACACCGATCGCTCCATACCCGGACTGTGATCTCGACGAACTATTTCCATCCATTGTTCCTTCTATCAAGGCGTTTTCCTTCTTACGATACCCCCGAACCTGCACTCACTGTACAAAATCAGCGTCATATTCAAAAGCCAATACCAACCCACTCCCAATGTCAAACAGGTGGGCGAGACGACCACCTGCGATTAGCCGGGCCTATACGCCTACCTACTAAGCATCGGACGTGCCAGAAGATCGCCCGTGCCGTGCAGCGATGAGGTCTGGATGGGGAGGCGGAGCGTCCGCAGAGCCAGGGGTTGGTATCGGGGGGGAGAGGGCGGGTGGGGTCGGCTTACCTTGTGCTTTTGTGTTCGGTGGGGAAGTGTGGAAGGGGAGAGATGGAGGTTGAAAGGTTTTGTTGTGGTTGGTCGTTGGTTGTTGTGTTGCTGGTTGTGGTGTTGGGTGTTGTATGTTTGGGGTTCTTTTCTCTGGTCGGGGGTTGGACGAGAACACGGCGACCGTGGGACGATGCAGCCGTAGAGATGTCTCCGTTTGCGATACAGCGGGGAGATAGAGGCTGATACTCACTCGAGCGGCTCCAAGGATCACATCGTGCAAATATGATTCTTTTTTCGCCGTTTACGCTAGTCTCCCACTGTGGTTTTTTTTTTTTTCCATTGGATGACGGAAGGGGTGGATGTTGGCGGCGTGCGTAGAGATGAGCGGTTTGCGAGCTTGTGCTTTTTCAGGTGAGGAACGTGTTGTCTGTGGGGGGGGCTGCAGTTCGTTGAAGTTGTGGGTTGAGAGTGTTTGGGATGGGAAGGTTATCTGTCTTCTCTCTTGGCGCCACAGGGTTAGGGTTGCGACTACATGGTTTGCTAGCCCCTTTGTGATCTCGAGACAAGCCGTTTTCCGCTGCACAAACAGATAAACTCAACAGAAAGCGGTTCCGAGGAGAGAACCCGCCACCCTCGCCGTCGTATCCTCGGTTTTCATATAGGGGTATTCAAGTCTCTATCCTTCTCGGCGAACGAATCAACTAGTGAGCATCGGAAGTAATAAGTATCTGGCTCAGTTGTGATGATGACAAAGAGAGAAGAACGTGGTGAGAATTAAGCTAATGATAGCCCGCTTAGAACACCTATGTATCGCCCTCCTAATAGCTATGTCTTACCTTACCCTCATACCACAGCCGCGGCGCAAACATCTTGGTCTTTCACGGTTGTCTCATCAGTGAATTCTATATTATCTCTTCTATCAATAGGGCAACGCAAGGCCGGGAAAGGCTTCGAGCTTTTTATTCTTTTCAACCATTATATTGGGCGCTCATCTCCTAGAATCCTCACGGAACTGTGGATGTTAGCGTCGTGGGGGCCCAGAAGATATAGAATAGACAAGTGTTTCCCAGGCTTCGATTTACGTGGACAAAGACAAGCGAGCCTGTCATCCACCTTTCAGGACTGAAACATCTGAAACCTTCTACCCCTATCCTCTCAAAGTTAAATCCAATTTCAATCTCACTCCCTCTCACGCAATGGTAGAAACCACAATCAACCCGCTCGCCTTCCAGCGAGAGAAGCCCATAACCCTCAACGAAATCCTCCGCGGCACCCTCGTCGACGAACTCCACGCCCTCTTCTACCACATCCACATCTCCCTCAATCACCTCTCCGGCCGCTTCGAACTCTTCCAAGCCTCGCACCGCTACTTCGACGACCTCCGCTACCTGCAAGGCACGCTGCACCAGTGCTACCAGGAGCTGCGCAAGGCGCCCCTCGCCGCCTACAAACTGCTTCCGTTCCGTCGGCGCGCCACGGAGCTGCTGATGCTGCTCCCAAGGCTGGTGTATCTCTTCCAGTGGTCTGAGAAGACGGTTGTACACCTACGGCCAGTGCAGCTAAGGGCGGAGGTGGAGGAGCCGTTTATGACGTTCTGGCATGGCATGAGGGATGGGTTCTTGCCGCTGAGGGGCACGCTGGAGGCGGTGACGCATATGTATGTGCTCATTTGGGATGAGCTGTCGTTTCAGGAGTGGTATGAGCTGGAGAAGGTGTGGGAGGCTTGTCACCAGCAATGTAAGTGTTTCCATGTAAAGCGGCGGTGAGAGGGGGATGCGGTTTGGGGTGTGCAGGGTTGGGTTGTTGTCGGAATATGTTTGATAGACGAGATGATGTTTACACGGTAGCTCGATGGAGAGAATGAGGCTTTGTATGAATATAGTGAACCACGTCCGTTTAATACCAATACAGGTTTGAGACCACTGGAGAGTGGATTACAAGAACTTGACAACTCAGCTATGGGCTCGTGACAAGACTAGTTGACACTATCTGGTCTTTTCGAAAGCTCTACAACTATACTAATTCAAAGAAACCCATCTTGACTATCTCCAAACCACGAGTGATCTATTATGAAGCAAGCGTAAATCGAGCGATAGTTGATCAAGCAAGCAGAAACCGAGTGATACACTGTGACACGAACAAAATCGAGTGATATACCATGTGCCAAGAAGATTGGTTATCCTAATCAACCCGCGCCATGTTCCGATATTCGGTGCATGCAAGTAAGGGGGAGACCTATACAACTTCAATTTTTCTCGTGTCTAAGCGTTCATAGGTAGGTTGCTGTATTCTGCTGATCTAACACTACTCAACTACAATGGCGATTTTGGCCTCACCTGCGGATCAGGGTGCCATGCGTGGATACGCACGCGCTCTTTTCATGTTGGAATCTGATTCTATTCCTCGCTCATCCATATCCGCGATCTTCTCAACGGGAAGTCAGGTAGCCTATCAGAATTCATCCGGCCCCCGGACCTTTATATTTGCTTGGCTCACCAGAGGAGTATTTAAGCTATAAGAATGTTGTTACTTGCAGAAAGTCTAAACGCATAACGATCTTTAAAATACCTAATTAATCCAGCTGCAATAGCCCACTACCACAAACACAATGTGCACCCAAGCGACCACCGGTACCGCCTCCCACCTCGACAGCACCCCCACCTCCGGCCACAACCTGCAACACCTCCTTTTCCAGCTCAAGGCCGCTGAAGAGCAACACTCCGCCCTCGTGAGGCCGCAGAAGGAGTATGACGACTACACCGACGCAGATTGGGATGTAGAGAAACAGATGAGGGATCTGAACATGGAGATCCACCGGCTGGGCTCGCACATTCATGAGCTGGAGATGGAGCAGCTGTGGGAGATTGAGCAGGATGAGAATGGGGAGGGTGGGGTGGAGCTGGGGTGTGAGAGTGGTGTGGATCAGGAGATGCAAGATAGTGATGTGGAGGAGGGTGGGGTGAATCTTGATAGGGTGGGGAGTGTGAGTACATAGGGTTGGAGATGGGGTTTGGGGGCACGTGTTCGGAGCAGTGTGGAGTGTGGGTAGTTTGGAGAATCTATACGTTGTTTTGATTTTTGCAGATATAATTGAATGTAGCGGAGTTAACTCATGGACCTGTGTGTGGACGTGTATTACTATCTGAGATGAATATGCATCAGTCTTTCTTGCTTTCTATGGCTTTTAAAGGCCTGACCCAAGGCTCTGTTTCTGTGGCCATACTCCCTCTCCCCTAGCATAAAATGCCACAAGATTCAGACACTGAACCCCCAGCGGTCAAGAAGAACTCTTACCCCAGAATATCACAGAACGAATCACATATCCAGTCGGGAACATAAAATCCGCTGCCCTATCAGACCACTGACAGTTCTTAAAATACAGATCAAACAACATGGCCGGCGACGCTGAGCTGGTATGTACATCAAGCACATCCTTTCAATTAAGAATCTAAATCAAGCGATAGATCAAACTAACGAACTCTACGCAGCATCCGTGGGGTTGGATGGACTGGGAATACGAGCAAGAGTTGCGGGCCGAGTCCCGTTCCAGAGGCCTGCTCTTGGCCCATATGATATACCGAGAATGGTTTGAGATCGCCAACGAGTATTGGCAGGAGGAACCAGGCACGATTACGGGTGGTACCGATTGGCGTAGCGTGAGCGACAAATGGAGCGCTACTGACTTTTACCGATGGAAGTTGGCTAAGACTCATATGATAGGAGCCGAAATCCGGCTTAGGAAACATATCCTCTTCATGATCTATGCAGAAAGGCATCGGCAAATGAAGAGAAGGCGGGATTGTTATGAAGTTGGGTGTACACACTTTGTGGATCATTAGAGGAGTAAAGTGAGTGCCCGGGAAGTGAGGAGAGCAGGAAGACGGCATAAATAATAGCAGGTAGATCTAGAGGTGGTCAACATTCTTACTTTTAAATTATCGGCTTTTAGGTATACCGCGTTTTTCTAGTAATATTAGAAGATTGAAGACTCTGTTCTTGAATAATCCTTTGGTTCACCTTGAGATCGGTTCCGAAAAGGCAGAGTACAAAGAGTGTTTCCCAGTTAGAGGAATGAAATGAACTGTATAGGGACAGTACAATTAATTGAATACTGTGCATACATACCCTCTCTTTTGAGTAGTCCCATACAACATGCATGACACACTCCATGGAGGCAAGCATAAATCGAGAATGCGTTAAAGTCAGAATAGTAATTCACCTATCGGAGTACGGGCTCTACTATTCTCAGTTATCTGATCATTTCAGGTGTTATCATTGAATGTTTTCCTTTCCTTGTCACCAGAGCGGGAAGGGCTTTAGATTCATGGTTCCTTATTATCTCTTTGCAAAAAGGCGTCATTCATCCCAAGCATGGCAAGACACTGTGAATTGCATTTTTTGATTCAGCGTGACTTCAAAACCTCAGGAATCGAGCAATCAAGGTGATCAAACTCCGCACCTTCAAGCACTCAAGATGGCCTCTTCCGGAAGAGCTATGGTACAGCCACACCGACCCACTAGCTTTCCAGCAAGACCCCCGGTCGAAAGACGGTTCAAAACGGTTGACGAAGTTAAACAGACTTTCCACCACAAAACTTATACATTGGAGATCAAGAGGGAAAAAGCTCTATTACTAAGGAGCAACTGTTACAAGTTCGTTTTGCATAGCATACTATGATTATAATGTTGTTGGTTAAGGAGGTATGTCTCAGCAAGCTTGGAGATTTAAGAGCTATTGAGATTAGAAATAATCCGAAGAAGAGCCCTGATCGGCGCTGGGCTGCTGCACGATCAATTTACCATTCGAAATGGGTCGAAGAATGTTTTTTTGAAGCTGAAACCCACCTAAGGAAACATATTCTCTCAAGGATTTCTAGTGAGCGGAAATTAAAAGTGTCCCGAATTCTGAAAATCTACGAGTAGTTAGATACATGTGATCAACTTGACTGAGCATCATCAATTCTATACATATTAAACCTGGAATTTGGAAATAAAATACAACTTGAACTCACTTATTATCACCAAGAAATTACATATCTTCTGCATCATTCTTTCCTCAAAACAACGACCGGCGTCAGCACCAGCAAAAACCTTTGGAACATAAACAATCTTCAATCGAGCACTCCCAGACACTGAATAAGAACTCTTCCCGCGAAGTTGCTATCCAACCAAACACACCTCTTTTATCTATGCGTAAGGTCGAGAAATGGTCCGAAATGATTGATCAAGTAGAACGTACCTTTGACAATATGCTTAACTGGAAGACTGAAGAGTTTTGGCATCTGCAGCGACTAAAACAACTGGCCCTGCGCATAGAGTATTATCAAGAAGAAATTGAGCGGTTCAGAAAGAAAGGACTTAGCAAAGCTGGGCGTTTGGAGGCTATTGCAATCAGAAATAACCCCAGGGAGACTCCGGCTCGACGCCGGGCTGCTGCGGACAAGATTAATCGTTCGAAATGGATTGAAGAATGTTTCTTTAGAGCTGATGTGAATTTAAGAAAATACTTTCTCTTCACGATCTATACACAACGGAAATTAGAACTGCGTCGGAGTCTGGAAAACTACTAGTAATTAGATATATGTGATCAATTTGATTGGGCATTATGGTCAATACTATCTATATCAAACCCGGCAGTTGGAAATAAATACAGCCTGAACTCTCTTATTATCACCATAGAATTACCCTCCTCATCTCCTTTTCCTCAAACCAACGACCGGTATCAGCACCAGCAACGATTCTGGACCATAAACAAACGTCAATCGAGCACTCCCAAACCCTGAATATGAACTCTTCCAGCGAGGTTACTATACAACCAAACCCATCTCCTTTAGCTATGCGTCAGGTCGAGAAGTGGTCCGATGTAGTTGATCAGGTACAACGTACCTTTGACCATATGCTGAGCTGGGAGATGCAAGAGTTCTGGATCCTGTTTCGACTATGGAAACTGAGATCTCTCATAACGGATTATCAGGACAAAATTGAGTGTTTCAAAAAGGCGGGCCTTAGCAAAGCTAGAAATCTAGAGGCTGTTGCAATCAGAAATAATCCCAAGGAGACTCCAGCTCGACGCCGGGATGCTGCGAGGTCGATCTATATTTCTAAGCAGATGGAAGAAAGTTTCTTTAGAGCGGACATGAGTCTGAGAAAATATCTTCTCTTAATGATCTATACACAGCGGAAATTAGAACTGCGTGCGAGTCTGGAAAACTACTAGTTAGCTCGGTCTAGAATTGCGTTATTTGACTGAGGGTTATGAGTAATTCTATCAATATGTAGCCTGTCATTTGAAAATAAATACCTTTCTTTCACCATAAATCTTTCCCCAAGTTCATGCACAATTGCAAGCAGATCATCATTATCTTTTATGAACATAGACAAGGATTACTACACCAACGAAGCTTTGAAATCATCAAAAGGGAGGTCAAGCACCCGAAAAACCGGAATAGTAAACTCCTCTTTCAAAACAATGATGCGTCGAACTTCAAAGCCAATAGTCGAGAAACTGTCGGATGTGATCGATGAGATAGAGCGTACTTTTCACAACATGCTGCACTGGGAGACAAAGAAGGATCTCTCCAATCTGAAAGATTTATCGGAGTTGCACATTCGCATATTCACCTATTACTTAGCAAATGAGACAGCCGGGAACATCGCTCTGGGAGAGGATGAGTTTAGGAAGGCTGTTGAGATCAGGCATAATCTGAACGAGCCCCAGGAGAGACGAATACGTTGCGCTCGATTGATTAATGATACGATAAATGCGGAATTTCAATTGGTGGAGGCTGAGGTAGATGTCAGGAGACATACACTGCTAATGATCTATAGGGAGCGGGAATTAGAATTATCTCGGAGCCTGGAGAACTCTTAGCAATTTGCGCACATGATTGATAAAGTTTGTTTAAGAGGACGAAGGAGCATCTGCCCTGTAGCATCTAATGGCATCCGGCAATGATTAGAAGTGTCCGCCTGGAACCTTTGTCTTATCTTTCCTTGGTATTTTCTTTGATATAGTGGGCGTTGTAGTAATTCGAAATAGAGATTAAGACTCAAAAGAACATGTCTCATGCAGACTCTCTTCGTAACAAGAATTGAAACCATTACGAATCGCATTGTTGATTATTGTTTCTTAGAATGAAACAGCCCTAAGTATTAATTACGTTTAACCGGAATCCTTGTTGGACCTTTTCCAAGTTCTGTAGGTTAATCACGTACGTACTGGCGTGCCCTGGTAGAACGACCTCGACAAGATTTCTCTCCACACTCCTGTTCAATGACGTGTCTCACATATGCCTTATACGCACCAAACTCCAACATGTCGTTCTTCTGAACTCCCCAAATCCGACACTCAGAACTCATTCTATCCTCCCCCGGGAATCCATCTCGCACTTGTACAGGATCCATCTCCATGCTGCAGTCATCTTTAAAACAACGAGACCCCAAGCCAGAAAGCCCACATACCTCAACCCCGCAAGCTGCGAAGAAAGCCTCCTCAACCAGTGACAACCACCAACCCAGGACCCTTTGAACCGCTAAAATCCCACCACCAATACCCATCTCGATCAAAAGCAATGAACGAATCCGCTCCGATTCCGTACAGGAAGGTCGAACACCACTCCGCAATCTGCGCCCAAGTGCACGACGACTGGTACGAGCTCCTCGCCGGCGCATTCATCACCGAAACCAACACCCTACACCACAACGACACACTGCACGAACGCGTGCAATACCACCACAAGTGGATCGCGATTGCCAGCAAGCACGTCGGCAGCAACGACAAACAGGTCGTTGGCCGAGCTTTTCGGATCTTGAGGGACGTCTATCCTGACAGCAGTTTACGTTGTCTTGCGCTCCAGATCGCGACCGATTCGCTGTCGATGTGGATTAAGCCTGGTCATTATCTGGAGAGGGCGGAGGAACAGGTGAGGAAGCAGAAGCTGTTTATGATATATCGGGAGAGGGAGGTGGAGATGGGGCGGGGGGTGGAGCGGAGCGGCATGCAGGGGTCGCTTTGGGCGGTGGAATGAGCGGGTGGGAAATCATGAGATTTACTAGATAGCGTGACGGTGATTGGGAGGAAGGAGACGTTGGCAAGGGTTAGAGGAGTTCTTGTTTTGCTTTCGTTTATCTTTTTATTTTATATTCTCGTACACCTGCAACATTACTAGGTTTCCGAATTTTAAAGAATAAAAACATCAGAATATTACCTCGAAGTTACATGGACGTTTTTGACCGATCACGGAGATCACCATCCTAATAGTGATAATAACCCCAATTACTTATGATATGTGACGTTGTTGAATTCCTCTTGATCTTCAGCATTTCAAGATATCCATTTAGACCTAGTGAAAGCGTGAATACTTGGTCAAAGGTCGCAGTTAGGCACAGAAGAGGTGCTGGGTGCTTGGAGAAGATGTGATTAGAACCAAGAACAATAGGCGGTGGATTGGTTTAGTTCGAGAGCTCAAAAGCTCTCATCCCCCAGTTTGAGAGAATCGTTAATTGAATCATTTCGCTCACAATACAAGAAGCTTTGTGGACCTTACCGTGAGATAGTATGGGATATGTAAACTAAGCAGAGGATTTGCAAACAAGGTCACAGCGTTGTAGAACTTCATTCACGGGATCGTTATGGTTATGAATGAATTGAACTAAAATAAACTAAGTATAGAAGGTGGTTAACACCACGCAGAGTAATGAACCGAAAAAGAGGAACCGTATAAACCCAGAGAGAACAGAAACCTCAACCCGGCATAGACATGTATCAAAATAAAATACTAAAACAGGAATTGAGAAACGGAGAATGATCTCCCCCTAGACCATGGTAAAAGAAAAAGAACGAGAACAAAAATACCCATCCCCGAAAAAGAAACAAATAACAAACCATCAACAGAAATATGAAAAAGGAAATCGTCAACAGGGAAGCCTCCGAGAAAGAAGAATGAAAACCTAAACAAAAACACCGAAACCCCCGAAGAATCCACACCTAGAAAGAAAAAAAGAAAAAAGGACCTGCGGAGATCCAGAGCCCAAAGAAACAAAAAGGAAAACAAGCCTACCCAGCAGCAAGAAGACCTAGAAATCGCGCCTAGCCCTCCCAAACCGATACTCCTTCTCTACCGGCTCCCCCGCACTCTCACCCAAGAACCACAAATCCACATATCCCCATCTGATGACGAAAACGCCATAACTAACCATAATTTCTCCATCATAGCCACAAGGCTGGTACGGAGTGGGCGGAGGCCTCGGAACTAACAGCCATCCTGCCAACGGCCTCGTGACAACCACCCGGACGCTCTCGATTTCCTCAAGGTCCGGGCCCGACAAGATTTCTTCCAACTGCGGGAGAGCCTCGGCAAGTGCCTCCACCTCCCAGCGATTCCGCGGTGGTGATGGGGGTGGGCTTGGAGGAGGAGTCGGGGGTGGACTACCGCGCAGACTATCCGAAGGCGAGTCCAGAAATGTAGGTAAAGTCGGAGAAGACGCCCCTGAGCGCCCGAGGACCTCCATGTCACTTACCTCTTGTAGTTTTCTCGAGAGGACGGCCTCTGCCTCATCGAACGGCTCTAACGCGGCCTTGTTTGAGTCCCCGGTTGGGGTGTTAGGTGGTGGCGGGGGAGGTTTCTTTGGCCCTGGTACTGGGTCTTTGTTCCCGATGGCGAGTGGGTCCTTCACCGGTGCTCCGATCCGCGGCTCGAAGCTCTGCGTTGGCATAGTCGCGTTTGGGATGTCTTTTGATCTGAGGAGATTCAGAACCCTCGACATAGATCGATTCATCCTGCGTCTGAGCTCAACAAGCTCTGTTTTAGAAGCCATAGTAACTGTTCGGTTGTCTGGAGGAATCGAAAGTGGGTGCGGGTAGAATTAACGAGGTAGATTCTGGTCAACAACTCTAGTGAGCGGTAAGATGAGGATGCTATTCCAACGAAAGATGTAGGCAGAAGTGGCAAGGTGAAGAGAAGGTAATTCTCCAAAACTCCGGGAAGGAGGCCGTATATAAACCCCCGGCCTCTACCCTACAATATCGCACGAGCACAGCCATTGATGAAGCACCTGGTGACCAATCCCTGTCATTTCTATGAGTCCACGTGTTGATATGGAACATTAAGGTTTAGTCCTACGACGCTATCAGTAGAGGTAGGTGGATGTCGTGAGAGAGCGTGTGGTGGGGTACGTCCTGGGTCCAGATACTGTGAGCTAATAGGTTCACTGGATGTCAACGGACTGTGCTAGTGACAACGGTTCTGAATAGTATGTTGATCTCGTGGGTTGAGACGTGAATTCCTGGGGGTGTGCTGGGGCTGCTGAACATGGAGCTTGAATGGACGCGTATGGGTAAGTATGAGTTTCAAAGGTGTAGGAGATCGAGTACCAGACCTTAGAACAGCCGAATCATCGTTTGTGACTATGAAGAAAAAACCGAAACCAGTTTTAGGCTTATGGCGAAACCAGCTTTTTGATGATGAAAGATACATGTAGTTAGCAAATCATAAAGCTATCACGCAATAAGGTAATCGAAGAAGTCTGGCCACGCTTACAGGCCGAGCTGTGTCCTTGACCCCTGAGGACAGGGGATCAATATACTTGCGTTTCCGTAATTGCCTAACTGGTTTTGGCTAGGTTTGCCAAGCTGTCTCCGTCGCCCGTGCAAACCTCACAAGCTAAACAGCTTTTACCGGAGCATGCTTCTTCTCTCACTCGCCGTATCGATTATCTCTTACTTCCATCCTTTCCTCATCACTCGAGCATCCCATTTTAAGGTAGGTCTTAAAATCTGGGTTCCGCTACCGGCCATACGCGCAGCTAGCCATGGCAGTCAACCTGTTTTGATACGTGATTTGATATATTTTGAGTAAACACCTCTTTCTGGTACCGGTAAGTAATAGAAACTCAGAAACGCGTGATCTATCAACCCTAAGATTCCCCATGTGCTGATAGCCATCCTAAATAGTAACCGGAGGTGCTTACTTCTGATCATCATCATCATCCGCTGATATGAAAGGATGGAATATGATTAGCTGGATTAATCTCGTGGTTCCGTGGTACTACTAAGCAGTTAGAAAAGTGATTTGTACCACATCGAGTTCTATCGGATTTAAGGTAATAATTGTTCCTTAGTAATTTGGTACCAGCTTCACGTACGGGTGTTTTTACAGTAGTGCAACACATTCGACGGGACATGTCCCATGACGACTGGAATCGTGTTCTTTCCGAGGTCAAACAGAATGATGTGTCAGACTTTAAGAAGTCGCAAGCCGGGTTTCGCTCAAATTACTCTGGCAATACTTTCTATACACCTAAGTCGCGAGATTTTACTCAATATGAACTGCGCGTATTGGACGAGGAGAGATACTGGGATGGGATGGCATTGTTATTCATAAAAAGAGTTCACTCGAAGCAACATCGAGCAACGATCATAGCGATCATTACCAGTACGACCAGTACAGATACCACGAAGCAACCAGCGTTAAGGAGAAAACGGGTTATATTTCTATGAATTAACCTATGATATCTCCGTGCCTCACCGGATTCCGCACCAGCAGCTCAGCACATCTAATCATTTACAACCTCCTCATCATAAGGCCATACCTTTCGATATTCACCCCCTCCGCCGTTGCCACGACCCTAACCCTGCTCCTCCCACCCCACCCCTGTACAGCCCCCTCGATTGGCCCCAGCCTCCTCTCCCTCACACCCCGCTGCGTCAAATTGAACGCCGGCGACGCCGCAAACTCATCCTTCTTCTCCATCATTGGCGTGGCATCTTTAATCTCAGCCTTCGGCGTGAGAAACTCGACAACAGCGTCGTAAGCCAGACTCTGGCGGCGGTTTGGAGTAGGAGTACAACCAGCGCTTGGGGGAACTGGTAAAGGTGTCTCAAGTGCAAGGATCGTCTTCCCGCGTTCGATCGCCGCCAGGAGGGAGGGCAAGTGGTTGCCGACGGGGACAGCGCCGCGCGTGGCGGTGGTGAGGTAGGTGGGGTCGTCGACCCAGGGCACCTGACCGACGTGAGTGTGGGCGTCAATGTGTGGCTGTTTGTTGGCGTCTGTTTCTTCCTCTTCTTTGGCATCTTCGTCTTCATCCTGAGAGACCTTTCTATTAACGTTGCTCATCATGGGCCCGCTCTGAGTTCCGGTGAGAGTAGGGATAATTCTTTGGAACAGTGGTGGTAATTTAGGCTTGACGTGCGGCGGTCCAGAACCGACATCCGGCGTTTTATCACTTCCAAGCCCCGGCATAGGCACCTGCACTGGCACATCCACCTTCACCGGCGAATCCAGCTTCATCGGACTGCCCCTTTCATCATTCTCCTTTGCGTCACTCTCTCTTTCACTACTCTCCTTCAAGAACTGCGCAAACATGCCGCCATTAAACACCGTCCCCTTCACCGGATCCTCGCGCAACCGCATACCGCCATTGTCCGGCGGACGCTGGAAGAGCTTAAACGGGATCGGCCTACCAACATTCTTTCTCGCTCGACCAGTGCCACGGGCGAAAAGAGAGGGTGTGTCATTGAATGTGAATTGAGCGGCAACGGGCTTGCGAACCGCACGGACACCAATGCAGGTTGTTACTGATGTGTTGGCGGCGGGCAGGTCTTTGGTAGCGGTCGTCGTCGTCGCGGCAGAGGGTGGAAACTCCTCGAGCGAGATTGTAAGTTTCTCAATGGTAAGGATTGTTTCGGCGGGAAGGTCTCTGAGTGCGGTCGTGGCAGCACCTGCGAGAGGTTCTTGCGGCGGGGTCGCGGCTTTCTCTGTGGGCGGGTTGATAATTTTCACCGCAGAGGAGAGAGCGGCGGATGCTAAGAACTGCTGGAGAGGGATTCCGACCTTCCCGGCGGAGGGAATTATCGCAATGGGAGGCAGAGCGGGGATCGAAGGTGCGAGGGAAGGAGGAACCGGGGGCTGGCGGAGAAATGTGCCCATGTGGCGCTTGTAGGGGGAAGAATAGAGGGTTCCTCTTCCTTTCTTTCTGGTGCGAACAGGGGCCATTCTCCGTGCGGTGTTGGTCGTGTAACCTTCAGCGGGCGGTGATTTTTCGACCGGGGTTGTGATTAGAGGAAATGGGGTGTTGGTGGGTGGGAGAGAAGAGACGGGAGAGCGGCACGATTTAACGGGCGGGAATTGGGGGAAAGCGCACCTGTTTTGGGTCTCAGTTTGGTAGGAATATTTGTCACTAACAGGGCATTTGTGGTCGTGGAAAAGTGTTTCGCACCGACGGATACTCAGTTGGGGCTGTCTATGGACTCTGGGCTTGCAAAGACGACACGAAGAATAGGAATAGGTAAAAGGACTGCTAACGCCGGGAAATCTCACAGAAAAACCCCCGGGCTTACGCCGTTATATTTTAAAAACACGGGACATATCGGTATTAAATTCGACGCTGAAAAAATTGCCCACAGAGTCTAGAGGTCTGAAATATCACTTTATCGAAAACAAATGAGTTGCCTATACTAACAACCTAGATGCGGCCAGGATGCTATACGCATTGCTTAACATCCGTACCCCCGTTGCGGCTAGACCTCTAGGAGCTGCTTTTGTTTAATTAGTAGTATCGACTACTCGCGGACCGTTCTGACCCCTCTTAAGGATTTAGATTAAAAGTAACTAACATAATTGATATTAAAAAATAAACTAATCAGGAAGTACATTATCACCGAATCCCTTCCTACAACATAACCAGCCGCAGCCATAGAAGCAAAAAAACAGACACAAAGAAACAATCTCTCTAAGAACCTACGGACGTCCCCCTCTGGCTCTATAAACAGGACTATAATGAAACATCCATGCCTGCAGCCCCTCTACCGCGTTGTTCCTCACATCCCTCAAGTGCAACACATTGACCCGACAAAACGGACACCTCAGCCTCTGCATGCCCGCCCAATACTCCCTCTTCGTGCATGTCTTGCACACCCGATGACTGCACTGCACAAACTGCACACACGCAGTTCTGCGGTCACAGATCGTGCACGGGTCGTCGATGGGCGTGTCGGACGGCGGGTCGCTGTCTTCATGGACGCGGAGCCGCGTGTGGTACGACTCTTCGACCATCTCGTATTGCTGCTGCATATGGGTGATGACAATGACAGCAGCTTGATGAGCAGCGAGGGCCTCGTTGCGCGCTGCGAGGCGCTCCAGGTCGGCTTCGGTGGGGTCGGGGAGTGGGGTGTTGGTGGCGGGGCTGCGGGGCGAGCGACTGAGGAGGCGGCGGAAGGACCCGGATCCGGACATTGTGAGGTTTGACTGTGGGCAGGTTAGTATGGGAGCGAGGAAAGTATCTCGTGAGTGGAGTCTTGTGGAACTAACATGAAGATTACTGACTACTGGCTTCGATAGAACTGATTACTTTGAAGGAGAAGTCAAGGTGGGGACTCCTCAGATATTTCTAGTTCGTACAGCTGCGACCAGATAGTTGTGTGGAACCTTTCACAGCCTATTCGGGGTATACAAGCTATTTAAGGAACTATCAAGTTTCCTCAGAATTCAATTGGACCAGGAATGGACACTCCCATCATGGTGCTCGTGATATGCTCCATTCAATACCTGGAATATTTCTCTGTCATTTGATCATGAGATATTCTCCTATTCTACTAATTGTGCTACTGGACTCTGATAGGTTGTGGGGCCAGCGTACTAGCTGGTGACTCGAAAGACCTTGTCCTTCCTGACCTGGTCATTTGAGTTCGTCGAACACACATTGACCCAGTGTGTCATGAGGTAGGACTGGACCCCAGTGTCACACCTGAGTTAGAACTACGTTTCACCTATCCGGGGTCCTAGGCGTCTGATAAACGATTTACTTGTGTTTATCTGTTCAGTCTTTATGGTAAATTGGTAATGAGCCTAACAAAATGGAACGACACCAGACAACGCACACAGGAAACCCTAGCCCTACCCACCTCGTACCTTCTACAGCTTTTACCACCTCGACGGGAACTGGCTAACCATATAGTATCAAAGGGTTATGGTTAATAGAGATCTCTGCGGCCGATTGATAATATCACTAAGTAGTTGAGCAGTCAGTTTTTTTCGAAACGTCTTGTTCGCTGAGCCTTGGCGTAAAATATCATTTCCAGAAACGGTGGTTTGTGAGCGAGTGAAAAGAACACCCCCCACTGCTGGTTTCTGACATCCACTTACGCTCTAATGAACCTAGTAAAGTTCCCGAAATCAGTTTCGGAATTGACGGTTTTTATCTTTTTTTTCCCTGACACTGTGATTATTGAACTGTACAAGGTCCTCGACCCCAGCCACTGGATCGAGGGGTACATTAGTGGACTTATATAAACCGGTTTCAACACAATTATAACACGGTAGTTAGTATAATTTTTCCATTTTACTTCACGGTTGACCTACTACGGAAACCATAGCGGAATTAGCCGGCCAGATTTCACAATCACCGTGGATCACTCGGAATGAGTACCTCCCCTCTGCAACAGCACCATTCACATTCAGAGTATTGTGGACAATTTTTATAAGAGTTTATTGCTTTAGCGAAGAGTTTACCTCTCCCTTAGATGTCTACTCTCTCGGTGAGAAAATATTTATGATGTTTGAAGGGTTATCAAGAATGTTATAAATTTATTCAAGTGGATAATTATAAACTATTAGCATATCCGCATTATATTATTTCCGCCTATTATTCTCTCAGAACCTGGAGCAGAACCATGACCGCGGTGGGAGGGCGGACGTACGCCGCACAGCTCTTAGAACATCCAGCGGCTTCACACTCACATCTTCACCGTCCTCGGCAGGATACGACCTCTGCGCTGCAGAAACCTGCACACCCAAACAATCCTCCGTCACCACATCATCCACCCCCCCAAAGCCCCTCTCCAGCCACCTCCGGTCCCCATCCGCCATCTCCCCCAGAAACGCCACTAACATAATCTCCACCATCCGCGCCTCCATCCCCGCCCTCAACTCCACACCAACAACCTCATCGAGCCACCTCTCATACACAAACTCATCATCACTGCGTCTCCAGTCCCTGAACTCGTGGAACATCTCACCAATCTCCCACTGTCTGTCTCGCACGTTGCGGTGCAGGCGGAGACAGCGTAGTGCGCACTGGCGAAAGGTGGCGTCGGACCAGCAGCGGACGTGGGCGCTGGTGAAGATGTCGAGGGTGGTGCAGACGCTGCGTGTGAGGGAGCTGGTGAGCTTCAGGAGGCTGTAGTCGTTGTCGGGGATTATGGAGCGGGAGGGGGCGCTGGTGTGCAGGAGGGTGGAGATGTGGAGGCTGCGGGACTCGAGGTGGTCGAGGGCTGAGGTGAGGTGGGGGAGGGGCTTGCCTGTGCGTTTAGGTGGGGAGGTTTGGGGTGAAGAGTTCATGACGGTAAACGTTTTTCAATGGCGTCTATAGAATGTAGTTACTGAGTTTTTGGAGCGACGAAAATGAGACAGAATGTTTTTGGGTTCCACCCTAACATTGCTTATCAGCTCCCGCGTCGCAAGAAACGAATTGAATTGGAATGGCGCGCCATCCATGGCTCATGTACAACATGAGATCTAGCCAGAGTTCCTTAGAATACCAATATGCCCCATACCTTATCTATGTGGGTAACGTGCTTAGTGTGTTGACATGGGATATAGGTTTGATGGTAGGGAAGACGTACACGGAACGAAACGTTGGAGCAGTTTAACGCTTTGGATTACGGTGCTGGGTATCTTTCGAGATATGAGACTTCCGAAGCCTGTACAATAGCAAGTGCCTCAATGGTGTGGTGAACGTAAAGCCCATGCCCCTTCACAGCGTTTTTCGGGAATGAGATAGTGTAGTGAAGGCATGTTCCAAAGCTGTAGCAAGACTAGATTATTGGATGAGAAGAGACGGTAAGATTCCTAGAACTTGATAAGGTATAATTGAGGACTGGTTGTCACTAAAGCATTTCCCCGCCACAACCCCACAGCTTTAGTATACGTAGATGACAGTCACTTATCCTGTATGACAGTAATTCGAGAGTAATCTCAATCCATATCAACTGTAAAGATGTTGAAATAGTGAGCGATACTTCGGGGTTGTGGTCATGGATTAAATCTTCTAGAATATGAGTGATCTTGAATGGAGGTAGCCAAAAGATGCGTATTCATCAATTTGATGAGCGTTTTAGTATCATTGAGATGGTTAATAGTCGGAATATATGATTTTCATCTGATGATAGGCGGTATTTCAGGACATTCCGAAACAGATAGAATGTGTTATATCTCTACCCCACCGGCAGTCGGCAGCATAGAAATAGCCAGAAACCAAGAGGTTTTCCGTAAGTGACAGATATCTCTCTGATCTCTTCAGTTGCCATTCCAGTTGGCGTATTTTCGGTGGTTTGATTCATTGTAACCAGCAATAGAATTCGTATAGAAAACGATGGAAAAGACAAAAAAACAGATAGAACTCACACCTCGGGGGGCGGTCATAAGGATACACAGGATAGCTGTGATAAAGCCCTATATCCATTAGAACACCGAATAGAACCCGAATAGCGGTAGAAAGACTTCAATCCCTTAAGGGAGGTCCTCCATTAGATGTTTCGAATGAGATACTAAAAGGATATATCAGTAAATATCTGGCCCAGCAAGATATATGGTTCTAGGTAGAGCACAATTGCCTCTTGTATTCGTACGAGCAGACATTTGGCGGCATCTACTTGTATCCGGTTGTTTGTGCTTTTCTTCGGGTACTCATGAGGCTGCCAGTTGACAAAAGCATGTAGCATGCCACCTTGCAGGCACTGGAACCACCAAGCACCCGCTGGTTTGTGTAACCGGGAGTAACAACCCCCACAACTGGTCGATGGCTGCATGGTTAGCCGTGGCCCGTAAGAATTATCCAACTATGCCGTATGAAAAGCACGGCATAAAACCTAGCCTTAAGAGATTTTTGAACAATTTAGCTTGTGTTAGTAGCAAGCCAAGACCAAAAGGCAGGTATAGCGTAAACTGTCATCACTGACCGGCCTCGAGCCGCGTTGGTGTTTGGCTGTTGGTCGTTTTCCTTAAATACCCCTCTATCCCCACCTTTCTGATGGACAGTGGGCGTCGTCCACGTCTGGTGTGTCATAGCGGACACCAACAGCAGTGCTAACGGTACGTACCACGATCACCACATAAGTGGCTATCTGACTCTGATGAAAATTAAAGAAAAATAATTTGTGGGAGACGTATTGAACTGTGTTTAAACTAGGATACAAAACTGTCCACTACAGAAATAATCAGCAATAATAAATTCTTCCCCAAGACATATTATCCATTGATTCTTCAGCAAAACCTGCGTATCCTTTCATAACAAATTCCAAGCGATTCCCCCTTTTCGTTTCCCACTTTCTGCTTCGAAGATTCTTCACTTAATTCATGTCAACGATAAACCTTTAAACCATTCGTGTACTCCTCCTAACTCGCCACCATAGCCAGCAAGTGTTCTCAAGGTGCTGAGCAATGATTAAATCCTCTCAAGTCCCCCGCGGCGGCGAAACAGCCGCTCGTTCACCTGAGGGGACTCCTCATAACCCTCGACATCAACCTCGCTGTCACTCAAATCGAAGAGCTCACTGTCACTATCTTCCAGATCTTCCCCACCTACGAGAATGGGGTCGTTACCAGTCAAGCTACGACCAGCCAGCCCCGCAGCATCGGCGGCGACGGTTGCAGCGCGGGCTGCATTTGAATTGGATCGTGTACGATAACGGTGTCGTGGCTGGAAAGAATGTGCATCTGGTGAGAGGGAACGACGACCGGCTGCGGAGTGTACTGAGGAGGCGCGGGATCCATGGCTTCTAACAGGGGATCTGGAAGCAGAGTGGATGGAGGCAGCGCGGGAAACATGATTCCTGGCAGGGGACCTGAACGCGGAGTGGAATGACGAAGCGTTGGAGGCATGGCTCCTGATAGGGGACCTGGAAGGGGTGCGACCGGAGAAAGCATGGGAATGATGGCTTCTGGCAGGTGATCTAGAGCGCTCCCTATAGGAATTGATGTTGGCCGAATGTCTTGAGCTAGCCTCAGACCTATGATCCTGGAACCTAGCATCAAACACAGACGATACTCGAGATTCAGAAAGAACTGAGTGTCTTGAGCTCGCCTCAGAAGCGGGTGGAGCGTAGTGATTGATGTTGCTACCATAGGCAGAGGATGTAACAGACACAGAACGAACTGATTGGGGTGAACTAACTTCGGAGGAGGGTGGAGCCTGGTAACCTGGAATGTAAGCACCAATTACAGAGGATGCAACTGACTCACTGCGTGCCACACTCTGTTGGTGGTAGGGGGTTCTGTTCACCGGTGTGGGTGTCCCTGGTGGCGTATATGACGAATGAACACTACGGTTACCTCCATTACTGGACAGACCATTGTCGTATGCGTTCAAGGTAGGCATGGACGAAGGAATCTCAACCTCCATTTTAGGGAAGTCTTCCTCCGGGTCTTCGAGGGCCTTCAACCCAAGGGCAAATTGTTCAGGAGTGATTACGGGTGCATTCAACAGGTGGGGAGGCATGATTTCAACTTCTTCAGACCCGCCTCTTCTTTCCCTCTCGAACTCCTTCATACCATCACGAAGAATCGCTTTTACGTGTTCTGGATAACCATTCATGCTTCCATTGCTACTGGTGGCTGACCCTCTTGACACTCTTGGGGTGGGACGAACTACCAGAGGACCTTTACGAACACCATAAGGAGCGACTCTAGCACCGGCGGGGACTCGGGCGTTCGCTACGTTGTAGGTGTTGAGATTCCTGTGCCTCTGGGGAGTGATGACACTGGTTTTTTCTTTCTCGTGGGTGGATGGGTTGTTGATCGCATGTTTGGCTGCTGCCTGGGCAGCAAGCATTCCGGGATTGGGGATAGGATGGTTGCTTTTCGAGATCCGATGAGCACCTGGACCGGTAGGAACGGGCATGTTGTTTCCGGCGTTTGAGGAAGTGGTGTCACCGTCATCAAAGGCAGCAACAACGGTCTGGGAGCCATTACTGCTGCCAAAGAAGGCATTGGTCTGGTTCAGTGGGTCATATCCCTGATGGTAACAAGTTGTGTTAGTTTCCGGTCTTTACCAAAGTTGGGGAAATGTCGAGGTAAAAAAAATCCTCCCAAAAAAAAAAAAAAAAGAAAAGAAAGTACAAATGCAAATACAAGTGATGATCATAGCTGACCCAGACATGTTCAGGTTTTGCTACATCATGGACGGGGATAATAATTACTCACAGAAGGGGCAGGAGCATTGAAGTCCTGCAAGTAACGCTTCTTGGTGACCTTCGCATTGGGATCATACCCCTTGTAGTCAAGGTCCTCATCCGACTCACTATAGCGTGGGTCTCTTGGGATCTGTCTAGGAAGGTCTACTCTTGCACTCTTAGAAGGGAGCATGGTAACAGCAGTGACATTGTGTTGAAGGATGACTGGCTTGCGGGATTTGAGATCGTAATTGGCTGCATAGCCATTGCGGCGGGGCGGAGCCATCTCGACAGAGAAGAGGTGGTTGTGAGATTGCTAATTGGGGTTGTGATGAGGGAGAAAGAGTGATATTTTGTTTTGAGATGAAAGATGGGGGAGGTGGGAGATACTGGCTATTTATATGATTTTTTGCAGCAACGTGGGTGGGAGTGATCTGTTGCAGTGCGGAGACAAATGTTCAGGTAAGTGACTTGCAACAGACAGTAATTCAGTCTTTCTTACGTTTTTCAGGTCATAGAACCCTAGCCCTGCTGCCTTTGGGAGGACGCGACTGCAATTGGGGGATCAATTTCCCTCTTTGCTAATGAAACGTGGAGGGGTTAGGCCACCCATCTGAAGTGGTATGTCTCGTTCTGCCTGAGGGGATGAAATGCAATCATTATGACGACATCAGGCCGCGCAAAAAGAGATTGCACTTACAATTGTTTCCCCTTATTCATTTAGCGTGCGAGTTTGAATCTCTAGGAGCTCTAGACGAATAAACGAGAATTCATACCAGGCGTTCGCAGAATTCCTCCCGCCTACATCACGCAATCAACAGTGCTTCCATTAACAATCCAAGATGCAGCATCCTGTTCTTGGGCAAACCTCTCTGCATCCATTTTCACCCATGAACACATCGAACACCACCATTTCTGTCGCCGAACTGATTTTCAACGAATTTTCATGATTTAACTACAGAGTCGCCTTTCATGATTCTAGATAATTTTGGACAGTTATATCATTTCCAGATTATAGCGCGATCTGTGTAACAATCTGGATCATCCCTGCCTCAGCACTTTACGCGTGCTGCACTGGTCGCGTATCTTGTAGCTGCACGGATCTTGCAGCTGCATGGATCTCGCGTGCTGCACGCGTGGGGGTTGCAGCGCGTCTTTTTTTCCTTTTTCTTTTCTTTTTCACTTTACGCGTCGCCAGCTGTCTTAGGCCAGGGTATCAAAGTTGCCGAACTTTGAGGCTTAATGGGGAACCACCACAACACACTAAAATTAAAAGAGGTTTGTAGAGTTATAGAGGGAGAGGTGAATAACACTGTAACAGAGCCTTCTTAATTTTATCTGTTGTGGTTATTGAGCTATTGAATTTCGAAAAGTTAGGTTTTTAGTGAGATCTAACTGAATATCGCCTTCCAGGTCAGTGATTACCCAATTGGGAATACAACACTAGCCCGTGGTCAATCTCTTGGCAGAACATCTCTGTCTTGGTACTTTAGGATCGATTTCATTTTCATGCTAAGTGATTACTCGATTAGGCAAGTACCTTAATTAGGTCTCAAATGTCGCACCCTCTGGCTCAAGGTTTCCCCACCCATATATAGCTGTGTATGCCGCGAACTGGCGAGTGCACCACATGTTAGCTGTGCGATCTGAGGTGCTATTAACACCAAGAATCAATTATTTCTACCCATATTCATTCCCGGTTCCTTCCTCCTGAAGCCTTTTCTTTTCCTCATTCCTCTCCGCACACTGACAATCATACGATTAGTCACCAGACCACCCCATCCGCTTTCCAATACCGCTGCTGGACTGCTGACTCCGGTGGAGATTTTAAGGACGGCCTGTACACATTGTGTGCTCTGAAGGTGGACTCTTTCACACGTTTCATAACTATCGGGGGATCTCGTCGACGGAATAACAGGCAGGACTACCGTCACAGCGCCGTACAATGCGTGGTGACTGTCGACATTGTCGGGAGTCCCCATTGGAGCCTCGTATGATCGTGTATAAGGACATGATGCGATTTCTCTTTGTGGAGTGTACTCTCCACGGTGCTAAAAGTGCAAGTCAGGAGGACGTATTTGAAGAAGGGAGAAGCTGTCAAGGCTATTTTTACAGCGGTCTTTGCAAGTGGCCTCTCTGGTTAATTGTGATGCCTGAACGACGGGGTTGGATGTCACCGGAATTATACGAGTTGTACTACTATACTCGGATTCGAGTTCAGCTGTATCACCAGTAGCTCTAGGCTCCTTGCCTGGCAATTATGCTATACAAAGCTCGCACTCACTTGCCACATATAACCCCACCAGTAAGAGGAAACGTCTCAAACGGCGTCACATCACACCCAAAACGCCGTTTAATTTGGAGCTCCGTTCTCCCGAAGTTCATGGAGTTTGGTGTACCAGTTAATCGATCGGGAAACTCCATCTTACTCCCGAGGACGGAGCTCCGAGAGGGAGTGGATCTGACTTATGTTCTTTTTCCAAGCGGAGTGTTTCGGGTCTGTGGTCTGATCACGTCAGTGTGCCATTTGAATGGGCGTTATGTATCATAACTTAATCTTATTAATCCATTTTTGAAAGTATCCATTTATTTTTTGAGAACGGAGTATTATCAGAACGGAGCTTCCAACTGAACGACACCACCAGAGGACTCTAAAATTTATTTACTACTCACGTTTGAGTTGCAATTCCCATTTCTCGCTAGAGAGGTCTCTGGTACGAGCACATACTATGTGCCACCTTTGCTTTGAAGGCAGAGGGCTTTTCTGACGAGATTTGGAGTTACGAGATGGGAATAGTATAGGTCCACATGAACACCCAATTCAATTTGAGCTCTTCTCATCTACTGATACTAGTTTTAAAAGTTACTATGATAATAGAATCGGCTTTCTTCGTTCGAGATTACTCTGGATTTGATTGCAGGTGGGCACGCACAAGCCGGACAATACCGGGTGGCGCTGTGATTCTCGTTGTTTCGGGAATAGAGGGGGGGCTTTTGGGATGAATGATGTGATAGAGAATGTTAGATATATAGGTACAGATGAAAATGGTCTTCGCTGGTTTCCTTCCGATTTCGTCTGTGGTCAGAATATCACATTTTGTGTGTTCTTGTTAAATTCTCGGGGGTGGCAGCACAGGGGGGTCATATAGGCGAGGTTTTGTGCTGGCTTTACCGATGGGCTACTTCTACTAGTAATCACTGGTGTTCATACCAAGTTGAATTTGAAAGACTGTCTGTTGCTGCCTTTGCGTTTCCCCCTCTCAAACTTGAAATACCGAGTGATATCCCATGACCCGAAAGTTCACTCTTCTATTCAGTTTGGCCATCTCTTTTTCTATATCACTGGAAGAAAGACCTTTCAATGCAAAAATCTATGCTATTTAACTTTTATAACTTCTATAGACGGTATATTGTGACGTCTTGACCTCCAGCAGGCCGAATTACAGACAGTCTCTCGGTGGTGATATAAGCTATAAAGAGAATGCACATGTCTTCACGAGCTCCAGAGACTCTACTGTGACGCGTTATATATCCTCATGGCTTACCATATCACATGTTCCATGTCTAGTTAGCCTGACCGCGAATTAGAGGATGTAATCGTGTCTTTATTGCATTTTGCCTTCGTGTCAACTCTTAACTTACCAGTTTTACTGCTTTTCAATCTCTACCTTGCAACAGAAAATCTGGACACCATTCTTATACCCCACGCCCGCTACTCCTCCCACGATTGCACCCCCGACCCTGTTCACCACCCCTTTTCCTTCCATCCCACCAGCTCTCTTCACCTAAACTTCCAAACTGCAGTGATGCCCATAGTCTTATACAAACAAAACCGGCACTTTTCCTCGCCTTTACAAATGAGGTAGCTATCACAAAGCACACACCTACCACCGTCACGACTCGGATACTCGTTCCACTGTAACCCCTTCGCCTTGGCGATCTGCGCGCGGATAATCTGTGCGGGAGACCAGAACTCGGTGTTGGTGAGACAGGCGTCGCAGGAGGTGGTATCTAAGGGGATACGGGTGGAACAGATTAAGCACCTGGAAGAGGGGAGGTTAGTAGGTGGTTTTTGATAGTGAGTTCGTGGGGATTAGGAATGATTTAATGACGGTGAATGGCGTTGACAGCTTGTCTTTTTAGGTTGATAATATGGATTAGGGTATCTATCAGGGGGGGGGGGGCGGGAAAGACAGATCTAGGACAACATACTCAAATCCATTCAGCCCGTCCAGCTCGTCATTCAACTAGAAAACAGCATTAGCCCAGTCCTTTTTATTCTTCTCTCTGACCAGACTACTTACTTCCTGAAGTTCCGCCGCAGCCTGCCTACTCTCCTCCCTTGCGGCAGCCTCCGACGCCAGCCTACGCTCCTCCCTCATAGCACTCTCCCGCTCCTCCCGCCTCCTCTGAAACGCCGCTAACTCACCCCTGGTCCTCTCCGCGCTGGCGGATCTCGCCCATGTAGGGCCCTCTCGCATCAATTCGGCACCAGCAGCACGCTGCGCCTCTCGTTCTGCCCTCCGCCTAGCACGTCGTGGCACCGACGGCCGCTGCATCCCTAAGCTGACATTGATTGGCAAGCTATAGCCCTGGCGAACCAGATCAGCAAGAGCAACGGCCCTCACCGCCTCAAACGTGTTCCGCTCCTGGTCCCTGGCAGCGGCCGCCTCTCTTTCGATCCTCCGCATCTCGCGCCGTGCCGCCGCCTGTCTCTCATTCTGTGCAGTGTGTTGAGCCTCAATGGCGGCTCTCATGGTCGTCGCAATGGCGCCTAGTTGGGCTTCAACAGTGGCTCTCTGTGCGTTAGCAGCGGCCCGCTGGGTGGTAGCAGCCGCTCGCTGCGCATCCTCTTCTGCTCTCTCCATTGCCATCTCCATTGCCCAGTGAGAGACCTCCGGGAAAAGCAAAGATCGATCCTGCAGAGCGTTTGTCTGTTCGGCGGAGAGTGGCACATCACGGGGGCGTAATGTGAAGGGGACAGCGGTCCCACCTTGCTGGGCGTCACGCTCTGCTCGCTCTCTTGCCCATACCTCTATTGACGGTGTGGCGGGGTGTGCCTGGGTGGGGGATGGCTGGGTTGGGAGTGACCGCAGGAGGACAGCCATGTCACTGTATTGCAGGTCTCGTTGGGCTCGGTGGTGACGTGGTAGTGACTCGGTCGTTACCAGCGGCATATTGTGCACCCACTGCTCGGAGGAATGTGGAGGTATGGCACGTGATCTGAGCGGGATAGAGGGAACAGAACCTAGTTCTGGGCGATTGGAGACGGGGGGGGCAGGCACTGACATGTTGTGCATACCCATTGTCGGCAGCTCCGTGGGGCGTGCGTTGAGCAGTGGGATAACGGCACTCCTAGTCGGATTCTCCAGTTGTTCTTGTTGGGCTCTTTCGATCTCCTGATGGTCTCTTTGGATCTGCTGATAAATGGTTTCGATGCCTCGTTCTTGGGACCTTAACGGGGAGGGTGTCAATACCGGGTCGATATTGATACCCCTCGAACGTTGAGTTGGCAGCACGCGTGATTCAAGTGGCACAGAGGCAGCTGCACCATGCTCTGGCTGCTGTGAGGCGGGGTGCCCTGGGACCGACATATCGTCCACGTCCATTAAGGAGCTTTGCCACATGGGGTCTGAGGCCAAATGTGATACCGGGGGGGCAAAGGCACTTTGCTGTTGGTCTTGCTGGGACCTTTCGGGCGGGAGGTAGAGGGGTGGTAGAGGGGGGTAGGTGGTGCTGGACGGTGTTAGCATCAAATAGACGTGACGGTAGTATGGAAGGGGGGAAATACCTCATATTGTGAATGGTTTGGTTGGAGAAGGGTGGGTATGGTTCTGACATGGTGGGAGTGGTCTGGTCTGGGGTAAGGGTGGTTGGTTCTGACATGTTGGGAGAGGTTTGATCGGGGGTGGGGGCATCTGGTTCTGGCATATTGAAGGTTTGGTCGGGGATGGGGCGATCTGGTTCAGGCATGCTTGAAAGTGGTGGTGCTAGGGAGAGATGGAGGTGGTGTGGGAAGAGAGAAGAAGAGAGAGAAATAATGAATTTAAGCAGATGGCGTTGTTGTTGTGGTTGCGTGGGCAACGGAGAACAACGACAACGACAAATCTCTGTTAACCAAACTTGGCGGAATTAATCAGTTTTGGTATGAACTTTGGGCTCCTTCTCACGACTCTAATAAGCTAACTCGCTAGCCCCGGAAAAAGCTGGAGCTCTTTTACCTATTAATAATGGGTTGATAATGGCCAAATTGGATAGGATTAAGAAGATAAATCCCTTGATTCTGTCCTTCAAAATGAAAAGTATGTCGAGATGACTATTTTTAACTATATTAACGCCAGCTCGAGCCTAGCCAAGCTCAAGTCATACTCCCGAGCTCGAACATCCCGAGCCTTCGTTCCCACAACACGAGCGAGCTCGAGCTATAGTTCACGTTCGTCTGGAAGAGGCTCATTCCCGACATCAGAATTCATTCGCCTGAGTCTCACCTGTTACTAGAGGGTGAGGAAAGTTCGAAATGTTTCATTTGAGGAACAGCTTTGGACGAGGAAATGCAAAAGGCAAAGATCATCTCGCTTTATTCCAGACATGAAATATCACTCGATTTCACTCCGTGTATCGTAGACACAATACTGAACACACACCAAGCTAACACGGTAGAACGAAAACCTTGGTAGATGCCCCACCGTAGAAGAAAGAAATTGAGTCATTACATGATATTGAGAAGTCTTTCTCTCAGATCACCTTGAAATTTTGAGGATCGGAGGTCTTGCGGGTGCTTGCGCATTTGCGGAGACAGTTTAAAAGAAAGACTTTTAGCACAAGAATCGCTGTGACAGAATTCGAGAGCTATATTTTATTTTCCTAAGAGAAGATGTTGATCGCAAGTACGAGAGCCATGCTAACTACTTGATTCCCATTTCCTCCCCCAACTAGGTTTCCCACACGATGAACCCGTAAATAGTGAACTAGTATTCCCGAACATTCCGCCACCGTCCAGCCTAGAGAAAGATCCTAACAGGAACAAACACCTCCTCCTCAATATTCTCCTCAGGTTCATGCTTTAAATCCCCCTCAAAGTGCTCCTCACGGTATCCACCCGTCTCTTCCATCATAGTGCGATAAGCAACTAGGTGGAGCTTGTCATGGCAGTCATAACAGGTTTTCTCTTCACCGGAGGCCAGCAGACGAAGACAATAGACACAGAGACTCGGCAGCGGAGGAGCTGCAGTTCCATCAACATCCAGGCGGTGTGTTGCCCTGAAGTAGTTCTCAAAGATATGGAACACGCAGGCGCGGCGTCCAGGTACTCTCGTCTCTAGGCACCTCTCGCACGCACCAGGTATGTACCTCGGCGGAAGAGTAGTGGGATCGCGGCCGCTGTATTCCTGCTGCACACGAGTGAGCTGCGAGTGCATGAGCTCGTAGGCGCTGTGGTCATGACCGCACTGGTCGCATGTTCCTGGTCCGCCGCAGAAACTGTGGCTGTCGATCCATGGGGCGGCGTAGGCGGGGTGTAGACGGTTGACGGGGTCTTCGTGGTGGGCGGATCCAGCGGGGGACGATTCTGCAGCACTGGGTTCCTGCTCCTGATCGTCACTTTCGTACATAGGAGGTGCTACCTAGATTGGTAATAAGCTTCTTGATAAGTGATCTGACTCTGGGTGGTTGTTTTGAAGCTTACCTGTCTGTAGGGTGGAGGAGAAAGGGGATCCGGATTCTCTTCCCCACCGGAATTGTCGTCCAGGCTAAGCGCCTCCAACCCTCTACGTAGACTGGAGGCACGATTGTTCGCGGCCCCCGGAGGCGCTACTGCCTGCTCAGCAACGTTTCGAGCGTTACTTGCAGGGGAGGAAAGAGACGGTCTAACTCTTCCATCTCCTCCATCTCGTGGTCGAAGTCCTTCAAGCGTTCCTCTCTGGTTACTTTTTGATTGAATGACTAGTTAGTGGCATGGTCATACCAAAACCTGGGACAGCAGACCATACTTGCTGGTGTGAAGTGCCTCGACAACCCATTTTTTCTGGGTGGTGGGTTTTGTTGGATGTGTTCGAGACTAGTGACCGACGGTGGTGTTATGGTAGACGAGCGAGTTTTATTTGCCAACTGCCATGAGTTCAATAATTTCTTGGCCATTTTCCAGCTTAACTGCGTAGGTATGGGTATCAACTACCAGGAGTAATTTATTCGACAACATTTGGTGTGAAGGGGCATTGACAGTAAATCCAACAAGCACAAGCCATATAGGAAATTGCCATTTGTAAGAATGCATAGCTCACAGCCTATATGTGGCAGGTGGCTTTTGATTTAATATAACCTTCGAGGAACTTGTACCTCGTTTGAGAAATTCGGTTTCATGAAATCCTACCACGCATAACGACAAGGTATAAATTGTCGTTTAAGAAATAACTGAATTACGAGGCTTGCCGCCGGCATTAAAAATGCCGACTTTGAAAATATAAATGTGGATGACTTTATAGAGAAGGCCTCAAAACCCAGTAAGGTATGGCACTATAGCGCTCTATTCTGAATCCCCTTTCACGCAGATGATCGAGTTCGTCTTAAGGGAGGTTTTGATTTTTAGGGAAAGACTTCTCATTGTCTTTTGCTAGATCGATCAGAAAACCTGTGGGATGATTATCGAGGTCAAGGAGATTACAGCAGTTTAATATATGTCTCAAAAGCAACACATATCCTTCACCTCTTCCAACCACGTAATTGTTGCAACGTAGTAGAACACCTAACCTGATCATGATATGGACAGCTTGTGGTACACTGGGGGGACTGTTTATCACATCTTCTCAAGTCATGCACGAGAATAGAATCAAAATTTTCCTTCATGTCCTCCATCCACCAGGATGTTCATATCACATTAGCTGTGCCAGTGCTATATCGAGATGCGGCCTGAAGGTTTGAGGGAAAGTTGTGAGCGGGAATTTCATTCATATCACATCAGTATTTTCTCTGTAATCCTTCCGATATTTTCAATGCAGGAATGAGATAAATTTCCTAATCGCCATTCCAAATTCTCTTTCGAGTATGCCTGATTCCTACTACATGACCAACCTTCCCGCCCCTTTTACCACACCATTTTCTTTGTCTAGTTCGACCACTACATGCCCTTTGTAAGTTCCGTAACCACATGTACTGAACTGTATGTCAGTGGCAACAGAACGCGTCAGAAACTCCCACAAACAACGCAAATCATCTAGAACACCACATTTCCGCTTGAAACAAGAAAGGTGGCATTGATCCCCATAGCACAGACCACCCAATGAGATATTATCCACGTGTTCACAACGAGGAAGATACCGAATACAATGAGCTCTTGACTTCCTCCATTACTTGATTTACAGCGAGGTACTCTGAAGTGTGAACATTACTGATACACTCATAGCATGTGGGAATACAGGATTGAGACGTCAATGACGAGATGGTAGCTGGCTTTGTACAATACAGCGGGAGAGATATGTGGAGACTTTCATCTCCATCTATTAAGTTTTCAAGCTGATATTTGCCACAATACTCCTGGAATGGACGATTAGCACAACTCTCCCCAAACACAAAACTCTCAAGCTCTCACCTTCCAATTCTCCCTGGCCTCAAGCTGCTTCCCCCTCCAACAACAGGATACAAATAACACAGATATCTCTGCCCCTATTACACGTCCCTCCGCAAAACCGACACCCCGAGGCATTGCCTCTTTCCTCCTCCTCCCCCAAGAGCACTCTCAGCGCCTCATTCTGGTCCCTCGTGAACCACTCCGGCGGTATACACGGCAACGACCTTCTCCCACGTAGGAAGGACAAGTGTGCTCTCCTATTACCGAACTGGACACTGTTTCTTCCGCCCCTACGGGCAATCGTCTGCCCCACGGTTTGGAAGACTGCGGCGGAGCTCTCCATAGCGGAGGGATAGAGCGTTAGGGGCTGGAACTGGGGGACTGGACGGGGGCCAGTGAGCGCCTCAATGTCAATTGGAGCAGCAGGCTCAGCGGCATGTGGTGCGGTATTGGTGACCGGGTCCATACTCGAACGCTGCAACAGCTCCGCAAGCTCCATACTCCTCCTCGCGGCCTCAGACAGCGTGGACCCTGCCGTCGACCGACCACTGGAGCCAGACCTCTCACTGATAGTCGGCAGGGTCCTTGCAGGTTCTGGCACACGAGTGCCGCGTTGCAACCCACTGCTGCTGGTGGTATAGTTGGGCGGTGCCCATTCGGGCGAGGTGGGATCAGCGGGGGGGCGGCGTGTGGGATCGCGGAAGCGGCGGTTGACGGAGCCGTCGGCAGCGAAGACGTTGTTGACGTCCCAGACCTCCATGATGAACACATGGGAGAGGTGGGTGGAGACGGCGGTGACGAAGGGGCTGGGGCCGGGATTGCGGGCGGGGGAGGGGGTGGCCATTGCTTGAATTGGTGGGGGGTTGTGGCGGTTATGTGGGGTTTGTGGTAGATGTTTCTGCAGTTCTGGTATGGTTGATGCTGTTGAGGGTTAGATGGCGGGGTGGTTGGTATGGAGAAGAGGGAGTTGGAGCTGTCCTATTCAGCGATTCAGTTATGAAGGGAGTTCAGGCTGCAGTGATGCCGAAGCAGCCTCACGTTCTGCCCTCTGTGCTCTGATGCGTGTGGAGTACTGAGAACACTGCTGAAAAATCTCAGGTCCACGTTCAGCAGGGGTGATGCAGTTGATGTAGGACGAAGAAATGAGAGATGTTAAGCAAACTTATTACCCGCTTCACATTCAATCGCGCCCGGCCCTAGCCGGGCAAAACCGAGAATTGCCATAGAGCGTCACCTGGGCGCAGGAACTGGGGCAATATAAGTTTCCGAAGGCATTTAGTTTTCCATTTTTTCCCAAATTCTACGTCTATAACGATCGGGGGGGCATGTTTGGCGTTTTTGCATTGGATCTTTCACTAATATCATGCCAGATAACATTATTAAATAATTCTCTCTGGTACTTCGCCCTAATAACCTAAACCTACTTTGATACCGACGACGAAGAATTATCGTTCTTTCGGGGTGCGTTTATCAGCCGTCAATAACGCTCACGGGAAAATTCTCAAAATTACTAATCCTAGGAGAAATGATAGGGTTACATGCATTGAACAAATTACACTTTCGGCGAAGCCCTGAGTTGTTTTAGACAGGCATTTCCGCATTTGAATAGATTATTAATTCATTAATCATACCTGCCATCTGCACCTCCGAGCGTGTCAAACTACATTGGGTCTAGCTTTCATGCACTTTTTCTTTTCGACCACTCCCCCTCTGGAATACAAAGCTCCTCAATGCTCCTCGCTGATACAAGAACACTCCACCACCGCTCTCGCCTTACAAACTGAACAACCTTTCACAACAGCAGCAGCTCCAAGCCCACTCGATGTGGTCAATCTCCCATCCGCGCACCTCCGCAAATTATGAAATCGTCCAACTCTCACAAGACCCCTCCGCCGCCCGCTAAAACCACTCACAGTATCTGTCTGGCTTACTTTGATATTTGGTTTATCCGGGAGAGGACTATCGAAATTGTAGGTGGATTCATAAACCTTACCCACGCATATTGCTGACTCAGCTAACGATATTCTCCCTCGTCCAACAGCCAACCGAGGGGATCTGCGAACCGCAGTTCGATATTGGCCAGGCGAGATATTAAATTTTGCTATATCCCGAGGACTTAATAGTATCTTTCTGTCGATATCTACTGCCCCTATATTCACACGACAACAGTCAGTTCCGAGATCCGAGTAACATTCCACACCCGCAATTCCTCGGAGGTCTTACCGAAAGCAGCATGCGCACCCCCGAGTACATTCCGACGGCGGAGGGATGTGGATTTTGGGACTCTTGTGGCATTGAGGCGATCTTTATTTACTCCTGATGGTCGAGGAGTCATAGAGACGTCGGCCATGCGCTGGCATATTCGGGAGAGGTCGGTGTCGGGGTGGACTTTCATATTGACCGTGTGTGTATGTTGGGCTTTAGGTCTGAGTGAGATATTGATGGGGAACAATAATCTTGGTGACGTGGGGTAATTGATGATAGGTGAGACGTGTATGTCTTTCTGTCTTCTGCTCCAGATCCTATCTCAGGGAGGACGTAGGAATATATAATAAAATTTGACGCTAAGTCATCATCATAGTACCTGTCCCCACACACCAATATATTGGCTTCCCTCATCAAATGAGTATCTAGTGGCATTCCTTCTAAAGCAAGGGGTCTTATCAAGATTGTCGTTGTTCTTGGCACAAGTTCGACAACAGTTTCTAAATTGGACAGGTCTTGAGAACTACATAATCAAACCCACTATAGCCTCCCCCATCGAATGATATGTGGCCTCGCTTAACGAGATTAGATTTTTGCGCTGTCGGATATGCGTCATGGACTGTCACTCGATTCATCACTTTTCCGCGAGCGGAGGAAGAACTCACCCCACCACCTACCATGAGGCCATGAAGCGGAGGAACAAGTGTATAGAAGAAAGATCTTAGTACTTCTCTCTGTCTACTGTGCAATAATGTTCGCATTAACAAGTTTTGAGAAGGAATAACAAAAACATTCACCTTTCCCTTGTGATGTGATGAATTAATGGACTGGCCTAGAGTTTATTAATCATTCTCTTTCCATATAATCACGAGATATGAGCTCACAAGTATCCCGGCTGCCTCATTATTCCCGCTTTCGACAGCGTTACAGCGATCCCTTCTGACTGCGCCATATACTATCACTCGATTAAGTCAGGGTCAACATGGGCAAACGTAGGTGCAGAAAGATCAACACTCGAGCACTGGTATACTAGAAGTAAAAGGATTGCAGTTAGGCCTCTTTATTAATCAATTAGATTGAGGAATCTCAGAGCTCGTTCGCACCTTTTACCATTCCTCCAAGGATGCTCCTATGACCAGGAAGTCGAATAACCCCCGAGATACAACAGGAAAAGAAACAACCAAACAAACCTACCATCGACAAGATAACCTACTAAAGGAAGAAAACATACTCATATGGTAACTCCATAGCGTAGTAGAATAAACAAGTATCACAAAAACAGGAAGAAAAACCACACTAGACCCAGCAACAGGAGGCAGACGACGTAATCCGGCAGCACCATGTATCAAAGATTGCAACGAAAAATATAGAAGGAAGAATAAAACATCCGGCGAGGAGGCATATAAGCAGAGGAATTGCATTTACGCGTTCATCGGCTACCGGAAACATTCTATCTGGGCTCATCTACCTGGAGTTAGGATAGGCCTGGAGGTAACGAGCGTTAGGGTTTCCTTTCGATGCTATGCCGGGAGGAATGTCATTCTACAAGTAAGGTTCAGCAACTACCTCTTTTGGCTAGCTATTCTTTCGGTCATTGACGTTTCTCGCGCTATATCTCTATAAGATATGGTTCCAAGAACAGGCGACAAAACTCTCTCCTTGAGAACCAACGTGCAGGACGAAGCGACCAATCAGCGATCGCCAAGTATTTTTCACAACTCCGTGAGAATACCCCTCTTTTAGTTCTCCTCCAATCAGAGACTACCATCACTTTATCTCTTTTGCTTCAACCATGAGATATCAACAACAGCGAGCACAAATGTCACCAAACTGGAGAGAGAATGGAGCCATGAGTATCCAGAAACTCATGGCAGGCGGAGCAGAGTTACATCTACAACAGTCTGAAGAGATTATAAGGCTACGACGGAATGTCAGTAGCTTAGCGAAGAAGAACCATCAACTAATGCGGCAAGTCCATGAGCTGGTTACGAAACTACAACAGTATCCTCCCCCAAGGATACCAGAAGAGACCAGACCATCAAACCAAGCCGATGGTGACGGACGACCGCCCTCCCACCCCTCCTCCTCACCCTCCCACCCCTCCTCCTCACCCTATGATATCGGAGACAGTAAAAGCGACAGCCGGATGCATAGTGCATTCGAACAGGAGACATCGCACGAATATTCCTGCTTCAAAATAAAAAGAGAAAACACCGAAATGGAAGATGCACGAAACCCAACCACACCAGCCCTTGAAGCCATCATACTACCATCACCACCAGCTACCATACCGGCCAATATGCCAATACAACAGAGACAACAACAATCAACACCAGCAGAGACACCAGCCGCACCTGAATCAATCTCTCCGCCACAAGCCAAATTAGAAAACCGATCGGACAGAACTCTCCCGACCAGCAGAGCGAATACAGACCACTCTCCCCCGGTTCAGACTCTAAATCCCAGCCCTAAGCCTAAGATAATGGTGGTTGTAACAGCAAACGCCACCATGATTGACGAAATCATCAAGGGATATGACGAGTACCAAAAGGGACAACAGTTACAATACCCCAGGCCTTTCAGCGGAGAAAGAGTTCATATGCATCTTGAAACATGGGCATGGCACTGTTACAGCAAGAACCTGGCAGTATTGATAACAAGCCAAGACAACTGGACCCACGCGGCCACCAATAGCGAACATGACAGAAGGATGGGTATGTTTGGGAAAAATTGAAAACAAGACTGGAAGACATCGGATACAGGGTAAAGAATTTTTCATTGAGTCACCATTAGTGCAGGACGGATATATGTTCGGCCCCAGAGTAGGGGAGAGGAGACCATTAACACATATTAAGTTAGTAGAGGCGGACGAAATTGTTTACTAATTACTTTTCCTTCTTTCTCCTATTTTAAAGATGGTGGCGGATGTAGGGCAGTTCTGAGGTAGTGCGATATTGCCATAATTATAGCCGTAGGGTTTCATGCAATCAACGAATTAAACGAAAAAAAAAAAAAAAGGGAGCAGTCGACGATCTACAGCTGTATTTCTCGCGAAGGGAGTGATTGTAGTGAAACTCATGTGTATGGATTATTGGTACCTGTTCTTAGTGAACATATCGCGTAGTAAATAGCGATATAAGGTATCTATCATTATTTTACATCATTCTATCTCACGTTATGACTTCCCGGAACAGCATTCGAACCAAGCTAAATAACTCGGATTTGATTAAACAGTAGTGTCTCTACACGAGCAACCAATCATACTCCTATCAGAGCAGGAACTAAAATGCAAACTCCTCACATTCCCTAACTATATAACATTCTCCCACAGCATCTAGTCCCTGGCAGCTTCTCCTGGAGGCATTTGTTACAGTAAACCGGAGGAGCAGGCAGCGTATCACAACAGAACTCGTCACACTCACACAGCTTGCCGCAGCATCTACACAGTGCGCCTACGTCTATGCCACAGCATACATCGCGCTCGCGGCATCTCCTCTTACAGTTGAGGCACCTCACCTCGTGAGGTGGGCCGCGGTTGGCGTTGTGGTGTCGGCAGGGCATTGATATTGTTTTTTAAGATGGTAGGGTGTTTGAGGATGTGCGTTATTTAGACTGTGGAGAGTTTGTTAGACAGGCAAGACATTCGGTTATACTTGGGTGAGAAGGCGGCCACGTAGTAAAAGATTCTTCCCCTCCTCTCTAATTTGGATACGTCGCCCTCGCAATAGAATTTGATGATGTCCGTCAATGATCTGGTTATTGAATGTATATATATATACCCTTTGCCTCCTCCTCCTATCATCCTTTTAGTGGTATGCTAATGTACGGCGATGTTAGCATACTACACCATCGTGACAAGTAATAGTGACTAATACAAGTACTTACTTGTAGTGACAGCAATACTATTACTCCTACTCTCGGAAGCCAAAACCAAACAGGCTTTATCCCTTTTTAGGCTTCCGGGTTATCTGAGACCTCAGGAATAACTAGAGTATGTACCTCTTTGTAATTCAACTGGACTTGCATATTCCCCTCCGGATTGGTCGGATTTGGGTACATAGAGCCTTTGATCCCCAAAGCCCACGACCAGTACAAGCACGTACTGAGAGTAGCGCTTTCCAGTCCAGCCATTTTTAGTCTCAGACTCGCAGCTCCCGGGCCGTTCGCCGAGTCCTGTAAGAGCGTACAAGCAGAAATGATCGTCAATTCGAGTTATTTATCTATTTTCATTCTTACAAGACTCGGCGCTGCGAGTCTGAATTATGGACCAAAAAATGGGGAGGACGAAAACACTCTATTCCCGAGATTATGCGGTATGTTATACCCCAGCGACGAACGCTCTCCATTCAGGAACGCAATTCTATACCGGAGCGTTCGCCGATAGAACCCCCCCAGCAAGGAACGCCACACCCGCGCCTACCAACTTAAACCTTGTGTTCCAGCCTTGGATGCATGTATATTGGGTCCAAACCAGTAGAAGAGGTTCCTCAAGCACCATTATGTATCTGAGTATATATGTAGTGTATTTATTTGGATAATTCCTCAGTGACTTGAGATTCAACAAGCGGCTGCCAAAGACAATACCGACATTCACGCTGACACCAGCATTTACATGACCGACACTTGAGCTGGTGCTAACTCTCAGTACCAGTGTAGTCCGATATAACAATGCGTTCATGATTGGGGGGCTAAATTGATACCCCATTCGTGAATAGGATATCCCATTCACGACCGTTCCTGACTGGGGAGCGTTCGTCGCTGGGACATAACAGGTATATGTAATTACCTGGATATAAGCCTTAATTAGTGGAAGTAAGGTTTGGATAGGTTTTATTCCCTGGCATTTCAGTCCGTGGGACTGACAGGGGGTCTAAGTTGACAACAAAACAAAAGAGTTCGGTACCTAGGATTCCCACATGGTCACCCACTGCAGTACTAACTAGGCGATACGATGCTTGGGTATGGCAGAGCGGACGGGATGCCCCACTTTCATCGTTCTATGACCGAACACGTTGATATCAATCGCTGGACACCACTTATCCAGCAGTTTGAGTTGGTCACTTATGCGACGCGCCCTTGGACCGGACCGGTGTGCGGCACCTCACACTGCCGCAGGCAGGCTTTAAAATTTCGGTTGTGAGGGTACTCGCTAAATAAAGGCTTGTAGTAAAGATAAAAATTAAATAATGGTTTCGCGCACTCACCGAGTTACCCCAGTTCTCACAAGGTGAGTTTTTTCCTGCGAAGTGGTGGTGAGCCAAATTGCGCCCGGGAATGAGCGCACTCAAAATCATTCTGAGCCCACTCGATTTGTCACTATGGGCATAAGCGAGCAGCAGAGTACAGATCCTATGCGATAAACAAGATATAGTATGGGTTTCTACGGCTTGTGGTATTCCAGGGCGTCGTTAAGCTCCATCGACTCTCGCACACCTTGGAAGTGGCAAAATCGAGTGATGTCGAAAGATTTAGCCCTACACTTACTTACCTGTAGACTACTCTGCCACAGTGTTCTCAAAACGAAGAGTATGGCAGCTTCAAAACTATTGTATACCGATTCTCGTAACTATATGTACCTACACACTTTGTATCTTGCTCGTTAGTCGCTACTGAGTACTCCTATTGTTCCCCACATGCCACTTCTGCGAGGCGCAATGAACGTCCATCCCTCCGCAGCACGAACGAGGTAATTCTCTATCGCCTGAACATCTTCCAAAACAGGAAACGCGAAGCGACCCAAGTACCCTGAGCGATGTTCCTGTCGCCAATTTTGTGCATTTTCCTGTAGCCTCGTTTCTCACAGCCTTGCTTAGTCATCAACATCTTGAGGCTGAGTGCGCGCCGACTGTTGCCTAGACCCCTGGCGGCCTAGTGCACAAAGGAGCATCCGGTCAACAACTACACCTCTCCTCTTCCGCAACTCGATTTCAAAACTCTAATCTTTTCGACGACAGCGCCTACTATTTCCTACTCACGATTCTCATATCGAGGCCGGCGCAGGGCATGCTTCGCTCTCCTGGAGGAGTCGAGGACTCGTGTGTCGCGGTAGTTTCTGGACGCGCAGCGCCAACTTGGGCGACGGGAGTATGGGGGGTAGTGATAGACGAACGTACAAGTTCTTTCACTCTACAAATTCTCTACAGTTACTGCTGACGCTCTTGGACAGTAAGGACGGAGGAGAACACCTAGATGACCGCCTCAGACACTTAACCTCCCGACCCACTCCCCCCCCACAGGCGGTTTATGTCGCCTAACGGGCACGACGCGGCTGCGTTGTGGCCACCAGTCTCACAGACCCGGAGGCAACCGCAGCGGCAGAACTAAGTGTTCGGCACCGAGGGGGAGGACCATGGTTCAGCGAACTCACCACCGCAGATTTGCGAGTCAAAGTACATGCGCGAGCCTACCGAACATGTCTTAATATCTCCAGCTACGGCAGTGGGGGCGTCTAAGCGCTGCGGTCGAAGCCGCGCATCTCGAGAGATACCAAGATCTGTTGCGCAGGTTGGTTCTTTTCGCCCAACATCCTTCCGCCAAAGCGGTCCACAGCAAGAGAGATATAGCACAGGCGGTAAGGAATAGCGCTTGTTGATTAATTTTAGGTCTGCTAATAGGGCGGGTGAGATGGCCTACTCCGGAGGTGGAGTTAGCGACCCACCAATGTGGAAGATATAAAGATCCTCTACGACACCATACAGATATCACATAGCGTTAAGAGAGAATTATTTGTCTTTTAGAGAGTACGTCTCCAATATACAGAAATGCCTCTGTTCGTCACGGGCGATAGCTTGACAGGAAAACATTTATACTCGACCGGGGACGACCCATATGCGTTGATAGAAAAGGCTGCATGACACAATCTACCTACGCCCAGATCTCAAGAAGAACTACCATCATAATATGGACTACATAGTCACTGCATAGATGGACGGTGTGATGATGCCTACGTAAGCACCATGCGCAGGGCGGGCTGTCGCTGGCCGTGCCCTGACGCGGTGTACCGACGCACGGAGCTTTACACGGAGAGCTGTCGTAATGACGCCGACCACATGGTCACCGCGTAGTGAGACGGCGCCAGGATGCCTCCGCACGCACTGTGCACAGAGTCTCCGGCATGCCGAATCCTTTGTTAAGGGCAGACTGGCGGTCGGGCAGGGCCGTGCACCACTACTCAGACGCTCAGTAAGCGTGCGAGAAGATACATGTAGTACAAGAGGCTCAGTAAGCGTGGCAGGAAATTCTACAAGAAGCTCCAGTTTGGCTGGTAGCAGTGTAATTCCGATGCGCTTTGCTGCGCGGAGGTATGCCTAAGAAAGATGAACAAGATATAACAGCGTTGAGTGGTTCTATAACTCCGTCATCTTTCTGCTACCTTCGATAGGTATGGTCCTTACCTACCGAATAGATAAAGCAGCTGCTTGGTTTGAAGTCTCCCAATTTTCGATACGCGCCTTTCATACCCAGGCACTCAGAAGACTTGAGGGAGGACCGCAGAAGATAGGACCGTTCTTCCCGCTTGCTATGGGGTTGCCAGTATGACACAAAATATGCTCCGATGAAATGCGCCAGAGCCTGTGTGGGTACCGAATCATCAGTTTGATGAAAAGTACGGTCCTCTTTGCACAGCATATTCTACCCCCCCTCCACATATCACATAGCCCATCGGCCGCGCCCCCGGCCAGAGTTGGCTTATCACAAACCCCACTTTGGAGTGTGGTGAAGTTTCAATTGCGAAAATTAATCGCCGGCAAAGTTAGACTATAGTCAAGCAACTAATGAACGTTTGGATAAGATAAATATATTTTGCCAGATTTAACGGAGAAGATAGCAGTGAAAGGAATCCGGTTGAGATTCCTAGCTCCCGCAGGACACAAAAATTGCTACCTGGAGTGTTGACTTGTGATTGTTCCCGGAACTGCGGGGCAAGGGAAGATATATCCGGACCATCAACATACCTCTTGGGTTCATCCACAGTGTATATTGTTTATGAATCATTTGTTAGTTTTCTTTAATGTCCATCGTCCCCATATACATTGGGAGGATCAGAATGGAGAAGCAAGTGAATCTCGAGGAGGGATTCGTGATAGAGGGAACATATTGACACACTTACGTAAAGTGCATATACTTATACCCGAGAGTACGTACTAGAGAGGAGAGAGTGATCACGATACATACGCACCCCCTGCTTGCTGTACCAGACCATGCACAGCACGTCTGTAGTTATGATCCCCAGCGAGCGGTCAAAACACTCGAACGGCGAAATAGACTTTCGCCAATGTCTAGGCATCTTCGACTGTTTCTTTATAAACCCCCCTCCTCCTCCCCTTCCTTTTCTGCTCCTCAGTCGCTCCCGCGGGTCTTAAGCCTGCGGGGTTTGGTTTTTCTTTCAGGAGCTTTTTCTCCTGAAAAAAGCTCCTCATTTGTTCGGCATATCGGAACACCCTCTGACGCAAGTTGTGTTGGTGCACCGACACAGCCTGCCGACGACAAGGCTCCGTTGGCCTACCCCCCAAGCTTGTTCTTCGCTTGCTTGCTTCATTGTGAAGCAAGAAGCAGATCATTTAAAAGGTTTCCCCTTTTAAATTTTTTTGAACGGCGGGGGCGAAGCTACGGTTGCAGCGTTCTTTGGTGGGTTAGGGTTATGGAGGGTTAGGTAGGTTTTAGGGCTTTTGTTGATATACTGTATTATTAATCCAATAAATACTTTATTGTTCTATCTTGATTGATTTATTTCGTAAAATTAAAATGATAAAGTGTCCTGTCCCCGGCGGTGATAGCTTCGTAGCCTCTTCCTCACTCGCGGTGATCTCTATGAGATAATACCAATCACGTGTTCTTCCGAACTCACTGGTCCCCCAATCGTCTTCAACTTCACCAACACGATCGTCCTCTATCAAAAACAGCGGGCGACATCACACAAAGCCATAACTATGGTGGAATCATCCACTGGCGAAGCTGGAAAGTGAGATGAATTCGACCCCACCGTAATCTTCCTGGACCACTTGGTTAGGGGTATCTTTTGCGTCATGTTAGGTCCTCCAGGTTTCCTTTTACGCCGAAGCCCCAGAAAGACGTGCCGTCAATAATCTACGTGCTCTGCTGCGACCTAGTGTCAACAATCCATCGATTATCCTCCTTCCTTTATGCCCCCACTGGAGAAGCCGCGATGGAGATGCTCACCCACTACTCACCACCCCCAGGGTGCTCCTCTCCTCCGAGTATCTTTTCTGCTCCCAGTATCTACTCGCTCCAGAGTATAGGTACGAAAACACCACACCTACTATAAGCCGGCTAGGCTCATATCGACAGCAGGAAGAACATGCTTGGAATCCATCGAACTCTCCTAATTTTAGCCACAGAGAAGCGAGGACTGGCCAGAGATATCACCATTGTCATCTGCAGGAGCACTCACATGCCTTTACTTACTCTCGCCGCACCAGAAGCTGGGACTGATATCTATGTCGAACTCACACCCGGGATGTGGGTAAAGTTGTTCTTAAAAGCGGGACTGGAAACTGGGGACCAGAATCTCAAAGGCATCTGCGATTTGAAGGAAGGTGGAAATTGAGCTGGCCAGGGAGCTGGCACATGTACATTTGCTTTAGATGATGGAGATGGAACAAGATCCGGGAGATTACCGGCGGGGTAGAAACAAAAGGGTGCTCAATGGAAGTGGACAGAGGTAGGAGCTTTAAGATAGCTCCGGCAGGAGTACCTCTCGGGGGTCATTAGGATCCAGCTACATATCGGAGGGGAAAGGAGGAATACCCGTTCGAAATATTTACAGAGGGCAGAAAACAGCGAGAAAAGATCACTATCGTTATTCCATAATTATATACTTTTACCATACTTTGCAGCACATCTTGAGAATGCTACTTAGAGTTAATATGTCTTAATAGACGTGCAAAGACCAGGATTGAGCAGCAAAAGCTATATCATCCCCGAAAAGCAAATTTCCTGTCCTTTATCAACTAAAACCCAACGGAGTGGCAAATCCTATATGGAGATGTAGACTGTAAACTCCGCAGCAAATAGACAATGGGATTCAAACAGACCTTGTGAAGATGACTTCCCCCCCCCCCCCGCGGGGGATTGGAGGGATGAATCTGGTATATACAAAGAACTTCAGAGACAGCAAGGTATCGGTGTTCCAGTACCATCTTTGGGGTCAGAAGACTGGGCTTTCTAATATATATTACGGAACCTTCACACCTATGTCAAGAATCTTAAAACAAGTTATTCCTGCCCAGTTTCCTTTTCCGAGTAGAATAGACGAAAACTCTTGTCGTTCCAGTGCGAGAAGCTCTCCGCTGTGTATAAAACAGAGGGTGATAAAGTGAGAAGATCTACACAAATGAAACGCGGAGTATGTAACGTTCTCCTCCGGGATCGGGGGGGGAACGAAATTCACGGCGAACAATGCAGCGCCCGTGATTATTAGAGACTTCAGAGATTGTGATCTGAGGGAAAGAGGGGTGCTGGTGTATTGTAAGTGGGATCTTCGTTGAATATTTCCATCTTGGTGGTGGTGGTCGGAGTGGGGGAGAGTCTAAAAGCCTCGTTTTCGTGTATTATTTCGGATCCCTGTGCTCTGGTCGGGAGTATTTTCGTTAAATGTAATATAAAAGAAGTCTCTTGAACGTCCTGGCCTGGCGGACCTGCTTGACCCTCAATATCAGTAGCCATCGCAGGCAGACGCCTGAGTGCGCAAGGCCGGAGGACACAACATGCAGCGTTTAGAGATTCATCTTTGGCCGCGTTCTCCTAGTCCACTACTGGCAGTAAAAGCTACTCACAAGCCTATAAAACTTTGCAAGCATGGGTACTTTGCAGTTACTCCCCCGCTGAGGACAGAGAAGAATGATGATTTCAGGAGTGCGTGTTTTACCGACGTCAATGCCCACTGTTTGTAAAACATTGGCCCTGGCTAGTTCCAAGAGTCAGCTAGAGTGCGATAAGCTGAGTGGGCATTGATATCTCCTGCATTTCTGAAAGAATGCACGAAAGCTACGCCGTCATCTATAGAAGTAAACGGTTTACCGCGCCGTGAAACTCTGTCTGTCGGTTCGTATTTTTCTGCCTCGATTGGGATCAAAACTGAATGAAGGAGAGAGTAAATGTCTTGTAGCTCGGTCGCGTTGTCCGCAGAATATGGTGATAAGCCGAAAAACATACGGCGGTAAATCAGGAGAGCATCTTTGCAAGTCGCGGCAAGCTTGATGATCAGAGGAGGTTCAGGAGATTCTTGATTTGTTCCACTCCTGAAGAAAAATGTTTCCTTCCACTAGGATCGCCTCATGTTATCCCTGTATCTCCTCTAATAGTGTAAGCTTCAAGGTTCTGGCACCCCCGAGCTGGCGTAATCCCAATAATCCTGGTTGAACGCACTCAATATCTTATTGCGTGGTTTTATCCCGTTGCTTATAGCTCGTTGCTAGGCTTGATGTTCTCTTGTACTAAATCCCACTCGCGATGTTCTTAATTACCAAGAAAGGTACCCGTCCGCCATCAAATCGCCATCTCGTTGCAGAAATCATCTGCGGAAAATCTACGGGTCATAACGTGCTAACTCTAATTCAAGTGTTAAACGGAATAGGATCTGATGTCTTTCGATTTTCACCTCTTCGCGCACCCTTGAGACGCGCTATTTATACCCTGATTTCCCCCACTCCATGGACTTTTCTACACTAACAATCTATCATTTGTGGCACAAGTGCAAAGAAGAAAAGGAATTGTTTTGCTCGGTTTGTCTTATGATCCTTCTCCGAATTTGGGTCATGCTAATCTGAGTCAAAGTTTCCCAGGAAACAAATTTTGAAATAAGAACATATGTCGAGCGTTTCCAGGTTAGTTTCAGTCACAATCTACGATGATCAATATTTTGAACAGATCTTAGTTTATCCTCGGTTGACAGCGATGGCTGGAGCGACGTGGTCAGTGTTGCTGAGTCTACCCACTCTCGAGACGAGAGGTGAGTACCGCTTCAACACACCATAAAAGCATCTAACATCTCTTAGCTTATCCCCCGTCAATAGTGATGACTGGAGCGTTGCCAGCGCTACTGGGTCTGTCCACTCTCGCGACGAGAGGTGAGTACATGTTTTCAACAGATCGTAAAACCGTCTAACATATCTTAGCTTATCCCCGGTTAACAGTACCGATTGGAGCGTGGCCAGTGCCACTGAGTCTGTCCGCTCTCGCGCCGGGAGGTGAGTGCCTGTTTCAACAGATCGTAAAGCCGTCGACACGGACTTTCTAACTAAAACAAAGTGTTGAACCCACCGAGAACATGGAACATTCTGACCACAGCGAAGACTTTGATGACAGCAGTGACTCCGACGGGAGTGAAGACTTAGATGTGGACGGCCCCGCCGCTATTAATGCAGAAGATGCCAGGTAAGTGTCATGTTTTGCAGGTTCCCAGCTGGGGGGAATAAGCAGGCTCATGCACAGAAGGTCCCGGTTGCTTGCAGCTTACAACGCCGAGCCTGCACAGGCGGGAGCCTACAAGTATGTAGGAATTGATCTCTCAATGGCCTGCTCTGAGTCCTCCATCACTCCACCTTCACTATCCAACATGCCGTTCAGCCACCCACCCCCACATGTTCTCTTCGCTGGGTACCACCCAACCCTCTATTTCCACCCCAAGAAGTTCATGCTCCGCACCTCTCTCGAACGCGCAGTTGAAGCCACCAACACCGTCCACCGCTGGGCCCATGCTCGCCTTCACACACAGATGTTGGTTCCACCCCCGCCCGTCGGCACGCCCAACCCCTTCGCCGACTACAAATGTCCATACGATGCCGACACCGTTCGCGCACTCAACAACGCAGCTACCTACTACCGCCAAGCCCAGTACGGCGCTCCGGCGGTCACTCCCGAGGAGATGGCAAAGGTCATCCCTGAATCAGTCTGGGACGGGAGCCCAAAGTATTGGTTGGCCAGCGGTGGCATGGTGGGAAGGCTTCTCCATGGCTTGCTCTGGACCAACTACGAGGAAAGGGAGCAGCTCTACCAGAGGTATCCTGAGTTCTGGGAGGTGGTCAGGTGTCCGGGATGCGGAATTCCGCGTGAGATGGGAGTTTGGTGCTCTCATGGAGACATGGGAACCAGTGCCTGATCGTCTACGTCAGCTGTCTTTTCACTGCTGGTGTTTGAGCGGGCTTCGGTCTGTGTTCTTTGGCGGGGAAGGGATGGGATGGGGATGACAGTGTCGGAATAAAAGATTTCTTTTCTTTGTAACTTTAAACTGTATGCCATAGTAGTGTACAGTGCCTTCGGGCCAACAAATTTAATTCGTCGATCTTTTTCTTCTAGCATTCCTTTGACGCTCTATCTGTTTTCTCCTAGCCATCTTCACCTTTTTTTCCTTGTTTTTTTCTGTGTATGGTTTATTGTCTCTTATAGCATCGATTATCAAATTTTCAATATTACAAAATTTAAACTGAACACCACTGGGGGGAAAAAAAAGAAAAAAAACACCCTAGGATGCGAAGCGCAGGGTTCTGGCCCCTGCGCATCCTGGGTAACCCCCACGCTACAGAATAACACACACAATAACAAGCGACGAAGAGTTGGGAAAAAAAGCAATTCTAAGACTGTTCACGAACACAACATACTGGATCTATAGATTTCTGCTTCAACGAGCTCTTGACCTGGGGATCATCAGAGGGTACTGCAATTGTACGCGGGCACCTTCGGATGGGCGCAGATCGGTTGTTCGGTACGTTTTCCCCTGTCTGGAAAGGAGGAATTTCTTTGCTAATCTGTTTACAGGAAGAATAACTCAACTCCGACGCAAAAAAATAACGGTTACAAGTTATACCAGCTCGATCTAAATGCGAACATCAGACAGAACCGGATGAGTCGCCGACTGATAAATCGTTACCCGCAGACGAAATTGCAAATGGCATATAGACGTTTTCTGAGACAGCATGAGGAAGGATAGAGCCTCGAAGAAGGGCATTAGCAGGAAGTTATGGCTGGGAATGTGTCTGCTATGGTATAGTTCAATGTTCAAGCAGAGTGTATGTTTAGTTCGCATGCTAATATTCTCGGTAGGAGTCAGGATCTGATGCGGATCTTCAGGAGACCCTGCGGGAGGGTGAAAAGAGTTTGGTATGGATAAACTCAACGGAAAAGAAGGACCCAGAGTAGAGACTGAATGGCTGTCTGAATGGTCGAAGGAAGGAGAACCTAAACGTTCGGGGGAAGAAAGCATTTACTCCCTATCCGCAGCGTCTGGGGGGCTTGTCAAGGTATGTTTCGGTCTTCCTTTTGTCGCAATATTTCTGAGATTTGAGATCTTCCCTGGACATGAAATGGCTAACGCCGAGATAGTATAGGCCCCAGTTCAATGCGTGTCAATCTTCCTGGAACGTCTCTAGAGATCGAACAACAACTACAACTCTGAACTTCTTTTCGCTACAAAAAGGTTAAGAGAGGTTGAGTGGTCAATTCGAATACCGGTTCTCATTACCTCCCATATCAAGCGGGAATACAGGCAACAAAGTAAAAAGGCTAGCTGCGACCGGTCTTCGAGGAAAATCTCACGAGAATTGAAGTCCTAAAGCTATCATCAGATGGGCAGAGCAGGGGTATATAATTTCTCCTTCCACTGCGGCTGTGAGCTGGTGATCTACTACATGCAGGCATAAAATCAAAGGTAGAATTACTTTTCATGTCGTATGGGAAGTCTTTATATTTCTTCAGATTGCTAATGATCAAAAGACTGAGATATGGTGGGTTCCATAGATTCTATTCGGCCAGCTGAGGGAGTAGAAGTTACCGATGTCGAGCATCAAAGGAAGACTAGGAACACGCCTCTTCCCAATGAACCTCAAATACATTTTAATTCTCCGTCCAACGTCGGCCTGACAGATGAGAACTTGTTGGGGTGATCCGAGGATATAAGGGTACATGGGGTGTCAAAGATGAATCATGGAGCAATTGATCATTTTGCATATTCTACATGGGAAATTTCAAGAAAACACTTCTGAATATGAGCGAGGAACAATGGAGGGAATGACTTCTCTTACCTTCGAGATTGTGGTGGATTTCAAAAAAGAATTTCTCCCTGGTGGTTCTCTCCAATATTTCGCCAAGGAACCCTAACCCTGGTCGCGACTCTGCTCATGCGCGCCTGACATAAGCGATCAGAACACGTCGACAAAGAGGGAATAAAGTCCACCGCGAGCATGGCGAAAGAGAGAAAGTCAAATGCTTCTTTCTTGCCTCAGACTCGTGGTGGGACGAGGTAGCAAGGTCTTGCAGGAGCCGAGTTTCTCTCAGCACCTTGTTGAAACCCTTAATCGCGTGTGCCAGGGTACATGAGGAAGAAGAAGTTGTTCATCCTCCTCTGCTGGTTTTCTAAGCCAGAACGCCATTGAGCTGCGTTTAAAGGTGGTGGATGAAGCATATAGATAAGACACATTATTCCTCGCGCGGGTTGAGCTCTTCTTACTCGCAGGCGCAACGGGCCGCTGACCTGCCGCTGATCAGGACGATAGTCTAATGAGCCAAGTCAAATAGTCTAAATCAGCTGATTATCCATTAGGAGGATCTCCGGGAGTTACTTATTAGAACACGCCAATTCAGCAACGAGCAATGATTCCGGGTAGTCCGCTGTTGGCACAGAAGTATTATGCAAGGACTTGGGAGGTAACACACATTGTGACCGCAGGAAGAGTACCAATATGTAAGAGGGAGATAGAGGGGAGATGTCTGGATATGGGATGCGGACGGGCTCGTACAAATCATGGTCATGGAGACAATTTCTGCACATGAAAATTGAGGGTGCGAGAAGAAGCTGTACGTCCTACTGCATGGCGCGGTATGCAACCTGAAATACTGTAAGGTGGAGCAGACTAATCAGACAGTAAGTGTTCTTACTGCCTGATCATATTCATTGTCATTTTGTTCGTAGTTCGTTGCTGGTGTTGGCTGTCGAAAATAAAGTGTTCTGTGTCGTTAGAAAGGAAAATATTGATAGATATTGTGTAGCAATAAGCGGGCTATTAACAACTCAGCCTATCTATCACACCAATCTGTATGTATTGGATTTACTCCAGAGGCTTTCAACGCTCTTTTTTACGATGAGTTATCCTTTTCATCTGTGCAATGACTGGCGCGGGCCTACGTATCAATCAACTTCAGTTGGACCAAATCACCATATTTGAGAGGTGGGGGCTACTGATAATTTCTGTGGTCTTCTTTCTCAGTTCATCGAGTGCTAGGAAAGATCGGTGCGTGGACGTCATTAGCCCTGGGGAGATAGCGAGGCTTAGTTGGTTATTATACCCGTGGGCCAACCCCGGTTTCTCGCGAAATAATCTATTCTTTGAAACCCTTACGTTAATGAACATTTTACAGAAATCCTTTCCTCTTCCTCTAAACACAAATATATGGTTATACCCCAAAGGGCCGCAGTCTCTCCTGGAGTCATTAACTCTCACTCAGGATTCACAAAATCATTACAGACTTCACCGGAGTTCGGGCCAGCTCACTTCCTATAACCTATACTATCGATATTCGCCATAAAATACAATGAACGTATCCCCGAACTGTTTCGAGAAAAATGTTATTTTTCGTTGAAAATGTTTTTGTTTGTGGAGTTGGTGTCTGGTAGCGCGCCAAGACCAGCCTGCCTGCCAATAACTTTGAAGCGGTAAACTCCGTCTTGTGACACTAATCTGTTTATGTCATCGCGAACTCAAGGTCTTCCAACTCTGTTGGTCAAATTACAGTAAGACTGGTGTGTTCGGATGCGGATATCTGGACGTCTGGTTGACATACTCAAATCTGGCGAACGGGGGGTCAAATCGAAAGTTACGTTTCGAGTTTTATACATTGTGGAAATAATGAAAAAGTCAGGATTAGTTAAGTCTCTCATGTTGCTAATTCTGGTTGATGTGGTAAGGTTTCACTAGGGCTCAGATTCTCTACTATCGTTCGACCTGATAGAGGCCAGGTTAGGGACTATTGCAATCTCACTCTTGTGAATTTTCACAGGCTCAGTTAAGTTTTGAATAGTGCCCACCTTGCGCTATCGTAATTCACAATACGCTCTAACAATTGATAATGCAAGACCAGAGAATAGTTTTGAATATCTTCTACCCATGTCTGGCACATCGCCACACGGCCTATTTCTACTTCAAGATAAAGGTTCTCACCGTTCCGCTCAAGAGATCCTGACAAACTGTGCAGTGTGCACGGTTTGCGTCGACCTGCTCAATGCTTCAACTCTTGCCCTCGCAGAGAGGAAAGCCACCTAAGTTATTCTTTATATTGCCGTTATATAGAGTGTTCTCTCCTCCACTGTTCCTTATTCTTACGGGCAGTTGAGTCACCTTGAGCGGAAGCAGTTAAGGCGCGCATTCAGGCTCCTAGCGGTGAAAGATCAACTTCGTGATATCTAAAAACAGACTCTAAAATAAAAGGGCATTTTACAACACCACAAGCCTTATAACGGACAAGGTATCACTCGATTCAACCACAAAATTCCCTTTTGCTTAGTTGCGGTAAATACTTCCATATACCAAATCCCCGGACAAGTGAAGCAGCATGATCTCGACCCTTTGCGAAAAGAAGATCGATATAAAATATTTAGATATACATCGGGGGTGGGGGGGGGCGCTGTGTAATGCCGATACATCAAGCTTAGTATCAAGAGGACTCAAACTGTTTAGAAGAGGAAATTAATCCAGATTACAAGGAATCTCATCATGTCTTTCGGACCCATCAGGAGTCCCCGAAGACTAAATGTTCCCGAGTCTAAAGTGCTTTCGAGATGGGCATAAAGCTCAATGAGTTTCTAGATACTCAATGCCGTGCTAGAGAAGTAGCATATTAGATAATGGTTTTTGAAGAGTAATTTCAAGATTTTAGGAAGAACTAGATTTGAAAGCTGCCCTTCAACAATGATTTTCATACGTAGGTTCTTTTGACAATTGCAAGAGATGTAATAGACAGACCGAGGTAAATCTCCCCTCCATATCTGCTCATTGGAGCACAGCTGGACGCCTGTATGGATAGACAAAAGATACCGGCCCTCCAAAGATCCTCAATACATGTTCAATTGTAAATATCATATAACTCCTTTCCTATACGCGCTTATAAACTCTCTGGTTTCGTAATCATGACCAAAACCATTATCCAACATTTGAGTTGATAGCGAAACAATGCCTCTAGCTACTTTTTCGAGGGGGTGAGAGCGTTGAAAAACGGATGGGTGAAGAAGTCGGAAGTACAGCGGTAGGTAATAAGTGATGGAACGCGCTGAGACACAGTGATATCTGTTTTGGGTAAAACGCCACCAACATGCGGTGTTTGCAGGTATAACCGTATCTCAGGGCGTTCCATCACTTATTACCTATCGCTGTACATAGTTCGTGGTGAACGGCCGGAACAGTTACATACCCCGCCAAGACGTAACCCTAACCCTTTGGTTTTTACCCCGGCCCTCTTTCTTCAGCTGGTACATCTTCGATCTTTAATGAGAGCTGTGCGCAGTCAAAACAGAACAGAAATTGGGCTCACTATGAGAATAAAAATTAAACAAACCTTGTTGAAAAAAAGAACAAAAGGTTGCATTGATGGTCCAGCCATATCTACTACCCCCACCCCCGGGTTGAACCCTTAGCCTCCTGTAATCGAAGGGGGTCCAACCTCACGGTGTCCGTCCGGGGGCGAGTGCTAACCGTTAGGCCACACTCGCCATGTGTGTTTTTCGTCCCAGGTGCTATTTGTGCGCCAAGGTTGTTGCAAGCGCCCAGAATCGACCTAGCCCGATCGAGCTTGGTGTCCTTGCATGAACACCACGAATGTTCAGGTCCCCTGTCCCACCCACCACCGATCTGTCAATCATAATGAGAATAAGTCTATCCGGATAAAGCGTGATGCTCGGCGACAGTCTTCTACCACTCTCGACATTGCCAAAAGGTTTTGAGAAGCCCCACATATGGTGAGGTGCTCATAGCACGCTAGTCCTTTGTTTCATCAAAGGCAGAAGAAGAGTACACCACTTTGGCAGGTTAAGAAAAAGGGTTCTAGTGTGCGTATCCCCAACTCCCGAACTCCGCTGTCACTGTGTTGTGATGCGTCGCCCCTCTCTAAGTTCATTTCCGTTGTCTGCCAGGCAGACTGAGAATCCCGTCTACATATCGTCCATGACCGCGCGGAAGATCACCGGAGTGAAAGGATACTAACCTTTGAGTGAGGCGATTATCTCCCGGTAGTCTACGGTTAGACCACACCCTTCCATGAAAGAGCGGGGTTTCCGGCGGTAAACTATAAGAGATAAGCACTGCTTGTCTCCTGATCTACGCGGCAATGCCTCCATCCAAGGATCGCACGGCAATGGCTGTTGAGGTGAAGCAGGGAGGCAGGGGGTGGGGGGGGGAGACAAATGCATCGAAATTCTCCACGTACATGGACACGCTGATGTCGCAAGCTGAGATTTCAAGATAGTCCTCCGGTACACATAGGGGGGTCACTATGAGCAGAATCTCACCTCATAATGTCGACAACCTCGAGGCCCAAGAAAGCTTACAGGGTGTTATACGTACGAACCTGAAACATAACTACAGTCTTGAACACCAGAGTCCATAGCCATCGCATGCGTAATAGCTGCATATGTTTACCCTCACCTCTCTGAACCGGAATGACAATTGGCAGTTGATGTTATATCTCGGAACTTGGGTCGGCTCATGACTCGGTGATAAGAGATAAAACCTTTGATATAGTGGAGTGAGTGCGGGCGAGATGCAACTTCCCCATGTGAAGAACCTAAGGTCCCTCGCCAGAATTCGACACATGCTCTTCTTCCTCTACAACCGAGCTATCTGTTCATAGATATAGTACTCCCTGCGTTGATCGGGGCTCTAGTCTTTGACTCTACTTCAATGATTGTCATTTTGAGTTGGTATTACTGCTCTGACCCAGTCGGTGACGGCTCTTATCCAGGGACGTCCCTGGAGGGTACGTACAAGTCATGGACGTCCAGGGCTGGTATAAACCAGTCGTGACTGGTATGAGTCTGTGACTGGTACGCGCTATCTATTCCAATAAAGAACATCCTTAACTAATACAACAAGTAACATCTTAATAATACTCCGCCACTACTCCTCATGTATCATTATAATAAAAGCTGCGATGGCTTATAGAACCTGTATAAGTAAAAGGTGTCTGCCAACGTTACAGGAGTATTAGAGCTTCTTTGCGTACTTCATCTCTATATCAAACTCAACAGTATTCCTACTATGTCACGAGTGTCCCCTTTACCTTCTCCTTTCAGTCAGGAATCACGCTTGGCTTGGGAGGCGTACCTACTGTCACCTCCACACAGCAACCGGTACAGACTGAAAATTGAAAAACTGACCTTGATTGACAAGATGCTCAGGGGAGAGGCAACTGCCACCGGTCGCAAAGAAAGGAAGTTGAAATACGTGGTGAAGGAAAGATAGAGCTCCCTGGGTGAGAGTAGGTACTAATACAGCTCACTGGGCGAGTGCTGCTACAGATACAGCTCCCTGGGTGAGTGAAGCTGTACTGGGGCGAGCCTAGGTGCCAGTACTGCTTTTGGTATTAAAATCTCTAAGGTGGGACGAGTCCCGGGGTGAGCACAGGGGCGGGTGGATGGGGGTGGGAAGTCTCACTCGGCTTGTACAAAAAAACGGCATCGACTTACGCCAGCTGTTTATCCTTAGGCCCCATATTTCAAGGGTAGCACCGGATAAACAGCTGGAGTCTTACGCCTTACCTCCAGAGGAATAAATTCATGGTACAGTAATCGGACAACCCTCTTCCTCTGTGGTATGGCGTCTATCCATTCTGTGTGGACAATATGACGCACCTTCGAGGCCCTCAATTACATATCGTCGTGCCCGTGACCCATTACAGGTCGGGGAACTGAACCCCAGACACTCCGACACATGTCAGATGTTTATACTGCTACACTAGGTAGCAATTGCTGCCTTTCTTTCCGTCAAGTACATGTTAAGATAGTCGGTTCGCCAAACCTTAATTTACCCCTGCAAAAAACCTTTAATGAGCCGCATACGAGTGATGTGCGATGATGGGCGTACAGTCAAGGACGTTCTCCGCGGGAATAGATAGCACGTACCAGTCATAGACTTATACCAGTCACGACTGGTACATACCAGCCCTGGACGTCCATGACTAGTACGTACTCTCCAGGGACGTCCCTGTCCTCGATTACGTCAGAGCATTACTAGAAGACTCCTCGCCGATCTGAGTCATCACCCATCACTCGTTTCACCCTAACGACGAGGGAATATTTCGGATTTCAAATTTTAAACATATGAGTGTACATAGTCTGTCTACTTCTTAAAGATCAACCCTTTCTCTCTCTTCTTTCCGTTCTCAACAGCAGTTGCGCCTAGTTGCCGGACTCGGACGTTCTGCGAGCATGAGTGGTCAAGCCGGAGGAGACAGTTGCTCCAAAACAAACATCCGCTCTCTGAGGAATCACCCTCTGGATGAGGCTGGTAGGTGAAATATGGTATATCCTCGCTCCTTGAGCGGTCTTTGACGCGCTTTGTCTTGCGGTTTAGTGTGCGTGTCTCGTAGAAAAAGGGTGCTCGGCCTTCATCCCCGAATCTTGTTCCTTCGCGGAAGGGTCCTCACTCCATACTAGTGATATGAGAGCACCCACAAAATATGCATAAGGACAAAAAGAAGACCAATGTTCAGTTATTAGGCGTTGTTCGATACTGTGCTCGGTTTTGCAGACACTTCCGCCCCCACACCCCTGTGAGAGTTGTACCAGGATTTGCGAAAGCATAGCCTGTGTGGGGAGAAGACTATGGATAACTCTGATCAACTCTGTATGGAAACGATACCCATAGGCTCGTGTGACTGTGTCTGTTGACTCTGACATTATAGAAGACTGGGGCGGCGATGATCTCCAACCGCACCTCCGCAACAGGAAACAACTCATTTGCTCTGCTTTGTATCAGGCCACGTGTATGATATTTGGAGTGAAGAGTGAAATGCCCATTAGGATGGAAGAGCACTATGGTTCTGAGCGTAACCGTGCTTATTAAAACCGGTCTGGACCATCGTTCAATCGGATGGCAGCGTCACTACCACGTATCCCCGCAAGAATCAGGCAGTCCAGCCTGTGGGGGGTGATAGCTATCATGCGATCTCGTCTAAACTCCCACAGAATGTAGGAAGGTCAGCATGTAATGTGTCGGAAGAGAATCACCAATTATCACTCGACAACTTCCGGAGATAAAGTCTCACGTCCTCCCGAAAGGATAGCCAAGGCAGATTCACAGGAGGGCGCCCCTCATTCTTGAGCCTCTTATTCCATTTCTCTGTTATTTCTGCATAACGGAGAAGACATCCTTTCGGGTGATCAATATCAACCACGCCTGGCTTTGATCAGCTCGTAGGGTCTAGCTAGAAACGCGCCATTCCCGCTGTTAATATCTTCAGCAAAAGTGCCCTACAGAGACTGCCTCAGCGGAAAGCTCTACGCACTCTTTCCGGTGGGGTTTTACATGAGGAAAGCCACTGCAGCCGGTAAAACAGGGGAGGAGAGTGCAGTTCGGCGTACCTACGCACGAGGTGTGCTATCATCTTCCGCCACGACTTCAATAACTAAATCTTTCGTCATTGTCGTTCTTTTCCTCCCGATATGATCTTCAAATCAACTCATACAATCCGCCAACCATCCCGGGGGGGTGCCTGAATGAATTTGAATCCGTTTCTCGTCGTCTCCATCGATCGTCTGGGAGTCGGAGGTAACCCCAGAGTGATTAGAGAGCAGGTGATATGTATCCATTTCTTCTTCTCGGCCTAGCTTCGCGGGCGTTCCGTCGCTTGAGTTTTAGTACCTTGTATGAAACGGCATAAAGTAAGACTGTCATCTCTCCCCCGCCGCTGGAGTCTGCGGCGGAGTTGGATAGAGGCGATCGTGCAAGTGTAGATATCTACTATGTTGACTGAGTGATATCACGTCCGAGAGGGCAGGACTAGAGTTCTTGCAGATTCATGCCCACCGGCACTTTCGCGGATTGAGTACACTTCTCACACCCGGGGGAAGCGGCAATATAAGCTGTGTGAGCTCGCCGCAAATGAAGATGTGGGCTTTGGGATACCGAAGGTGTCGGGGGTGTCAGCATGGTTCTGTGCATTCTGCTGGCAAACAGTTGATATACCGAAATGTGTTGCTAAATAAATATGGCCACAGGTTCCACATCGGAGCCAGCTTAGTGAGGTAACCGCCGTCAAGCAGCGGCCAAAAATTGTGGGTTAGGGTTTCTTCAAACCCGGAAGCAAAACCTGCAGCGATTTGGAACACAATTCATATGCCATACCAATGGGACAGTTAAAATAATCCTAGCACTCGGACACGATTTAACCCAAACAATAATTAAACATGTATTCACAGCCCGGCTATATCCCGCTAAAACACAAAGCACTACAAGTCCTGGTGGTGTAATGGCGCACACTCTCACTTATAACATTAACAAGGTTAAAGGTGAGCAGAGGTATGAGCTCGAATCTCAGTCCGGATCTCATCAAATTCTTTTTTTTCCTTTTTTTTTATAGGCTTAGAATACTGTTCTCGTAAATTTATTTACTTAGTTCTTTTTTTGGCGGGAGCTGAACTCCGTTCTAACCATGTCCCTCACAGTCCATTCATGCATTACTGATACTTTATCACTGAATTGTAAGTACCCGGAGCGCGCACGATTCTAGAAGGTGTCACTGACTACCTGTCTACGAAGGCAGATATTTATCTTTCTGAAGTAGAGAACTGTGACGGTGAGGGTCAGACAACCTACAATATCAACGAAGAACTATGTGTAGGTATCTCTCCCGTGCCATATTTCCTCCTCCTCCCCCTCCTTCTCCCCCACGTCCTATTCATTGCCCTGCTATTCGTCCGCCCCTTCAAGTCCTCCGCTGCCTACCTTATCTTTCCACCTTCCCCCCCCCCAACCTCCTCTCTGACTGCCGTGCCTTCACAAAAGCCCACATCACCCACCTCCCCCCGCAGCCTTCTTCCGCAATCCTTCCTCCTCCAACCTCTCCAAAAACCTCGCATACCTCGCCTTCTCCTCCGCCCTGCTCCTACCCCTCTCATCCCTCAGTCTCCTCTTCTCCTCCGTCGTCCCTACCACCACCGTCCACGCGCCAGCCCTCTCCCCTCAACTCTCCGCCACGGAACACAATACTCACTAGCTCCCACCCTCGCTCTCTCCACCCCATGCGCCACACAGTGGCTCTTCGCAAACTCCCCCCACCTCCCCGCCCGCCGCCTCCTGCCGCTCACACTCCTTCTTGTACCCGCAGCAGGTGGCTCATGAGCCCGATGCGCGCCTTCTTGGGGTCCTCGTGGCGGAACGTCTGCGGGCAGCCGCCGGCCGTGCAGTCGAGTATGTGGCGCTTTGGCGGCCGTTGGCTGCGGTCCCGCTTGGTGGCGTTTTCGGGCTTGTTAGCGCGGTGGTCGGCGGTGCGAGTGGCGGCGGCAGCTGAGGTCGCCTCGGTTGTCACGGGGTGTTCGCCGGCGGGCATGGTCGCCTGCATTGTTTCCGTCGTTGTCGTGTTTTCATGCGTCGTGGTCGACTGCACTATGACGTAGTGGGGGAGATGTGGTGCTGGTGCCTTGCGGGGAGGCGTAGAACACCTCGTACAGGCAGGCGGGTGACTTATCAAGCAACCCGCTGATTTGCGGGAAGACATAAATCGAGGCTGGGGGCAACCTTGGCTGATATCCGCACTACCAGGACCTTACCTGAACATTCTACTGTGTTCACTGTATTGCCAGATAGTTTCAAGGCCATATCCTGTGGCTTTGAAATAAACAGTTGTATTAAGACATGCGCCCCTATAATGTAATACTCCAATGGTAAGCTACAGCAGTGTTGAGGTACTGCAGCTATCACACATCTTCCTCCTCCCCAGCATTATGCCCATCATAATCTTACTGCTGTCGATTATGGTCCTTCTCATGATACTACTACTCCTCCACGTACTCTTCCTCCTGCCCGTCATTCTCCTTCGTGTCCCTCCTCTCCCCATCCCCCATCCCCCACCCCCACCTCCATCACCATCCCACACCTCTCCTTCTCCTTCGCCCGCGCCCAAGCCTTCACCTCCCCCCTCCTGCACCCCTGCCCTCCTCGCGTCTCTCTGGCCTATTATACCGATTCACCGCCTCCCGCCTCTCCGGGAACCTCTTCCTCCACCTCGCCTGCGCCACCCGCTTCCTCTCCCGATCATCTAGACACCACACATTAGCGCGCCCCGAACCCCCTCAACACGCCTGACCACCGCACTCACAGTCCCTCCCCTGCTCCGCCCAATACGTCTCGCAATGCTCCATCTCAATCCCGCACACCATCCAGCCCCCGCCCAGCGCCTGAAGATGCACCTCACGCCGCTCCGTGTACCACACCAGGTGGGCCATCCACGCCTCGCGGGCCAGCTCTCTGGTGGCGCGCACAAACGTCTTGAGACAGTGCGCGACCGGGCAGTGTAGTATGAACTGCTCCCCCGACCGGCGGACAAGGCCGTGTGCTCTAGCTCTCCTACCAGTTTCGACGTTCACGTGGATGGGAGCGATGCTGACGTTTTGCATTGTCCCTACGAACCAGGAGGGCTCCGGCTGTGGCGGAGGATACACTGTCGGGGGAATGGGCTGCTCCGCGGCGTTACTGGTGGCTTCTGACGGTGCGGTGGTGGGCGGGTAGAGCTCGGGGAAGACCGCGCGGGTTGGGGAATGTCTTGTCATGGCGTTGGTAGGGAACGGAGTTGGGAAGCCCTTTTTGTGTGGACGGAAGAGGTCCGCAGGGTTAGTGTATGGAGGGCAATATTATCAATGAAGGAATTGAAACTTAGCCTTCAGATCCCACATGAATGGCACTCCCACACAGGATACCATGGGAAGCTCGGAGGGTCAGAGTGTGTTTTGGGAAAGAGAGGATGTTTTCTGGTCTTTCGCTGATCTGTGGAAATGACAGAATGGCGGTTAAACACAAATCCTTTAAAATTACTACGTGTCCCAAACAATGATAAAGCGTCATTTGCGCATCTCCTCGTACGTCTTGTATGTACAAAGTGGCCCCGGGTTCCTAGTAAAACGTGTCGATATGAAGTCATGACCATATACCATTCACCAACGTATAATATCGTAGGGAAACTGCTACTTGATAATTCAAAGGGGCAATATCGTACCAGCTACAATATAAATAGGAAGGTGGAGTGACATTGGAGGTCTCGATTAGTGTCACTATGAATATTCCTTTTGTCAGCTATTTTTCAAGGAGGAAAGGAAAGAAAGAGAGGAACGTTTGCAGATAACGAGGAGAAGATAGAAGGAGTAAGCATCATTGAGGAGAAGGAGGGAAAGGAGATCTCTTCGGTCAGCGGGTTAAACACAAGGAGGGAGAAAGATAGAAGTAGAAATCAGCATTAGGAAGGAGATAGAGGGGGGTTTCTCAGTGTTCCTAAAGGTCCCATCCGTCCGTTTTGGGGTGCCGGACCGAACGGACGGCAAGATTGGTCCGCCTTGAGAGGCGCTCTAGAACGGACTTCGCCGCGGGGGCACAGGACTGAAGACGGCCGTCATGACCGCCGGGCTCTTGGCATTGCTGATAAATTGCATTAGGGATAGAGGAGTTCTGTTGAAGTTCAGTATACAGATTTGAGCAGTACTTGGGAGAAGTCCATTTCGAATCATAGATCGTGATTCTGCGGTCAACCGCGGTCTTATGTAGTCATATGCAGTCATATGCAGTTATATGCAGTCATTCGCTGTCCCCCGCCGTCCCAGACAGTCAACTGCAGTCAACTGTAGTCATTACCCTATAGGCATGTAGTTACAGGGCCCTGTAGGGCCCGCCCGTCATTTGCAGTCCCCTATTTCCAAGGACCGGACGGGGCCCTGCGGGGCACCCGGGGCGGCTAGGAACACTGGGGTTTCTTTGGTCAGCGGTTTAAACAGGGAAGTGGAAAGGAGGTATCTGAAATCAGCGAAGTCTCGAGAAGCGGAGAAGGGGGTTTATATCTGTCAGTCAGGCTTTCTCTTATAGGGAATGAGGGGAGCGAAGGGAGGTGGTATAGGGAGAAGGGAAGGTGAGGGGAGCTCCATGGTTACGTCTTTCTTTACTCTTTTCTTTTTTTCTCTCTTTTCTTTCTTTGCATCTCGCCTGGAGTGTTGCTCTCCATTTTTGCACTTTGTCTATCTAATCTCCTTGCTTTGTGGTGGCCGCCACGAGTAAGGAAGATGAAGTGGAGGGAGAGCTGCGGTAAAGTAGGTGGTGAAATTAGGGTGACTAATGGTAGAGGACACCTGTCGAATACCGGAAGCTACACCCGATAGGGCCTTTCCATGGTTATTTACCTACATGCGATTCCAGGACGAGCCGCAAGGCTCGCATTCCTGTTAAAATGAACAAACTACATGTACATGTATGGTCTCTACATCTCTACGATGTCTATCCAAAAAGCAAAAGCATATGTTCAAAGGGGCCAAAATAGATGGAGATGATAAAATGAAATGTCTGAAAGCTAGTGAACCCGCTGAACCAATAAATTCCGATCGAATGATTTTATTCATAATCTCCAAGAAACCTTCATCCCATTGGCTATTAGGTCAATCTACAACTCATAAGCCGAAATACATTGGCATCGGATCAACGTTTCTCAGTACTTCATTTTAGGGAGTTATGAACATTTCGTACTCAAAACCACCTTCTTCGGTTAGACTGATGAGTTGAAGATCGTCCTGACAGTGAAAGGAATAACACCTACAACTAACTCCTGCGCCAGAAAATAATACTCTACTCTCTGTAATGTCAAACACCTGTAATATCACGCACCTTCACCAATAACAAGTGCGCTCATCCCGTCTTTCTACGAGGATTCTTAAAATTGCGTGGCATGCCGGAACGCGCCTCCTCTACCATCTATTAGCCACTACCTCAAACCCACAATTCTTAAAACATCATCCATTTGGTACTCACTCGCCCTTTGCATCTCTGCCTCATGCGCGTCCGAATGATCCCTCATGTCTATGGTAACCGGCCACCCATGCTTATCGTTCAGTGCAGCAACCTGATTGTAGTCCCTCGTGTGCCGCAGCAGCGCCTTCCGCGCACGCTCTGGGTCCTCGTGCTGGAACGTGCTATTGCAGTACTCTACTAGGCACTTGAGCACAGTGACAGTCTTTTCCCCTGCTGCATGTTGACCGCTGGGGGAACCGCGTTCTGGCTCGGTCTCGGATGTCTCTTCCTCTTCACCTGGTTGTTTGGTAATGTCAGTGGCAGCGGCACAGATTTCATTCCTTTTGACCTACCATCATCATCCGAATATGACTGGGCCTCCAGTTGCTCAGGCACGATCTCCTCCCCATCGGTGCAGTCAGCCTCTTTTGGGGCCTTCTCAATAGCTTCGGCGCCTGACCTTTCCGGCGGGTAGAGCTCGGGAAGGACGCGCCGGGTGGGAGAATCCATCTCCTGCCCATCGGTGGAGGTAGCCTCTGTTGGGGCATTCTCAATAGCGCCAGCGTCTGACAGTTCAGGGGGGTAGAGCTTGGGAAGGGCACGTCGGGTGGGAGAATTCATTGGCATTGCTTCGGTGGTAAAAGAAAGATAAAAGATGCGGTTGTTGTCGCGGCGGGATCAAGACAGTGGAGGGTCGAGGTAGTCTACGGAGGTGGTGTTCTATGTGCCAACGTGTTATCATAACTCTCACAGCGACTGTATATCATAATCAAGATACCACGCAGTCAACAGGCATCAGGACTATGAGTATCATGTGGAATGGCAGAAACGAGTGATAATCCATGAGTATGATCTTGGCTGGGAAATGAGCAGATCACCGCCATACAGCAAAGTAAAAAGAACACTAGATAGTCTCTCTACTCAGGAAAAAATGCTTTTAGTACCGTCCTTGATTATGCTTCGTGGAGAAACCTTACACAACCCAGCCGCTACCTCCCTGAACCCCGCGGAGGTGCAGGGTTAGGGGAATAACAGAGTTGGTCCTTATCGCTTATCCTTGGCGCTGAAATATTACTCAAGGCTGATAACACACATGGCGAGTGTGGCCTAACGGTTAACACTCGCCCTCCGGAACACCGAGTGGTTGTGCCCGACCTTTGAACGTCTATAGAAGGTCCGCGGTTCAATCCAGGGGTGGGGGTAGTAGATATGGGTCCGGCCATATCTGCAGTACCTTTTGTTCTTTTTATTTACGAATCCCATTTATATTCACTACCGCAAAGTCCTCTTATTTTCCTGAGCCAGTATATCCTTTCCGTAATATTTACAGCATGAACGAAGTGGGGTGGGTGGTGGTGCTGCTGTGCCAAGGCCTCCGAACCACTAGCTCACCAAACGCGGTTAGCCCCCTTGTACAACTACGGCGCGTCAAATATTACTCCAGCCCACTAACAGACATCGGCGAGTGTGGTCTAATGGCTAACACTCGCCCTCCGGAACACCGAGTGGTTGTGCCCGACCTTTGAACGTCTATAGAAGGTCCGCGGTTCGATCCAGGGGTGGGGGTAGTAGATATGGGTCTGGCCATATCTGCAGTACCTTTTGTTCTTTTTATTTAGGAATCCCTTTTATATTTACTACCGCGAAGTCCTCTTATTTTCCTAAGCCAGTATATCCTTTTCTGTAATATTTACAGCATGAACGAAGTGGGGTGGGTGGTGGTGCTGCTGCGCCAAGACCCCCGAACCACTAGCTCACCAAACGCGGTTAGCCCCCTTGTACAACTACGGCGCGTCAAATATTACTCCAGCCCACTAACAGACATCGGCGAGTGTGGTCTAATGGCTAACACTCGCCCTCCGGAACACCGAGTGGTTGTGCCCGACCTTTGAACGTCTATAGAAGGTCCGCGGTTCGATCCAGGGGTGGGGGTAGTAGATATGGGTCCGGCCATATCTGCAGTACCTTTTGCTCTTTTTATTTACAAATTGTTTTCAATTTAATACCGTGAAGTCCTCTTGTTTTGCTGGGTCTTGTTAATTCAGCTGTTCACCCTATATATGCTCCCACCCTACTATCTTTCTTCTGTTAAGCCCTGAGGACTTTCTCATGGCGAAGAGGCATTAGGCGTTGTCCTCCACCCGGACAGACCGCAAACAACGGGGATCTGGAAACGGAACACACAGGACAAAATAAAATAGGGGAAAGGCAAATCTCAAGCTAAAGGGGGAAGATAGGTCTAAAGGAAAAGGGGGTAAAACTAATCCAACATAATTATCGTAGCTGGGTCGGTGTGCTGGGTTCAAAGGGGGAAAGGAATACTAGCTTTCGGTGTGACGTTTATTTTCTACTATGAACTTAAAGATAAATCTAACAATGATGCATTGACGGAGCTCGGAGTGCGATTTTGAAGTAAGACTAGAAGAGAAAGATGCCTATGAGCGAAATAAAAAAACGAAGAGCCAAGCGCCTAAGAAACCCCAAAAGGCAACCCCAAAAGCCAAAAGTCCACACCTCAAAGGAGCAAAACCCAAAGGAAACCCCACAGCAAAAGCCAAAAATTGGTATAGAACCGCTCCCTCGCTACGCAGCCAGAAAGAGATTCCCCCAGTGCCCCACAAAGCCCTCGGAATTCCCCACTGTGTGGTGGCGAGCAGATGTAACCTACCCTTTGGGGACTTGCACGCGTGCCCGTCCTTGCATATCGGCCATATATCTAGACTCGCCACGAGGAAAACAGCAGAAGGGGGGGACACCGCTGCCCTTATAAACAGTGTTGTTGTCTTGGCAGTGTGGATTGTCATTTAGCGAAATTCCTTCACATCTTGGTAAAATGCAAACCTCTATGGCTTTTTCGGAGCCTTGGCACAACTCCAGGTTGCGGAATGGGAGAAAAGTTCGTATGAGTCTGTTTGCCACTCTAAGACTCATTTAGCAGTCATCATCCGGGGGTGGGAGCTCACCTTTGTATGCCTCGCCCCAGATGATAGGTCTCGTTCTGAGCTATCATGACCACTATACGATCATTGCCTTTGCCGGAACAGTATGTTACTCACTCTAAAGTCTATCACGCTATAGAACTTTCCCCGGGTTTTTTCATCAGTGTTGAGGGGCAGTGTGCGCAGGTCCCCCGGTTCCGCACAATAACGAGGCAGCACCCCCGGCCCTGACTCTAACCACACCCTGAGTGTCTCATTCGTTGGACCTCTGCATCTTTAGATTGAGCTCAATAACACTATCATGAGAGATTCCTCATGGTCCGCCAGCTACTGATTCCACCTGATTGAAATAGCGCTGGCTCTCGGACACGAATACCTATGAGGCATGAGGAGGCTTCCCCGGTTTGGGTGTCGGTGAACCCGCGCGGAAATGATTTCCCATCCATCCACATAGAAGTAGGGGAGAAAGAACGCCGAAATAGAGCCTCACAGATAGGACCACTACTTTCAAAAATATAGTGCAGTGTAGAGAGAATATGGAGGAGCTGAAATAAGGGGTCGCAGACGCTGCTGGTGGTGCCTTGAGCGCGACGGCTGCCTTCGATGACAGATGCTGGCCGCTGGGATTTGATCACTCGCGGTTCCTATAAAAAGCTGAGAATTGTAAGAGTCAGTCAGTATTGGTGAGGTTGACTATTGCCGGGATAAGAAGAGTGCGTACCTTGCTGTATGACTCTACGTCTTCTGACTTCCTGACTGGTCGATATACCTCCGTTGGTCAAGGCTTCGATTACTACACTTTGGAGGTACTGAGTTAACCCAATCGAATATAAACGTTTGAACTATTTCTCTGGTGACCGCAGCATAGCAACGTGGATTTGACGTCCATAGTGGGCGAACAACAGCGAAGATCTTTGGTCTCGCCTTTATTGCAGCTTCCGCGGTAAAGCAGCCATATCCGCGAGGTGGCGCGCGTTGAGGATGGAACGGAACCTGATCAAAAGTTTCAGTGTTTTTCAGTATTGGGGAGACCTCAGTTTCAAAGGGTTATTCTCCGTACTCTGATTGGGTGGACCCCCTGATGACCGTTGATGAGTACAGGAGAAAACTGACCCATCGATTGTGGGGGGATCCACACCCTCAGTTCTCTATTTTTTTAAACTTTCTTAGGCGTTTCTTGTTTGCAATTTATGGGTGTAGTAGCTCTGGAGAGGAACGCAATGACCTCCGGCTCGTCTAAAGCCACCACTATACTGACGTCCGTCAGCACATAACGCCTGCAATAAGGTTTCATAAAAAGAGAGTATATTAACGCGGGTAATCTCTATCACCCCTGGTATCTGCAGAATCTCCGGCATCACCTCCCAGGCACATATCTTATTCGAAACACGAGGCATGAAGATCGTAATGGATGTGGAATCATCACTTTTCAGAAAGTGGAGATTAATATCTTAAGGAGCGGCCCGACACGCTTAAAGAACATATATTTCAAGTGCCGTGCCATAGGAGTCGTTACCGGGGGTCTCTATCTAACGAATTCCTTGGAGGCATCTAATATCGACGATAGATATTTCGACCTGTCGGTCCATTAGCGCGTGAACCCCGAGCTACGAGCTGTGGGTTTGGTTATCGACAGCTGTGCAGTTCATCGGAACCAGTTGGTGGAGAGGACTCATTATTGTCGTAGGGGCCCGGACTCCGCATGAGGAGCGCGTGTACCGTCCGATCGAATAGATATACGGACATTTGTAAATAAGGCGTTGGACTGATATTTGCTGCCTGTGTTAGCATCTAGCACGTCGCAATGTAGCGATTTCAAATTTACTGCATTCCAGAGCTGTTCCAATACTTCTAGATCTGCGAAGACGAACGTTGTCAAAAGCGGGATGGAACGTTCTGATCGCACTTTTGTTTGCCCAGCATGCCCATAGTTGAAAGCGCCTGAACTATTTGATTGTTCGAAGAATGAATTTGTGACAAGCGAGAAACATTTGAGCTGGAGACTGCGGCATACGTAATTGCACAGAGAACGGAACTTGCCGAAGATTGACGCGGGTGGGCGGAGTAATCTTTGCTTACGCGGCATCCCAAACCACCGCACATTCAACGTCCCTCCACCTCTCTCACAGTCCTTTTCTTCTTCGCTTCAAGTAACCTTTATGAACGATTTTATTCAGACTATCTTCGCTCCTCACAGAGAATACAACTAAGTACAGCAGCGGATCACCAAGAAACACAAAACGACCCGACCAAACAAACATTGACCATCTTTGACGGGCCATACCGATTATCCGCAGCTGCGTCGTCTAGTACCGACGATGCCTGTTATACTCCGCCTGTCGGCAGACCCCATGACGGACATGAAGAAACATTTTCGCCTTATCGGGAAATTCCTCCAAGCACCTGAAACAATGCGGGACAGGCTGAACACGTCTGCTACGATGGAAGAATCGTCCCTTACGTCCCTTACTATTAAGAGGCCGCTCGTCGTTTGTATATGTTTCCGGAACCCGGAGACGCTCTCTTGGAGAATACGTTTGACGAGGGATATAGGAATCTGAGTTGGAGGTCAGTAACCGTTATGATCACGTATACCGGTTTGAATAATTATTCACCTCCCCGTCTAGGCTCTTCTTGATACCTAGTGGGAATTCCGGCTGAATGCGCTGGCTCGGCAGAGAAAGAGTTGACGTTTCTCTCGCGGCCAAAGGAATGTCCGGCGGCCCTACCGCGGATGCTTATCCCATATTCTCTAGGATGGTTGAATGCTGGTAGGTAGAGATTAGCACTCTTTTAGTGCGTTTCAGCAAGTAGGGAGGAAACATACCACTTTGATCCGTCGGGTTATTAGTTCCAGAGCTCCTGTTGGTACCTCCATGAGACAAACCCTGAGGCATTGAGCTTTCACCCTGCTCACTGTCGCCAATCTCCATTGTCATACGGTCATTGGTCGGGGGAACGACTGGGCAATCCTCAGTGATGCGGGCTACCTTTCATTAGTAAGCGCTCTGCAACAGAGAGGCAACAGATGGTCTGTATACCTGGGTCAGAATCCATCTCGGCCAGAAGGCGGTATTTGTCAAGGAACAGTCTGGCCGTCAACGGGTCTTCTATATAGGGCACTCCAGTATCGACTAAGTCACTGTCAATAATCCGTCTGTTATTCATTTAATGGTCTCAGATACACCAACCAGCTTCCTGGGCAACCTTCACAATTGTTTCAGCGACGAACTCGAGAACAGCGTGTTGTTCTGGGCACATGTAACGGGTTTCACCCAGATACCTGACTCTGGCATTGGGCCTAACGTCGATATCCATGGTGATGATGTGAAGCCGTCACTTCACAATTCTTTGGATGGGATGAAGGAGTAGGGAAGGAGACTGAGAGTCATGAGCGGTCACCGCATGTAGGGTAGGATCTTTCCTATGTCTGCTGGCGCTAGAGGGGGCTTTGGGTAGCTGGAGTTGTCAAATGGATGCCATCTTCATGATATGGGTAGCGGTTTATACCTGATACTGTGTCAAAAGTACGTCGCTGATGGGCATGGTAGAAACGGCATACTTGAGAAAGCAGAAGGATAAAATATTTGACCGGCCTGGATTACGATCTTGATTAAATTTACATTTCTCATTGAGCTCGACCGCCGTCCAAATGGTTGTGTTGACATGTATCGATGGGGCGAAGCCGGCGTTGCGTAGGACCAATCACCGAGGCAACGGAGCAAGCAATCATTCCTCTTATGGCAATGCGGGAGAAAGTCTTGAGCTAGAACAAGTTAAACTTGATCTCTGTTAAATTGAAATATACCTCAAATCGAGTCGTGACGCATATTTGATGGCTGAAGTTTACTTCTGTTTCTCATTTACTCGGTAATGATTATCGAACAGACAGGTGCTTTGGGCTCTGTTTATGTCACCGAACCCAATGGCCTAAATATTTCTCTCACTCGAGCCCTGGCAATTTCACCTCCGGAATCTTTCAGTCTCTTGTTCATTACCCCTGCATATAAACCGCACCCGATGGGAGAGGAACTGACGGCAGTCGTTAATCTTCCGGGAAGATGACGAGATCACAGAAACTGGAGATGTGCGCTTTTCATATACTGGTTGCCCCGCGTCCAAATTCATCGCTTCCAAATCACCGGTTCAGAACAGAGCACGGCCCGCAAATGACCAAGTACAATCTGGTTTGAGGCGCCCGAACAGATCTCTGGGCGAAAGGGGTTTGAAGCTGGGGTTCGCGGAGGGCTGGTCTACAAATACAAACGAAAACCAAGACAACGGACCAGGCCAGAATACGCCGACGCTCACTACCGAGTTTTAATCAACGGGGATGGGTCTCATCCTCCTCTTACACAAACTCATCTTGTATTCGATGCGGAAACCAATATCGTTGGCAGCCTAACCCAATCCCAAAGTATGTTTTTAAAGTCATACTTTCGGCATACAAGTAGCCCAAACTACAAGCCTCGGGGGGAGTTTTCGGATGCTTTTCTGTCTCGTGTAAAATCTTCGCATGCAATGCATTGTGACAGTAGAAACGTTCGGTTTCCATCACTACTATAAGATAATTACCACTCTACAATTATACACTTCCGGGGCCACTGATTCATTCCCTCGCATAGAGCAAGCCTACTTTCATATTCTTATTCATTTCATCCCACCTTTATTGTCCAAGGAGTAGTGTGCGAACCTCGTTACGGAGGTGCGGCATTATTGGTGGCAGTAACTATTCAGGGGGATGTAACATATTTTGAAAACAGGGTCACAGCCATCGGGGAAACAAATCATATTTCCGATCTTATGCGGCATATTCAAAATACTCCCTTATTTTTTCGGAGGCTACAGTTCGCTCGTTAGTATGACGATGGCGGCGCGGGCGGTGGAAGTGGTACCTGGATACATTACCGACGACATCTCTCGGTTCGGAAGCGAATCGCCATACTAGATTCATGAAGCGCTTACTCAAGACCGCTGTAAGAAGTTCATCTCTAGAGAGGAAGATGAAGAAACTGGTTCGAGGATGTAGGTTGTTTGACGATCTTCATCATCGTACATTGTGCTGCCTATGGCCAACTTCACCCGGAAATGACCGAGCGTACCAACAATTCGATTTCGTTGAGGTGGCCGGAAGGAAGATCCCGAGCGAGGTATGTTTAGAGGTCGGCCAATCCTGACCGGGATGCGTTCTTCCATTAATAGTTAAGACGGGAGTTTCATCCTTCAAAGACCTCTGAAGTCTGCGCCTAGTCCGCGCTGTTGATCATCAGCGGGACACATTGAGATAACCATTGAGAAGACCTTTTGTTGTCATTGCCCATCATATGTGCCTGTTCATTCTCTACTATAGCAAGAACCCCGTCAGTTCCGATTATTTCCAAATAACATACTTGAGGATACAAGGCCAGCCCATATGCCTCCCACCTCCGCGGTCCGAAAGTGATGAAAAGAAAATAGAATCCATACAATCCCAAACCTATCACATCAGTGAATCATCGACGAGAGGAATGTCTCCTGGCGACTGCGGTTCTAGATCATGGTCTCTCTCGGGGGCATGAAACAATTTCTATCCACATTTCCTCTTTTCATCTACTTCTCCTCTTGTTTTTCTTTTCTTGTGATTTCCAAAATTTCAGAACTATCATCTTGGAGAAAAAGAAATCATAAATACCTCTAGTCTAATACTTTTAATGAAGATGGAGCCTAGTGGGATCAATAAGTTATTTATTTTGATATAGCTGGACATAGACATGTATGGAAATGCAAGAAGAAAACACAAACGCAGGGCCTGGTTCGAGATATGATTGTCAAGGCTGTCTTCAGAGCTGTAAGCCATATGGAAGGGCGACGTATATCATAGACTACTTTCATTCGAGAGAGACTTCACCGGAATAGAGATCTCCGTTTCATTTCCAGCCTTTGATATAGACCAATCTTCGTTCCTCTCATGTCTGAGACTATACGAACAGTTAAACCACATAGCTTTAATAGGAGACAATTGTAACGAGAAAAGATTTTATTGTATATGAACGAACGGATATGCATGGTACATGACAAAGTACGGCGCAAGAAAAATACAATAATAACCAACTCTCATTCTCCTCCTTCTTAGCGTAGTCAAACAATCACCTTGCCACTCCAAATCTCAAAGGAAAATAGGAAACCTAGCACACGGAGATACAGGACCTCATGTTGAAAGCGAATTGTAACGATGAACATGGCCTGACAAAAGGAACCAGAACGTAAATCGAAAACGATACTAACTGAAATACCACAAAAAGTGACATAAAAAGGAGGAACGTTTCCTCAGCACCCCAGGTACACCTGGAGGACCATTAAGCGACAATCTTCTTCATACCCATCTTGCAGGTTTTCTGATGCTTGAGAAATCTGGAAAGCTGGATATAATCGGATCCGCATTTGCAAGAAAAGTTGGCCGTATTTTTGATCGCGGTGTCGCTGGTGACCTTTGTTGGAGCAGCACGCGTTTGTTTCATTGTAGTGGCGCGGGTTTTTCTTGGAGTGTCACGGATTTGCTTTTTTGCTGCCGCACGGGTTAGTCTCACATTTTCTTCGACGATCTTCCCTTCCTTATCGCCGTCCTTTTTGGTCGCAGGCTGTTTGGTCGCGCTGTGAGATAGGGCTCCGGTGGTATTGAGCTTGCGGCGGACGGGAGCAGATGTTTTCTTCTTCGCTTTCTCCGCGTTGCTGGAGATCGTCTTCCTTTTTTGTAGGACAGCGATGCTGTCCAGCTCTGCTGGATCGTTGTTGCTGTCGTCGTTCTTGACTTGGGCCTCTCCCGCAGCATCGATATCATTTTGCTTCTGATCTTCGAGCATTTTGCCTTGCGAATTATCATTAGTATAGGATTTACTATATGAGAGTAGGTAGCCAACCTGTCATTGAATCACTCTGATCGAGCATCATTTGATCTTCGCGAATCTTTTCCAACTTAACATGAAGGGAATGAAACGGAATAGGTTGCGTTGAATCCCTCTCCCCGAGAATGATTTGCTCTTCGTGAACTTTTGTCAACTTAGCATGAAGGGCGGAGGTGAATTCCTGTTCATCGATACCGTAGGTGGCGTACTTGTTCCTGGTTAATCTCTGGGATAGACGAGGTTTCGCACGCGGCATTCCAGCACGTGTTTTGGGTACCTCGTGCCTGATGCTAATTCGTGCCAACCTAGCACTGAGGTCCATGGAGAATTTGCCGCGATCGGAGGAGTCAGAATGCCTGGTGTGCTGTCTGGCGAGGCGTCTCTGTGGTAAATTCACTGAGGTGCCGTTCAGACCATTTCCACCTGCTATTTATTAGGATTGGGAACGGCAGCGTCTGGTTCTTGGAGGTACTTACTGGTATAACCGACGGCGATGTGACTTCTTGTATCCATGTTGTTGTTATGAATTAATACCCCGGAGACAATGAACATGAAAGTAGGGGAGAGGTACAGAAAATAATTCTCGGCAAAATATACGGAGATTTGGGGTCGTAACATTCTATGGTTGACCTTGGCATTAGTTGCCACTGATCTAGTCAACCTGAAGATTCTGCTTATCTGGGTAGATAAGGCAGTTGACCGGTCAAGTCAACAATATTCTCTGATAAACTAGATCATCCCCGGATTGACTGTCTTCCTGGGTTGATGGTCAATTCAGGAATATCATGGATACATAGCCTCCACTATCAGTAAATGTTAATTCAGTGGGTTGTCAAAAATAACCGGAAACTAGCCTCGCAACCAAGCAAATGGCCTAGAACATCCAAATTTTGAAAGTACCACTCTTGACCCCGTATTAAAATTCTATACAATACAACGATAAAAAATTATAGAACTAAAATCTCTTATCCTACTCCTCTTATAGTTCTGGTCTAAAGCGACGTTGAAGTTGCGTTCCCCTACAAATCTTGATTGTAACGCAAATTTCCGGTTATTTTTGAAAACCGGCAATATATATGTATAGGTCAAAATCTCTTAAAAATTGGCGGATGTGAAGGGTTGAAAGGTAGGCTTGTGCACTGCCCGTGTTCCGGTACCAACAGGTTGAGAACAGTGTTGGTTAGCTTAGGGATACGTTAGACAATGTGGCGATATTCCTGACTTGACCGTCAATCCAGGGACGCAGTCAATTCAGGGATAATCTAGTTTATCGGAGAATATTCTTGACTTGACCGGTGAATTGGCTTATCTCCCCCGATAGACTGTCTCCACAGTTTGACTAGAACACCACCCTGACTCGAGACCCTTGCGGTCAAAATGACGCTAATCTTGCCACCTTTTATCTTAATGGTAATGTAATGCTTGTTTTTTCCTCTCTTGCTTTCTGTAGATTTGAACAGGAATCATGAAGGTGAGATTGAGGAGTGATTTCTGTACGATGGAGTGGAACGAATCATGAGCTAGATGTCTAAAATAAAACTTACGACGCTGTTCAGTATGTCACCAACAATTGCGCGATCAGAGCAAAGTAAGCCCTCCCGTGGTAATGATTTCTGTATTAAGAGAGTAAATGAGTGAAGAATCAGAGGTTTGAGATAAAGATACTCAAGAACAAACAGAACGGGAGGATTTTTTAATTTTCTTATCTTGTGAAAACGCAAGTAAACGGAAAGGCTTACTCACTTATCTCAACAATACACTATGAAAATATCGGACCAAGGCGGAGATACAGTCGATCTGCATAGACCTTTATCCAAAGCTTAGGAGCCGCGATGATACCAGCGGACCATCTTTCCCAAAGGGCTACCATGGGGTAGTTTGGAGAGTGGAAAAGGAACAGATGTCTATGACAAGACAGCTAGTGTGCTCAATGCTCGAGTTTATAGGGTGAGACAATTATCCAAAGATCTAGAATATTGAAGAACGTACCGAAAGATGCTGGCATAGCAGAAACTTAACAACAGATCAGAGTTATAACAACACGCCTAGTATACTAGAAAGGAGTGAAGTCTGGTCATTCAAAAATTCGCGGTAAGCCGCGGTAAATTGGGCTAAGTTAATATAGTCTAGTACCCCCCCACCCCCCTGCACTACATCGTTAGATGGATATCAGTAAATTCTAACTATTCGATCAGATCGCCACCCCCTCCACCTGCTGTTGGCCTCCTCTCCATCAATCCTAATAGCAAGGGGTCCATTTTCCCCTGCAGCAGCACCAACCTCTCATCGATTTCTTTGATCATCTCTGTCAATCTCGCCTTCTTTCGAATACATTTGTCCCACTCTGCTTCATCCAAGATGATATTTCTCTTGATAATGCCCTTTATAGTCTCACGGAAACCCTCAGGGTTTACCATACGGTCCCACATGGCGTAGTCCGCTTCGTAATTCTTGCGTGTGGACCGGAGGTCTTCCATCTGACTCTTGAGACGCTCAATACGTCCCATGTGGTTGTCGAAAGTGGGCTCGGAATCGTTGCTAGAGGTGTTTGCCATTGCTGTTTAAACTTGATAGTGCTTGGTATTTATTTTCGGGGGTTTTGGTGTTTATTGGTGAGTCTGATGTCTGGTTTACTGGGTTGATGATGCGATACTGATAGTGTTGGGGGTGAGAGTGGATGATTTATCGCTCTTTATACTGGTCTGAGAATTCAAATGTCACCCAGAGAATCTCGATTCTCTCCTGGTGGTGCTTGGTCGCTTCTTTTTCAAGATAGAACAACAGAATTTGAATGGGTCCCTCGACAAAACCGAGTTTTATCAACTACTAAACCCAGATGTATATCTCTCGCCATGTTACCGGCCAAAGGTGATCATAGATGTTATTATAGCTTGAACGGCAAAGAAATCCCAGGCGTCCAACTTCAACTATCGCACTCTCGGGAGAGAAGGAGGTCTACACAAGGCTTGGCGAGCTATTTCTTGGACGTGTTGCCGGCGGCATACATTATCAAGAAATGATTGTGGATAGAAAGAAAAGATTCCTCATGTACTAACTGTCCTGCGTACAATTTATAGTAATATTCGCCAATCTCATTTGCCAAGCACGGTGCATTTTATAGGTCTAGGGGCAAACTATTACGGCAATGATATGGGAATAGTGCTTTCCGATATATTGACTTGTGTGATAATATCCTTTTCGACTGTCTTATTATGAAGAATTGGCAGGAAAAACTACACCTACCGATCCCGCTCACATGAGTTGGAAGAACCAATGCCGGGAGTTATCCCCAGTGATATTATATGACGACGAGTATATCTAAGAATTTAGGAACCAGGTAGGAATATCTTTTTGCTGATTGCACATATGTATCAAGTCACCTAAACTCAGACTGCTGCCGATTGCCGATAGCACCGGCTAGGTCTACACTCTAGCTGGCTGTGGCTTTAGGGTACGTAAGATCACCTTTCGAGTGAGAGCGCATGATCGAGATCTGCTAGAACAAGTGCACCGTATTATAAGGTACATATATCAAAAGATTTTTTATAGTTATAATAAAGAATAACTTGCAACCTTGCTTGTTATTGATGTGTCATACACAATCGCTGACCTGCAAGACCAGACTCCGAGGGAGAGCAAAGTATTTTCAAAACACCAAAATGACCAGGTGGTATTTCTAAACATCAATACATTCTCTCAGACCCACCCACCTCCCGTACTGGCCAACGGGTCTAACGTCAACACAGACACATTTGATTCCACACCAAGAGACACCACCGCCACACTCAACGGCTTCAAATATCCCGGCCCCTCCACATCCGCCTTCCTCGGCAACGACGACAATAAATGGTCGATCTCGGTCCTCACCATTTCCTTCGCACTCCCCAGCTCCTCCAACATATTCGCCACCTTCACCCTCATGATCAACACTATTCTCCACTCCTCCGGATCAACAACAACCTTTCGTCCCAGTATAATCTGGAGACGCCCGAGCATTTTCGCCCTCTGGAAAACGTAGGCATGCAGATCGGCGCTTTTCTGGAGGAGATCATTGTATTTCTCTTCTATGGCTTCGAATTGCGGGCGTAGCAGGTCGAGGCGCGTGAGGATGTCGGTTCGGAGGTCATGGATTGCGGTGTCGAGGAATTGGCCCGGGTGTTCCTCAATCGGAGCCAGTGCCGGAGGTGTGCGGAGACGTGATACCGGGCGGATGGACATTGTGCGTACTAAAGTATAAGCCAATTGGATTGAATAAAGAGAAAGTAATGCGAGGATGTCTCTGGCCCCAGGATGTTGAGACCATTGTTTGGACGAAGGGCCTATGAGACGTTTTTATTCAGGTATCTCCGCTTGGGCTTTAGTATTGCGATGATGCCGGTGGTGACGGATAATTCTGAACATAGAATCTTGATCTTGCTGTGTATACTCGCCTGTCCAGACGAAAACCTTTTACGGATGAAGAAAGAAAATGTGGCGCTGTTGCATAGTATGTTGTAAACGGAGCGAAAAGCCAACTGCAATGGGTAAAATGAAATAGCGGGCTACAGATAACATGTAGTACCCACCCTTGATCAGTTAACGAAAAAGATTTGAAAAGAGAGATTACTTGGCGCGAAGATGAATATTTAATGAAAGTATATGTCACTTTAACTGCAGTTACACAAATAAATGACTGTTTACTGCTAACTAAGAACCGACAACTGATAGTCGGTAAACCGCTAAACAGACGCCGCATAACCATACCATTCCCGCAGCATCTTCGACAGACGTTTCAGTCAAGTGGGAGCCGCTGCCTCTCGGTGACAGGGGGGCACATACCACCGGCACGAACCATGTCATTGCATTTCCCGCACGAAAACACCCCCGCCTCATTCTTCCCCTTCTCACCCTGCACCGCGATTGCTACCATGCTGCAGAATGACCTCTGGCGGTGTGGGACAAAGGGTTCTAGAACCTTATCTTCCAGCGTTGTCGTCGCCGCGAGGACAGGTGACCTTTTCAGCTGCTCGGAGGTGGAGGATGTCGCGGTTCGAGGTTTCGCAGTGAGAACCAGCCAGTCCGCGCCCGTTGTAAGAAGCGGCGGGGAGCTTTGACCGCGAGATGTAAGGTGTGCTGGGAGCTTGTGCGGGATCGCTGGTGTGGCAGTGAGGATGAGCCATTGAGGATGCTCCGTGATGACTGCTGGAAGAACTTGAGCGCAGGCGGTGAGGTGTGCTACGGCCAGAGGTAGGAGGTCTGGGGAGGCTGCGGTAGGTGTAAGACTTTCAACCTGATCGAGAACTTTAGGATGGTGCATTTGGGCCATAGGAGGTGGGTTGGTGCGGAAGATAAGAATACAAAGATGGCAGTTCCTGCTCGAAAGGAAGTGTTAGAAATAGCTTTTCCATGCTGCAGTGTGATAGTATGGTCCGGGCGCCAGCTTGATCGCGGAGGTCACGCGTGGAGATAAAGTAGGTGTAGATCCGCGAGCACATATGACGAATTGTATCCGATAACCCTCAAAGACAACCGCTTTGTGAATCCCTCTCCCTAGAACAGTACTACGGCTCACCAAGCTGTATTACGAAGCTTATAAGTGGATACTATCTCCGGATATAACGGCAATGAGTTTTCCTCAGTGAGATATATCGATCATACCCCCCATGCACAACTTTACAGAGATTTCTTACACTCTTCCACTCCCGTAAGACCCCCATGGCCAGTATCACAAGAACATAACGACCGTGGAGAGACCTGATAGATACCAACCGTGGCCTTCCTTCTTTCCAAAAGAAGAGGCCACGAAAAAAAGGACTCACCGTAATCAGACACCCTCCTCCCCTCCTAAAACGGGAAGAGTGCTGAAGGAGCACAGCGAGATCCCTTACGAGAGATGTGTGGTGCGAATTTGGTTTTGATATTGGATCAAGCACCCTAAGTACTACTATCATATACATGTTCATAGGTTCATCTCACATTGCGGGATTAATACCTCTATACCGTCTGCCCTAATCTACTAATTGACCTTCAAAAGCTAAGTTGAGATAATTAGACTACATTTATTCTGAATCTCAGAACTCCCCCAACTCGTGTATCAGCTGCCGCTCGATAATGACCTTAGGGTTATTGAAGAACAACGGTTATCAGCGGGCAGGGTTAGGGTTTCGGTATCCTCCCACTTGGGAGGTTTCCCAATTGCAACCCATTAGGAATTTTAGAAATCCTTATCACACCGCAACAAAGGCAAGCCAGTACCGCAGGTAAGGCCTTTTCTCTGCTCGAATCGCCATGGGGAGGAATATTCCAGCTTCCTCATCGGAACCATAGTCACAATAAAAATGGAGAGTTCAAGCAAGCTAATGGCTATCCAATCTACTGAGTAAGTGGTTTTGGGAGCTCTAATGTCTGCATGCCATTCGGAATTATCTTACCCCAATCTCAGAATAGTAGCCACGGAGCCCGCCATCGCGGTCACACCCCTGGAGTCGTTATCGACGCTACGTTATCCGTTGGTGAGGAGTCGACGGACCTTGATTTATGTCTAAATATTGCTGGATATCCTGTATGATTTTTGTCCTATGCAGTTGGTAGAATCGAGGTACTATGTGGAACATATTTGAACGGGTGTCGGATGCTGAGAGATGTGGCTGGTGGTTATGGTAAAGGGGTTGTGATAGGAAGGGCGTTATCGTGATCGCTGCTTGGGTACGATCACTGCGAGATCCGCGGTGAGCCTCCGCGGTGACCTTCCCAGATTTTATATTTCAGGAGAATGATGCGATATGTAAAACTACCAAATCGTATAGCCGGAAACACACTAGAGGAGTAGAATCCTTTCCTCTTCTCCACTAGTGTCTTGTATCAGCGAAAGCACATGTATTCTAGTGAAGATGAAAGAGAGAAAAAAAGCGTATTTATTTCTGCCCTTTGCTCAGAACTTATCAATATCTTCAATTCTTGAAATACCCCTTCTCGTCACTCTCTCTTCAAATCCCCTGCTTCCCCCCCTTCTTCTCCTTTTTTCTCCTCTTTTATCTCGTCCCTCTCCCTCCTCAGCCTGATCAGCCTCCTATTCTCCTCCCGCTGCTCCACCACCTGCGCAAGGTCTCTTCTCATCTGCCTCTCCCAGCGAATACTCTGCAACCTGTAATCTACCATCCTGTCGACCCTGCCCCTAAACTCAAAAAGGTACTCTAAGATATTGACGTATCTCCTTGCCTCGTTATACAAGTACCCACCGCGCTGCACCGCCTCGCGCTGCAGCGAGCGTCTGTTGCGCGGGAGCAGCTCGGGGTACCTCTGGAAGATCTCGCGCTTTTCGGCGACGAGGCGTGAGATCTCGGCACGGAGCCCCTCGATCTCGTTACTGAGCCATTGGGCGTAGGAGATGCATCGGTGGAGGCCGCTGTGGATGGGCCAGTCGAGGTCGAGAGGGTCCTCCATCGTTCTGGGAGTTGTTAGTGTGAGTAACGACAAAAGAAGCTGGGTGGAGTATGGGAGAGTTGTGGACTAACTGGTGTTCTTTGAAGAAGTCTCGTTTGTTGTTGAGACTGAGGGAGTAAGCGGAGTGGCTGCTTCAATGAACAGGATGAAAGACCGTTTCTGTCTCTTGCTCCCCATTAGCTTTGATCTTGGAGATCGTCTGCAACGTAATATAATTACTTCAGCTGGTTGAGCCTCGTGTAGCGATTGGCAAACGGTTCAGTACGTCAAATTGAACAGGAAGGTGCTTGCCTTGGTGTAGGTAGAGAGGGTAGAGACGTGGATGAACGGGAGAGACAGAGGTGGGGTGAAGACCTCCGGAACCTGCGGCCACCCTCGCCACGTAATCGCTCAATGGACTGGCCACGCAATCGCTCAACGGACAGTAACGTGCGCTCTCAAACTGCCAGCGCTCGGACCTCTTCTCGAGCTAACGTGTCCTCTCCGCCAGCTTACAACGCAACCCGCTGCATGTCGGCGGAAGAAAGAACTTCATTTTTTCCAAGTTGCCATCCAGAGGCGGTGAGGGTGGGAAGGCAACAGAAGTCATGAACAGTTTATCGCAATGCACCATACTGCTTTCTAACCACAAGAACGATTACCAAACGCCGAACCTAACACTTGATGAAATATGACAGTGTTAGGGGTATGTCACACTGTACTAGCAGCCCAGGTTCGCATCACGCGGGGCCGGTAAACACAGAGGGTGGTCCGAACCTTCTTTGCCTAACACGCTGTGGTTCTTGCTGCGGAATTATTTAGGATGTATATGCGGCATATAAGCATCTTTGGTTATCCTTTTCAACCTCGCCATCTCCTCATACCCTACCCAACTAAATAAATGCTTTCGATCCCGGAATATCGACGCTTCTTCGATCCAAGACCACCTTCATTGCCGGCTTATGCTCACCCGCAAACCCCCCCCTCCAGAGCGAGCTCAGAGAGTCATCTAGCGAATGGCACAATCAATAACATTATTTATCATCTATTTCCATTTCCCTGATGGAAGTTATCCTACCGTAGTTCGCGTCTTTGGCGAGAAGCGAAGATCGTTTACGTGAGCGCTCGTGTGGAGAAAGGGCACGACCGCATCACAGGCTGTCACTCGGCTTGGCATCGCGGTGTTGGCGGTGAGTTCACCTGGAGGAGGATAGGCCTAGGACGAGAACGCAGGACCGCTCGCATTTTCTACCCGAAAGCACTCTATACAGCTCTCGGCTTCTACTTAAACCGATAAGACCTTTTCGGATAGAGACCGCTGCCGATACACGCAGTGTCTAAAATCCATGCATTACGATCATTTCCACCACGCCTCATTTCACATTCGCGGCATTTTTGGCCACAGCCGTTGAACCCCCGCTGGTAAAAGAAGAGATAGCAAGGCACATGAGCTTCTACATACATGTAGCTAAAAGTGTTATAAAACATTACTACATGCTCGTTCGCCCGTGCCCCCAAGAGACATCCATGTCCATGCCAAGCTCGGTTCCTCCCAAGCCACCATACTACCGCTGCATGTCGGGTCACAACTACATGTGCTCGCAGTCACATTTTACCTCCTACTGACGTATGAATGCTGGCTGAAGTGCAATTCACTCGGTTATGCAGGTGCGGCTCGGCAGTGCCTGACATGCGAGTGAAAGTGTTGGTGGAATGGGAATGTTTACCTTTGTGACTGTGTGAACTCTCGAAGGAGATGATGGCAGATGGGTTAAAGGAGAATGATGTGAATTGATCAAGGCTGTATGCTCTTTATATGTAGGAAAACATTTGTATCAGTCTCAGTGTTGGTGGTCAGATATGATAAGAAGAGGTAATACGGGGAGGTTGATAACAAAATGAATGGGTCGAGACCTTCTGCGTTACTTGAACCCCCTTCTGTGGCCGCATGTGTTTATGCATTGTGCAGCTGCGTGCACTGCGTCTCCCTCCTCAAGTCCGCCCCCCATGGCACTGATTCGTAGACTGGTAGCTCCTGAGTAAGGATTTCCACCGAGGTTGTTCTCTCACTCCCTAGACCTCCCACTCCTCCCACCTCCCATTCTCTCTAGTTTCATCATCCACGAGAAGCATTCAGGAGCGTTCGTTCCAGCTTCAAAGCATCTTCAAACAATGCAGGACCTGAGATACTCTCCACTCTGTCTTATCAAGGGAGGTATCTCATCATCCTCTAATATTAATCCTCTCTCTTCCCTCCCTCCCATCGTCAGAGGAATCGCATCATCCTCGACAATCAACCGATCCCTCTCTTCCTCCTGCCGCAATCATGCTGGCGCCTCTTCTTCTGCCTCTCCTCCATCTTCTTCTTCTCCTCCTCCTCCTCCTCCTCCATCTCCACCATCTCCTTCATTTGCTCCTCCGCTTCGCTCCTTTCTTCTCTTTTCCCTCCTCCTTCTCTCCTCCTTTACCTGTTCTCTCGCCCTCGCAATCGGCATCCTTGTATCTTTATCCCCCTACCCTCCTCTCCTCCCTCCTCACCATCGGCACAAAACATCCTCTTCCTTAGAGGTGTTCTCCCAGTCCCCCCCTCAGCATCGTTCTGACCAACAAACCAGCCTCCAACGAGGCATCATCAGCAAAGCCCCCACCAGAATCGTTCTGATCAACAAACCAGGTCTTCAAGGAGACGTTTGATGAGAGCCGGACGCTGGCTCAGAATCGTTCTCGTCAACAAACACCGCCTCATTTCATGAGGGGGGCAGACCTCTGCCACGGATGATACTCCACCCATCAGTCCTCACCCTCATAGGGTTGGTGGTCTGGTGGTGTGGAGGCATCTTCACCAGTATGGAGGACATGAAGGAGGATACGATCCGTCGTATCCTCTGCCTTCTTTGGGGAATTTGAGGTAAGATATTAATTCCCTTCAATCTTTTTCTCTTATTTTTTGTTTTTCATTTTATTTTTTTGGTAATCCAGGATCTTCATTTCCTGTTGTAGTTGATTATTGTTCGAGTCGTTTGAGTTGTTTTTCTTTTGCTAATCATTGATATCAATTTAGTACCGGCCCCTGGCAATTGTTCTACCCTCTCATGGGGCCTTGCCGGGGTGCAAGTACAACCCGAGACACTGCTGTGTCCACTACAGCTCTCCATGGGGGACTTCGTCTTCTTCGGTTTTCTTTCCAAAAACCAGATTCCCCATTTGTATGTAAAGTGATCAAAATTCCCGATTATTCGCTATCATTCACTAACGTATTCTCTTTGAAATTAAAGTGATCTGTGGGGTGGGCCCCTTAGCTCTACAAGAGAGCTCGCATCAAGATCCCGAAGGCCTTACCGGCGGCGATACAAGGCCTCAAAGTGCCTTTTGGTGCGGCACTTCTAACGCATCAACTATAGATTGCGGGTGGAGAGAGTCTCTGGTATGTGAATCCAATCAATCATCGTTCAATCTGCAATATATTGACTTTCTCTCTGAAGTGAAAAGATTCCGACGCTCGGAGTAGTGGGGGTAAGTGGCCCCTTATTGACAATATACTATCTTGTATTTTACTGACGATTCCTTTTAGTGATGCGGTGGGCTGTGCGGTGGGGGCCCAGGTTTGTACTTCGTGAGCGTTGAACCGAAGATGAAGTTTCTGACTTTTATTTCTTAGAAATATTCTTATTCGGTGGCTGAGGGGCTTTGGTATGTACCTTTCCTTGATAAATTCTTCATTTGATCCAATACTCATTTTAACAATTTAGGAAAGGCAGCCCTTGATTTCGCCCTGAGGCGGGTCATGAGGGCCCACAAAATTCGGTGGGCCTGATGTCGGTGATCACGATCACGGAGTCACGGCTCCAGTTGCCAAAACACACCGTGTTGGGAGGTTTGACAATTGGTATGCCCGTTTTCCTTGAACTCGTCTTTTACAATACTGACTGGTGGTGGATTCAATTTAGATGCAGCCTGCAACCTCGTCAAGACTGTCGTGGGCGGCATCCGTTCCCTTCCATGGGTCGGGTGTGCGGGTGTACGGCATCCGTTCCTTTCGATAGGGTTGGTGTACGGCATCCGATCCTTTCTATGGGGTCGGGTGTACGGCATCCGATCCTTTCTATCGGGCGAGTGCACGGCATCCGTTCCCTTTCATAGGGGCGCTCTACCAGGGTTTCCATAGTCGTTCCGGCACCGGAACCATATAGGTATATTTCCTTCCTTATAGCCATGTGTAAAATACTAATCGTGTTACAATCTGAATAGAAAGCAACTTCACTAGCCTTCTTGGTTCCTTCCCTGTGGGCGGCATCCGTTCCCTTTCATAGGGCCGGAGTGTAAGGCGCCATATCATTGGTGCCTGGCCTCCTCTGAGAGAATTTATTCTTTCAGAAGAGCGCCCTCCCGAGCCCAATAGGACCTTCACGGGGACAATGGTATGGGCGACGGTACGCAATGTCGCTCATCCGTCGGCTGGGGCTCCTCCCTTTCTAATGCGTACCAAGGACGGTGCCTGCCCCTTCCTCTCCAACAAGAATGAGTGTGCCCTCTCTCTTTTAGGGCCGGATACTCATGCCGTACGTCGATCCGTCCATCAAACGGTGGTGGGCTGCCGGAGAGGCCAGAAATCCTACATTGTAGGTCCGGTGCGGGAGAAAGCCATTTCCCCCAATCCGGTTGCTTGGGTACTCGTGCGGTCCCTCGAACGCTGAGCCAAATCCTCGGCGTAGGTGCAAACCTCGGAAGAGGTTTTCGGAAAATATCGGGTGCGGGCCTGGTATTTCTTTTTTATTTTGTTTATTTTATTTTTAAATTATAAAAATGGTTACTTCTATATTTGCATAGGTTCTCACCTTTTATTTTTTTCTTCATCGTGATAGTAATCCGTAAAAGTGTTGCAATTGTGATATATGGCATCGTATTGGACATATCCGGGAATGGCGTTCAACAGAAAGTGTAGCTCCATAGAACCAAGGATCATGTTAGGTTTATAGACAGAATCAATCGGTGAACTTTGTTCCCCCCCCCTTTCGCTGTCGACAGCACTTTTCGAGCCCAATCTCAGGCGACCTACTACTAGTCGTGTTGATACGTCTATTGCCCCCACATCTCCGGATCACGCCAACGGATCGTAGCACCACCTTCCTCGTTGCTGTATGATTGATTCATGAGTTATCCTACCCATGTAGTTCTCTTGTCCGTGATTCAATAATGCCTTCCGTGCTCCAACGCGACCTCAACTATTTCCAAACTTTATTTTACAGACACGACGTTGGGGTGCTATGCTGCCAAGAAGACAGATCTTATCTAATCTCCACATTGCTGTACGGACACATGAGGCTCAAGTGATCGGCTACGGATAATCCCAGTTCGCCAAGAAGGGCCAATGATACAGAGAATATCACCAGCGCACAGCTCTACAGTTTGAAAGTGATGTTCAGCGTATTTTTTATTTAACTTTACTTACTTGCGAGATACATACGCGATGAAAAGCTTCCACCGGCACCTCGGACTCCCCCCAATATTTTGACTTGATTAGAGTATTCCTAGGGGATTTGTTAACAATGACTGGAGTGCGTAAAGCTAAGCCGCAGCGATTAGCTCTTCTGCCCAAGGAGAGCGTTCTTTGACACTCAAGGAAGAAGCTGCAATGTTTATTCCCTCCCACGACCCCCTGGTAGGCGGCTAAAAATGGCAAAGTGATTGTGACTAGTTATTAATTATGATCCCGTGCACGACCCAGTGTCTACGACTTATCTCCTACGGGAGAGTTATTGAATCAGCGATTCAAGATTCCGGTTCCTGCTCAGTTTTGTCAGCTATCATACGAGCGAAAGCTATTTCGAAATTGAAAAGAGGATATGTGACTTACAGAGCTAAAATGTTTATATTGGTAAGCTTTGGAATTAATGGGTGGGTTGAACTAGCGGCTCTAGGTGACGTCTCCATTCCCGCACTATCATCCTTCTCTCCGCAGAGGTTACCCGCCTGATATTTCAAGCCTGGGTCAACTAGCAACCAGCCTCCACCTTAACCTTTGCGCAAGACACCACAGGTTCCTTCAACTTTCTTCACTGTCAAAACAAGATAGCCTGTGTCGTTCAAGATACGTAGGAAACAGAGGGCGCATCTACGAACTGTGAGCCACTCCTCCTCAAATAAGGATCATCAATCGTGCAAATTTCGCATCGGCTAACCTTAGTCAATAACAGCGGGAAAAATGTTTCACCGTCGTGCCGTGAAAGTGGAGAGCTCCCCGACCACACCTCTGTCCCCCTCAAACCCACCCATCTCAATCCCAGCCGCCCCTCCCTCCTCACGCGCTAGCACCTCTGGCTACGAGACCGGACCTCCGTCTTCTCAAACTACAGCCACCTTCGATCCAAGATCGCCTCCTGGATCACGTCCCACCGACTCTGGCTATGGGTACGCTAACCTGAGCCCACTTCCCCCGATGTTACACCCTCCCTATATGCGCTATAATGAGGGTAAATTGGAGCCTCGCCTCTTTGTTGGACCTCCGGTATCGCTGGATCTCGCAATCAGACAACGTGTATTCCAAAATGCTATCTTTGAAGCTCACGTTCAGGGCATCAGAGCAACTGATACGACATTTGGTCAAACGGCCTCGCCAGGGCAGCTACACGGCGGGGGTTACCGGTCTCTTCCATCTCATCCCTATCAGTATTCACATGGCCAGCGCAGCTACACCCACCAGAACGGAACATCTCAGGGCGAGGACAGTAGAGATCACGTCGAGCATCAAACTTCCGTTTCCTCGTATCTCTGGCCCCAGAGAGACCACACCCAATCTGTGCCAAACGTAAAGTCTCCTGACCGCGGTGTTCCTGTGTCTAACTGGGTCCATGATCCCCGCAGTTATTTACGCGGAACGAGAAGTCAAGGCATTGAGGATGGAGGAGGTGCACAGACCAGCGTCAAACAGGAGAATCCCCCGGCCGGGGCTAGCGACCGATCCACCGAGGAAAGTCATGAGTGTAGCTCGGAATCTAAAGTGGAAATCAGGCCAACTCAAAAGAAGGCCACACCTTCATCTGAAGTTCCTAATGTCACAGAGCAGAGTGGAGCTACCATTGATAGCATTAATCCATTCGCAAATAGAGCGAATACCTCAAGTGCATCAGCCTCAGCCGAACCTGAGTCTGTTTCGCCGCGCACCATTACTGCTCCTTCATCCGTCGCTTCGCCCCACGAGAGCGACAATCGGCAGGAAAGCAAAACACAGCCTCCTTCTAAAACCATTGTCAGCCCGAATGATGACGTTTATGTCCTGACTGGTGTTGAAGCCCTACAAGCTCAGAGAAATGAGGAATTAGAAAATGCCTTCCAGGCTTTTCATGGTTTGCCTCGCAGAGACCTCCTTCAAAATAATATTGCTACAGTGAAGCGTGAGGCCGGCGAAGAGCTTGCTGAGAAACCGGTCAAACGCGAGAGGTCTGCCAATACTGATGAGATGGAAATCTGTTGAGATTAGGAACATCACAAGCTTGCCTAAAAGCGGTATAAGTATGTATAGCAAATTTCCCTCGTCAGAGTGTGGTATTAACCAAATCCTCATCAGCTCTGTATGAATACTCGGGGGCTGGAGCATGACAGTTCGAGGCCGCCGACGTCATGGAGGCTGGATTGCCGAGATAGTTGTTTCCATGAGAGAACGGGTTTACCGCATTTACAATAAAATAAATCTATCTTTCATAACCCTGCTAGTTACTTTAGATTTCGAGCTTGCATGAGTCATCTTGGGCGTTATCATCCTGCCAGGTCATGTCTTTCCAGTGACTTCGCAATATGATCTTTGTGGAGAAGGGTGTCATGCTTTGTGACATTGATATTTGAGGGATCCGGTATATTTCTATTTTTGGTTTGTGTTGAGAAGTAATTAGTACACGCCCCATAGTATCCATCCAGTACGATAAACCATCGACACCCACACGTCTCATGAAACAATCGGAAATAGACCAGGACCAGAATCTCTTGTCACCGTTAAGACTTACCGAGTGTAGGTAATGATCCCATATTTCAAGGCAATAAAGAGTAGATGATCCTGCGCGAAATCGGAGGTGAATCATAGGCTATCACTCGTCTTGGTGTCGTTCTTGTATTCGTTGAGCACATTGTTGGAGACGATATCCAGACCGTTGGATGTTCGTTTAGGGTTTTTTATGGACGCATTCTTTAAGACAAGGTGTTCATAGGACACTTTCATATCTGTTTAAAGTATTGGTCAAGTGGCACGTTGTTCGAAAATCTGCTCTTATGATAGGTATGCAAATACATTCAGGTCGATAGATATGCGGTAGACGATCAACTGGTGACCGTCTTCGTGTATATACGTCTAGTCTCTTTCTCGCGCGTGTTGGCCCGAGGTCATAAAAAGCTTATCATCCTTCTTTATTACTGCCTCAAGTACAAGAGTATGTCATGTCCGTATTACATGTCTCAACTATTTTCTCAAGGTCTTCTTGTACTACCTCGAGCTTATCAACACCTCAACATAGCACTCCCATCTAGTCAATATCAATAAAGTCCACCCTCGAAGTATCCCCACAAGCTATCTCTAGCTCAACCAATCCTTGATCAGCTTCCCGACTGTCCTATTCCTCAGCCTATACTCCCGTTCAACGAACGTTTTCAGCGTCCCTGACTCCCACCGAGTCTGCCACTCCTCCTGCATGACATCCTCAATCTGCTTCCGCAGCTCTGGTGTCGGCTCGGGTGTGATCACTTCATGCCTGTTGTACGGGTCCTTGCGGGTGGGATGTAGCTGGTATAGCTTGTCGACGAGGCACTTGGATTCTGCTAAGAGAGCTGCGTATCGAGCTTCGAATTCCTGGAGCTCGGTATCCGAGAGTTCGCCTTTGGTTTTCATTTTTGTTGGTAAGTCGGAGGTGCTGAGTTTTTGGTTGTACAGTTGTTGCAGGTGATGTCAATATGTGTTACGGAAGTCTTTGAGTTTGCGTATGGTCAGCATTTATACCCGGAGACGATCGGGAGTCAGATACTATAAGGAATGCGGCTGGAACACAGGATTGATAGTATTACCTTCGGAAGAGTGCTATTCCTGCAATTGATCTCCGAAGAATAGAGGAGAATAGAAACAGGATGAGACCTCCGGGAACTAGAAGAGAAGCTTAGAACAGCATGCACGAGCAGACGGGAAAGTAACAAGTTGAAAAATGGAACTCGCTTGGAACTTGAATGATGAGTTTAGGATGATTTAGGCAGCTTTCATGATGTATGATGCGTGCGATCTAGTCTTCCGTGCTTCTGACAGTCTACGCCTTAGTCTATCCCGGGATTGAGTATTCAAACTACATCCATGCTCTGATATGCCGGGGTTTTGGACTACCTGGCGTAGCGGCGTTAGTAGGCCTCACCCCCGAGCTACGAAATTGGAACATTTCCGGTGGTATATTTTTTCATCTTCGTAGGTTTTATAGCTCCGGAAGGGTCTTAAAAGGTATTTATTTTCGCCGGCAATCCGGCCCGGACTGAGTCCGCTGAGATCTCAAAATCTGCTTATTGAATATAGATGAGAAATGATATGAGGAATATTGGCGGGCGCTATGGTGTGATCCCGACTACCGGGAAATCGAATTTAATTTCTGAGAATCGTAAGTCAACATCAGGTTGAAAGCGGGTGATAGCGTGGTTTGAAAGTTCGGGCGAGAGACCTCTCTGCTTGGAGGTCTTGGCATGTAACACGACCTAATGATAATTATGAGTATAAAATGCAAAAATAAACACTGTATAATGTGTTCGGTCATAGAACGATGAAAATGGGGCATCCCGTCCGCTCTGCCATACCCAAGCATCGTATCGCCTAGTTAGTACTGCAGTGGGTGACCATGTGGGAATCCTAGGTACCGAACTCTTTTGTCTTTGCTTTTTTCACATCGACAGGGATGTGAGATGTTGGTGGTTTCCTAGTTGCAACAAGCTCAATCGTACAACTTTCTTGGCAATGTTAAACCAATCGCGACAACATGCTGTCCGCCAGAACCATAACCTACTCGGGTGTGGGCATAAGAACCAGAAAATGCAAGTGAGGATACAAGGATTATTTGTATGGACTGGCGCCGCTCTGCCATACAAATAACCCTATTGCATTTTCTGGTTCTTTCTCCCATACCCGACTACAGAACACCTATTCGAGTGACTTCTATATCGATGACAATGTCAAATTCTTTATCATGTCGCCGCACCATTTCACACACACTCCAACCTCTGGTGGTTGCGATAACTTAAGGTGGAAACGCGTTGCCTTTTATGCTTCCCAATGGGTTCTCGAAGCGTATAGGCATTACATGACTGTGCCTTGCGTGATTATCTCACTGCCTTCCATTATACGGATTTATAGCCCACCTTCGACTGCACTTTATATATTTCTGTGTCCCCAAACAAACTCATCTTCCGGAAGGCGGTACACGATTCTAAGACATCGCTTAAGGTGGAAAGAATGTTTTGTGATACCGACATCCCCGCGATATCCCTTTGAGATGATGTTCACTATTATCTAACGGTCGCCGATACTAACGGAATGGCTAAACCGGACCGCACTACCTATCACTTTTGTGATTCTCACAAGGAACGGCGAGGTTTGATACAAAGTTTTTGAATTTAGCAGATCCTATGAATACTGAAAGCATGCTGATCGAAATAAAAAAAAAAATAGAAGATCATTTCTAACATCCCCAAATTACCTCCGGGTTGACCTTTACTTTAGTAGACTCGCGCGCCAAAGTACTGATAAGACTAGAATATGTATGCCTAACACTAGTTCCGTACCCTTCCCCTACCGCCAACTACCTGCTCAAGGGTAACATCACTCCCCTACGTTCATCCTGTTATTGATTTCATGAAGAATAATTTTCATTCTGTCATTCGCGCTCCTGTTCCTACACCACATGGCGTAGTCCTCCGGCGTAAGATCTACATTTGGGGACTGGTGCCGCGCATCGAGATCGATCTCAGGGTATAGGATCTTCAGGTGGTTTGCTGTGTTATGAAACTCTGAACTCCACCGACGGAAGCTGGCTCGAAGATCGCTCAGTCTTAAGTCTACTATCATGTGTCTATCCATTGTTTGAAGTAAGTAATTCTGTGGTCTGGTTGTGGTGGTGTCTTTGGGTTCTGTGTGGGTTATGGAGAGGATGAGGGGCGGGCAAGGGCGTTTTGAGGAAGAGACCGGGTCTGTTCATTGCCATACTATCCTAGACATTCCCTATTTGTTGGACTCATACGATCTCTGTACCCAGGCGAATCAAAAGAAAGTGAAGGCAGTCACCGTTTCCAATATTCACAGAGGTGAGCGCTCCCAATAAGGCCTTTTGTAATGAACATTCAATTCCTAGAACTAGCCCAACTAACTAAACTATCAAATAGATAAAAAGAGAAGATCTAATAACGCCTCCAAGTGTCACTCCTACTAGAAAGCTCCGCCCGAATAGCCAGTATTCGTGCATTCGCGCTCCTGTTCCTAAGCCATAGTGTCTCGTCTTCCCTCCGAAGACGTACATTTGGGGTTTTATACCGTGCATCCAGCAGGAGAGTGGGATACATTGCCATCAACGCGCGCACTGTTTCTCGCACCTCCGCACGGCAGCGGGCCTCCATATCACGAAGGTCGGCGGTCAACCAGTCTTCTAGCACGTGTACCGACATTTCTTAAAGTTTTGGATATGGTTATGTGGTTGTGTTATTGTGTTTGGTTTGTAAGTGGCTTTTGAATTCGGCGAGGGAAAGGTTCACTGGAGTGGGTTTTAAGTTGGTCGATGGGGCGGTGAGTTCGTGAATTCTATCGCATACCAGGGGCTTTAGATTCCTTTGATGTGTGGTGAGCAGCGTATCAATTCCAAGACGTTACATTACCTGGTGAAGTATAATATAAAATCTCTCTTTCTGGAAGAAAAGGGTACTCGGTAATTGAAGTATAAGACGAATTAGTACCACCTTGGATCCTAATGGAAGATCTTGAGTCAAATATACCTCGCCTGATAAAATACCACCGTTTAAATACAACGCTCGCACCACTGAGGACTCCATCTTGATTTGACGCGCCCCAGCGGCGGTGTCGTACCATGTCTATACCCAGGCTAATCAAAGGAAAGCGAAGGCAGTCACTTTTGCAATATTCACAGAGGTGAGCACTACTGATAAGACCTTTTGTAATGAATATTCAATTCCGAGAACTAGTCTAACTAACTAAATTATCAAACAGCTGAAAAGAGATCTAATAACGCCTCTGAGTATCACTCCTACTAGAAAGCTCCGCACGAATAGCTAGTATCCGTGCATTCGCGCTCCTGTTCCTAAGCCACAGTGTCTCGTCTTCCCTCCGAAGACGTACATTTGGGGTTCTATACCGTGCATCCAATAGGAGAGTTGGATACATTGCCATTAGGGCCCGCGCTGTTTCTCGCACCTCCGCACGGCAGTGAGCCTCCATATCACGAAGGTCGGCGGTCGACCAGTCTGCTAGCGTTTGTCCTGACATTGTTTAATGTTGGGGATAGGGTTGTGTAGTTGTGGTATTGGGTTTGGTTTGTAAGTGAATTTTGTATTCGGAGAGAGAAAGGTTCGTTGGGGTGGGTTTTAAGTTGGGAGATGAGGCGGGGAGTTGGCGTATTCTATCGCACACCCGGCGCCTTGGATTTAGTTGATCTGTAAACGGGGGCATATCAATTCCAAGACATTACATTACCTGATGAAGTATATATATAAGATCTCTCGCTCGATAAAAAGGGCACTCGGCGATTGAAGCACAAGACGACTCAGCACCTCCTCGGATCCTAATGGAAGATCTCGGGTCAAACATACCTCATCTGAGAATATCATACTACTGTATAAGACAACGCTCGTACCATTGAGGACTCATCTTGATTTGACGCGCCCCAGCGGCGGTGTTCCCAGGGTGTGTGAAGGTCACATCATTCGGACTCCACAGACTGGATTTGGATAAACAGGGAGTCATTTCAGGTTACCAATCAACGCCTCCCTGTTTCTCGGTACCTTAATCCCTTTGACTCGCTTCTGGTACTGAAGTTGTTGAGGATGATCGATAGGCTTGATCATAGGATATCACTCGCTCGGATCATAACCCCTCACTCGATTCAGATCATCGCGCGGTCTCAACGGATGCTTAAAATGATCACAGGTCATGACTCCAGCTGTGTAACAGAGTACTATAGAAAGACTTCTGGAGAGATAAGTAAGCAATAACACATATGACAGCATTTGGTCTTGTCTCTGTTTTTAGGTATCACCGGTTCTTACTCCTTGTGAACCTGAAGCTGGACTCAAAAATGATGAGCGAGTTCGAACTAAACAGGAATCTATTCAAGGAATAGAACCGATATGAGGTGCCTTGCTGACCCAATAAACGCCATATATCGTGCGTGAGGGTCAAGGATCATAGGGTGCTTCCTCTTTCCATATAGATCTCAGATCCACCGGGGGTGAAGTGAAGTTAAACTGGGTACCTATGAATCGACCGAAACTGAGGGAGAGAGGGCAACTAGCTCATCAGACAGAGTAACAGCTTCTCAAAACGCATACGAAAGGGGCCAATCCATTACAAAGCTCACTTCATTTATCAGAGACTTCAAATCGTTATTACTAAATATGGTGAACTCTGGCAAAAATGAGATTGAGATGTAAACGGGGGAACTCTATAGAATTAATCACACGTATCACCAGCACGCCTCTCTTGAAAGTGTCATAGCATTATAGAACCTACCAGAGAACCCAAGATGTAGGTGAATGTCTGCGGTGATGATTGCGGTTGGTGGCTCGACACTTCCCATCGCTGACAAATTCTTAAAAAATAGCAATGGGACAAACAGTGGGGATCAAATTTTTATTAGTTTCTAAACGAGTAGTTACTAAACGAGTATAAACGTTAAGTAGTAGACAAAAGATTACTCCTCCTTCGCACCAGATACACGCAATATCATATCAAATCCTCCATCATCACCCGCGCAACTCTGCTCCATATACGCCTCCCCTTCGTGTGAGATCATTCTCCAAAGATAATCACCGTCGCAAGGCCATAGCAATTTGACAGCTCCATTGTCATCTTCATCAATAAAAACTACCTTCAACATGGGCGCTCCCACTTCGATCTTCACGATGTAATTCTTTCCCCGTAGTGGGTGTACCGTCTCCTCTTCCCATTCTGGCTCATGCCATGTGTTCAGCGCTTGATCTAGCCAATCGAGAGCGTCGGTTTCAAACAGTCGCGCTCTGATAAGCATACCTGAAAGTGAGTGGTTCTCATTCCACTTCAGAAATGCCGCAGCCTTTTCGGGGTCTACACCATCACAATTGGTAAAGTCTCGGTCCTCAAGTGCGTCTAACAACTTTATGGCGGACTGGTAAACCCATTTAAGCTGTGGGAGGGGTAGGTTGTAGAAACCCATACTATTGTCTTCCATCTCGGTTGAGGTTGAAGGTTCTGCGGCTGATTGGTGGGTAATTTCTGCAGTTGAGGCCATTGTTGATCTAACTGTGAGGGTTTGCAGGTTTGAAGAACTAAGAGGGTTCAGACAAGGCACCTTTATAGAGATAAGTTGAGCTTGTTCAATACTATGTGGAAACGTTCTCTGTGCTCTTCGCCCCACCGACAGAGCAGCCACATTTGGATATTTACGGGAAAGACTTACGCTCGTTCCCAGCCCCCTACATCCATCCTTGCTAGATTTATATTGTTCCAACCTTGGTGAGACATTTTTGTTAGGTGTATTGGACTTTTTGGTAGGCTCTCCGACGTGAAAATTAAGGTTTATTCTGACCCCGGTATTAGAATTCAGCTCCCTATACCATATTCAGGGCCCCTAAATCACATTTCAGAGGCTAACATGGTCTTTCCAGACATTTGTCAGAAGGATATTGTTCCAGAGCCTACTAGCGAGCAGCTTGCTACTAGTAAGGGATGGATGGTACGAGACTAGTAAGAATTGGATTAGGAAATCGAGTAATCAACTGAGTATTTATTTCTAAACAGGCAAAAAGGCTAAATAGTAGATAAAAAACGATTACACCTTCTTTCCGTCAAATGCACTGAACATCAACTCCTGTATTTCACTAGATATTTTCTGCCCCAGCTAGTCTTGCTCTTTATCCTTCACCTCTGTTAGATGCGTAGCGTCGCTTGCCCAGAGCACCCTCACGATCTCGTCCTCCTTTTTATCACCCTCAACAACACATAACTTCACCGCGTCCGCCCTCCCAAATTGGATCTTCAAACGGAACCTGTTGCTACTGATCATAAGTGCTTGCACCCTTTCTTCTGCTGCTTCTTCCTCAGCATCCAAAGGCCGTGGGAACTCCCTTGGTCCACTCAGCACATCCCGAATAATCGTATGTAGGCTCCGCACTGCCTCAAAATCACGGGTAAACCTTGGGCCATTCCCAACCTTGTTCAGATAATTGCAGGCAGCCGTTCTTTTCGTACCACGGCATCTACTGCTGTTGAAGTTCCGTCTCTCAAACCCTGTCAGGAGAGAGCAGGTGAGGCCATAAAGCCCCTCAAGCTTCCGTGTGGTAAGATGTTCGATACTCATTCTTTGGTTGTCCATATTAATTTGAGTTTGTATAATAACCTGGTAGGAATACGTCTTGATGCTGTGTTGTGACCTAGCTAGGAATGTTTGAAGAAGTAAGATGGGGTATGTTTGAAGAGGTAAGAGGAGGAATGTTTGAAGAAGTAAGAGGGTTGGCATACGGCTCTTTTATAGAGGCGGTACTCCGGACTTATTTAATACTATGTGAAAATGTTCTTTCTGTCCCAGCGACATAGCGATATCCCGCTCTCTTCTGCTTAGTATTGTTCTCGTACATCATTCCTCTACGTCCTCACCGCCGCTTAACCATAGCAGTTTTCCATCTGCCGTATTGTCACCCTCAACAATGCATAGCCTCACTATTTCTCCTCCCAACACGATCCTCAACAAGAACGCCTTTTCACTGATCATGAGTGCTTCCACCTTTTTCTCTTCCTCTTCTTCCTCGGGCTCCAAGAGCCATGGCCGCTTCTTTGGCGTATCCAGCATACTTCCAACAAGCGTATGTAAACTCCTCACTGCCTCAATATTATGCGTGACCATAGTATCGCTCTCCTTACTCTTCCAAAGACTGTCAGCAGACTCTTGGCTTATAGTATCAGAAAGTTGACCGAAGTGACGGTTCTCAAGCGATTTTATCACATAGCTGCATAGGCTCTCAAGCCCTTGAAGATGCCGTGTTGTTAGATATTTGATATTCATGCTTTCGTTGGCCATATTGCTTTGGATCTTTGTATATTCTGTAATTACTGGTAGGTATGGGCTTGTGATTGAGTACTGGTATTGCTGTGCGTGGATAAAGAAACCAATCATTTGGAAAATTTCTTTATAAGGCCGGCGCGTCGTGGATGATTGATACTATGTGTCCTATACCATCAAGATAGCAACCACACCTGGATACAATATGGATAGTATGTACACTTCATAGCTTGTATTATCGCGAATCTATCGCAATGAGGCGCTGTATCCTCTTCGGGTGTTGCTAACACGAATATGAAATCATATGAGGAAAACCCAGATTTAGACACCAGCTAAGCCGAGAAATAGGAATCAAAATCTACATCTAAAAGAAGCTGAGGGAGCCGGAAAAAGCGTGTTATCTTTGTGCATGTAGCCTTACTGGTACCCAGACATCAAGACATTCCTGGATCTTGAGGGAGGTCCTAATGGGAACGGTCTCCCGTGCTTTGATGCTCAAATCCGTCATGGTGGACGCTATAAAAGAAGCAATACGTTCTCTGGATGTACTTCTTTAGATGATCCGGTCACTGGTATCTTCTAGGGCGAAGCAGGGCCGTACTCTACCTTAGATACTATAGAGATCTAGAATTGGGCTGTAAATGCACTCTCTTAGGTGGATCACCTTTCAACAGTACCTTCAATTGAACAAAAATGGGTAATCAACACTCTCACAAGATCTCACGTAGACAGGTCACAGCACCAATCATCGGGAGTACCGCCCTGGAAACCCCTGATCGGAGATAGAGGATCCGGATGAAGCCATAATCAAAATTTGATTTATTATTCAAGAACGTAAAGTTGACAGGTTCATCAAAAGGAAATAGGTATAATTACTGAGTAGTAAGTTGGCTAAATATTCAGTTCTTCATCTCCAAGACCTCCATCATTTGTCTTAATCGTAACGAGGGTGCCAAGTATCTCGGAGACTTGAACCACCATCCCAAACTTTCTCCACAGCCCACCCCGGTTCCCCCTGGAGGAAAACAACCTTCAGATTCTTCTCCAACAAGATGCTTATCAGCACCATTCTCAGTCCGCCCTGTGCATTGAACCTTCTCCATTCCTTGTCCCTTGCCTTCTTCCAGTCAGCCCTAGCCAAATCGTGTCGGCTCTTTTGCCAACGCTTAGCTGTTGATCTTATATTTCCTACTACAGCGATTTGCTCCAGTATCTCTGGATTTTCCAATGTCCACCTGCGGTACCTAGCTTGAGCTGCTTCACTGCGGCCCTGGGCGGGTTGGTGTGAAAGGAGGTCGTCTAAAAGAACACCGAGTGACGACACAAAGTCATCGAGTTGCGGTGCTGTTAGCCAGTCGAAATTAATGTATGCGTCTTCCATCGGGCGTTCTAGTTAGAAATTCGATTTCAATAGGTTCGGTAGTGTGTTCCTGTAGTTTTTACAAAGATATAGGGTGACGTACCCACGATCGTCCTTATAACACCCCGTATGATTACTAGGTGGTCTATAGAATGAATTCATTTCCCTACTTGTTTACTGGTCAATATAAAACCAGCAAGTGGCTGATATGCACGCTGATAGTACAATATTTGACACGGGGTTGCATTTTTCGAAAGGAGTCAGATCCCATTCCGACGTCTGATTGGCATGACTCTAAGTCATATAAAATGGAGGATCGAACCAAGGAATGCGCGTCGCGTCGTCTTAAAAATACTCAGTCATCCAGATATTCCATCTTCTGAAAAAGATGTGCGGGAAAAACCATTTGCAAGGGTATAAAGATTTATTTCATGTTGGAATTAGTGTGTAATTTCTTGAAGAAGCTACAAACAGCAAATGGTCTTTTACTAACAAAACATAATTCGCTAAGAAATAGGGTATCCTTGCCATACATGCTATATACAGATTGTCTTTACGATGGTGGGAATCTGAGCAGCGAGGAATGACGCCCCGATGTATCTGTTTCAATACAGGTTATTGTAACAGTCTCATACATCAGAGTAACCACCACCACCCTTTTTTCCTTCCCCCCCTGTTCATCAATTCTTTTCTTTTCTCTTGCTTTTTCATGTTTTCGATCAGTCTTAGATAAGTCTTTTCGTTTCTGTAGAAGCGACGTGAGTACCCGGACAATATGACCCACCCTGATCTCTTGTCTTGTAACTGGTTGATTATCATCGACCCACTTGAAATAAGCGGAATGGAGAGCTTCGTAATCTCGTTCACCACGAGTGGGCCTGGGAGGATACTGCTGCGTAAGTAGGAAACTGTGAGCATTTAGCGTCTTTATAGCTTGTACGAGTTGCGGCGTTGTCAAATACTCAAAGTCCGACTCCTTGTCAGGTTGTAGGGATGATGTTGACATTGCTATAGGTGTTTGCGTAATAAACGTTATGAAGTGGAGTGAAAGTAGAGTAAGAGACTTATAAGGATCAAATCCTTTAGAGTAGGTGGTGGTATGGTAGGGTATATAAACTAAGGCCGGGTTTGAGAACCTTTGAATCTTTGAATTGATTCATTGGGAGATATCATTTTGAAAGCTAATTCAATCCCAACATCCAGAATATCAGGTCGTCGTGAATGGACGCTAGGCTTTGAGTCATTGCACGTATAAAAAGAAATGGAAAGTGAAATTGGTAAATCGCGGGTTTTATCAGGTGGCAGGGGGATTACCGTGAATGCATTCAACGCTATCTAAGCGTCATGGAGCTGTGGTATACTTAGATATCCGATCTCTACTTTAATTCACTGCCGGATTCTTTATCTGTCCAGCGATATACCTACGAATCGGAAAATATATGAGTACATGTACATATCATGCAACTGTGAGTTGGCGAAGTAACAGCCCTAAAATCCCGCGAATCGAAACAACAGACAGTAGGCTTGTGGTAAGGCGAAGACGTTGCGGCCCTTCGGCATTCGTGGGAAAGATCGCTGGACAAAGAAATCCGGGAAGTATGTGGGCAAATCTAGGGATAGTAGTGCGCCTGTGTTGGACGTTAAGAATGTTAAAATAGAGGTAAAATTACAAGATGTCACTTCATCTGTCACTTCGAGATCATGTAACTCGGCAGAAAAGGTTTCATTTATTGCGAATAAAAAACAAAAGTATACGATCCGTCCTAAACTACCTCCAAACACCGGCCAGTAGTTCCACCCCCTCCCCAGATATAGCACTAACTTGGAACAATTCGGAAGACCCCCTTCGACAAAACGACGAGATCATCCAAGAAACTTGCAATCACCTATTTCTCAATGTGCAGCGTTCATGCAATCCATTCACGGACCATGGTTGCTCCTCTTCTCCAACTCAATCTGCACTGCTAACAGCTCATTCTTTACCGCGTTGCTCTGCGTCAACAACCTACTCCTCTTCTTCGTCATGGGGCGGATCGGAAGATTATTGCGGACATGGCCCTGGAACTCGGGGTAGTCTTCGTTGATGGCTTTGAGGAGGCGGTTGTGTCCTTTCATAAGGTCGTCGTGGCGCTTCTCAAGCTCCTTGAGAGTGAGATCCTTGAGGTGCTGGTCGCGGGGGGGCATGGTGTTGGATGTTGAGGATGACATGCTGTGTTTATTGCTGTGGTTGGTTGTGGTTTTGGTTGGTTGTGGTTTTGGTTGGTTTGTGGGTATTGGTTTTCGTTGTTCAGGATTGAGATTTGCGAGGTATGCGGGTGGTGAGCGAGGTTTGCGAGGAGGAGAGGACGGGTCCGGGTGTGAATTTAAACAGTTGCTGGGTGGTGCAAGATAGGTTATCCAGGGGTGTATTACAATAGTATTTTGAATGTGCGCCTCGGAGTCAGCTTCAGTCCCCGAATTCAAGCTTTCAACCGGTGATTCTATCTTGAATGCCAAACACGTCATAACTCTCAACTCCCGTGAATCTTGGCTTCCGGCACGCGTAACGTTTCCGTCTCGGAGGTGCCTAGGTATGAGGAATCTGGATTCGCATTGTTTATTTAAAGTAAATTACATTATGTTAATAACCTAAAAGTCCATTACATGATAGTACACCCAGGCACCCAAGATTCGTCACATCTTGAAACCTTAAAAAGATTAATCCTGGACCTCTTCTCCGATGTAGCACCCCCCGTCTCCCGCCACCCATAGTCACCTATTTCCTTCTCAACTTCCTTAACTTTCTCTTCACGCTCTTCTTCAACGCCGCAATTCTCATTTTCAGCTCCTCATTCTCCCAAGTAAATACCCGCGCGTCGTACTGAAGCTCTTCAATAGTGGATTCATGAATGATGGCTAGGCACCTTTCAATGAGCTTCTTGTGATTCTCTACATATGCCTCTACGAAGGGATTATTGTGAATTGCCCCTTGGATGCGGAGGAGATCCATTTCGGCTTCTTCCAGCTCCTGGAGGGGGGTGGGGGTTGGTGCGGTGGACATCCTTTATGGTGGCGATACTGGGAGGGGTTGTGGTCTTTTTGAAGCTCAACTGGAGTTGTGAGGACTACGAGAGCTGCGCAGTTGATATTCACGGGAGCGAGAGGGCTTGGATGGAGGATATCACTACCGGTATTGTAGCAGCGGTGGGTGACATTGAATGGTATTAAAAGCTATGGAACTATATGTGCGGTACATTATACTCCTTGAATGTTGCTTTCAAGACTTGTGTCTAAGTGTTACAAGATTTAGCCAATCTAGGAATTGCTACATATGATTAACTAAGGGCCCTAGCGATCCCCCGCTTCACACTCGCCACCCGTTTCTCGAACTGCTTGCACATCCATTCACGCGGTCTCTGGCGGACCTCTTCGTACTCTACCCATTCATCCACCTCATCATCCTCGATAATATTAACGGGATCTCCTTTAAAAACGGCGGTTAACTACCGGTCGATGTACTCTTTGTTGCGCTCTGCGTACGCCTCTGCGTCGGGGCTACTTTCCATCACCTTTTAGATACGGCAGAGCTCTGATTCGGCGGCTCCGAGCTGCTCGGGGGCCACGGCCGGCGCGGCGAACCTTGGGTATGCTGGGGGTGGCGTGGTCGACATTGTGGTTTCTGAGGGTGGTATGCCGTTATGAGAGGACCGATGATTGATGGTATGGTGGAATAAGGTGAGGCTCTTGTTAGTGTTTCTTGGGTAACGTTGATGAAAAGACAGGTGCTTATAAGTGTCACGATCGGTATTGTGGCATTTAATTTAGAACTACAAAACCAGATCTGCGGCACTTACATCCTTTATATGCTATTGGAGGATGTGTCTAAATATTACAAAGTCTGGGAGAGGCCTATCTATGAATTTCTATAGACGTTCATTTATTCACCAGGTTCCAGCTATAGAGATACCTCTCCCTTTCCATCCTCCCTTCAAAACCTCATCATCATCGTTAGTAGTAGTATTACTAGATACTTTGATAGAGGTGATGTAATGACAGGCTGAGATATACAGTATCTACAGTAAATAATATAATTAAGAAGTAGAACGATAAATACTGAAATTAAAGGTACCTCTAAATGACTAGTTATTTATTACCGCCGGTAATATGAATGAAGCGTTTAAAAGACTCAGTCATTTAGCACATGTACATGTCCCTAAACGCCTTATCCGCTCTGTAACGCTTCTTAATGCCTTCTTTACTCGCAAACCCCTTCACGTTCCTCACGATCTTCAGCTGCAACCTGTCCATCCGCTCCTGAAACTGCTTACACATCCATGTATACCCCGTGGGAAGGGATTCCTCGACGATGTCATCATCCTCAACAATGTCATCATCCTCAACCCAACCACCGCTTTCTACGTTACAAACGACGGTTAAGCACTCGTCGATAACGTCCTTCTTGCTTTTTGTGTACGCCTCTGGGTCCGCGCTTTTTTCTATCTCCTTCTTAATATGGCAGAGCTCCCGTTCGGCGGTTTCGAGTTGTTGCGGGAGGCTCTCGGGTGACACAGCAGACCTTGTGTATTCTAGAGGTGGTGTATCAGACATTCTTCGTTCTGGCGGTAAGCTAATGTTAACAGGACAGATGATGGTGCGGTGGAATATAGTGAGTATTGTTTGGTCTTGGTAACGGAACCTGGAGCAATTAAATTCTAGCGAAGAGGCGTGTTGACCAGATATTTATACTGACGAAAGAAGCAGAGCGACCACAGCAGAAACCCCCCCCCCCCCCCCCCCCCGCGAGGACAGTAGGTGCGCTCGCAGCCTGGGGGTGCACCCCTATGCGGAGAATGTCCTTTACCGAACGAAGGGAAAAAGAATATGTTTGTTACATCAATTCAAAACACGAGTTTGCTCCCTTGAACCAAGAACACACTACCACTGGCACCGAGGACTCCGGCAGAAGGAAATGGAAATCCTATCCTGAAACATCTCAAAGGACCCTAACCCTGGTATTTGTCAGGGCACTCCAGCAACGTGTGTCCAACAAGCCTACGATGAATCACAGAATCATGTAATCCTCTGATACGATCGTCGCCAGATGGGCATAGTATTACAAGAAAGGTGCTGAGGTGTTTAGTACTTGTAGTTGACCGATCTGCGGTTACAATGGCCTTGACCGGTGGAGACGCTATCATCCTCCGCTGCCCCATGTATAATGCCGCTCCAATGGCTTGGAGAGAGGTTTTTTTTTAATCGTCGGAAGATAATTTGGGAGACCCCCGCTCGAGCTTCTCCTCGCAAGCTGGGATCAGTAGATGGAAGAACACTTATTCAGATGATTTCGCATATATAAGAAATACTCAGTCGAGCCAAAACACGATTAGAAAACATGAATTGTATTCTATTCGAGAACATAAAATGGTATTTTTCCAAGCATCATTCCGCAGGTAAGCATCAATACTCATGATTCTCACCCGTTTAACAAGTTCGGGGAATGCCCGCTGTAGGCCAGTAATCCTCTAGCCTCAGCACATGAATGTGTCCAAGATTAATGAAATAGTGATTTCTATAATACAACACACCAAGGCTCTACACACACTTGAAATTGTGCATGTCTCTCGTCTACCAATTCTCAAGAAAACCCAAAGTCCACAGGAAGTCCCTCTTCCGTCCAGCCAATCTCCCGCATTACATCCTCATACAGCTCTCCCTACTTTTCATCCTCGCCTTCCACGCTCTCCACGTTATCCGAATTATCCGAATCTGTGTAACTGACGATTAGCACTCCACTTAAAAAGCTCAAATCACCCCCGGATCATTAACAGACCTCCATCGATATCCGCATCAAACCCAGTAGCGTCTTCCTCCTCTTCAGCTTGCGAAGCCCCATCACCCGTGTCCTCAACGACAGCAAGCACATTATCAACAATAGTAATCAGGCGTTTAAACAGAGCCAGATGGATATTGACGTCCTCCGCCGTAAGCTCATCAAGGTCTAACTGCGAATTCGCCATCTCCTTCTCTCGAGTCAGCTGCTGAACTCCCTTGCGGGCGCTCTCCATAGTCTGCTGGAACTCCTCGGGAGTGATTCTAGGATTGAACATGTTGATAAGTGAAAGAATAGAAGGTTGCTTTTTGTAGAGAGCGAGTGGTGGCAGTGAGGACGTAGACTCAGTAGTCCAATTCTCGGTACTGGGATATAGTAGTGGGTGTAAGTAGAGTCCTTTTGAACTACAATAGCGACTCCACGGAGAATAGAATGCGGAGGGGTATCGTCTCCGCACAATCAATGAGTGAGCCGCGGATTGGAGTTGCGGTGGTGCTTCTATTGGCCTTCCTCACGCCTTCGCGGTGATGAACTGGGGTGATGGTGATGTTCTAGGATCAAAATGCACTTTGTACTGCTGGGGACCCTTCTGCACACGTTCTGTGTACATTCATGAACACGTTGCGATGCATGCCACTAGATAGCAGGCAAGCTTTGAACGACGGCCTGTTATGAGAAGCGGGATACGTAGTGGAAAGATTGGCGGGGAAACGTGGCAAGCATGGATTGATAATAGTTTTGGTTTCGGTCACACATCGTCTCTAATTCACCAGCGCGATCATAACAAGCGCTTGTTCAACAATTCAGACACTTATGTTTTCATAGGCTAGTCGGGAAGGGCCGTGACTACAACGCCTACATTTGTAAAAGGTAATCATACAAACTATAACCCTACCCCCTACACCCTTCACCCTCCTTTATCGAGAGCGCACCGTCCTATCTCATGCCAAACCACAACCTACTAGGCCTTCTGCCTGGCACTGCGCTTTCCGTATCAAAGACCACACCACACTGTCGCTTCAAGTCACCCTTGACCCTCTTCAGCTTCGCCTTCAGCCTTTTGATCGCCACTTCCCTCAGCAACGCGCTGAGAGTCTTCTCCTTGCGGTGTTCGGGGATCGTGCGGGTCCCGTACCCTCCGTCGATCCACTTGATCAGGCTGTGAAATGCTTCAAGTGTGAGATTGAGCGCGCTCTGTCGTGCGGCTATGAGGAGGATCTCGTCGTTTTCGTCCGCGGTCTCGTGGCTTGTCATCATTGACAGGAGGGATTGGTGTAGGACTATCGATTGTACCAAGATGGTGCTTCTCAAGCAGTCGTACCTGTACAGAAGGTATTCCTTCCCCCAGACTGCGTTGGACATGGAGTTGGTGGTTTGAGGCGTGATCGTGGGGATTTATGATATTATGATCGGGCGTCCTTCGGAGATTGTACAGCGGTAATTTAATGCGACATGCTCCGTAAGTTATTTTGATTATTTGAGAAGTCTATAAATATGGCAAATGTTGCAGATTAGAGCAGATATTTGAATGCGCCCCTCTGGCGGCGGCATACTATGCGGAGGACGTGGGGTTTTTCAATTTGGACTGCCTACTCAACTACAAAGTACATAGTAGTTACAGACTACTCAAACATCTCCTTCGCCTGTGAACCATTCTTCCTTTCTATACCGATAATTCCCACTCACTCCCTCACTCTACTGACCAACCGAGTGACCTCCCATGACACGCCAATCCAACCTCCCCTGCTCCGACGCAGTATCTGTCCCACAACATTGACCCCTACCGTCCTTTCTTCCTCTCCCTCTCACTCTTCAGCGTCATGATGCGACTCTCCAAAATATTCACGTCCTCGTTCATATCTCTCATCTTGAACAGTATCTCCACCCTCTTCTCATGCATAGCTTCCTCCACCACTATGTTCGGCCTACCGATGAGGCGTAGATTTTTGTAGAGATTGATTGTGCCATCGAGCCGGTCGATCTCCTTCTGGCACCTTTTAAGTCGCCGGCGGAGGAGGTGGATCTTCATGTGCAGGATGGGGAGTTCGAGGAGGCGGTGCATGGTTGCTGTTGAGGATACTCGAAGGGAGGAGGGAGGGATTATTACCCTTCTAGGTGTTTAAAGAGGGAAGCGGGTGGGGGATTCTTCCTAAGGGAGGGAGAGCCTTGACAGATGGATGTGAAGATGAGTGTAGTGTTGATGATGAAGTGAAATAGTGTTATTTTGATGAGACGTGGTTTGAAAATGAAATACCGACTCCGGATACAGCTCGCCGAGACTCTCAACTACCACATCGGCATTGCGAAGATAACAGTGGGCATTTTGAAAGACCAAATCAAGGGAAACATATTTCAAGTGAGGCCGAACACCTAAAGCTGAGCTGGCTAGCGCGATCATTTCAAGGCTAATAGCAAATGTAATTTTGCTCCAACGGGCGCGTAAGAGCTCAAAGACGTTGGAAATGATATAGTAGTATGCCGCCGGCAAAAGTATCACGTGACGCGTCCGGTAGTTACAAGTACAGCTAGAACACTGGCGGGTGTTTACAGGGAAGCTCTCCGCTGTTAATGCTGTTCCTCATGCTTAATAAATTCTAGAACCCGCTGCGGGAACCTCTGAGTTATCGTGAGAAGCATCACTTTACTATCTGAGATCAACTTAGCGGTTGTAGCTCCATTTCTCACACGTGTCTGGCCAAGTAAACTTCACTTATCAAGCGCGCTGTTCGGTTCAAAACATTTTACGCGCCACAACAGCAAATTTGATTATGCTATCAGTAAGGTACTCGCCGGCACCTGAAGCCTAACACCTCACCCCTCACGTCCTACAGCTTACCATTCTCAAACCACCTCCGCCTCCTCCGCCTCATCTATAGACTTCCATTCCTCTATCGGCTTGTAACCCATGCCGTCCCAACCCGTCTCCCAACCCCTCGCAACCCTCTCCCTAATCCGCGTAATCTCACCCTCATAGCTCGCTATGTCGTTTTTAGCATTGGTCATCCTCTCCCTCAAGGCCGCCTTGTCCCTCTCCACATTGCTCCTGTCGATGCCGATGGCAGTTGCATCCTGGTCAGCAGTGGAGCAGTCAGGTAGTGCTGCCTCCAGTGCCTCAAGGCGGCGCTCATACTTCCTCTGCTTGGCCTCGAGGACGGCGATTTGTTTCTGTATGCGCCGGATCCATTTTCCTGGAGACATGTTTGGTTGAGACCTTTGCTGTAAGTGGTGATGGAATAGAGTAGTTGGCGTTTGGTTGGTATCTTTGCTGTAAGTGGTGGTAGACTAGAGTAGTTGTCTTATATAGCTAACTATTTGGAACAGGAGTAATTCTATTTCTGCGTTCTGGCGGAGAGGGTAGGCGCTGGGTGTTACTCGTGCCCTCAGTGGTCGATATTCAAATTATTTGGAGACGTATCACTCAGTTACGGATCTGTTAGACGCGAGTCATAATTCCCCTTTCTCCTATAGTTCTGGAGAAGTGATATTTCTGATATTGGTCCTATCTACTCGGGCGTTCATTAAATGGTCGGATATCGTTGCAACCAAATCCCTACTAAGAATTCCGACTATTTAATAAACGCATGAGTATTATGTACTAGATTATGGTTTTTCTGAAGTCCTTGCAGTCTGATTGGCCGAGAGCGAGGAACCCTAACCCTGCATAGTAACCAGCCCACCCACCAAAAATTGGGAGCGGGCAGTGACACTGGCATGCCGAACTCATTAACAGGATGCCATTAGAGGTGGAATTAACTGGAGGTGGCATCAACTGGAGGGGGCATCAACTGGAGCTGGAGTTAATTGGAGGCGGTATTGGAATTGGTAACTTATTATTAACTGAAGGAACTGGATCACTGCGGAGGAGGTGGACATTTGCGGGAGCTGGCAATGAGCGACTATAGGAACTGGCTATGGTCAACAGCTGGAGCTGGCTATGGCCAACGATGGGAGGCGTTGGTCATGGGAAACTACTGCAGAGGGCTAAGGGAAACACTGGAGCTGGCCAACTACTATGGGTGAGCAAGTACGTGTACTGGAGGTGGGAAATACTGCATGGCGGTGGGAGAGACCTCGCGGTCGCGATGTGGGCCACTACTAATTATGAAGTACAAGATATGTTACGCGGCCCCAACGCCAAAGTTTATTATCATTATATAATTCGACAAAGAAAACATTCCAGCTCGCACCTCGCGTCTTACACCTTGCTATCCTCAAACAACTCCGCCAAATCCAAAAACATTTGGTCGTCTGTCTCATAGCAATGGAGTTAATGCCACATGCTCCTCATAACCCCCTCCTTAATCGCCGTAATCTGATGCTCATAGCCCGTTATATCGTTTTGAGCAGTACACATCTTCTCCCTCAACCTCAGTCTCTCCCTGTCTATCTTGCTTCTGTCACTACCTGTGGCGGCTGCGTCGAGGGCCTCAAGCTGACCCTCATACTTCTTGTGTTTCGCCTCGAGGACTGTTATTTTCTTCTGTAAGGCTCGAATATCTTTTCCTGCGGATGACATGGTTAGTTGTGGGTTATGTTAAGAGTTCTATTGTAAGTGGTGGTTTAGATTATTGGGGGTCGTTGGCTGTTATATAGCTGACGGTTCTATTAGGAAAGGATTTCAATTCTATTTGCGTGTTCCGGTGCTCAGAGTAGTGTGATTGACCTCTTTGATCGATATTAAAGTTATTTTGAGATACCTCACTCAGCAAGTGATCATTCATTGGGCGGTTATGTTTTCTCTTCCACACATGGATCTTTCAAATACCTGTTCCACTCGAGAAGGGAACACAGGCAAAGTTTATTTTCATTAACTCGCAAATGGATTGCTAAAATACTAGCTCGCACCTCTCATCTCACAACCCCAGATTATCGAACCGTTCCGCCAAATCATCAGATCTTTCTTCCTCTATCTCACATCCATCTAGTCAACTCCAAACGCTCCTCGCAACCGCCTCCCTAACGCAGATAATCTCATGCTCACAGCTCATTATACAATTACTAGTACTCATAATCCTCTCCCTCAAATATGCTTTCTCTCTCTCTACATTCTTCTTGTCAACTCCTGCCGCCGTTGCGTCGAGCGCCTCAAGACGGTCTTCATACTTCTTGTGCTAGGCCTGGAGGGCGGTTATTTTCTTCTGCATCTTTCGGATTTTGCTTGCTGGAGTCATGTTTGGTTGGTTGTGAAATTTGCGGCAAGTAGTGGTGTAGAGTGTTGGTGGGGGTGCCGGGCTGTTATATAGCTGACGGGCGGGAAGGGTATTTCAATTCTATCTATCCGCTCTGTTACTGAACGTGGGCAGTGTGGCATTACTGGTGACCTCTGTAATCGATGCTCATCTTCATTTGAGATATTACCAGCTGATCTTTGATTTCCCAGTCTTCCTCACATATGTTTGCAGAGGTAATCTTCACGTATTGACAACACTGTTGACGTCACTTGAACTATATTTGTGCAGCCCAAATAACAACCTTTATTCTTATTAATTCGTAAAGGCTTCATTAAAGGACTCCCTCGCACCTCACACCTCATACCTACCCATCATCGAACCCTTCCACTAATGTGAAGACCTTCGCTCTCTGACCTCGTACCTCACTATGCCAATATTCCTCGCAGCTTCCTCCTTAATCGACACAATCTCATTTTCAAAGGCCATTATATCTATCTCAACATCCCCAATCTTGTCTCTCAAACTCGGCTACTCCCTCTTCAGTTTAGGCCTGTCATGAACGTCTGTCTCAGCTGCATTAACCCGAAGGTACTAGCGTTGAGATCCATAAGGCGGTCCTGATATTTCTTCTGTCCAACCCCGAGTGCGGTTATTCTCTTCTCTGGGCCCGGATCCTACTCGCGGGAGACGTTTTTGATTGGTTGTGAGTTTTGAGGATTTCACTTCTAGCCCTGTGTTCCGCTACTGAGAGTAGGTGATGTGAGTCTTACTCGGGATCTTTATAGTCGATATTCATGTGATTTTGAAATATATCACCCAGATACTGAGGTTTCACCGCGGAGTCACAATTCTGTTTCTCACATGTGTTCATCACATTATTCATTTCAAGCTGTATTTATGCGGCTTCAACGCCAATGTATTATCATTAATTCGCAAAACAATGAACAAAGCTCTCGCTCGGACCTCACAACTCACACATAACATCACGGAACCCTTCGACTCATGTAAAGACCTTTGCTCCCCCACCTCAAACCTCACTATGCCAAATACCGCTCGCAGCTCCTTCCCGAATTGACCTGATCTCATTTTCACAGCTGGTAATATCGCTCATAACATCACTCATCTTGCCCCTCAAGTTCGTCTTCTCCCTCTCCACGTTACCCGAGCCGGTTGCATATGACCAGAACGATCTAGAGTTCAGATGTTGCGTTGCGTCGAGTGCCTCAAGGCGGTCTTCATACTGCTTGTATTTTCCCCAGAGGGCGGTTACTCCTTTCTCCAGAGACCGAATCTTATTTGCTGTAGACATTTCTGATTGTTAGGTTCGCTATGAGTGATGATGAGAAAGGAATATGGGTTGTTCGTGCTCTTATAAAGCTGGTGGCTAAGGAGTGGGTTGTAATTCTATTTGTGCGTCGTGGTGCTGAAGGTGGTGCTGGATGCTTTACAGAGGTTTTTTTTTTTTTTTTTCATGTCATCTGATGCTTTCTTGAAAGTGTAAAACGGATGCCTTTTGAACTCTGGTTCTCGGTTGCAATGTTCTCCGCAACTGGACAAAATTAATTATCCACCTAGTACACTCTTCTAGGTGCTGTAATAGTTAGCGTCTTCGTCTCACTCCTCAATCTTATCACTCTCCACCCCATCAACGCCAAAATCTCCTTGAGGACCCAGAGTCCCCCTGCCGAATTGCCTCAATATCATTCTCCAATTTTTCAATGTCGCTCTTAACCCGGGTAAGTTTGCCCTGGAGTGTCGCGATATCCCTCTGTTTCTTTTCCCTGTCAACTCCAGGAACGAATTCGTACGGCCAGGCACGTTCGGTGCCCATGACTAGGGTATCCTCAAGTATGTCTAGGCGGTTCTCGTACCTATACTGTTTCTTTTGAAGGGCTGTTATTTTGTCCTCCAGAGAACGGATCCTCGATGATGGAGACATTGTTGGTGGTTGCTTTGTTGCAGATTGTAGTTTTGTGTATGACGCTGCGATTTAGAGTTGTGAGCCAGTGTTAGAGGTTATGGAGTTGGTGATTTAGGTTACGGAGATGGTGGTCCAGGGGTGTTAAATGGTAGCAGAGGTTGTGAAGGACATAGAATTCTACCTTGGCTCTCGGAGCTGACTGGCGACTGGATAGGTTCCGGAACGGGCCTATTCATGTCAATGATCCATCCTTGTGATTATCAGATGACTAACCTTCGGCAATCCAGTTCCACCCATTGAGATCATAGTTCTGAAGATGGTTGACATGATACACATTACGCATTTGTGTTTTAAAATGCGTGGAGTCTGGAGTGCAGATAGCCTCCCCATCAGATGTAATCTAAATCAATCGGAAACTCGTTGGACCTTCTCCCGACTCCCCCGCGAGTGGTTGACGAAGAGGACTTGGAACGTGGCTTCGAAGCAAAAGATTGGCTCTCACAGACTTCAGCGTTAGAAACAATACGAGTCCGGTAGGGACTACCGCTAAATGATTGCTCAAACGAGCGACACTATTACACCTCACCTGGAGCCTGTGTCTGCTCATTGTGATGGGTTTCATTATCAATCACCCCACGGACATAGACATAATGCAAGTACCAGGTGTATCTTGTCATTATATATCAACAATGTGATTAGTATTTCCCTGGCCACAACGACCGCACGAATCCAAATGGCCCGCACAGAACTATAGCAGCGAAATTCTTTGAGCAAAAGTACAAGAAGGAAGAACGGTAACTGGAGGTCCAGACGCCCTTGGGATGAAGCGTGAGGAATAACATCGGCGAAGAGTTCCGAATGGTCAAACTGACACCTTTTCTCACACAGCATTGGCAATATTCACCACGGCGAGAGACAGATATGGTGTCCGTCAATCCTTTTATTATTCCTTTTCTTCCGAGGCGGGTGTGTTACCTGTTTATATCTCTGCCTAGGTGCTTCGGTAATACATGGCACCAGAAGAGAAGGGGAATTTATATATAGCCTTGTGGTACGCTGGCAAAGGAAGGGCGGAGGGTCTTATCCGTCCCTCGGGCGTCTCAAAACCTCCAATACTATTCACCTTACTATTTCACCCATACTATTGCTGTGGAAATAGCAGCACTTGTCCCTGGTAGAACAACTACATAGGATACGCATGGTCAGAGAACACGGCTTGAGGAGCTCGAGGTTCACCACACCTGTGAGTAGATAGTTGTGTATATTTAAGATCAGCCAATGCTTCTTCAACAAGTTGAGGGAGGGAATACCCCATACACACACCTTAAGAAGTACCATAACGTCGAAGAAAACCAAGATTGAAAAGGTGCGCCAGAGATGGAACTCACCTTGAAGATTGAGCAAGTGAAGAATAATGGAAAAGGAGGGAGGAGGGGGTGAGAATACCATGTCAAACGTGGAAAGTTACCTGGCCCCTGATCATTGATAGGTGGCCTAGCATCCCCAAAACTGTGAACGAGGAAAGAGAACCTCCCGGAATGATTCCGGTAGGGAGGGACCGAATTCCGTCATAGAAACATTGTAGGTTCTCAGTTTGTACTTTCTCTATTCGTTCTTATTATTAGCCTCAACTAAATTGTCGGAGAGGCTGTTGATTCTTGAATGAATTTAGAAACTTAGTAAAACACGTGGAGGATCATTTCCGGAGCATGTGGAAAGTAGAGATGGTGTGGGGTGCAACCCAGATCAATTACCTTTCTATTGGAGGAAGGTTAGATACTCATAACAGCGGACAAGAAGGCAAAAAACATACTGTGTTCTGAGTGGTGTTGTGCTGTTTGAAGTTCCTTCCGTTTGCTTGGCACATGACATATCACTCGATATTGCCAAGCCGAGTGGTCACTTTGTCGGTTGAGGCTCGATCAACCACAACGCACCTTGTACCAAGTTTATCCATATCAACGGAATTCTGTCATGAATGAATGGACGACATGTGGTAAGGAACTGGAAATAAGGGATAGATAACTCTTCGTAAGCAGAAACGATAGAAGCAACCACTCGCCAAGATTACATTTTCGTCCGGCGTTGCAGTCATCCCCGATATAAACCTCTTGTTTGAATATATTGCTGCATAAGAGTCTGGGCAGATATAGACCAGTCGATTTAGCGTTGTAGACTGTGTGTTGTTGAAGTCTACACTATCGGGTTGCCTCTCTCTCACCCCGGCACGCGGCAGTCATGTCCATTTCTAGGGAGGCGAGTTTGCCCATGAATCTTCCTATAAAGGCGTAGTGCCGCTTGACAATATAATAAAGGTCTAACAAATCTTTCTATAAGACCCATGTATTGTCCAGCCTACTAACCTCAGCCATTCTATCAGAGGTCCTTCATAATCTGTGCATAAATAGTTGACATGTTTCCCCGCGGGACGACCGATGACCACAATCAGCACTTTCAACAGCACATATTGAACATATCGAAATCTTCCATCCTCAGACACGCCACTTCAAAACTGCCACTTAACAGATATGGAATACCTCGAAGCCACCCTCCTCTACACCAGGAGATCCATGAGCCTAGTCCGTCATTATGATTTGGTAGCGAGTGTTGGCACAGGCCTAAACTACCAAAACACACTGGATGTAGTAAAGGCTCATGCCCAGGTGACAGCTGAGTGTTATCTAATCTTAATAGGTGAGCATGACCTCGGTGAGATCAAAACCGCTCTCTTTGAAGAGATTCACGCCTGGACAGAATTCCGCAATCACGCTATCACCTATCTCAACAGATACAGAATTGTAGCGCAGTCGTATGCCTACTGCAAAGACGTACTCGACGAGGGCTCGTGGAAAGGGGCGAGTACGTGGTATGCCGATTATGAGCGTTGTGAGAAGGTCTTGACGGATTCAGAGGCCTATCTATTGAAACCAAAGTCGACCGTTAAGTCGCTCCTGAAGAAAGATAGTTTTGGGAGGAAGAGGAATGATTGCTGCGAAAGTGACACTGAGGCAGAGTAGCTAACATATTGGCAGTGTTGGGGGTGGAATCTCAGTACACGAGCCATCACCTGTCTTGACGAATAAATCGTGAATAGGAGATTGTAGATAAAGAAAATACCTGTAAATCTAGTACTCAATTTATCACCGATACAATATATACGAAGGTGCAAACGGTTCATATAGTAACTTGAAGCTCGAGTCGTGAAAATTCTGGGAGAATAGTGAACATAGAACGCGGTTTCAGCATTCCAAGCACCAATCACAAAATAAGAAAGATTATTGAAAAACAGCTGAGCACAGGTTCTACCACTTCTACTCTACGTTACAGCTAGCAAGTGGGGCCTCTCAAGAAAGAAAAGAGAGCGAGCCGTTAAAATCAGGTGGGTTAGGGTTGTGATTCCTTCTCTACGAGCGAACAAAGTTTAGGATATATTGCCAAAGGAAATGCACATCAACGTGTTCGGTCATAGAATGATGAAAATGGGGCATCCCGTCCGCTCTGCCATACCCAAGCATCATATCGCCTAGTTAGTACTGCAGTGGGTGACCATGTGGGAATCCTGGGTACCGAACTCTTTTTCATTTTTCTTTTGCTTGGCAGGGATATGATGGTTGCTCGGCTGGGCAACCCGATATGTATAAGCGCACCTTGGCAATGATTCAACCAAGGACAACATCCCTATAGCTTACCTGCTCGTTATCGAGATCAGAAGAGAGGAAAGCTGCCGTTCTTCCTCCAAATAACTGGTATCCAAGATAACGAACATCTTGCGTATTATTAACCCTACTTCCTAGATCACTTTATTTCTTTCAGGTATTTTGTTTGATAGATTCTGTTCTCTCCTAGCTTTTTCTGCTCTATCTGGTCTGTTCGCAGCTACTACTAGCTCGGTATAGAGATGTCGTTCTCAAATCTAGGAAGACCGCTACCGCAAAGATACCTCCGAATCGAGTCACAGTTATAGAGAACCCAGCAGAACAGACACACCCCAGACTGCTGTCCAAGGCAGCGTAGGTCGATCTTATATCAGATGTTTGTGTCAATTACAGGGCGACTAGCGTACGTAGATATAGTTGAAACGAGCTTTAGAACGGGGAATACAATCGAAATTAACTTAGCTCGAGTTCTTTCTGTCTGTCTTGGAGGAATGGCATAGAAACACCTATGACCATAGTAGTCAAATTGGTTCTCTACATTTGATGAAAGCGGTCAAAACTTTGATGTTAGTATCCAGGCTAATTTGTTCAAAAGCACAGGACTGCAGTACGCCACCAGTAATGCACCTCACCCAACGCACAAACATCAGTAACACACGTATAACGCAACCAGCCGCACAACGCGGTCACATTTTATGAACCTCTTCTTGTTTCAAGTCTTCTATTCCTGTGGAAGATACGCCTTTCAGCACAAGAAAGCACAGAGAAGCACCGTAATACACACTGCTTCACCTTTTCTGCTTTCGGAATTTCCCAAGCTGAAACTACGCGGAGTCAACAACTCTCCCTCTCAACTTCACTTCACTTGTAACAAAGGTCCACATCTGATCTTGCAAAGTCGAACATCCTGGTACATTCCGGCATCGACTAAACAAGCTATTTACCAACTCATCACCTGTTTCCTGATCTCACTCCGTCCGTCTTCCAAACATTGTCCAGCCCGACGGGGTCTCCACTATCAGTGAATACATTCTCCAACACTATCACTGTCTATCATCGGAAGAAAAATAGGTATGACATCATAATATTCTGCATTCCTCTCCATCCTATATACGAGTTATCCTTCCTCACCATCGCGCAGAACAGCCGGGATGTTTGCTCTCCAGGAAGAAAGCATGCCCAACCACAGTGCCACCAATACACTCGATGGGGCGATGGACAGCAACAGAGATAACCCCAAGGCTATCTCTTTTCCTCTGGCCATTGGAAACAATCCTCCGCCCTATCAAGCAACCGCTGAGGATGGTGAGGAGAAGAAAGATGAAGATCAACAGCACCACGCCAAAGTCACCTCCGAACAGGACCAGCTCTATTCCGACAGCTCCGCGACCTACACAGCAAGCGACAATGCAGACCGCATGACCAGCGAGAGCTTGTGGAACAACAGCAGTGACAGTTCAGCCCATACGGAGGCCTACCCCTCCTCTCCTCCCCCAATGCCAGACCTGCCTGACGACACTGCTCTCGAGGCCCAGCTTGAAGCGTTCCTGCAGGCCCGCATGCTCGCCATCCGCGCCATCCGCGGCCCCCTCCCCACAAACTACGAGCACCTCGACTTCTACTCTCCTGGATATCAGCCCGCCCCACGCTTCCAATTCCAGATGAAGCCCAACGGCTACCTGCCACTGTCGCAGATTCGACGGGATCTTTATATCCTCAATGCGATCTACCCGGAGCATTGTAACCTGTTTGTTCTGATCCTTAAACTCTTTGACAAGTGCGATCCGCAGGACGAAATGGTGCTAAGGACGATCAACGCGTTGCCGCATATGAGATATCTGGTGGGGCTTTGTAGAACCTGCTTTTTGGTGGTGGGAGGTGGGAGTGTTTGTTGTGGGCAGGTGATTCCGGAGTAGGTGGTGGTCGGAGGGGTTTCTTGAACTCTGCTCCGGGTTTTTGTCATTCCCGTTGGGTGAATAGGATGCTAATTGTGGGGGAAACTGTCGATAAAATTGTGCTTTTGGTCAGGCTGGAAGTTTGGTTTTGAGTATCACGGGTTTCCTGCCTACTACTAGGCAAAGATCGGGAAAAGATCTGTCGAATTATCTTTTTACCTTCTTGAATCTCTATCTTTTCTGTAACTCTGCCTTAGTTTTAAACTAGTTATCAAAAGATCCTCGAAGCCTCTCAAAATGTTTTCCTTCGAAAAATATGTGATTCCTATTGGCTTCCCCGCATTCCCCTAATATATACCACAGCCTTGTCCAATCTCTATTGCTATACCTACGTAATCCACGGAGGTGGACGTAGGTCGGCAGACAACATAAGGCCGAGTGTATCAATGCGCAGGGTTAATCTTTTATGTCTACTACTTTCAATATTATATCATATTTTATACCTCCGAGAGGTAGCTAATAGTGTCCCTTTGTTTTCGTGTTATTGTAATTCTGTCGTCGGTCAATAGGCGTAGAAGTATACTAACCATCAAAGTCAAAACGTCGCTTTGACCCGTTCCCCGTCAAACGGAGGCGGACATTGATTAATAACATTCGTTGAGTCTTCTGTCCTCACTCATTCTTCTTGAAGTTTTCTCGGCAGCAACACCTCTTATCACTACATTTAACTCTAAACCACAACTACCCAACCACAACCTTGAACAGTGCGCTCACAAATTGTGCAGCGGCCTACCTTGTCACTCGCCATCACTGAAGTATCTATTCCACTCGGAACAATCTATCGAACTTCACCTACGATTCGCAGAGATGTTTCTCCTTACCTCCGAGGTCCTTCCTGGAGACCTCACCATGGACGATGTTCTCATTGTATCTTTCCTCCGCCACCACCCTGAGTGTCCGTGCTCCGACAGATCGTACGAGTTCACTGAGACCCCCACTGAGCTCGACGGAGCGATAGTTGGTACCTGTGTCGTAAAATGCGGAGGAACCCTGAGTTTTCATCTCCGGAACGAATACATTGAGAATCAGCAACAGCAACGCCTTTCCACTACGCCAGCGCCCACAGCCGAAAGTCCTGTTAATATTTCGAAGACTCCCGCGCCATCTGATACCGAGACGTATCCGTCTACTATCGCAACAGAAGCGGCTTTTCCGTTCCTTGATGGTCCGCACCTCCGCATCGACGCTTCGGGACTTGGAACTACTCGCGGCCCTGACTATATGCAGCTCAATGCCGAACTCGAACTCCCCAGCTGCTCTGATTATTCACGTCACCAACACTGCTCACTGCTTTGGCTACCAAAGCGTTGCTCGGTTTGCCATCAGCTTTTTGCTGCACGGAGCGCGCCAGCTAATGCCTGCTTTCCCGAAAGTGAGGCTGTGGGTCAGCTTCTCTATGGCACGGATGGGTTGGTGTATCATTCATGCGGGCCCATCCACCTCGGAGTCTTTCGGAGGTCTCAATAGTGATTTGAAAGAATTAAATTCCTCCGGGTATATTGCAAGATATGAGAAGGTACACACTTCTACATGTCTTCTTTATCATCCTCTCAGCCTATTCCTCGTTTTCTAATCGTTCTTAGGATAGCAGTGCGGAGCGTAATTGAGCTGTGAAACACTAATCTGAAAGTTTCCTTTCTCTCGCTGTAATACGTCCATGGAACCTATGCGATTGGGAGCGTTGGTCTGTTTTACTTGATAAGATTCCCTTTCATCTACTTCACTTCTTAGATTTTGTTAATCGTATTGCCAATTTCATATGCCGCATCTATCATAGGAGTTCCGATTTTATCGTGGTGATCTTCCTACTAATCAAGCAGGCCTAGATGCGGGTCTTACTTTGTAACAACTGAAAGATTAAGTGATACTTATGAGACAGATAGAATAAAAGGCGGATAATTTCTTCTATATAGAAAGACAGTTAGAAAATATCTCATTATATGTATCTCAACTTGGCAACAGACCTTTGAGAAGGCGGAATGCAGCAGTGAACGATGAGGACAATGATGTAGTAGGTAGCGGTAAATTCTTAAAAGCTACCAGCGCCGTCTTCAGGCAGGATGGGATGGTAACAAAGCACTTTATGTCATCTATATTGTAGTCTCATTAGCAGATTTCCACAATAAATGAAGCATGAAGATTCACAGGTGTAATCCAGTACACACCATCTGTCCTAACTTCTCTTTGCTCAGGGTTTGCATGAGAGCAGCTTTTGTCTCGTCAAAGGTGACGTGTTTGACATTCTCCTCTCTCAGTATAAGCTTGACATATTCATTTACGTCTTATCAGATGCCGATAACTGAAGAGATAAATGCAGAATATTGTAAATAATCAAGAATGAAACACGTTGAGTGTTGAAGTGGTGAAGTTTCATGTCTGGGTAACGAGGATAGACAAGTGTTATAGTCGCGCATATGTACCAGTTGCCAAGCCTCTCTGTGGTCTCTCTGAACCGACACAAGAATCTCTTACGTTACCGAACATACTTCCCATAGGTAGGAATACGTGATTAAACACAGGTTGATTATTCCGAACCCATTTTTACTCCTATCGCCGATTTTTCCCACTTGGTTCTCAAATTCACTCAGACTTTGTATTCTCGTCTATATCAAGAAGTGTGTGTTCTCATTTCCAGTATTTAGGCACCAGATATGGCGGATTTAATCTTTCACTTTACTTCATGAATTCCCCCAACCTCGAGGCATATCGTCTTCCTCGTAACTCCCTTTGGCTTTGCCGTTGCAGATGCAAGCTTTAATCTCCAACTTCATAGAGATCTCTAAACCCTCATACAGCTAGAATGTCAACAACTGGTAACTCTCCCATCTGTCATGTTCTTCGCCCATACTGACTAGAACGACAGATAGATCTCACCTCGTCCGTCAAGTGCTACATTCAATCAAAATCAAAACGGTCTAGGGTAAAATACCACTCGAAAAAGTGGAAACTAGCTGATTGCTACTCTTCCCAAGTTCTTCTGGAGGCCGGTGCCAGCGCTTGCGATCGATGACCAGGCAGTTGGTGAAAAACCCACTCAAGGTTTTCGACACATTCCTGCAAGTGCAGCACACAAGCCAACCAATGTTTGAGCTGCCTCCAGTACCCTTTCTTCAGGCGCAATGACTATAGGTGCTGTTTCTTGGGCTTTATTATTTGTGGATACCCGTCTTGTCTCCCGAATGCTAACTACCTCCTACTGCCGAGCTTCTTCTCCGTAGGGGGATGAGCGTCCGCAGAGAGGATGATTTGCCGCAAATCAACGTTTAATTGTAGGATACATTCCATTAAAATTAACTCCAGTCACATGTAAGCGTGCGTTGGTACTTGGTTCTTAAATACTAAAGTCGTAGTGCAGAACACCGGAATCGAGTGATATGCTATGACCCCAGAGCTCTGAACCAATAGGTAGAATACTTCCTTATCAGCGCTTATTAGGGTTAAACATCAACCGCAGGCATGTCTGATTAAATAGTATCTGGGAAGTGAAGGTTTATTCATGAGTGCGCGTCAGTAACTTTCAACACAATTATCTTATTCAGGCCATAGCTCATTATATCCTCGCGAGGATCACACTTTGCTACGGATCACACTCTGCTACTTGAGCTGTTCACTAAGAAATATCTCAAGATTCACGGAGGATTAAATTACCTTCATTCCCCACCTATTTACGAATCATATCTTCGTCCTTTTTCAAGTTTGTGAAATTCGCGGTTGTTGTTGGTCTCAGCTCGCACCTAATGTAGTTAGCGTTACTTCAGTTGAGCCTCATCCCACCCACCCCTGCGCAGAGCCTCACGTAACCCCCACAGAGCCTCTTTCAACCCAACACACCACACCACACCACACCAACAAGCCACCAACACAGAACCAGAAACCCAGCTATCTGCCGATGTCTAGCCGTATCGAAGCTTCGAAATATTAAAAACGAGCTAAATGATCGCGTTACAGAGGGACTAGCAGCTAAAACGATTTCTTCCCTGACGCTCTACGCAGCATCGAAGCTCTCCACGGATGAGCTCTTTCTCCAAAGTCGGTCGTTGTGCTTATATGTGGTTTTTTTATGGAGTTATTGATGACTAAGGATGTATAGAGAACGAATTAACGACCAAGGATTCTTCTCATTTATTGTGCGGGAGAATATAAGGACAGAAAGGGCTGAACAGGCTTGGAAAAATTCTTTTATTTGTAGAGCATATAGCTATCGAGGAATAAGAAGAAAAATAGAAACAATAACAAGAAAAGTATCAACCTTTCCCCTCGACACAATACCCCACGCTTAAAGAATACTAATACTGCCAAATCACAGCCTTAAAGAATGCTAATACAGGTATAAGCTATGCAGGCAGTAGATGTGCTCGGTCGACTCATCCTCCAAGCCCTCATACCATACCAGTTGCCAAACCATACCCCCCAATCCCGGATACCACCCCCTCTTGGACCTCCTACTCGTGCCTAACCCTCACCTCACAGCACCTCGTACCCGGCTCCCTCCACCTCGTGCAAACCGAACACTGCGCCATCCCCTTCTGCCTCGCCATCACCGCCTTGCGCTGATCTTCAACGGCCTTGACATCGCCAAACACCGCGGGATTCCTCCTATACGTGGCCTGACGGATGCGTTCGCGCTCGAGATACTCATATTGGCGGGCGCGCTGGTCGGCGTTGAGGTCTGTGCCCTCTGGGTATAGAGCTGGTGGCTGGAAGCAGCCGTTGTTGAGAGTACTTGGCGGGCTTCGGGGAGCGTGACTTCCGCTCGCGCCATCGCTCGCGTTTCGCTTGCCGGTGGGGGAGAAATGGGTTCCATTGAAACCGACAGGCGGTCTCCGGCCTGGTAAGCTCGCGTTGGGAGAGGCGAATGGCATGTTGTAGCTTTTGCGGTTACGCACTGCGTAGTGACCAAAGCTTGTATCGGCGTCGGGGCTGGTTTCGTCCTGGTCTGAGTCGCTGCTCTCGGAATACTCCATAGTATCGGGGATTATTGAGTAACCGCCTTTATCCGCCGGGGGTGGGCTATGGAGAACAGTTGGTCTCTTGTTTCGCTCGATTCCCCTGACCGTGTGAGTTCCCATAATTGGGCACCTATCATCGATATCGTTTTGCTCAAAAGCAGCAACTCTTTCCAAAACACTTGCTTCAAAGGTCTTCGGAGAAGGACCTGCACTTTGCTTCTTCTTCTTCTTCTCAGCTTCCTCGATGGCCCGCTTCCTGGGCGACCTTTTGATATCAATCAGCCTTTGCTTTGGCACTGCCTTCGTGGCCGCCGCAGTAACTCTGACCGCTTTCTCTTTCGCCGCAGCAGCCAGAATCTCTTTTTCATTTTGCTTTCTTGCTGCTGTTGCACGAAGCTCCTCTTCTAGTACTTGTTGTGCCGTTGTGAGTGCGGGACGGGCAACCACCCATGCGAAGTCCGGTGAAAGGGAGTCCGCGGTATTGTGTAGTGAAAGACTACTAATCATTGATTCCGCGGAGTATTGGCTTATAGCAATCTTACCAGCCGGTACAGCAAGTGCAGTTGACATTCTACCTCCTGTAGGAGTCGGGGTCGATGGACTAGCGGTATGCCAGTCGTATTCCGAGTAGTGACTACCTGCTCCTCTAGAGTGCTTCTCGCGGCGGACAGAAGAGGATTCCTCATCGGGTTGAGATGGTAGGGGCTGGAAAGTAATTAGCGCAGTTTAACCAAACATGGTGCGGGAATGTTCCTACTTTGACATGGTAGCTCGTTTGCTCTAAGCTATACTTCCTCGGAGTATGGGCTCTCTGTGGTAAGATTTGTTAGTAAAGTTCATAGCTGTAGAGGAGGACACGAGAGTTTCATACACGCATGGGGTATGAGACATAGTCACTCATTTTATATTCCGGCACCAGCGGCGGTGGTGTACGTACTTGGGACACCTTCCTAATAACTAGAGGCCGCGGAACCTTTGAAGGGCTTTTGTTCTATTCTGTCTGTCAGTTAAAATCTTCTTTATTATCCTTGTTAATGTTGCAAACGAACCGCAAAACTCTCAAATACACCCGTAATCTTGTAACCTTGCTTGCCGTTTGGGCGTTTAAATGATTGCTGATTCATTGTTAGTCACAGATCATTGAATGTTTATGAAAGGGGACCGTACCGGTGCGATAGTAAACTGGGTGTAAGGCTTCGGCTCTTGACTGGTGAAGTAAGGAGACCTGTCGCCCTCGCTTGCAATCCGCCGGTGAGCAGACTTTGCGCGAAGATTCTGTTTTATTTTAGTTTCTCGCTTTGATAATGCAGGACACAAAGAGATTAAGGTACATACCAGAGCGTTCTCTGTTGGAAGACTTGCTTTCTCTCTGAGTGGGGTGGTTGTGAAAGGGTCGTCGTCGTCGTAGAGCTGCGGGAGTGTTAAAGGTTTGGTTCACGAAGTGGGAATTTATAAATGGATACCTCAGGCTTTGGGGGCTTGGCATAATCGTCCGCAGGATCATTCTTATTTTCCCTCACTGTTTTTTCAGAATGCATGTCATCATAGTCTAGCCCCACCCCCGGCCTATAATTGAGGGTCTGGCACATGTTAGCTGGGGTCAACGCCAAGGAATACTAGACTCCTGCATACTTCAGGTTGATAGTTGAAGAAAAAGTCGGTCAGTTTTCTAGATGTGAGAAGACCGTCTGGGAAAGCTTCGCTGGACTCAAATCTCAGAGAGGAAGCAATTGAGCTGTTGTCTGAGTCAAAAGACCTGGCTTCAGCACCGGCAGTCTCCTATATTTGTCAGTAGGGTAATGTGCATAGAGTAAGAAACAAAGTCCCGTACAAGATAATCAAATGAGCCGAAGCAGGGTGCGGAAACAGTCCTATTTCCCCTGTCAAGATAGTCCTAAATAACCGTAAGTCTGTGAACATGCGTGCTATTTTATTTTTTCAACACGTACTATATCCCGCGAGCCAGTGGCTTCAGATTGGGAGGAAGTCTGATACACATTGCTTCTCAATTTCTCAGGCCAATCCCAATCCATGTCCTACCACCCGTTAATCCAGGAGAGAGAGTGAAAAGGATGAGGATTATCTACATGTTCTGTTTCATCATTTGTGGAAGGAGCCGTCACAAAGCTGCTCGCTCTGTCCTCATGGATAATTAATGGCTGATTAATTATCCATTGTTCATGCAAAATTCGCAATGAAATTTCGCTAATGGGAGATTGAATGAACTAAGTTTAATTAGGTACAGGCTGTACACTACTTAGAATAATCCTGATGGGGAATAACTACTCTAGATTCTTCCCCCATTCCTGGACCCAATGATCTGTCAAGTACTCTGTACTTGCGGTGGGGATGTTGTAGTTGTACCACCTGGGCTTCGTGCGGGGGGAGTTCTATACCATTAACAGAAGTATTCCCTGTATAGCCTCCATCCAGGTCATCATTAGGTTTCTGTACTAATTCCGGTGGCTGAGCTGCTATTGAACCAATCTGTGAAAGGCTCGCTCGCTGGTTGATCTTTAGTATGGATAATAAACCACAAGGAACTCAATCACTTACCAGAGATCGCTCGTCATCGGCGTCCAGACTTCTTGAGCGACGAGTGCGAACAAACTCAGCTCTGTGAGCAACATGATCCTATACACTACGATTAGATGGCGAAGGCAGATTTTGAGTTAATTGTCTGTACCTGTGTAGTGTGATAAGAAAACATAGGATTGGCTGTAGGTACCCGCGAATTCTTACGGCCCCTTCTCCTATTCCCCACCGGAAGTGGTCTCGGACGGTACTCCTCCTACCTCATCGTCAGCTTGATCTCGTATGCTCTCATGAACCGCAGGGACAACAAACACATACGTATGCTGTTATCGCATCCATGGACGCTTCCGAAGGCAGGTAGTAATTTTCTTTACTTGGCGTGAGATTTCCTGCGCGAGGGAACTCATTTAACTCTTCACTCTCGGAGTAGGACTCACCGGAGTATTCGTACTCCGCCGAATCAACATCTGATGGAACGTTGGACGGGGTTGGGGATGCTCTGGACCGCGGAGGAGCAAAAATACTTGAAGAAGGATATTTTCTTGACTAGAGTAGTGTCAGTTGATTGGTACAGCCGATTAAGTGGGAAAAGAACTGACCTCCGGCCCTATACCCTCACAGTCGACATTTCGGTTGCTTGCAAACCCCATCTCATTAGTATTTATGGAGCTTGATGACCTTGAGCGACCATACGACATCCTGTTCCCATAGCTAGTTCCATGGTGTTCAATAAGATCAGAATCGTTGATAGTGAATTTGCTTGATAATATGGGGCCATCGGTGTTACTCCCATTCCCATATCTCAGATCGACATTCGTTTGCTTTGATGTACCATAGCGACCCCGGGTCCGTTCTTCTGATAGCTCAATATCTCTCGGGTACCTTAGACTAGAAGCACTCTGATAACTCTGAGGTCTCCTCGGGGTTCGGTCGTCAAATTGGCGTCTTCTGCTCTTACTCACAGATCTTTTGTTGTAGTGCGAGGAAGAATTGGAAGAATGGTAGCTCTCAGTCTAAGTCAATTTTAGTAACGCAATAATACTAATAATTGAGGAGATATTCCATGTACGTACATCATTTGATGGACGCATAGTGTGTGGAGCATTCATACGATCAAGCGATCCACTTCTTCCACTCCCGTACGCAGGGATGTTTTCATCATGAGGATAAGGATGACGGACATTAAGCATAGGAGGCTGAGAAAGAAGTATTAGTATAAAAGGAAATATCCCTTGAGGTACAAACCGCAACACTTACATCTCGAAAGGGATTCATGGGTCGTCTTCCTGTAACGAGACCCGCCAAATCACCCCTTGGCCTAAAATTCCCAGATTGATTACCGTATCTCGCAGAAATTGGAGGAGGATTAGAATGTTGAACCTAGTATGAAGGGATCAGTAAATGACAGAGAGTGTTAAAGAGTATGTAGATATATGTAGACATACATAATGCGGGGGGTACGTGGCATTTGGTGCATTAGCACGCTCCCTAGAGCTGTTCCTTTGGTGTGTAATTTGACTATCGTACGAAGAGGATGGTTGGGGATGAGTAAGGTTTCCCGGCTAGTGAGAGCCAATTAACCTATATTTCTATAAACTGCGGAGAGAACGGCAGTACTTACGTGCCGGGGAGGGGGCATATGATGCGGTGCATGAGGATGATCTCTGAAAGCGTTCTGTCTCCCAGGACCAAAACCTCTTCCTCTACTCGACTGCTGCTTCCCATTAGACTGAACTCGACAAGCAAGGACCAGAAACAGACATACCACTACACCCTCACTTACAGACCGGTCACTCGGCCCTCCATTCTGCGGTCGTCTCAGGGAAGCAGAATCCAGCGATTCCATCAATTCCGATCCCAGAAGCGTCGTGTACGATGATTGCTTTGTAGTGGATGATTGCCGCGAGCGGACTGACGATGAACTTCGATTCCCTGACCGTGAAGACTCTTGAGATGAGTTCGCGCCTGGCATCACTGGATAAGGGCCGTCCATCCTTGGTTGGTTGAGTTGGCGCCAGTAGGAGCGGGACGTTGAGGATGTGTGGGTTAGTGTTGGGACGAGGTCGTTGTCGCACATTGTTGCAACTGTGTCCTGGGTGCTGGCGTGATAGTTTGTGATGGAAAACGCGCACGTGTGTCATGAAGCGCGCGTGAAATGAGAGAAAAACACCACCACGAGGATGGAAAGAGATAAAATAATTTGAGGATAATATTATTTGATGGAAGGTAGGGCTGCTACTCCGAGCACCCCCCTCTTGATGAAACAGGTCGTTTTCTCGAGTTGATGATCCGGAAGTGCGAGTGATGGATGGTGACAAAAGGAAGGGAAGAAAGGTCGGAGAACTTCAGGAGGAAACAGGACATCACCGTGTTTCAATTGCGATCGTGCGGTCTCGAATACGCTCATTGGGGTTGCGTGATAGAGAATGTCTACTCTAAATTATACGACCAGGGTTATGCTGCAGGGATATGGTCGAAACGTGGGGGTTCTCATGCAGGAAGAAACACTGAAGCGTTACTACAAAGTGTTTTATAGATGGATGCCTGTGCGATAACTCTCACTATGACCGGAAGTAGTGTGATGAGCTGTTAAGAATGGATCGTATACTGCGTGAATGTCTTTGATGCTTTCGCTGGTGGAGGTGCTGAGGATGATTTCGAGAACGGTGATAATCAGCTGGAGCTCTTAGGAATTCCATTACCCGAGGGAACATTAACTTTGAAGAATATGTGACAGGAAGGGCCTCGATCCATATTATCAGGCCGAGAGTGGAATGAATTAAACAAAAAAAAAAAAAAAAAAAAGCCGAGTGGGTGAAATGCCGCTACGAGTGATATCCTATGAAGCATCAATTATCCCCTCTCGCTATATCAATTGGATAAAACATACGGGAAATTACTGCGTTAAGTTACATTTCGTAGTCGACAGACCCATTCTCAAGGGTAGACTGCACAAAAAAGAGGTTTAATGCCCACCTTGACACGCGTGATCTTATCTAATCTAATCTCGATCTTGGCCACGCTGATTTGCGAATTCGGCAAAGCTGAGCAACAAGAAGCAGCACAGTCCCTAGCAATCTTAGAAACGACTTCATCCTCTCTCTTGCAGTAGCCTACCTCTTATTTGTCGACACTCCGGAAATCACTTCCTCCCTGTTTCGGTCCTTGTCAAGTACTTTACCAACAGCGCTGCCAGCTTTGTGACACTTGCTTGACCTTTGGCCAGTAGAGTCTTCGTCTTCAGTAATCTTCAGCGTCTCTTCGCCTATAATAAGCTAAATGATAACCGGCACCTCCACCACCCACAGCAGTCCTTGGCCTAAGCTTGGTATGCTCTATTATTCTTAGTTTTCACCGCGAGGTGTCAGGAAGTTTGAAATTAGGTTTATCGGCAAAGCAACCGTTTTTATCTTCCTTACATAGTAGCCTCTCAAATATTCCTTGTATTTCCCTCTTGCCCGTTCTGTCGGGTTGTGGTCTCCATTGATTCGTTCAAATATTTTGCATCTCAGATCTCTTAGCAGGGAGAGCGTAGTGTGGGTGGATCGCTCTATCGAGTATTCTGAGTAATTGTGGCGAGACTGGAATGCTCGAGTTCCTGCTCGCCGCCAGAAATATCGTTTTCGGAACATCTGATTGCAGTAAGCCTCGACCTTTCTCGATAATATAGGCGTCTACACCAACCTGGAGAAGAATGGATTTGGGCTCCGGAGGTCTCGGTGAACTGACAGCGGTCTTTATTCCTCTCTAATGCCGCCGAATAAGCACTACTTTGCGCTTAGCATTATTTTCTTCTTATCGTTGTTACCTCTTCATTTATGTTTCTCAAATCTTCGACCATTTCGGCTTTCATCCTATGCCATCTTACTCCGGTGTTATTTTCTCGCTTTCTTCTCAGATGGTCTCAAGGCCTTATCTCTTTACTTCTCTCCCCATGTTCTTTAACTTGAGTAATCTGCCCTTCGATCACCCTGTAATTCTTTCTTGCATATTGATGAAGATTTGGCGGCCCCTAGGCCTCGGTGGTATATAGATGCTACGGGCGAGCTCCTCCAGTGAAATAGATAAAATGTGGAGTGTGGAGAAACTCGGTGGTATGGTCGCGGTGATAGCCGGCGGGGAAGTGTAGTTTAAGGTCCTGTGGGAAAGGTAAATGTAGTCTCTGTGCAGTGTTCGCTGAAAAGAAAGTTTAAAATGTAGATTTATATCCAAAGACATGTTGTCAGTAAACTACGGTGTTGTGAAGTGCGAGGATGAGTTTCTCTCCGGTTGTCTTCAGGGTTAGGGCTGTCTACTTGGCCGGGGTTGGTTCTTGGTGTGCTTTGACAACCAGAAAACGACCAACAAACACCTACAGCTCATAACATTTCCAAGAGGTTCTGCGCTCGCTTACTTCAACGAACTCTTGTAGGTAAAGCTCATGTTCAGTCAGGTTGCTGATGTGGAAATAAAAGGAACATCAGCGCACAAATAAAAAAGTACAAAAGGTAGCATTGATGGTCCAGCCATATCTACTACCCCCACCCCCGGGTTGAACCCTTAGCCTCCTGTAATCGAAGGGGGTCCAACCTCACGGTGTCCGTCCGGGGGCGAGTGCTAACCGTTAGGCCACACTCGCCATGTGTGATAGTGGACTGGGGCGGTATTTGAACGCCAAGGTTACTGTGAGTGCCAAGGATTTTCCTTGTAGGAGCTTTACCATTTCAAGAGCACACCGGTTGGTCTTCGAACCTAAGATGTGAAACCTCATGCAAAACACATCAGACGTTCAGCCTTTTGATTATCACGCATTTCTAGCGGATAAACTTAAATCTTCGACTCTTACTCTCTTTAGGACAACGTGTGGATACTTAGTTTATGAGCCTGATGACCTGCTCCACCATCAACACTGTCCGTCGCACACCCCCCTTCCACAGCGTACTGTCTCAGGTCAGAGTATATCGAAACAGCTCGTCGGCTCATCTCGGCCATCTCTAGAACACTCCTCTAAGCTGCTGTGAACTGTGCTGCTATAGTATATATTGCGCTCTCATCAGGTAGAGGTAATACTACGAGGGGGATTTATTCTCCGGTATTACCAGCATCATCAACATTACATACTCTAGCCTCTATAAGGGAGACTATTATTATTATTACTTAACTAAGGTATGCTGGGGGAGATAACGGTGGTGGAGAGTACGGTGTGAAGGGATTGACGGTCACTAAGGCTCCTTCTGTATGATCCATGAGAGGCCAATACTCGGGAAAATCTTGTTTTAGTTTGGTGAAATGGGCTGTTTCAACCTTTGTCTATCGCAAAAAGAGGTGAGACGTCGTATTTCAGAAGCAGCGACTCACAGCTTTTCATTCATGTCGTCGGGAAGGTTAAGCTGGATAGTTTCCCCTCGGCACACGAGGAGCTAGATGTCGGACAGCGGTGGTCCAGTCTGGCCTTAGAAGAGAGATTCAGTGTGGGTGATAGTTTACCAAATAAGCGGTATGAAAAAGAGAGTGTTGTCTGCAACCCCAATAATGGCATCGCTGAGGCTTCTCAAGATTCAGTCTCTAGTGAATCTGTCCTTTAACCCCCGTTGACCTACATCGATACCTCATGCCGGAGGTGCCGCCGATGTTGAACCAAATTATTCTCCTTCCGAGCAAGATGAGGGTGGGCTCAGTCACTCAAATACCCACCGCTAATGGGAAACAAGCCTTTAGGTGAAGCATAGGAACACCTAAGACCTTCTAGCTTTTCTTGATCGGGAACAGACTATGCCGCTGTCCCTTGCAGGCATCGAATGAGAGTTCTTCATCTAGAACTTCGAAGGCTTAGCTACACCAAGTTACAAAGGTTTTAGTTTCTAGTGCGCACCACTAGAAATCACGTTGATAGCCCTATCTGATGGAGTTATGTATTAACCTGCAGATGTGGCGCGCGACAACCGCAGTCTTAACAAAAGCACATCGGATGACCCCGGCGAAAGCGATGAAGCTCTCAATAACAGTGCTCTCCGCGCTGTAACACCGATGCCTGGAGACTATTAAAACTAGATATATGTCCTTCTCCCCAGTTCCCAGCTGGTCGGGGTGTATTGATTTACTTGGACCCCCGACGGTATAACTTCCCTGACCCCCGGTGGAAAGAATATTCTTTCTAAGGCCAGCTTTCTGAGGCCAGCACCGATAAATACCACGCACAATGATACCCATGTCCACATCTATGAACTCTCAACGGGTGAGCTCCCTAGTGTTACGTGTTTCGTAAAAGGTGAAGTGCCAAAGCTCCGGATAATCGAGTGATATTACATAATTTACAATCCGGGAAATGCTTTGTAATTGCTAGAGCAGCTAGGTATAGCGGAGTATAGACCGCATAGAAAGCCGGAGAAATTTACGGGCTCGATAGAGAAGGAATAGTGTAGGTATTAAGAGAAATGTATCTTTTCCGTTTTACCGCTTTCGTCATCCATAACATCGACCCACTGATAGACACGCTCCGGGCATCAATAAAACAGGCGTCCGCGGCGCTCTATATATTGCGAGTTGCCAAAATTAACCGGACGCTCTACTACAACCACCCAAACCAAATAGGCCAGAACAACTAACCTTTTAAATGCCTGCGACTGAGCCATATTAAAACCTGAGGTAATGCAAGCATAGAGAATTACAGACATAACATCTCTTGACTTTTCCAGCTGTGGTTGTGTTGCAAGGCGATGTTGAAGTTGCATTCCCATACTAAATTTGGTTGTAACGCAGTGTCCGGTTAATTTTGGCAACTCGCAATACATAGATCAATATGAACACAACAACATCAAAATCTCCAGAATTGTATTCTTTCAGTCGTTCATTCGGCTTTGCACTCTTGACCTTGAAAGATATTCCTCCATCACCGGTCACAACGATGTTCTAGTCCAACACCCACAAATGCACGCTAATAAGAGCAGAAATATCGGAGGTGTTCGACTTGAGAGCCGCGAGAAATGAAATTCGCTGTTCTCCTTAAGAGTATTGAAATGTTGGGAAAAGTGTAATGCTGATGCTCAGGGACATCGAGTGATATCCCATGATTATTGTGTCATAAAACCTTTGCTCCAACCAATGGATTAGTCCGCTTCAGTCTAGGTTATAGAGGCTGTGGCAAATAATAAAACTTAAACGCAGTGAATCAACCTAACTTGCCACATAATAATACAGTACCGTTTAATAAAACACCCCTTCCAATCACACACCCCTTCCAATCACACACCCCTTCCAATCACACACCCGAATATCACATTCCTTTACTATGTGCCGAACAGGGAAACATTTTCTTTTCTTAGAACCTTGATTGTTCAGCCATTGCGACGTTCCTCTATAATTGTTGATGTGTTCCAGTGCAATGATGAATAATGATATAATTGAATTCTCCTCCAGGCGCTGTGATATCTTTCGTCAGGGCTACAGACATTCATTAGTGGTTTCACGGATGACGGGATCGCGTATGAAATGATCTTCCAGAACATATGGCCTCTCCTGATAGAAAACGTTGATACGGAAAACGGAAACATGCTTTATTATTGGATTCAATTCTTCAGTCATAATATATGTGAGGTTGATGCCACCGGCAATAAAATCAAGCTCACAGGTAGTCTCGTACCCAGCCCGTTACTTGCAGCAAGCTGCCACAGTACAGTCTGGTGCTATATCTTCCCGACAAATGTCGGCCGACACTCTTGTCGGCCTCTGAAATGTGATATCGGGCTCAGAATTGTGATGTAGGGGCCCGACTTGTGTTATAAAGGCCGACAATGTGATATAAAGGCCGACAATGTGATATGAGAGCCGACAATATGATATAGAAGGCCGACAATATGACATGGAAGGTCGACTTGTGATATAAAAGCCCGAAATGTGATATCGGGGTCAGAATAAACCTTAATTTTGATGTTGGAAGCTAAAAAGGTTTATTTTTTGTATGTAAATGAGTCCGACAGCCACCCCGACAGCCGGCACCCCATACAAAAAGAATTCACCCAAGTCGGGGAGATATAGCACCAGCCCATCCTGTGCAAGCATGGAAGTAGACGGGTTGGGGACGAGCCTAGCTCACAGGCTGTCGCCAAGCAACCAACCCCGCAGAAAATGCAAAAAGACAAAAGAGTTCGGTACCCAGGATTCCCACATGGTCACCCACTGCAGTACTAACTAGGCGATATGATGCTTGGGTATGGCAGAGCGGACGGGATGCCCCATTTTCATCATTCTATGACCGAACACGACAGAAAGCATAATCATAGCAATTTATCCACGTTTGTCGTGCAAGCTCATTGTATGGACAGCGATCGGCGAAGCCCTCCCCCTAAAGGATTCGGGTATTTCCTACTCCTAAGAGCCCTTCGCCCGAATGGTCTCGAGAGTCCTAAGAGAAAAACTTCGGGCACTGTGATTGAACATATCTCACTTGAGCGCTACAGTTGGAAATATTTTCATGTTGTGTAGGGTTAGAGTTACATGCATGGTGGGGTTGTCACCACATTCACAACGGTGCAGCAACACTTGATCAACCGACAAAATTTGTACAGACTTACCAGCACTATGCGCGCAGAGATACGCGCCTTGAGAAAGAAAACAGCTCCAACACCTCCGCTCTAAACTACAGCCCCTGTGTGTGTGCTTCTAAAAACCGAAGCTACGAGGTGTCACCAGAGCCAGAGCTACAAGGGATGCTGTGGCTGCTGCCGGCGCGGGTGTTTGTTCGGCGAGCCTGGGGATTTCTTGTTCAGTTGTGGGTGGTTGATAACTAACGGTGTGGTGTTCTTGTTAGTGCGAGACCTATCCGGAGGATCTTTTCAAGCGGGCTTTCATCGATATTAATGGGAGTTAATGGGACGGAAGACGCCTACCATATTTGGGGCCGGGGGTGATGGGGCCACTTCTTGGAGCTGGGGACGGCGTGCGCTCTATCAAGAACCAATCGGCAATGCGATTGCTCGTACCATGATGAGGCAGCTGCACCTGAGGAGCTGGGCAAGTTTTTTTTTCTGGGCCAGGGTGATCTTGGGGAGGTGGTGGATTGCTGCCCCATTTGCGGATGCTATGTACCATCCACCACGAATATTGTTATATCGTACTAATGCAAGAGATGTAGAGCAGTGAGATGTTTCAGACATCCTCGCTTTAGAACTAGGTAATTAAAATAGAGATAAACTCGACGGATGCTGGGTCTGAGAGTTCTCTCGACCGCCTTACCCCAAAGTATCTCGAAGGTAAGAATGGACAACTACGACATCACAAGCCACGATCGCAATTGTGCAGGGCGACTGGCCTGGATGAGTGCTCAGATTTCATATTGGTGTCCAAACTACAAATGATTCTCGGAGTACTGGCTCACATGATTCTCGGAGTACTGGCTCACAAGCCCCAATGATGTATCTGTTCCATTACGCTCGAAAATGTCTGCCAAGTAGAATGCCCATCCAACAGTGGTGGGGAATAGCCGAAGTGTCCATTAGATGGGATACCCACTTGATGTACGTCCGGTGAATAGATAATTAATATCTCCGAATTAGACGAAACAAAAACGCCATCACCGATCTTCCTTACTCGACTGAACTATGGCATTCCCGCAAGACTGGGATGTACCCTTTCAGTGCAATTCATGAACCATATATCTACATGTTCTACTATCCACTTGCGCTATGTATCACCGGTTATACTATGTAAAGGCTGGGTGGTTGTGTTACCTAAAATCAAGGTTTTTACATCTCCCGTTCTCAGATCTCTCCGCCGTCACGTTCTCAACATCCACCCTTTTGTCCTTTTCGGGCTGAGGCATCCTACATATCATCGACTTCAATCTACAGCTATATCATAATAATCGGAACCACTAGAATTGCAAATACCATCATTCCTCCTTCTCATCTCAGCACAATCTCCTCCCTTCACAACATCCGCTCCCTCGTCTCCGTACAACTTCCAGTTTCTTAACCTCCCCTAAATATCACCTGGCTAGGAGTTCCAATAAGCTGCTCAAGATGTTGATATATATTGTTCTAATCCTTCTCATAATCTACTACTATTACAAACTCTGCGATCCCCCCGTTCCTGGGTGTCAATGCCTCTGTGCTCTTTTCGAGTAAAGCTCAATGTTCTGAGTTGCGTGGCACTTCCGGAGGTAAGAATTCACTGCTTGAAGGTGGTTGTTACTGCCCGTGGAAAAAAGCAATGCTAATGACAGGAGTAGGTATCCTATATTTGCGTGGTCAATTTTATCGACCCCAGGAGCTCGGGCGTTTGGGGGGGGGGGGGGGGGGGGCTGAAACGCATACTCTCCAGTAGTTCCTGAACTGTCGATCATACGCTTAAGGTGGTCAAGATGTACGTAAGTTCTCGGATGAGTGTATCCTGGTTATCAAGAAAGATATAGGCTAGATCTACGGCTGACATCGTTCCTGTTCTCGCTGTAGATCGAAAATAGTAGGGGCTCATATAAAAGAAATCGGTAGAAAATAAAGAATGATTCAAAATAGAGAGTAGAATGTGCAGAAATAGAACGGGCGAAGGATCATATCAGTCTTAGTCTAAGTCAACTGCCGTCGTTGATGAAGCATACGACGGGACATGAACAAGTGGAAGGAAAATTGTAGCAGCGTTTTAAATGCATATATGATTAGAGGCTGTGCTATGATTCTCAACTGCTCTCACGACCTCACGGCATTATGATTTTCCAAGAAAGCGAAGCAAGAGCTAAACCTAGGAAAAAGGCTTAGGCATGAACTCCGAGTTTGTTCTAGTCGTCTTGTATTTCGTTGCTGAGTTTTGAGAAGCTCCCGCGGAGATTCGTACCACTTCTCGTTCCCTCGGCCAAACCACCAGAAACTCCGGTGTACAGACATACGGCTGGGTTTGCATTCATCTCCCCTCGGTCCTGAATTTCGTTTTTTAGCTATAGACGCCGTCGTTAAGTCTTCTATGAACTATTGGCCAGAAAGGAGAACTCATATCAATGGGGAAGTGATCACCTTCGCTATCTGAGCTCGATCGATCTCCCTGTGTTGGAGGTTCAATTTTTTCTCGGTGATAAGATCTTAAGAGCTACTTTAACGCCCGAATGGGTGTTTTTTTAAGCCTTATTTTAGGCTTATATAAGCATGATATTTGCCTGTTTTGACGATTTTCTCTTATTCTTTATAAGGTCCTTATTAGACTATGGTTTTGATAATCTTAAAATATTTTAAGCTTCACTGGCTTGATCAGTCTTACTTAAGGTATTTGTGAAAATAAGGCTGAATAATGTTTATTCGTGAGATCAGCATGATAGCCTGGTAGGTATGCTTTTACACTTATTCGCCATAGTGAATTTCAGAAATGAAGTTTTTATTAATACTGAATTTAATATGTACATTGATTTAAGACAATCTATTTAACCCGCCTACCTGCCTACCTGCCTATCGACCTATTTTGCTCAATTGGGTGGATTTGGTGCTCGATTTGGTGCTGTATTTGGTGCTGTATTTGGTGCTCGATTCGCTGCTGCTGCTGCTGCTGCTGCTGCTAGGTTCGCTGCTGCTGGATTCGCTGATTAGCTCATGTTTTGATATTAATTTTGATGATTGGGAGATGGGGGGGGGGAGATGGTTAGGAGAGTAGAGGGGACGGAGGTGATAGAGAGGTAGAGGGGAGGGTATTAAAGAACAGATGGAAGAACACGGTTTAATATTTGCTAAGTGCCTAACCCTAATCCAGCCTTAGCACCCGTAAATGCCTATAATTCTGACGGATTTTACTAATTCTTATTTATTCGATAAATCTAATACCAGAAGAGGTCTTTGAAGAGCTTGATTTAGAGATAATGCTGAGCAAAATGTCATACTTTCGCCCAAAACAGGCTTTTTTGAGACATATACCTTATTTAAGGCTTTTCTACGTCTTAGAGCTCAAAATAAGGCTTATCTTTTTACCCATTCGGGCGGTAATGTATAATCATGTTGAATTTGAGATATCATGACATATTGCTAGCTTGAATAATCTAAAGCCCTTCCTGAAGGGCGGTGTACACGTTGAGCTATTCTTGGGGAACTCTCCTAGTACATTCCCTTCTGTATATAATTTTCACCGCAGGAACGAAGTGGGGCGGGTGGTGGTGCTGCTTTGCCAAGGCCTCCGAACCACTAGCCCACCAAACGCGGTTAGCCACCTTGTACAACCTTGGCGCATCAAATATTACCCCAGGCCACTAACACACATCGGCGAGTGTGGTCTAATGGCTAACACTCGCCCTCCGGAACACCGAGTGGTTGTGCCCGGACCTTTGAACGTCTATAGAAGGTCCGCGGTTCAATCCAGGGGTGGGGGTAGTAGATATGGGTCCGGCCATATCTGCAGTACCTTTTGTTCTTTTGTTCTGTGAGAGCAGAGTGAGATTAAATCTACGATGAAAATATTTTTTCTTTTAATGCGGGGCTGATTCGGGCCACCTGTCGGGATGAAGGGGGAGATCTATTTCTATTTATGGCACAAGTGAATATAGTAGACGACAACGAGACACATATCTAATCACCGCCGGGAATCTAATTTGTACTGCCCTTAATTCTGCGAACCTACTCGCCCTCTGGTTGGCCAAGAGCGGAACCTAACCCTGACCTCTGCGTGGCAACGGGCTCACCCAAAATGCCACCCCCAAATGCCACGGAATGTCAAATTCAACTGCGGCTTTATACTGGGGGGTATTGCGCACTATTATCAAAATAAAAAAAGACACCAAGCGGTACGTTTTGGGTGGTTATAGTATCTCTTCTTTCATACACAAAAGAAGAACAAAAAGTACTGTGCGGTTCCGGGACGAACTGGCACTACTCCCACCCCTGGGTCGAACCCTGGCCTTCTGTGATCGAAAGCAGGGCTAAACCTCGCGGTGTTCTTTGGCGAGGGTTAACCATTAGACCACTCGCCCATGTGTGTTGGTGGCTAAAGGTGGTATTTGTGCGCCAAGGATGGTTGGGTAGTAGAAAAGTACTTAGTATACACCGCCAATTACATGTAGTTGGCTGATTGTAGAGCTCGTAGTGAGTACGCTGCGTCAAGCCTTTTGAGCTCCAAGAACATGTGCCAACAAAGTATGCCCCATTTTCGCAAAAGCTAGGATTTCAGTGCACTCGGCACCCCCGAGAGGAGCTGAGGGTCTGCGGCCGAAAGAGCGGTAACGGTGAGATATGCTGGGAGGGAATTCGACTTGAGGTAAACGGGTACATCACGTCGCCTAAGGACTCGGTGGTGGATCTTTCAGTGAGGGTGAGAGGCGTTGTAAATCGGATGTGATGCGATTGCGAATTGTCTGTCTTCATGAAATGTGTGAAGAAAACGATGGTACGGTATTGTACTTTAAGTTACGAAAAGAAAAATTGTGAAGAATAAAAATGTTTTTTGTTTTTGGTAGTAAAAACTGTAGTAAGTAACCCCATATCCTGAACTTGCCCGATTCACCGCACATTTTGGGAAGACACCTGGTGGGAAAGCTGTCTTTACCATCCCCTCCAGCACATAGTTATTTCGGGCTCCGTAGCAGTGGCGTATGTGTTGGTGCATGCCCTCGAAAGGAAACAAGTACGACAGCGAGGCCGGGATTCGATTCCCGCTACGGAAAACCACCTTTTTTCTTTCTTTTACCTCCAGCTCTCGAAGAGTTGAATTAAAGAGTGAACCAGAACACGATTAATTTTTTTTTTCACGTTTCGTGCCTACAAGTATCTATTACATTTGTGGTAATCCGGTTCGCCCGTTTTAAACACCTGCCAACCTGCGTTGAAACACATTCTTAAACCCACCCAGCGCAAGGGAGGTTGATGGGGTTATCTTATCTTATCTTATCGTTATTTGGCGGGGCATGTGTCAATCTGCTCTGTCTCACCCCACCGCAACTACAGTGTCTGCAGAACTCTTTCATTTTTCTATTTTTCTATACCCACATCTTTTTCTCATCGCATGTTGCCGAAGTCTCTACGCTGATAACGACGTGATAAGGTACTACTAGTGCTTACCATCTGGGAGATGACTATGCACTTGCTCCGAGTCTGATCTCGACTTTCTTCCTGGGGCGGGACATCATGGTTTCACACACTTTCTCTCCTTGTAATGCGTTTCTTTGCGGCAAGGAAGGAACAACTCCGGCATATTTCCCGGCGGTCACGTATCGCTGTGCGGCGCGCTTTCTGGGGAAACGGCCATCCTAATAGCGACTTCAGTTCTCGGTCGGGAGCCAGGTTAGTATTCGGCGCCAAGAAACGTGGAATGCGACTAATTTGATAAAGTACAAAAACGTTGTCAACAGGAGTTTATCCATCCTACGCACCTGCGAATGTTGGAATGCAAAGATATTTGAGAACGAATAGTGAGAGCGGGCTGGAGGCCAGCACAGCATACAGTTCTCACATCATGCTTCATCGGTAGAGCTCACGAGACACCTTATTTTATCACACCATATCGTGAACACCGACGCCCAAGTCACCCTAAGAAGCATTAACACGCCAATCGACAAGGCTAGCGATCCTCCTACTGAGGGAGCTATCCTATGTGTCTTTTTATTCTTACCTGAATCTTCTCTAGAGATCTCATCTTGTGGACAGACAATGGGCGTCCATTATACCGCCGTGTCGCCCAAAGTCGAAATTACCGATGCTCTCCCCCCATAGTTAGCTGGGAGAGACTTCAATATCTGACAACTAGGCCCGGGGATTATGCTCAGGAAAGTCTTCCTGTTCCGCGTATTTTGTGTGATAGGTTGTGTAATCTCACCAGCTGAGAAAACGATTCTTCTATACCTCCAACGGGAGTGCGGTAAATACTACATGTATCCATTCTCTGCTGCAAGAATCAGCATGTACGGTTATCTCACCATTCTAGGGACATGAATAAATTTAGGAAGGATGGATATATCGCTTTAAAGTATAGCAAGCTTTGCATTGTCCCCATATTGACGAGATCCATCTCAGGGTTCGCGTCATACAGTATCACTCGTGTCATAATCGATCACTCGAATTGTACAATTGTGTGATAAAACGAGATTCTTTGAGCGATGATATATCCTATGTCTCTCGCAATTGTTCTTGAATTCTAGGCACGGCTAACCTTTAGTACCGTAGTCTCCTGACCTCTGGGGACGAGCTGTGGCTCGGGCGGGGTCATCCCCGAAGTTCATCTCCGCATAGAATGTTGTTTCTACGACGGACCGTGGTCCTTCCCCTTCGAGGTGGGTAGAACAGGATGCACCTGCTATGAAGGAGGTGAGTATTCACACCAGGCGTTTTCCGATGCTAGGGACGATTTTCATATTGGAAAGAACAGCGCTTTGAAGATTTTGATGTTGAAAGAATTTATTACTCAGCATCCAGCAAATACCTTACAGTCCTTGCAAGTCTACCGGCTTTCCTTACGGTTTACTGTACTTTGTAGTTGCGGAGCGTGGTCGCGGCTCACATTTCTTCCGTACCTACGTGGTTAAACTCAAAGATGCCAAGACATCACGACCACTTGTTAGGATGAATAAGCACGTGTCAGTATACTATTGCTCAATTTCTTGAAGCGATATATGGTTAAAGGAGTGGTCGTTGCGGGGAGTAAGTCTCACTTCTTGGATCACTGACTAGGTTTGGGTGTCATATGAATAGAAACTCACGCATCATGCTGTCTCGGTTATCAAATAATCTGTGTGGTAGGATGAGATTACGCGAATGAATAGGGCCCGCCCATTGGTTGGGGTGGCTGTTGCTGGGTAAATCGGGTTTGGGCTCTTTGGCCCTTCTTTATCCTAAAGTATGGCGGTATACCAATATGAAGAAAGATGAATGACTCGCCGTACGACTAACTTGAAATAAGTTACATTCAATGGAACAATCTCCTTCCCTACCAGGAGCCAGGCGTTAGTATTTCAAGAGAGCCTCCCACCCTCAGCTTCCACTCTTTAAAATCTCAACCTTGAATACGTGAGATATAAATACAGGACTACAGAACTACAGATACCTCATAACATCACTCAACAGACTAGCACCTAAACCAACAGACTCAATAACCTGCTATTCTACCAACCCAGTTTCAATACTCGATCACTCCCAACAATTCACGAAACCATGCCTTCCCTAGACTCATCCACCATGGAAACAATCAATCGAGCCAGTTTGGACCTTCTCTGCATCCAGAAGCATCACCTAGAGTTCATCATGAGAAATCTCACGAAGAACCACCAGAGCAGATATCGAGACTTCCTCCCCAATCGCCGGGCCTATATGAACGCACTTGCCACTGCACCTGAGAAGAGAGCACTACCCCAGGAGGCGTGTTTGAATAGATGGGAAAAGGCTTACAAGGAAGAAGGTCTCTTCCATAAGATGATACAGGATGTTGAGAAAGCTCTTAAAACTGCGAAAGGTCGCATAGCAAGCATGACACCAAATCCTGAGCCAAGCGGAGGATCACGGAGGGTTCTACATACTACTCCTTGGGCAGTTTCCTGTTCCAGCTCGGCGGGTCTTGAACCTACCTTGGGGAATATCCGTTTTCTCATGAACACTTGCCTTTTGATGACCAAGGCCTGTGACGGCAAGGAGTCAGATATGGATGTACAGAGGAAGTACATCTCGGCGATAATGACCACTGGTGCTAATAAACGAAATCAAACCATCACGGATTGCGTGGTGGGCGCTACGAAGTGCCTGTCCTACCTCTACAAGTTGGAAGTGAGAGGGCGTGAGGCGGAGAGAGGGATCAGTTTCCTTGACCCGGAGTTTGGAAAGGAAGATACGAAGAGAGGCACTATTACGCACGCCATGGAACGTCGTAGGAAAAGAATGAGAGCCATCGAGGAGAAGTGGTTGAAGAATGGATCAGGCTTTTAGTTATGGACAGTATTACGAATTTGGGGGGTTTGAGGGAGGGATGAAAGATATCTTAAAGACACTGGCATAGAATGGTTTGAGATTAGCAGTGTAGAACATCAAACTTTAGATGAGGTCCCAGCAGTTAGCGAGCGTTAAAAGAATACAAAGAACATCAAAATAAGCCAGACTACATTTTTCAGGTAAACATCCTTCGAATATCAATAAATAGCCTAGCTTGATGCCCATATCTGGAATTATCTTTTACTCGTGACCCAAATTTCCCAAGAAGCCTGGCGACAATGAATTTAATTCTAATTCCCCTAGTCTGATACGATCGACCCAGAGCCCCACTGAACTTCATACCATCACTATCAGGACCCAACCAATGTTCTGACGTATTAAGGTATGTCGGAGGCGCTAGGAGTAGACCACGTGGTGGTTCAATATGGATCTCTGAGTGCTCTTCGAGCCGACTTGATAGAGAGAGCTCAGTGATGTTCGAAATTGATTAAATGATACAGGCCACTTCGCTCAGCTTTGCTTCTTCGCTTTGTTTTGATTTATACCTTTGATTTCTGGAAAGGGTCATATCGAGTGATACGGTATGACTGAGATCTCTCGCAACATGAAATAGGAAAACATGAAACTTGAAAAGGCAACCATAACGAGGTGACCTGCTGATATATGCCCCGCGCGGTAGTCTTGAATTTAGAATCGAAATTATCAATTTTAATCCCCATGGGGTATGCTATATAAACTAACCCAGAGCCCTGAGATCAGAATCATCACAGTCAGCACAGTAATTATTTCCACCCCTTCGCAATAACTCAAGCATAACTTACAGGACTAAACAGATACCAATATCCATCTACAAGAACACAATGGCGCCATCCCCACTACTTACCCAATCGTCCATTATATTCCTCTTCCACACCCAAATCATGATGCTCAGGTCTCTACAAAAAGATGTACTTGCACGTTTACGCGTACTCGACAAGAACATTCGTGCCGTTGACCGTCTGAATTCTGATGCAGCGTCTGGTCGTGTCAAATCGATCAAGACGGGCGGCGCCGAATTTATTTTGCAGCTGGCGGAGATGAATCAAGAAAGGAGTGAGCTGGCGAAGAGGGAGGATGGTTATAAGAAGGCGATTGCCGCAGGGGAGGAGACGGTGGCGAGGTTGGTAAGGACTAGTGGGTCTGATACCGAAATGGGGGAATAGCTTCGATAGGGGGTCGATTAGTAGACGTGGGGGGAAGTTAGAGGTAATGTTGGTGATTTAAATGCATGGATCCAAGAAACGTATGCATGCATGGTTGATTAGAAACAAGATAGAATAACGAGAATAAAACCATTTTTAGAAGAAATGCAATTACCAACCGAGATAACAATATCTACGTGTATCTCCCTACTTGATATGTGCCAACGCCACACCCCTGAACTATGTTCGCTGATCCGAAGACAATTGATCAGAAATCGACGGTTGAGTCCAGTTATGTGAGAGTTGACATCCAGGATTGGCAGAGAATATTGATACCGAACACCGTCCCTATAGCCCAGAGCTAAAGATGAGAGGCACAAAATTAAAGTATCGATTGTACCATGAGGCCACAATGGCTTCTGGAATTTCAAAGTCCCAAAGCTGCACAGTGAGCGTCGTGGGCATGTTTGCCAAGCCAAGAAGGCTAGAAGAAATCAAATCGTTAACCCTAACCCTGAAGATATTTTTATTGATTTTGAGGTTTAACACCTATGAGATGGTTAGGTGACGGAAAAAGATGTCCTTTCTAATTATCCAGCTAGTAGGCGTGTTCGGAACGAAGAGTGCCCATATTAAACTACCCATCCCTATACCCACCGGAACCGGTTCGCATTCATCCCGAGAAACTCTGTTGATAACAGTAGAAACTAATTATAACCTATATGGAATCCCGACAAATGGAGCTATATACTGAGTAAAAAATTGCAATAGAGAACACTTTGAGATGCCCAGTAATCTCCAATTCTAACCTATGCCAGGCTGCGATGAAATCCTAAGTGTTCCGGGAGGGTTGACCTCTGCCACGTATAATGAAAGTAACCCTCAATTTCCATTTCTCATTGAATGTTGATTTTCCAAATGACGGAGAATCTGAAACACTGTAACTCGTCATTTATAGGTCCTGAGGTGGTCAAGCCTATGGATCACGCCACAAAGGTCGAATCCATAGTAAGCCATGGTAGCCTTCAGAACAGATATTGAAAGTCAAAGGAAGTGAGATATAATGCAAATCGCAACATAACATTTCATTGACAATTGTAATAGAGAAAAAAGAAAAATGAAGTTGTATTGTTCGAAGAGTAAAAATACCAGCCACTATAACCCTATACACAATCGTATAGACCCTTGTCTTGGACGGACTCCTTGGGCTTACAATGTTTCTGGCTTCCAGAAACAACCACCCTCCACAAGAAACGCACCCCCACACTCAAAACACTCACAGGTCATTGCCGCAGACCTAAATCTTGCGCTGAGCAGCATTTTCCTCACTCTGGCAGCCTCCACTGTGACCGGCAGTCCAGATCCCGCAATAACGGCGGTCCGGCAGTGTTCTTCGTCGGCGTTGAAGAGCTCAAGGAGACTACGAGCTGTTGCGGTAATTTTGGGATTCGGCGGCTGCCATTGATTGAATGACTGGAGTGTCTCGGACACAGGATGTCTTCTATGGTGGATCAACGGAAAGGCAGACGCTGGCGTTGTCGACGTCTCACTATCGGAGATGACCTGGACTCCATCTCTGGTCCGGACGGCAGTGTGGGGAGTAAAACTGAGGGCGTCGGCAGGGGTGGGAGCGGCAGGGGTGGGAGCGGCAGGGGTGGGAGCGGCAAGGCCAAGGATATAGGGGGAGATGTACTTTGGAGTTTTGAAGTCTGTAGGAGTGTCGATATTCATTGGGCTGGCGGAAGCTTCGACGATACTGTAGGGTTCGCCCTTGTCTTCTTTCGGCCAGGGAGGAAGCAGATTCGTAGCCCTAGCGTATTTCAGCCTATCTTTGTACGTACTGAAACGATTATTAGTGACATAGGTCTACATTTAAATAGGGGTCAGCGTCTTACACTCGCGTCATTGTTTGCGGATGTTGGAAGTTCGTGGTCGTTGTTGAGATTTGTACTTGTAAGAGGTTGGGTTGTTTGTAGGTAGCAGATGTTTGAAAGGAGTTGAAAGGTCAGCTCTGCTCCTGAGCTGTGAGTGTAGGTTTCCAACGAATCTCGTTTGCGTTAAAATTTTGTGTTAAAATTTGGTCGAACATAAGTACTAATAACTTTTAGATCTCTGCTTTGACAAGTAGATTTTAAAGTGCTGATACTAAGTATTTTATAAGCGCGGTCGCGGCCTGTATGCAGGGATAATTAATATCGAAAGAATACATACATGTATTAATGTTTATATATTGAAGCGTAGGAGATTGGTAACGAATGGTTAGCTATCCTTCTCTCTCCTTTACTTTGTTGCTCCAACTGCCTTCTAATACTGTCAAAAGCTTTGTGTCACTGCTACCCATTTCTACGTATAAAAGATGTTACTATAAAACCTATATTCGCGAGTAATAAAAACTGTTTTGGAACCTGCTTGGCTTGGAATAATAACTGTATAATGACACAGCTGAAGGCACAGCGAAAGATACTTCTTAGACATAATTCTGTTTGGGAGTGGCAATTGTGTAACGACACAGGTTAAGACACAGCTTCCAAAGCTACAAGTGTAGGGAATTTTGAAAATATCAATCTGAAATTCATTTGATTTCAGATTATAGAATGCAAACTCTAACCAACGTTTTATTACCATTTCATGTGGTAAACCACCTCATTGAAGTCCTCCCATGATCCTCAGCTCTCCTAGATCCCTCAACAAATCACTTCAAACGTTTTGAAAATCACACCTAATCCTAGATTCCTCCAGATCTGTACCTGTTGAACGACTCCTGTGCCGCTGTAAACGCAGCCCTTTCTTTATCCCAGGTCTTCTTGGACTGGTCCCACATAGCAGAACCCTTCTCAGTGCCCCAAAGAACCTTCATCAGGATCCTATCGATACGGTTGGGACAAAGAACGTAATGCTTCTCCTGGAGAGCACGTTCGACGTGGAGGAGGAGGTTCTCCTTCTTCTGGATAACAGCGTCGTAGTGTGACAAGAGAATGGCATGATTGTTCTTGTCAATGGCCTCGAGCTGTGGGAGGAGCTTCTCAACGTTGTACAATCTATTGACGATCTTCATCAACAAATCACGCTGGAACAGAAGCTCATCGGGGGCGAAGCTCGAAAGAGCTTGGATGGCAGACGTGATGGTGAGGAGATCGTCGTGTGCGTCCTGGAGTGTCTCGGCGGGGATAGGGTCTGCCATGGTAAAATGCATCATTGGAATGAGCGTTGCATAGGACCCAGTGGGTGGTGAGGGGTTGGGCCTGCGTTTATAGGCCTATCGAGAGAATGGGTCAGCCAAAGGTCTGTTTCATTCAGGTAATATCATCTCACAGCAAATCTGCTATTGAAATAAGCGTTGAAGGAGGTGATTGTGGCCATTGCAGGATGAGTCTGAATGACAGTACGGTAGATGGGAGGTGTATATGTGGGATATATAATTAAGGTGAGAAGTCTTGATGAATTGAGATGTGTCAGGCGGGATTGATCAAGTCAAAGGAAGAGGATGCAGACTGGGTAGGTTGGTAAAGAAGAGGGGCAGATGGAAGAAAGAACGGTGGAAGGTTAGATGATAGTAAGAAAGGTATGAGAAGAGCGGATGTAAGAAGGAGAGGTGGAAGTGAGTCCTGGAGCGAGAGAAGACTCAATGTGCCCACCCCCAATAGGAATCTGTTCTCAATGAGTATTACGTCGCGCACTAGGCATCTAGGCGTCTTGTCTCCTCTAGCCCCCGATATAAGGCTACATGTTATTAAGCCGGATTATCAGTTCATTTGGAAAGGGCAAGAATAAATTGCGTGTACTTAACGGCTGACAAAAAGTACGTGAACTACTCTGGCCTGGCAGCTCGGTGCTCGGCTTTCCTCCATCCGCTCTTTTCTCGCTGGATGGAACCTTTTTGTTTTAGTATTTGGACGACTCTTCTATCAGCACATGAAGTCTATTGTTACTCATTTTGTTTAATCAAGATGATATCGAATTGACCGGTAATGTATCTCTTCTTTGGTTACTCTTATCGTATTCTCTCATGTTATTACAGCTAACTATGGTACAAGGCCCATAATTGATTTACTCGTTTCCACCGCTCCCACCTTTCAACACCATCCTCCTATATTCCTCGAGACGCTCCTTAGCCTTGATTTTCTCCCGCCCCTTGCCTTTCGATTTCATTCCATCCTTTACCTTGTTCTTAAGTTTCCCTGGCTTGATCCCGCCCCCCATCTCGGCCGCGGCTTCCTCCCCCTCCTGGTGCACGATTTCAGTCATACTCTTACTCTCACTCCCCACCTTGACCTCCCCCTTCCTCTTCACCACCTTAATCATTCTCTTTGCCTCGCGTGCACAGATCCAAAGACAGTTGTGGGTCTTCCAAGCTTTCTCCATATGTTTTGCTCCAACCAACATAGCAAGAAGGTAGTAGTTAGCAAAAACCGGCGGAGCCACTTTAGCCTTCAGAGTGACGAGGTCTGCGATATGTTCCACACATTCTTCAAACGTGTCGGAAACTTCCAGGGCGCGGTCCTTCAGGCGCTGCAGAACAATGATATCCACTCGCTGTTCATACAGAGTGCGGAACGCGTTGATTTCATCCCACTCGAGGAGGTACCTGTAGTAATCTATGAAGATTTCATTTGTTGCGATATAGCGGTAGTTCGCCTCGATTTGTTCGAAGGGGAATTCGTCCTCTGCGGTAAGGTTCATGAACGATTGGACTTCGCGTTCGGCTTTGGTTATTTTCCCGGAGACTATGCGAAGGCTGTCTCCGTCCCAGTTGAAGTAGGGCCTGTCGATTTCTTCGGAGTAATGCTTGGCGGGGAGGGTGAGGTAGTAGCTTTTACTAGTTGTATGTGCTGTCTTCCATGATTTTGGAGGTTGAGCAGACATGCTGAGAGTGGAGTTAGTCAACTTGTTCTCGTTTATTTCAGTGGAGAGCACTAACCTGGCTTCCGTTGTGAGACGGTCTAGTATCGAGATTGCGATTTGCCACGCACGTTGAGGAAGGTGGTAGTGGTGAAAAAAAAGTGAAAATGACTGTTGAGAGGTTGACCTGTGGATAAAGGTAGCGGGAACGAAGAATTATACAAGAAGTCAGACCTTTGGTCGGTCTCGGAGTATTGCCAAGCTCAGCTGTTTGAGCAACATGCGCACTTATAAACACTTTCACAAACCGCCCGCATAACAAGAGAAACTCTCGGCCTTAAGCAAAACTATCCGTTATACGCTACATATATCCCATATTCCAGATTGTATAACATGTTTTCAGACAGAAATGTACTGATCTACGGTACCTACAATGAGTCTATATCTCTCTTTGAGCTTACGAAAACGTCGTTATAAACTTAAAACGCTCACACAGAGAACTCTACTTTGCCGCAATTAACGTTATTTTGGTGCAGTGTTTCGCTGAAAGGTTAAATGTACATACTATCCAAATTTCTCGTGCGTGCCATAGTTTTCTGGCACGCATGGAATATACAGTCTGGCAAATCCCTCCGCCAATTTCCCAGCGATAGATTCTCTTCGCAATGGCTTAGTAGACTGTTGTTAAATTCGATTTACCTAGTTTATTCAATCGTAATATCACAAATCGGAGGTGCATCACAGCCTATCACTCGATTTATGTCGTTGCGAAAATTCCGAACAGATGCAATCTAACGCAATATGACATCGAGCGTGGGGGTTATCTTCACTTATACCATATTTATATCCCGCTTCATGAACTGCACTTACATAATCTGCCTGTCGCTTAAAAAAGCTATTCCGCAGTACACCTAGTCCATGGTACATACGTGTCATGTAGATGGGTTCCCTCAACAGATAGGGCTAGGAATAACAGCTCTATATATTAAACTGGGTGTACGATTTCTAGTTTTTCGTATTTGCTTAAGTGATGAAATAACATTTACTTGTGCTTGGAATATACGTATCTGTGGGGTTTTTAGATAGCTAGCTCTGTAGTGTTGTCTTGACATGGGTCCGGGGCATCGAATCGGCAACACTGGTATAATGGGTTATCGAAAGAACGGTGGGTGTAGGGACCAGACATATATTTCCAAGAAGAAGGATTTGTGGAGCTGTAGGTGATAACCTGTGTTCATGTAGTTGTACTTACATTTTCTCGTGTTGCGAGAAAGGTGATGCGGGTAGCTGGTGCAGGCTTATGTAATCATGTTTGCCAATGTCAGGTAACTTGTGAAAAACGTCCCTTCGCTGTAACCACCATCTTTTATCTCAACAGTTTACAGTGCACAAATTACTTCGTCAAAAGCTCATATCACAGCAATCGCGAAACTAGGTCGAAAGGTAGAAGAAAGGTATAAATTGTTATAAAGTTGTTTAAATACAGTTATGCCTCTCCTTATGATTTCCTGTTCCGCCTTTCGAAATTTCCTCCTCCGCCCTTATCCCTCATCCGTTTCCATTTCCAGGACATCTGTTTGCTGACCATCCAAGTAGGCTTCGAGTTGTTGTATCTCCTTCTCGCACTAATCGCGTCTGCACGCCCTCCTGACACCGCGTCCCAGCGGACCGTGTTCCGCCTCCTCCTGCTCAGACCGATAGTAGTCCCATGTCAACCACGCAGTCTTCCAAAGAATCTCAAAGTCGCCAGGTTCACGAGCAAGAACCTTGATGATGCGTTTATGCGTATGTGTTGGGGGTCCAAGTTGATGTAAACCGTCCAGGAGCTCCGAGAGATGGTTGTCTGCCCGGTCTGTAAACGCACGGAGCCACTCGAAGGCCAGGTACATCTTGTGGAGAATGACGTCGTCTTGGAAATTCTCGGCTGTAGTAGGCTCGTTGTGGCATTCCCTGGCTTGTTCAAAGCGTTCCATCAGTGCAAACTCGTCCTGGACGAGCTCCATCCCGCTCTCGTAGGCCCAGACGATCCTCTTCCATGGCAATTTGTCGTGGATGGTTAGAGTGCGGAAGAACTGGAAATGCGGGCGGAGGCCAATGGAAACTTTGATGAGTTCTTCAGTTCTTTCATGTCGCCAGACTGCGTGCTCGGCCTTGGTCATTTTTTTGGCCATCGCTAGATTTTTGGGTGTGATCTTTTTCCCAGAGCAGGAAAGGTTGTTGATCAGATTGATGGGTATTGTTCAGAGAAGCTACACTAACTTACAGGCACAGGGCTATTTATACAGGCGAATGTTTCACATGTCATCCCCCGGAGGTGTGTTTTGGCCATGAAATTTGGTACTGCACATTGGGAGCAACTCCCACTCCGTTCTAGTACCAGAGAAGAAAGAATCGAGACGGGCTATGCTTTGAGATTATTATCGGTTGGATATATCTCTAGGAGAGTGCCCTTTCTCCCAGAGCGCTTCTGAATATCACGAAAAAAGGTTGTTGATCAATTGTGTTTACACCGCAAAATCAAATTTATAAAACTTCACTACTCCTCATACCAAATCCACCTGAAAGTCTCTACAATACAGTGGGGGCATTTCTCGTATAACTTCACCTTAGAGACTGCTTGAATATTAAAGGAACGACAGGAGGCCACCAAAAAAGAAACAAGGCAGGTTATACCTTTGAGGATATGGGATACCATGGCAGAAAATCTGCAATAACGCTGACACGGGCTTTCTGATCTTGACATAGGCATTGCCAAACCTTTTATCAATCATGGATATAGGTCCACAGGAGCTATCCATACATCTCGCTTGCTCTTAGCTAGTCCTGAGGCTCTTGTTCCATGAATTAATGTGAAGATCCGGAGGCGCGAGTCCATAAAGTGTTGGAAATGGCCCAAATTGAGCATACCCGACACTACCAGAGGTTTAACAAAAAAATGGCCATTGTCGGATCATGAAGCACATGTTCTAATTCTACGAACACATAAGACAGAAAGATGTATTGATATTTATATTCAGCTCATTACTGTCATCTTTTTAACAATTAAATGTCTTCTCCAGGAAGATTTTATATCTATGACACGCTTTCTAGATTCAAATGTTCCGATACCTCCATTTCCTCGCTTTCATTTCTTGCTTTGCTAAATTGTTTTTTGAGTCGGAGTATTGACTACACATTCTTATCACATCTATTTCCCCCGTTCTGATATATTGAGCTACACCTGCATAGCAGTTTAACGATACGGTGTCCTCCGCTCTAGCTATTTCTAGAGGCGAGCTTCCATCAATCAAATCACTACTACATCCCAAGCACCGGTATCTAATTACAGCCTAGTCCGGATGGAGGTTGTGTCCACCTGAATCCAATTCCACCCACAAGATGTTGGAAAGATTTGTTTTTGGATTCACGCAAATATCACAATGAGCTGATGGTGCATGAACGGAATCATATAACTTCAAATTACTCATTGAACCTATATACGTAGATAGGGTATATCTGCCCCTAACTACATAGCATCATCGCTAGAATCCCTGTGGAAGCGCAAAAACGTGATTGGAAGCCCGTTGTCATCTAAGAACTGTCCGCCTATAGCCTCCTACTACTGATTTCGATTTACGAGCTCCGGAGTGCGTGTGTTCGTTTCTGATATATGTATACATTGTCAGCTAGTAAACTTCGGCGATGCTCCAGATCGATCAGGTGTGTGACAAGTAGAGAACTATCTACTTCTGAAATACATTGAATTCCCTAGGCGTACATGGAGAGCGTTTTAATTTGACAGATAGAGCTTATGTATTTCTGTTTTTCTTTTTTGACTCAAATTGATTGAGAAATCGATATTCGTACCTATATCACCCAATGGACTAATATATCACTCCATATAAAACCGGCAATGTAGTTTCTCCTAACAGCAGCCAAGCTACGGGGAGAACTACACCCTCTCGTCCGAGGCGAAGTGCATCTTTAACAATCAGATCCTACCTTTTCCACAAAACTAGCGGCCTAGAAACTTGAGAGTCCTTCATGCACGTACAGTGCATTTGTACTTACCGATAGCTGAATTTCAATTATCGTCGGGGGTGTCGACCCTCGTTGTCGCCAATAGCCCTTAATATTTGGCGAGATTGAAAAACTAATCTCTTGAACTAAAGTTTTTCACTGCCATGAAGATGACCTTAGGTATTGGTACCGTTTCTGTGGGGCTGACGTTGCGACAAGGTGCAGAAAGCTATGGGCTAGGGTTAGTGCGGCTCAACAAGCGACCAACGACTTTCCAGGACCTTTTACCAACCGTGGTATTATCGTCACAGATATACACGGTATATATCCATCATGACTATTCACACTTCTGCATGAGTCTCCTTTCAAGCAGCTTCGACGCGCGGACCGCACACAGCTGCTCATTCTTCTCGGATTTGGTTACTATATATGAGTCTGGAAATATGTATCCCTCGCGCGGGTTTGCGCCAACCACCAACAGAGAAGAGAAGCACAACCGTGAAAGCCATGAAAGGGTGCAAAGCAGACGAATATTTCGATCCGGCTAGACAGAAAACGCTTTCTTCACACTCTCGGCGCCCAGTCCAGCAATTATCGACATTTCGGAAAGACGAGTGATACCTCATGAAGTACAAAACGCAGGAATATAGTGCTCGAACTCTAGTTCACGGATGGCAAGCATCTTTCAACCTTCCAGGGCGACTACACACACACATTGGATAATCTATATGATTTCAAGTGTCTAATTGCTATCATATATTCGTCTGACCTATGGACTTGAAAGCTTATGTTAACAACTTTTCTGCGTTCATGCGCTGGCACAGTGTTCATGTTTTCTTCTTCAACCTTTTGAAATGAAGACCTCATATATATGGATAACCTGAATACACTAAATAATCCTCATCATTCACTGAGCATTATCACACCAACCGAAAAAACCAATCAACCAAACAATCAATTGATCAGTCCGATAATACAGCAACAGAACCACTCACCCTCAAACCGATTCCAACAATTCAGTCAAATTAACATGTCGGATATAGTCTACCCCCAGTTCGGCCGCCAAGTCTGGAGCGACGGCATTTACACCCTCCTTCTGCACCTCCGCGGCACCGCCACCACCGCCGCCGAAGGCCCCTTCGACGACCCTACCTACTACGCCTACTTCGACCTCCTAATGGAGCGCCTCTCATTGCAACGCTACGGCCCTCTTCCCGCTGTTGAAGACTCTTTCTACATGCCTGAGACCCCGGAAGAAACCGCTGCGCGGGAGAAAGAGGAGTCCGACCGCCATAGACATCTTAGTGAGGTCCTGCATGCAATTGAGTACTTCCATAAGAATCAGCCTCACCCATTTGATTTAGAGAGATGTCAGATGGCGCTGCTGAGACCGTGGCCAAGCGCGGAGTCGTCGACGTCAGTGAAGGATGTGAGGTGGAGGTTGGAGGTCATGTCGTGGTATGAGGACTGGCCGGTGATGTCGACATCGCCGAAGGTGGGTGGTGTTGTGGTGAACAATGTTACTACGGTGCTGTTGAGGGAGCTGGCGAACGCAGAGATGGCGAACCCAAGGAGAAGAGACCGAATTAAGCATTTGCTGAGGGTGGGAAAGGCAAGTTATAAAGACTACAGAGAACAGAGGCGATTGAAGGAGGAAGCAAGGAAATGGTGAATGGTATTTTATCGTGAAGATGTGAGAAGGAATGTATTGGACCAGAAAGGTAAAATTAATTGATAGATCGATGCTTAGAATAGATGAGGTTTAAAATAGTAGTAGTTTAGCTTTCGGATAGAAATTGGAGTAGAAAATTGGATGAACTATCACTCAACTCGAGCGAATTCGTGGCTGGAAGAGCGCGCCCAAGAATGGCTAATCCGTAATCAAATTAATGAATCTAGGAGAACCTGAGTGGAAAACATCAGCAACAGTAACAAAGACTAAGGGCGACCAGAAGGGAGAGCAGTGAGACATAATGAAGGACGCTCCCCGCCTGTTCGGTGTTTATGGGTGTGGTTCCTGTAGTTTCGCGCTGCGTGATGGTTACAAGTATGTTACACAAGGCGAGACGACCTTCCGACGGGGAGCGTCAATTCTGGTGCTTTCGTTGAATCGTTCTTTGATGCAAAAAGCCCGCTTTCTCCTTTGGTAGATGTATTTAGCACGAGCCCTTTGTTCGTGGTATACTCGTTATCTGCTTAGTCATGGTTCGTCACTCGTTGACAAGTGTCACTCACCACCCTGGCCTATTCCGTTCTTGACATGCATAGCTTAATTCCACATCAAGATATAAGGATAAACTCCTCTCTTTTTGTCGCTATCCCGCTTTAGTTCCACGTGGGCAGTAATCAATCTCGTAAAATCGTTCCCTAGATCCATAAAGTATCCGGATCGCGTTTCTTGTGGAACCGTGGGCGGTGGAGCTGGGGACTGTACTTGGGTGGGGGTGTACTGAGCAGAGCTGGTACAGTTCTTCCAATAGAAATTAAACTAGAATACAGTGCTGAGGTTCGGAGAGGCACCGGTCAAGATGCGTCGAGTTTGTTCTGTGTGGGATAGAACATTCCTAGTGCGTGGGTAGCATTATTTCAGGGACGTGTTCTCAACCTATAAAGACAGGTATCTTTGTTGTGACGTATGTGCGAAGCGCCCACACCAAACGCCCTCTACCACTCTTACCACAATTCACATAAGGGCTCGACGGTAGCTTTCCTCACACCGTACATCCTCTCCACATCCTCTCGACATCCGCCCCCCAGCTGATATCTTTCCACCTTCGAACTGCCCCCTCAACAGATACGACATCACAGCCATCTTCATACTCATTTTTAATCACCATCTGTTCAGAAATCACTCGTGATGCCCCGTGATATCCTCATCAAACGCCACAAGCCCAGGAGAGGTAAGCCTCACCCCCGCTACGCCCCCCCCCCCCACTGTATTAAGAATCCACAGTCCAGATCCACGTCGACAGGCAGCCCAGAATGTCGGAAGCCGACCACTTCCTCGAACTCGAGCGCTTCATCAGCGAGGTCGAGCATAGGATCGACACCAATCAGATTGGCAGCGTCCCGAGCAGCAATTCCAGTTACGCCACCACTTCCAGCAGCAGCAGCGAGGGCAGCTATGCCCAGTCCTGCAGTCCCCCCTCCGACGTCTCTCCATCCAGCAGACGCCGTAAGGTCTCTTTCAAAACAAAGTTCACCGAACACCTGAACCTCTCCGACGACGATTTCGACGCCGCTCTCTTCGAAGCCGCCTTTAACGACGTTTTTCCGCCTGAGAAACGCAAATTTACGATCAAGCTTCGCGTCAACGGGGAGCCGCCGTCGAAGCCAAAGAAGCTGTGTGTGGTTGGCGAGGTTCCGGAAGGATGTGAGGACATTGTTGAGAAGCTGCGTGAGGATCCGGAGAATACGTATCTTCTGTCACAGCTACGGAAGCGTGGATATAAGGCTATTGCAGATCCACTGAAGCCAGTGAGACATAGGTGTTGGTGTCCAACATGTGGTGGGGGTTGGAATAAGGGGGCTGGATGTTGTGCTGTTACGGTTGTTGCTAGGTTTGGGGATGGGGGGGATAATAGTCACAGGTGGACTTAGTTAGAGTAGGAGTGGAAGGTATCTGGGTGATTTGGTTCGGTCCAGGACTTGTCGATCGATCTACCTTCTTGTCAGGATATCATACCCCAGCTTTCCTCAAGCTCTATCTCAGCGTCGGTCATGGGACGTTCAGTACCATTAGATTTCTCGGGTGTATTTCTTTGCTTTCAAAACCTTCGCACTTGTACAAGGTCTTCAAAAATGTATTTCAATTTTCAATCACTCACTAGCAGTCGACCTCTCACTCTTCCCAACTCCTACTACAAACAGGGAAGACTCCCTTGGATAATTAGAATGGCAATAGTAATGGCAGAGGAGACATTAGTATTGAAAAGTAAATGAACCCTAGAATTGTTCCTTACTATATTTCTGAATTTTTTACAATAGACAGCTGCAGTGAAGGTTAGCTACATACTTCATCGAATTTCTCTTGAAAGCACTGATAATAACATGTTAACTATATTATAAAATCCAATGAGAGGCCAGACATGGTAATTAGGCTATATAAAGATTTGTTCAGATTTTTACTCCCTCTAATATTGTTCATAGCGTTCTCTGGAAAGAACTCCCATCGACCTTGAATCCACCACTTCTTGAAACGTTCGGAAGTTATTGAATACGGTAAAGTGGCAATAGTTCGTCAGTGATTAGGAACTGTAGGTATAGCCGAAACTGCAAAGCTGTCCTTTCGCCAATCCTATGTTAATTAACGTTTAGGGTTGAATAGATCCGGATATTTGGATTCACTTTGTAAATCAAAAACATCTTCTCACGGCAGGGGAGAGTATTCACAAGAAAATTGTGAAATTTATTAGAAGCAACAAATGTCTTTCCGAGAAACCTACTTTAAAAGTGACATGCGCAAGTAAGGTACGACACAACGAAAAACGTCCTTCCCTTATTTTCTCCCCAAATGTAAATGACACCTAGATAGCAAAGAAAACAGAAACGGTTCTCGTGAACCAACAAAGAAAAAGAAAAAAGTGGAAGAAAAAAGAAAAAAGAAAAAAAAAGGAAAAGCCAACCCATGTCCGAATTACCCCTCCTCTAATCTCTCTCATAGAGCTTCTTCATCAACTCATCAATCTTCTGAAGTCTCCCAATCCACAAATCCTCCTCCCAGTCCTCCTTGCAATCTTCGGCCCTTGCGCCGGCTGCCTCCAAAGCCTTGCTTCTCCAAGCCTCACGCTCTGTCAACCAGGTAGTCTTCAAGTCCTTGACGACGGTGTCAAACTCCCTCTTGAGCTTCCTGAGCGCGGAATTCATGTTGGCAATGTAGATATTGCTCTCAAGGTGAAAATTCCAGATGTCCTCGTGGCTGGGAGTAACGTCGTGGTGGTTTGCAATAAAGCAGCGGTCACGCCTCTCTGGGTCCTTCTCGTAGATTCTGAGAACGGTTTCCTCGAACTGGATGAGCTCGGGAAGATCTTCGGCACGACAAACAAGCTCGAGGAGCTTCTCGGAGGGAGTGAATGCGAGTGGAGACATTTTTGGTGTAGGTTTTGTGGAACGGTTTTTCTTCTTTAGAAACGGGTTTGGGGGCAGTGTTCTGGGCAGTTTAGCCAGAAGTCTAAAGAGATTCCTGTACATCCTGTAGCAGAGATCGAAGTGAAACACACGATAAAGAGTGACTTGCTATAGTAGATGATGGAAAGATAGGTGTAGATAGAATTTTGAGATTTTGGTGCAGGATGTCAGCGGAAATTCTCAGGTGTGATGTCTTTACGTGGTTGAGGGAGGATGGAGGTCTTGCTCGTTTTTTTTAAAACGACCCAAGGACCACGTAAGTCTCCCATAAAGTCTCAGGTATGACGAGATACAGAATATTTCGTCTGCGGAGCCACAGTACTTGTGACCGCCTGGACACGCAATTGAGTATTGAATTAGGTCAAGTCGTGGAGGAGAGAACCTTAATTCTGAACCAAACGATGTTCAAATAACAGCTAGCTCCCATGACTAATACATGGAGTGGTTGGTATTTTCTTGGGCAGGCGAAAAATTGGAATATCTCAACCTTGGTAGAGGATGGTTTACGGTTGCCGAGCGGCGTTCGATTTATCATCCGATGATCTAGCATGGTTCATTGGGCTTGGTCAGGGTTGGAACAAATATCTCAAAGTGATTCTGGGTCGCATATGAGTACCTCGATTAGGAATATAGAGCTTACAGGAATGGAGGTCACTGGTAATGTTGTTTATTGGCTGGAGAGGCCGACTAATTAGGCCCATTTCTAGAATCTTGTGACTTTCATGGGCTCAACGTATGACACCGCGGGTTCTCTAGCTCTCACAGACGTGATCAGATGATATAAATCTCGTTATATCAAAGCATTATACATTTTGTTCGAACATATCGTTGAGGCGTATAAGTATCCTGTAAAACGACGATTTATGAGAGTTGGAAAATGTCTCGAAAAAAAAACGTTCGATAGGTATTGAGGGTGTAGTAGGAATATCGGAGGTGGCATAGGTATCACGGTCCATGAAAGCGTCGAGATATCGCTGTCAGGACCCGAACGATCAATTTTCTGTGTACTCTCGAGGATGCACCAATATCGAACTAAACCCCCACAAAAAGCTAGCATCCACACCGAAGAAAATGAACGTTCTCTTCCAGGGTTCAGACTGCTCGTCCCGTTCTTATATTTCCCTGAACCTTTCTTGCAGTGATGCCTCACGCTCGGGGAATTTTCTCAGGGTGCTTCCGGGGTGCTCTCCCAGGTCATGAAGTTTTTATAGGACTAAGTTTAGATGTAGCGAGCCGAATGTTTATTAGTTCAATTGTGAGAGCTGGGCACCGTTCTGTTCATGAGATGTAGGTTGACGGTGGTAACTAATCCTGTTCGCCGGGTAAGACAGAACTACGCCACATCCATTAGTCGCAAGAAGGAGAGACAGACAACTGACTACACACCGTCCAAAACCGCATCATAGGTCATAGATATTGCTGGTAGTAGTTTCTTTTACCATCTGGCTCTTAATCCGGCCATCTGATGATCAAGACTCTGTGTTGTGTTGTCATGGCCACGTTGCTGGATCTGTTCTATCGCATATCGTGGCGGTTGAGATCAGCGCCACACGCGTCGATCATCCCGGCGCTATAACGCTAACGCAGACAGATTCGGAGAAAACTCTCTAGAGACCGAGTACTCTGGAGACGAGTTACCCCCGTCCTCATCCTCCATGAGTGATAGTTAACCATGCTCAGGTTGCGCTCCAAGAGATTCCAAGGCAAAGAACGGGATGAATGTTGAGTAATCATCCTTCGGAGGTTATAATCGAACGAGCGAAACCGGCCTGTGTCTGTGCTGTGCTCTGAAGAGATTATTAAAGAATGTAATTAGCAACTTTTGATGTTTAAATGGCGAAGGGAATTATGTGCGCTGATAGAGGGACTGCGGAAGTGCTTACCCATTTTCTTTTGACAAAGGCAATACCAATGATATGTGTACTGAGCTCCTTCCAAAAATCCCAACATCCTTTACCCTACTCATCCACACTTATCAACGCTATTGATCTCCCGCCAACATAGAACACCCTGCCTAGGAACAGATAAGAGAAAAATAAATCTCATGCCCATAAGCTCCGCGGTATATTCCTGCAATTTTGCTGTAGTTCAAGAGGTGGAGCTGCTCACTCGCAGTTGTCCTTCATCGGGGTATCGAAAAGGAGAAGCAACAAATTGCGAAGCGTTTCCTCGAGATATATCTGCCTGTTATAGGAAACACGAACACTGCTCCTAAGTCAAGAAATAAGGATAATACGAGTGATGGGTTGTGATGCGAGTACGGTCGGGTAACGAAGGAACAAGCATAGGAAGGTACCGAGGGGTGTGGGGGCACCGGGTGCAACCACACTAGTATTAGGCTGTTGTGAGGGCACGCTTACTATTGGGTGTCTCACCCGGAACGGAATAGAAGCGGGGCTTATGGCTGCAGGCCATTCTACTTAGGGAAGTAGCTCTAGGACAATAGCATGATACAGCTCGGTTACTGGTAATTGCGGGGTTTATGGTTACGTGTCAGAATTGGAATGGAGGAACAGAACTATGCGGGGGCGCTTTTCTATTGGGGTTATCTTCGGGTTGATTGTCTTATTCTATTATCGTTATCTCATTAGTATTAGAAAACGGGCCTTGGCATAGGTTCCAATATGTATAAATAGGGAAGGGTTCCGCCTCATCTTAGTGGCATCATCAGTCACTCAGCGAGCGGAATCCGGTCTACAATATTACAAGTTTAAAAGCTACAGAACTATCGCTTAGCATTGGCATTTCCCCAAACACTATATTGTACCTTATCCACTACGCTATTATTTTATCGATCGCATATTATCAACGTCCCGATAAGACAACTACTTGCTTAGACCAATACTTGAGAGTATTTTGTTTGTGGCGGATAGTCACCGTGCGCTCAAGGAAAAGAATAAGAAATTAGCCTATTAGGAGGACTCTTTGATACCGTATGCATCCCCGAGTAGCAACAGCAGCTATCAACAACTTTACTTGCACCACCTCTTTTGTCGTTCGCAGAGGCAGTGCCGAACACCTCTATTGCGGATACCTTGAATACGCCGGGTTTTTTGCCGAAGCAGGTACTACTTGCACGTTCGAAGAACACGACCCGGAAATCCTCAACTATCCCGAACTGTTCCCCATTAAAGTCACCCTCAGTAAGCAATCCCACGGATTAGCTCACTCCGTCCCTTGGTTCGTCGTTCAACCCTGGTGCAGAAGACAGCCACAACTCAGAATCGAGCAACTTAGCGATGTCAAGGGGTCATCAGCAACAAATGGAGGAAGACTACAACATGGAGAGCTCGATCACCGTGAGAGATCGAGGTATAGTCGAGACCCAGGCGAGACAGCGCCACAGGAGGGATCTGGACATGCCGATCAGCGACCTCTTCAGATCGACTCAGCCGGCCGCATCCTATGGCCAACCCCGCTCCCGCAGGCAAGGGGACTATCGAGACTATTCCCCGTACAAAACGCCAATCAGAGAGAGGTCCTCTAATCCGAGGCCCTCGGTCCCCAGGGTAACGGACGAGGACGAGGATACGGATATGGACGTAGAGGAACGCCGTATCGAGCACCCCTTTGGAGAAATCATCGGGCAGGAAATCGAACGGAGAGGAGCCCCAGTGGTTCAGCAGCTGAGCCGCGGACTTGGAGACCTCACCGTGAGCGTCCAAGACCTGCCCGCAATCAGGGAAATTACTCGGCAGCACGCGTGTTTGGGGAAATGCCAATGCTAAGCGATAGTTCTGTAGCTTTTAAACTTGTAATATTGTAAACCGGATTCCGCTCGCTGAGTGACTGATGATGCCACTGAGACGAGGCAGAATCCTCCCTATTTATACATATTGGAACCTATGCCAAGGCCCGCTTTCTAATACTAAAGAGATAACGATAATAGAATAAGATAATCAACCGGAAGATAACCCCAGTAGAAAAGCGCCCCCGCATAGTTCCGTCCCCCCATTCTAATTCTGACACGTAACCGTAAACCCCGCAATTGCTAGTAACCGAGCTGTATCATGCTATTGTCCTAGAGCTAGTTCCCTAAGTAGAATGGCCTGCAGCCATAAGCCCCACTTCTATTCCGTTCCGGGTGAGACACCCAATAGTAAGCGCGCCCTCACAACAGCCTAATACTAGTGTGGTTGCACCCGGTGCCCCCCCACCCCTCGGTACCTTTCTATGCTTATTCCCTTGTTACCCGACCGTACTCGCATCACAACCCATCACTCGTATTACCCTTGTTCCTTGACTTAGGAGCAGTGTTCGTGTTTCCTGTAACAACGCGGCGCAGCTTACCCAGCAGCACGAAGAGCAGACCAAACTCATCCGCGAATTGCAGATGAAGTTCAACCAGGATCAAGAAGAACGGGAGCGCCGAGATGGGTATATCCTCGCGCAAGTGCGGGTAGAGACAGCCGCAACCACTACGAACCTCGGCCAAGTCTTGGAACAGATCGCCAATACCACTAAAGCCCACCAACAGCGGCAGGAAGAGCAGGCCCAGCACATAACTATGCTGGCCGACTGGATTCAGAGGCTGCCGAAAGAAGGCCCAACTCAAGTCCCAGACGGCGTGGCAGCTACACTGGCACAGTTGGAGAGGACCATGCAGCAGCAGGTCTCCTTGGTAGATGGGTTCTCTGGAACAAGGACGGCTCTAGAAGAAATGATAGAGCAGATGAAGGAAACAGCCCGTAAAACGGCTGCGGAACAATCACTGGCCCCAAAGACAGGTGGTGGCGGATCAGGCCCACCTCCCCAACCACCCCCCAAAAACCCACCAGTCGCCTCTCCAGCTGGCTCCGAATCCAGTGAAGACCTCGAAGATCAAAGCCTAGCACCAAGAAGCAACCCTAAGCATAGCAGCCAACAAGGGAAGCAAGGAGGTCAAGGAGCACAAGGCGGGGGTAACGGGAATGGCAATAAGGGAGGTAATGCCCCGGAAGCACCAGGATCATCTCCATCGG